GGAAACACTTGTGGATTTTGTGGTAGGGACCCCATGGAAATACCCTATAACGAACTTCCTTCCAATGAGCTTACCTATAGAATTGTTTTCTGCATCAGTTTTAGTAATAGAAGTTGATTGATTTTTGTTTTTCAGTTCCAAAGCTTTTTGGTGCCACTGAACACTTTTGTTGTAGTCACCAGTTTCTGATGCGAGCTCACCAAGATCCTCATATAAACTGATCAATGAAGGATCATTAGATGGTAGTTCTTCTAAAAAGCGAACCAAGTATTTTTGAGCCAATTCGTGCTTTCCCAATTTCCACAATAAGTTACCGAATGTTCGAAGAGTCGTTTCACCAGTTCCAATTTCCTGTTTCTTGTACATGAGTGCATATTTTATATCGCATTCATCATCATTTTCATTACATAAAGTCATTTGGATGATCCATACTTGATCATCACTACTGCGGGATATACTGTTCAAACGAAAAATAGAGCCAGTCATAAAGAGCACCTCGGATTCATCGGAAAAGTTGCTATGTTTAGAGATATCAGCAAACGGCTTTGTTGTAACTATCTTAGGATCGGCGTCAATTTCAAATAACACTGACTGTAAATCAGTTGTATTGTTAGTAGGTCTGAGAAACGAAAGAGCTATATGGCGGCTAAGAGTACTGGAGAAAAACGAATTTGGCGACATGAATAGACCACAGGATTTTTTAAAAGTTTCCAGTTCATCGTTGGAAATCATTTGACTTCGATAAGCTCTTAAATGTTGTTTAGCTTGATATTTTTTCAATTGAAGACCGATATCAGAGATAAATGCACGTAATAAAAACATCATATGAATATCTTCGCCACGCAACGCTTTATTAAGAATCTTGTAAAAAAATGAGTCTTTTGTGTACCACCATAAAGCTTTGTCAGGTAAATAATTCTGTTCAAAATCACGAATATTCTGCAACTCTGCATGATTACCTGCGTACATAATGTTGCAATAATCGATTAATTCTGTTTTATCTTTTGGAGTAAATTTGACTCGTAAAAGGCAATCAATCATAACTTGAGACCCTATAAATTTAGCATTTGGACCGGAAATCATTTTATTGTCATAGGTATCTGATGCAAAGCTTTCAACTGATGACGGTTTGTCCACAACATGCTGGATTTTATGATCGGCTTTAATTCGAGAAATGAGTTTGTCAAGTTTAACAACAACAGCTTTCACCTATGTACAAAAAATAATATATAAAAAGCACTGAAATCGTTCAACATGATTTTACTTTGGGGAATTTAGAAGCCCATTTTTCGTTTCCTTCTTTATCCATGCAAAACACATAGATTGATATGATTTGTCGCAGTTGATGAACAGAAGGGACTATTTCTCGTCCGAATCGACCACTAAAAACTACTACTAGTTCGCTCCTTGGAGATTGTTGTTCAATATATTCTTGAAATTCTTGTTTATCGTCAAATTTCTTGAAATTACTGGAAATAGTACGCAGTTTGTGCAATATTTTTTCACTTTCTGGGGAGTTAGCTGCAGCATCGAGCCAGATGAGATTTGGTGTTTCAAAATGGTTATTGTCATCGTTTGGTAAAAGAGATGTAGCCATTTCAGTGAACACCACGCAATTATAACGTTCGTAATGTTCGTCGGTTTGTTTCCAGCACTAGATGTAATGCGTTTTTGATGTTGAAAACGAATGCATACAGTATTCTTGTTTACTCACTTCTTCGACATTTTCATGTTTTTCATATATTTTACGGCCTCCAGAGCATCAAAACAGAACAAATTGCTCTTTTGTTAGGAACGAAATCTTTAAGAAAATATCTTGTCGTATCGCCTATTCTCCTCTTGTTGTCTTCTTTTCTTTGGTGTGGGTAATAATAATTGGCCGAAGTAACAGCCGAAGTCCGAAGCAACCTAAGAATACGATTGGTCTTTACGAAAAATTCAGTATACCAATGAATGCGAGTCCATATTTTATCAATGTCTGAATAGTACAAACCTAATATAATATTTTGAAAATGAATTCAGTCAAATAATCGTAATTTATTTTATCAGAAATTAGGCAACTATACTAAAATTTTATTTCGATTTGAATACAAGCATGGAGATTTTTTCATTAGTTTTTCCTTAAGAGACAAGTCGACTTGTCCTCTGACTATTTTTTTCTGATCGATGTGTCTTCTTTTACATTCATACCTTTGGACAAGTCGAGTTATCCTTAGAGACAAGTCGACTTATCCTCTGACTTCTTTTGCTTACCGGTATATCTTTTCGCATTCATACATTTGGACAAGTCGAGTTATCCTTAGAGACAAGTCGACTTATCCTCTGACGATTTTTCTCTGATCAATATATCATCTTTTTAATTCATGCCTTTGGACAACTCGACTTATCCTTAAGAGAGATTTCGCGAGGCTGAGCACTAGGGGTGCAATAGTTCAGCTCTAGTTCTGAGCGAGGGAACTGTTCGAAAGTTCATTTCGGTATGAGCTGATTGTTTTGAACAGCTCCTTTCAAAAGAGTTGATCTGATCGAACAGCTCTCTCTCTCTCAAGAACTGATTTGGATAGTATTTTTAGCATAATGTCAATCAGTTCTTGAGAGAGAGAGAGCTGTTCGATCAGATCAGCTCTTTTGAAAGGAGCTGTTGAAAAAGTCCAGTTCAGGAACGAGAGCTGTTCGATCAGATCAGCTCTTTTAAAAGGAGCTGTTGAAAAGGTCCCGTTCAGGAACGGGAGCTGTTCGATCAGATCAGCTCTTTTGGAACGAGCTGTTCAAATCAATCAGCTCCTACCGAAAGAACGTTCGAACAGCTTTTTCGCTCAGCTCAGCTGAACTTTTGAGCTGGAGCTGATGCACCCCTAGTTTCAGCCATCGTTATGAAAATGCTGGTTTAATGCAATATGAAAACAAAATGAAATTATTCTGATTTATGCGATCAAATTGTTTTATTCGCTATCATTCTTTATTCGTCAATAAGCTGTCTATAGAACTATATCTTGTATCTTGCGATGGAAGTGTGTCCATAATCAGAATATAAAAAGTTTTGGAAACTCCTTAAGAAATAGGGGGAATTTTAACGATACTTGCTAACAAATCTGTTGATTGTATTAATAGAGTGGCTGATATCAGACATGATGAAGGGAGACATATGATTTCTATCATATGTACAGAGACTCATAGGATCCTGCAGAAAATGGATCGTAACCTAATTGTCGGAAGTTTTATTGGTTCCAATAGTCGGATATCATAGGATATTCATAGGAATCCGACTCTCGGATCCAACATCGGAATCATTCACATGGGTGGTTCAGTGTCCTAAACTTCAGAGACCCTCAGTGCTTCAGTGAACACTGAATAATTCAATCGCTGTTTCCAGTGTAGTCGGTGTCAGTGACACCGATGACAGTGTGGTCGGTACTTCACTAGATACACCGTCGGTGTATTCAGTGGTCAGTTTTTCAGTGTTTACACCGATACTGCACATCCCTAATCAAGAGTAGCAGAATGATGCGCACAAAACAGAAGACATTTATCTCACTACGAAACATTATTTTCCTGTAGTATTTTTAATGAATATTTCAATTGATTTAACGTAAAGATGATCTATGTTACAAAATATTAGGAAAATTGAGCGCATATCTCATACAAATTATTATTTTATTTTGCGAAACTGTCTAATCTTAAAAGAGTTTCGATAGTAAGTTCTATTGATACATGCAAGTAATGTTTTACCTGTATGTGTACCAACGCGTTCACAAATCCATCCATACACAAGATTTTATTGCTCTATGTTATGGTCTGTCTTAAAGTGAAACTTTAATTTCTACGACTTTTATTATTTATTGTGCTTCACTTCGAGTGTTTCAGAAAAGCAAACTTTAATGTAAACTAAAGTACAGTAAACTACCCGGTTTTCCGCTTGATTTTTTCAAAAAAAAATGAAACTGAAAATTTACAACAGTTATACTAAAGAGACTTAATACAGACGACAAGAACTTTTATTTCGATAAATAAAATACAACAAAAAGTCAAAGTTAACATTACATTTTATTTGCCTTCATACATCATAATATATTAATAACGAACAATGAAAAGACACAATCGATATTCAGTTATTGATCATTTTCTTTAAACACAACCGATGCGATGATTCATTCCGTAGGTTTAGTGCCACTTTTCCATAATACGATTGATATACATTCGTATTAGTCTTCGTTGCTTTTTTACAGTTGCAATAAATTCCGCTGTATACACTTTTGATGGAATAACAAATACAACAAATGTAAGAATTGGCGGAATAAAGGAAATCAAATATCCAGCTAGATAAATTGTTGATTCACGAGATGATTTCATACAACCAGATGCAAAAGCGATGATTATGCGTGGAAAAATAAGAAGGACAAACATTAGTGGAGCAATAAGAAGATTTCTATGTTGTCGAAATTGATGAATTATATGTTCTTTATAAGTTCTATCCTGTTTGACAGTTGCTCGTCGACGAGCACCAATGATAATGACGATGAGTGCCGAGATGAGATTTAAAGCGAATGGAACAAAAAAATGAATCGCTTCAATAAATTTATTGAAAATTTGAATATTATATGAATATGAAACAATACACCAGATTCGACGTTGATCATCATCATTATCATCTAGTAGACGTCGATGAAGAGGATCATGAATTCCAGAAATCGCTGTTAAAATTACAAGAGCAATAATCGCTAGCTTGGCCACCTGTTTGCTTTTCTCTTTATTAAAATTGACTCCTTTGATTGTAGCAGTAGCTCTTTCAGTAGCCACACATGCATTCAACCATTGATCCATATGTAGTGAAGCATAAAGAATAAAATCAACTGTTTTGCACTGAAAATGAAGAAATAATCGATTCATAATTAAATCCATTTGTGCACTAATCAGAAGTCCAAGTTTCAACGAAAAAAAATCATTGTCAATAAAGTAGTAATTGATGAACCCAACAAGTAGAAACCACATCCAACTTTATGTAAGCTCTTGTTCTGAAATGTCAATAAAGAAAGAATACCACTTATAAGACCCAGCAGGACTATCACTACACCCAATACTATAATAAGTTTTACAATTGTCGATTGATGACTAATATCCACATTAGGCTGAATATGATAGCCCAAAATAGCATCAAGTGAAAGACCGAAACCACTCGTACTAAATTGACATATTTTTCCATAGAAGCATGTTGCACATATGCACACTGATGTCTGAGCACAATAAGGGCTATCTTGAAAGCAACGACCACCGTTTTCACAACTGCTTTGTCCTCAACAATCCAATTTCATATCATGCTCGAATTTAAAACAATTAGCCGAGCGTTGATGACCATCATTTTCACATAAACAAAGATGAACATCATCGTAGAAACAAGATAAATTAACAGAAAGTTTTTGTTGACATGGCAAATGATAATATTTAATACGACGAACAAGATGTAATTGAACCATAGTCTCATTGAATAACTCACTAATATGCTTACATCGATCTTTTGAGTTGATTCTCTTGTTAATAACTAACGATCGCTGATATAATCGTTGAATAACAGTTAAATAGTAGTTCTTATTAAAAAGTTCAATAAAGACAATATGAAATGGATGTGACCAATATAGACTGACCGAATCTTGATTAGGCGGGATTGTTTTGAAAGTCGTTGCACGTTCATGTGCAGCCCCCTTCTTCACTTGAATAAAATGAACAAGTATTGTCAATGGTAATTTAATATCCTTGTGAAATGAAATCGTGATTTTTACATCATGGTTTTCACATCTCTCACCAGTGAATCCATTCCGACAGATGCACGTGTATTTCTTGTCGGAGTGAACGTATTCTTCTTGAGGAATACATTGGCCACCATTTTTACAAGTAGGATTTCCATTGAGTTGGCATACGGGATTCATGAGAAGACATCGAGGTCCAAAACTACCAATTCGACAAACACATATGGATCGATTATTAGCCAATACACCTGTACATAAAGAATTCGATGAACATGTACAATGACGAGGAATCGTACAAGAACGTCCAGACCATCCTTGATGACATCGGCAAAAAGTCATTCTCATTGGCACATTCGTATATTTAATGCATTGACCATGAACACATTGATGTTCGGTGCAACTGTCGACGATATCTCGATCATATGTTATATTTAGTTGAACAACTAGACGATTAATTGGTAGAAATTGAAAAGGAATTGATAGAAGAAAGCTGCCTCGATAGGCCAATGAAATCTTCTCATAGAAATCAATATGAATTGAATCATTTTTCGATTGATTTTTGGGTCGAGTTGAATACAGTAAGTAAACATTGAATTTTCTTTGGCAATCACGTATTGGTAAATACATGAGTTGTTCAACTGAATGAATCGTACGTTCATAACTGTCATCAATAAGTGAAATAACTATAGCAAAAGGGGTTCGCCAGACATCCGATAATGATCGAAATTGTAGAGTAAGACTCACTCGTTGATTCTGGTACTGACACAAATCACCATAAAAACTAGGTGGACAAAGACATATAATTGTTGTTAAGTTCTTTTTCTTGTTCAACCAAAGGCGTACGTGAAGGCCACGATGACAGAGTTGTTCATATCGACGTGTATTGAGCGAATGCTGAATTACTGTTTTGTCATCTATATGTAGTATAGGTTCTGATGAGCTTCCAATTTCACCAAGTGAAAAATGTACAATAGGCCACCTTTCTGTTTGGTAAGGATATTCGCATATAAATTTCTCAGCATCAGAACGTATCGAAGCATATGGGGTCTCACAAATACTGGTGAATGTGGTTAGATTATTTTTCTCACAGAATCGTTCATCTTCATTGCTCAGACAGTTATTGAAATTATTACACAACACTGTAATTGGTATACAACGTGTTTCAAAATATCCTTCACAATAAAAGGGGCCCCATCTGCTTAAATCCTCTCTGAATTGACATAGTGACGGCTCATCGGTAGCACCAAGACAGTCGATGTTGCCATCACCAGCTTTATCGAGCGGTAAACATGTCAAACGATTCGTTTCGACCGAAACGCATAGATGATGCTTCGACGAACAATTTAATAAAGGCGTCGGATTACAATCGATTTCGTCAAAACCATTCAAACAGTTCTAATGACCATTGCAATGGGTATAGCTATTATTACAAGGCCATTGTTCACATTCTGTTTCGTCCGTTTCATTTCTTCCATCAATGACTATCGGTAGTAAATCAACGAAACTATCACATACTACCTGAAATGAAATGTTCTTCTTCACATCGATAAGTTCTGGATTTTCGTCTTCACAAAGCGTTTGAAATTCTTCTCCACAATCACAAACGCCATCTTTAACTAAACGATAAGGGATACATACATTTCGTTGGGAACAGGTAAAACATTTTCCAAATTGTGATACCACTTGATCATCTCTAGGTAAATTGAAGAATTCATCATCACCATAAAGACAATCAATAATTTGATCGTTAAGACGATATCTTGATATGCACTTCGACATGTTGATACATTGGTACATGTTAGGCTTTTCACAAAGTTCAGACCCATTATTAATGATTGAATAACATGCCCAATCTAACAACATGAATTTCTCAATCAATTGAAGTGGAGAATAACTATACTGTGGATTATAAGATGGAAGAAAATGTTCCAATAGGTAACAGCTGATGTTCTTATCGAATGGAATTTTGCCAAGTAACAACATTTTATCGCAAAACCTATCCTTTACGCACACATAAATGGGAGACGCTGGGTTGAGCGATGAGTAGGACATTTTTTCTGTTACATATGTTAAATATAATCCACCCAATAGATTCGATTCGGTGGGTATGTAAAAATTCTGATTACAATTTTGTCTAAGTAATTCATTGCAATTGGGCTTTCTGCAAAATTTATCGCATTCTTCATTTTCTATAATAGTCGGTACATTAATAAAGCACTTGAATAGTGACCAACAAAATTCGGATGTTGAGTTCGGCTTTATTAAAATTTGCTCCTTAATAAAATCATATCGTCGAACTAGACATGAGCTTGTCAAAGAACGTAGAGGGTCAATAATATTAGGAATCACACATGCTACGTCTTCACAACCAAATGTTGGTTCAGTTGTAGTACAATATGTATACGTCGAATTTTGTTGAAAGTTTTCATCAGATGTATCGAAACAATCCGGGATATAAATATCATCACGAAAGAAGTCTTCTGGAATACATTGTCCATTTTGGCAACGATATTCATTTGCTTGACATTCATTAATTTCTAATTGTCAGCAATTTTCTTCATCTTGTTCACCATCGGCACAATCAAATTTACCATTACAAATCTCAGTCCAATCAAGACATATTGGAAGTGGACCTCGATTACATTTTAAATGGATATAACATGTGAATGTATCGGATTGATACGTGAATAGATAAGAATTATGAATGATCTCATTCAATGATGTACAATATGGTTCGTATTCATCAAATGTATATTGACATAATGGACCGAAATAAGGTAATGTACAATTGTAGAAAAACTGTGTTTCACTTGATGCATTATTATTAGAAGTTAACTTTTGAGTTAAATAATATTCATAACTTTCCGCAATATCGATGGGTGCTGACTAGGGGTGCAATAGTTCAGCTCTAGTTCTGAGCGAGGGAACTGTTCGAAAGTTCATTTCGGTATGAGCTGATTGTTTTGAACAGCTCCTTTCAAAAGAGTTGATCTGATCGAACAGCTCTCTCTCTCTCAAGAACTGATTTGGATAGTATTTTTAGCATAATGTCAATCAGTTCTTGAGAGAGAGAGAGCTGTTCGATCAGATCAGCTCTTTTGAAAGGTGCTGTTGAAAAAGTCCAGTTCAGGAACGAGAGCTGTTCGATCAGATCAGCTCTTTTAAAAGGAGCTGTTGAAAAGGTCCCGTTCAGGAACGGGAGCTGTTCGATCAGATCAGCTCTTTTGGAACGAGCTGTTCAAATCAATCAGCTCCTACCGAAAGAACGTTCGAACAGCTTTTTCGCTCAGCTCAGCTGAACTTTTGAGCTGGAGCTGATGCACCCCTAGTGCTGACCAAAGATATAATTGGTGACTTGTAATATTTTGTCGTCGAAGCTCTTCAAAAGTAAATCGTTGTTCTTCACTATTCGGCTGAATTTTCCACTTCAGTAATGATTCATCTGCACAATATGCAATAATTTCATAAGGACCATTTTGACGGCTGATAGACGCATCACCATATAAACAATTATGTTGATATTTGATGTTATTTTTACTATCATTTAATTGATTAGTGAAAGCTAAATTAATTTGTAACGAAGTAATTACAGGATACAATAGAGTGATGTAGATGATATGCACAATGAAAAACATTTTATGAGTCTTGTTCTTATTCTTCAATATAAGAAATGGTTAGGAGAAATGACCAATCTAAATCTTCATTTTATGGATGTGATAAATATGATGTTATATTATAGTCATATATATATATATAACATGTGCAAAGTTTAGATCTGTGACGTCAATGGAGTACTTGTTGTATAGACAAATATAAGGATGAAATTGATAATAATAAGAAAATGAGGATTAACTCTGTTCTGTCACTTCTAGAAATAATATAACTCTTAAAAAATCTTTCGCAATGGGTGCGTCCCTTTTCGTCCTCCCTCTTTCGGACATCCGACCAAATAACCGGATGTTCGAAATCGGATATGAAACATAAAATTAATTTTCCGGATGTTCGGAATGAAAAAATACAGGATGTTTGGAACATAAGGTGACGGATGTTCGAAACAAAAAATGACCGATGTTCGGAACGAAAAAATACTGAATGTTGGAAATGAATTTTGGTGTATGTTTTATAGTGGGAATGAGTAGTAAAACTATAAACTTCTCTGTTTTATAGAGTGTAGGTGCTGGTAACAAAAAATTTACTAATAATTCTCATAAATGTTCAGCCAGCAGTTCATTAAGTGAAAGAAAAAGTAGACGAAACAGATGATGCCAATATTAAACAAATTCCAAAAAAGNGAAATGAATTTTGGTGTATGTTTTATTGTGGGAATGAGTAGTAAAACTATAAACTTCTCTGTTTTATAGAGGGTAGTATCTTGAGCATGATTGGCTGCACGATGACTCGCGCAACATACTGAATTGGTTTGGTGAATTATATAATGGTCATAAGTAGGGTGTGGGTGTGGGTGTATCCCAAAAAGAGATGAACACACACCCACACCCACACCCTCTAGTCAGCTATATGACAACAAATTGAACGATCAAGTTATGCATTTGAATGCTGATGTTGAAAGCTTGAATGGAATTGAATTAACAAGCTCAACTGGGGAAATTGGTCTATTGTGGATTCTAGAATATTTTCTGAAGAGAAAAGATTTCCCTTCTAACCATTTTAATCAACACGTCATATTTAGAATTGCGCTTTTCGATGAAAATAAGTTTAAAGACTGTTTAGTAAAGTTGGTTGCGCATCACGAAGCATTCCGAATAAGATTTAAGAAGGGTGCTGATGCCAAATATTTTCCATGTTATCAAACTAATCTTGATTCAGATCAGATTAATCTAGTCCGAATAAAAACGTTAGCGTCAACTCAAATGGCCTTAGAGACTGAATTATGTGGTTTATTGAAAAAAACAACTGACATTGAGAACGGACCAATGTACATGGTGGGCTACTCATATGATCATGAAGATAATGGCTCGGCCAAAGTGTGGATTTTTATACATGATCTAATTGCCGATTGGATAAGTTGTCGAATTATCAGTGAAGATTTGCAGCGACTTTACCATGGCGGTAACTTTGACAGTAATAGCTGCTACAAACAGTGGTCACATGCTGTAAAAGGTTATGTGAATGGAATTGGAACCAGTGAGATGGAACATTGGCAAAGCTTATCAAACGCTAGTGTAAACATTTTCAATGCAGCTCTTGCGGCTAAACAACTAAGCAAGTACGACGTAAGCGAGACGGAAATAAGATTAACTGAAGAGATCACCAAAGGTCTACTGAATGATTATAATAAAATCTACAATACACAAACGGAGCATCTCTTGTTAACTGCATTAGGTTACACTATGCGCGACGAAATAACTAGCCTAACAGAAAACTATGTCATGTTCGAATGTTCTGTCCGCGATTTCGTAAATAATTTGGACATGAATCGATCGATTGGAATGTTCAGAACGCTATATCCGGTGCGACTACAGTTAGCTGATGAAGACATACGCAGTAGCATAATAAATATTAAAGAGCACGTGAAACAAGTACCCAATAAAGGTATTGGATTTGGAGCGATCCCTCGCAACGAAAACGATAGTCTCCCATGGGTTTTATTTAATTACCTTGGCTCTTTCGAAAACGAACACAATGAAAACGGCAATGAAGATGAATGGTGTTTACTTGGCGCTTTTTGCGAGAATCGTATGGATGAAAACACCCAAGGACGGATCCAAATAAATGTATTCATAATAAACAAACAAATGCGACTGAATATAAAAACAAAAATGGGAACCGAAATAACTGTTCAATTTGGTAAAGCATTCCAAATTAATATTGAAAAGATTATTAAACATACCCAGTCGGTGAATCGTACCTATTTGACTCGGAGTGATGTACATTATGTGATCAAGAATAACGACTATTTAAATAGAATTCAACTAGACAAGGAAGTTGATGCTATCTTCTTGGCAAATAGTCTACAACAAGGCTTATTATATCATTCATTGAAACAAAGCAACGTGGATGATGCATATATTGTACAATCCATATTACAATATCGAACACATATTGATCAGAAAATGTTTAAGATGGCCTGGGAACACGCACAAAAGAGGTTTAGCACCCTAAGATTAAGATTCGACTGGCAAGAGGAACTGATTCAAATAATTGATAAAAAGCAATCCTTGGATTGGCGATTTATAGACTTGACAACAGAAGAAGAAGACGACGTTCCAAATCAAGAATCAAAAATCAAGCAAATACAAGAAGAAGACAGAAATGAAAGATTTCAATTGAATATGGGAAATCTGTTTAGAGTTTACTTGATACAGCAGAACATTGACTTATTTGTATTGATTTTCAGCTTTCATCACATTATTCTAGATGGATGGAGTTTGCCAATATTGCTTGACTATGTTCATCAAGATTATTTGAACTTGATCGAGGGTGAACACCAACCTCTACCTATTACTTCTTTTCATTCATCTTCATATCGGGATCAGAGCTATGAGAATGCACAAAGGTATTTGCAAGAGCACCGCCAAGATAACATTGATTATTGGGAAAGTGAAATAAACAAAATAGAGGATATATGCGATTTGACTGGTTTATTAAAACAAGAGAAGAAGAATAAGGTGGTGCTCAATCAATACGATCATGTGAAGGAGCCAAAATCTTGGACATTAACAATTGGCGACAACCTTTATAGAAATCTGAAAGACATATGCCGTGAAAGTGGCATAACTTTTAGTTCGATTTTGCAATTTATTTGGCATAAAATATTAAGCGTCTATGGCAACAGCAGTCAGACAGTCATTGGAACAACAGTATCCGGTCGTAATCTACTAGTCGATGGCATCGAAACATCAGTTGGCTTATTCATAAACACACTGCCATTTGTTGTGAATCATTGTGCGGATGGATTAATCATAGATACAATAAAAGATATTCAAGATAGGATGAATGAAATGATTACTCGAAGTAATGTCGATTTCTCTCAACTAAGTAAAGGGAAAATGAAGCGCAGTTTATTCGATTGCTTGTTGGTTTATGAAAATTATCCAACTCTAGCGAGCAAAGTTCCGCGAAATGAACAATTATTGAAGTTCGAAACAAAAGATAGCGTTGGGAAACTAGACTATCCGTTAGCCGTTGTTGCTTATGAAACAGTAGCGAGCGACTGCGTGACATTTGTCCTAAATTATGCAGGGGAATTATTTGAAAAAGAAACAATTGTGGACTTATTAGGCTTAGCTAATGAATTATTCACTCAAATTGGAAATGGTCAAATAACACGAGTCTCTGACTTGCATTTGTTGCCAATGAAGCAACTGAAAATGATCAACGAATGGAATGATATATATACAAACGTCGCAGAATTGAACACACAAACAACACTGCATCAACTATTTGAAGTAGAAGCAGGAAAATCATCTGAGAAAATCGCCGTTATTTATCAAGACGTACAACTCACTTATGGAGAATTGAACGAAAAGGCGAACCGATTGGCACACTATTTACGATCGATATGTGATATTCAGCCGGATGACTTGATAGCCTTGTTCTTGGATAAAAGTGAACTGATGATTATCAGCATACTGAGCGTGTGGAAATCGGGTGCAGCCTATGTTCCTATTGACCCTAGTTATCCAGACGAGCGGATTCAATTCATCCTAAATGATACGAAAGCTAAAATCGTCATAACTAATACGAAATACATGACAAGATTTGATCGATACGACATCATGAAAATTGAAGTTGATTGTCTACTAATTAATCAATTGATAAGCAAAAATAGCATGACTTTCAATCCTGATGCAAATGCAACTAAAGACAATATGGCTTATGTGATCTATACGTCGGGTACGACTGGTCAACCGAAAGGTGTTATGGTCGATCATGGAAGTGTGCTCTCGTTCAGGAACGATGTAATTCATCGATATTTTGGCGCAGATTACACCGAAAATTCGCCTAAAGCGATTTTGTTCCTTGCCAATTATGCCTTTGATATGTCGATTGAGCAAATAGTACTGTCTATACTCGGTTCGAATATGCTCATAATTATTTCAAACATATTTACTGTGGATGAAAACTTTTACACTTATTTGAATGCAACGCGAATAACGTACATGAGTATGACACCAAGCCAACTACAAGGAATCGATTTGAGACACCTGAATCATTTGGAATCATTGACATTAGGTGGTGAACCATTATCTGAAATGGTATTCGACAAAGTACGGACACAGTACATCGGTAAAGTGAGAAATGTGTACGGATTGACTGAAACAACCATCTGCAATATGTTTTATGTGTACGAAAATGATATGAAATATAGAAGTTCAATGGGCGTGCCTTTGTCCAACACGAAAACGTTTGTGCTTAATAGGAGCCTGCAAATGTTACCAGTAAATGCTGTTGGCGAACTCTACTTGACTGGTAGTTGTGTATCGAGAGGATATTTGAATCGACCTGAATTGACTGCTGAACGATTTCTACCGAATCCGTTCCAAACGGATGAAGAAAAGAAAGAGGGCAAGAATGCACGTATATACAAGACAGGCGACTTGGTTCGCTGGCTACCAGACGGTGAATTGGAATATCTAGGTAGAAATGATCTGCAGGTGAAGATTAGAGGGCTCAGAATTGAATTGGGCGAAATCGAAGCTGTTCTATCTTCGTATCAAGGAGTCCATCGATCTGTTGTTCTAGCTAAAGACCACAAGAAGAAGAATATTGACGCGCCATCAACGAAATATCTTGCTGGATATTATGTTTCCGATGATGATATCGATGAATCTAATATAAAACAGTACATACAAACAAAATTGCCTGATTACATGATACCGAATCGCCTGATGCGGATAGAGAAAATACCGGTGACTATTAATGGGAAATTGGACACAAAAGCGTTACCAGATATCGACTTTGCTGCCGATGAAAAGAATTACTGTGCGCCTAGAAATAAATTGGAAGCGAACCTTTGCGAAATATGGTCGGATTTACTGGGGATTGAGAAAGTCGGTATCACGGATGATTTCTTTCTAATGGGAGGCGACAGTGTTAGTTCAGTGCAACTAGTTGGTCGCATTGAGAAGGATATGAACCTACATGTGTACATCAAGGATATTTTTGCATTTAGGACTATCGATAGTTTTTGCCACAATGTGTTCAGGAACAGTTCGGGTCCTGAAATTGCGAAACTGTGTGACACGCATCAATATGAACAGGGAGTATTTAGTGGTGAAGTACCTCTGTTGCCAATACAGGAGTGGTTCTTTATGAAGTTTTCCGTTGGTATCAATCACTGGAATCAAGCATTTCTCATTGAAACGCCAATTCTGGATCAGGACAGACTGAAGGATTCTTTGATCAAGTTGATGGATTATCACGATGCTTTCAAGTTGAGGTTTAAGCGTTTTGGTGATAAGAAATACTTGCAGTACTATGAGGATTCAACAAATATTCCATGTGTTTTGCCCTTCAATCATTTGGACGTGCGTACTCTTGGACAGAATGAAAATACCGACAAATTATTGCACGATATATTAACGAAGTGGCAAAGTCAATTTGATATTGAGAACGGGCCACTCTTCTGCGTTGGTTATCTTAACGGTTTTGTTGAGGACAAAGCGCGTGTCTGGTTCGCAATGCACCATTTAATCGTTGACACAGTGAGCTGGAGAATTATCTGCGAAGATTTGCGGCGGCTCTATGGCGGTCAGTCACATTTGGGAAAAAAGGGCAGTAGCTACAGGCAATGGTCACAGCTCGTTCAGTCGTATGCAATATGTAAATCAGCGACCGAAGGTGTTTACTGGCGTAATCTTGTGAGCAATATTTGCTGTTTCAATGACAATTTAAGCCAGCACAATGCTGTATCTGCCAGTAGACTAACAACGAATGCGACAAGTATCACACTCAGTATGGTACAAACATGTAGCCTTTTGAGAGACTGCCCACAGGCTTACGGCGCAAATATCAACGTTTTGCTACTTACTGCACTTGGTTATATTCTCAAAGAGCTAACAGGAAATCGAATTAACTATGTGACATTAGAAGGTCACGGTCGTGAAGATATTGATGACGAAAATGTGGATATCAGTCGAACCGTGGGTTGGTTTACAACGATGTATCCGGTTCTTCTCGAAATTGATGATGATCTCATGCGTAGTATCATGAATATCAGAGCGCATTTGATGCAAGTTCCTAATAAAGGGATTGGCTACGGCACAATTATTGGCTACAAAGATCAAGATTTACCACGAGTTAGCTTCAATTATCTCGGACGGTTCGAAGCAGCACCATCCACAAAAGCAAGCAATAGTGGTCAGAGTAGACGATGGTATTTAACCGATGGAATTGTCGGAGACGAACTTGCGGAGAAGGCTTGTGTCGGTGACGTTATTACTGTGAACGGACTTTGTATGAAAGGGCAAATACGATTCAACATCACGAGCAGACTGAATTCTGACAGAACAGTACAACTTGCCAATTCGTTTAAATCAAAGCTTGAAGATATCATTCGCGACTGCTTTTCTATTAAGCCACTAATTGAAATAGATTATTCAAATGATTTCGAGCATCCATTTGTTATATTAAATGCTAATGCCAATAATATTTTGTTCGTTTTGCCACCTGGCGGTGGTGGCGCTGAGAGCTACTTTAATAATATTGTTCCTCATTTATCAGCATACAAACTGGTATTATTCAACAATTATTATGCTAACCTTAAAGTAAAAAATTTGGAGAAAGGCTTATCATTCGAAACATTAGCTTGTTTATACGTAAAGTATATAAAACTAATTCAATCCAATGGTCCGTATAACTTGCTGGGTTGGAGTTTTGGCGGAGTTTTGTCGTTTGAAATTTCGCGCCAGCTAAATAACGGTGGCGACGAAATCGCTAATTTATTTATGATAGACTCTTGCTTTAACCTGGAAAAGGCTGCTGCTGAAATCCATGGAATACGCGAAATGGGAATAGTGGATGAAATCAGCTACTCATATTTGCCATACATAGGCAACGAAGCGTTTGGATTAAATATAGTCAATATGAATGTAAACATCGTATTATTCAAAGCTAACAAATTGGATAATGCCTATCGGTCGAACGCTGAGTTAGAACTACTCAAACATTACACTGATACAGCATTTAATTACTTAGACACAATAGTGAATCATAAATATATTCAAGTAATTGAAATGCATGATGAAAGCCATTCGTCTTGGATATCGAATAAAGAGCAAATCGCCAATATTTGCAACTATTTAGTACGTGTCTTAAAATAATAGACAAAGAACATACATAAGCTTGGATACGAAGTAATTTGCTGATCGTTTAAACCATTAAAAAAATCTTTTGATTTGCTTTAGTTTTCTTGGCTATCAAAGATGATTTTCCAACCATCGACGCATATATTTGTGGGACACACAATATTCATTTTATTTTAATTCTTTTATTTAGCCTACTACTAATGATTTTAAAAAAATGATAGTCCTAATATACCAATAAATAAAAGTGATACGATGCATCCAACACCATAAACAAATCTAAATAAAAATAAATCAGATATTATGTCAGTGACTATTAAATGATTATTTTTAATTTTTATTATTATTAGCAGAATTCATCATATTTTATCATAAAAGAGTTGTGTTTCACTTAAGAGAAGTGGATGTTGTGCTGTATGGGTATGCGGTTAGATGAGCTTCTGCATCTGTTTGCCCTAGCGCGAGTCACATAAGTATTGTCATAGTTGAGGATGCGGCATCGATATAGGCATGGTTGTTGATGTGCTTTGCTACTATGGGAAAAAAGGAGTTCTACAGAACCTTTTAGTGGGTTCTGGTGCCTGGTAAAAGACAGAACCCCCCTCGAAAAAGGTTCTGACCAAAAGTGGGTTCCATGAAAAATCAACAAAACCATTTATGGTGCATCGCCAGAAATGGTTCAGTAAAAAAAGGTTCCGTCAGTAACTAACGAAACCAATAACAACCCATCATCAAGAGGGGTTCAGTACTACAGAAAAGTTACCACTTTGACTGGTTTACTGAAAAACATCTGTTATTCAGCAGATATTGGTTCTGTATCACACAAATACCTCAGTCTTTCGCAAATAGCATGCTTTACTAGAAAAAGACACACCAATGAAAAATCTGAAAGAGTTTGCGGATACATCCCAACATTAAAAAAACACTTACAGTTTCAATTCAAACGTATAACTTACAAATGATATACCATCAAGACGAACCCAAATATAAAAAAGAATAAATGATTGTTTCATTTCAACTAATCTAACGTACACTGTAAAAAAAAGGGCAGAATAATGAACGCTTGCCCTTGATTTTTTTCCCTATAAACCCTTGAAGGGTTTATGCGCATGTCATACACCCTATGAAGGGTAACGAGCCGAAGGGTTTGTTATCGTAAGGGTATATGAAACTGTTTTAAGGGTTTTGTATTTCATAATTTTATTCAAAGTGTTTATTAATAAACGGATAGATGTAGATTAATATACCTATTTCCAAAATCAGTTTATTATCCAACAATTAGGAGAAGATTCTTATACGATTCATGCAAAACAAATCTTATTCTACGGCTAGGGGTTGATTATTCTCCACTTTCAGAAGAAGCATTTATTATAATACCGTTGAGGGTAGATCAATGTACGATGTCACAAAAAGGGTTGATTATTCTACGGCCAACGATTGATTATTCTTCACTTTCTGAAAAAGTGTTTATTATAATATCGTTGAGGATATACCAGTAGTGCGATGTCATTAAAAGGGTTGATTATTCTACATTCAAATCTCAAATTTCTGAAATTGCCAATAGAAACGTTACAATCCTACAGTTTGATTGAAAACATGTAGCTATACCTGTTAAGATAAACTAGTACATAATGCTAAGTTCTAGTTTCAAAAAGCTTTGTTTTTGGGCATGGTATTCGATTCTTTTATAGAAATTGTGTTAAGTGAGCGACAAAATTATTTTGACTCAAATTCGCTGCAAAATCTAGTTGTTCGGCAGTCGTGACATGTTTTTAACATCACGAATAGATGTGACGATGAAAATTCACAAAAAACTGATTAATTAACTATTTGCAATATATGAAGTAAACAATCGAATCGTTGCCCACGCATCAGTCAACACCCAGTTCAATTGTTAAAGAGCGATTCCAATAGCTAGTATCATACTCTCTGATTATTTGCAACAGGAATTGTAAAACTAATATGAGTCATTATCCCTTTAGATCGAATAATGATTTTATGAAAAAAATTTCAAAAAGGATTCATATTCAACACTAATAACTAAAGTGTCTGAAAACGAATTTCTGTTCTCTCGATGAAAAGTCTGTTTTTGTTTTTAATGAATATCACGAAGTAAACTCTCAAACACTAATAAATAAGGATTACTTTATCGTAGGAATCACTTTATTTAATGTTCACTTCAGGTAGTTTTCAGAACGAAGATTCGTTTTAAAATCAAAATTATTTTAAGAATATCAAAAAAATAACTAAGCTGAGAGGAAAGCATGTGATGAATCATTGGCATTGAGCTCAGTGAAATGCAGGATTTATCTATATTTCAGTTGAAGTTAAAGTCTTTTTCAAAATAGTTTCTTTCATCTGATAGCATTATTGAGCCACATACAGGAACAGTACAAATTATAGTTTTTTCGATTAATTTGTTTTCATTTAAGACAAATCGTAGACATTTTTTCATTTCTTGTTGCTTTTACGCGAAATGTTTTATTTCGATGCTTGCAAGATACAGCTAGAATCGATTTAGTAAGTCAATGCTTGCTTTTAATAAGAATATTTATTAGGAACGCGTTATAGTTTTTCTTTCATTACTAAGGAATTTCGAATCAGTATACAGATATTTTTGTATTATCTAGTCGATAAGTATTTTTCTAGCGAATTATTTAAAACCGAATATTACTTGTCAGCAACACAAGCAAATATGTCGGTATTGAAAAATATTTTTCAAAATGGCACTTTTTAGAGACTCCTTTCTTATTTTACATTTTGCCTATTATTCAATAGAAATTGGGAGTTGTTAAAAGACGTTATCTAAACAATACATGAGGAGACGTGTAGATAGGCATTTTCTTGTTACATCAGAGCAAATCACTCACTCACGAAACCAAATCAAACAAATGTTGGTTTGTTTATCGCAACTATAAATAGGAAAATAATTCAAGTCGGCAAAGAACGAACCTTAAATACCAATAGGATGTTTATCTCATGAGTATTAACCACTCTTTTTAATGTGTTTCTAATAACAAATTGTTGGCAGATATTGATAACATAATTTCGAAGAGTGATATGTAATTTGACAATCAGAATTATTCCAACCTAATCATCATACACTGTACCAAAGCGACTTCTGAAAACTCTAAAACGAACTTCATTGAGAGAAAATTCTGGTCATTGATACTTCATGTTATTCTCGAAAAATATCATATGGGTCTGATTAACCTCAGAATAGACAATAATATAAACTAGCATGTCTTACCGTACAGAAAGAAACACGTGCTATTTTTCAGAGTTGAGAAGAGAGCAGTGGGTATTTTCACGATCTGATCAAACAAGATTAAATATCTTCGAGTTTACTTCCCTATTTTAGCATGTGTGGTTTTCCATAGCATTACATACAATTTGCATTTAGTCTGTTCGTATCGATACTTTATACGTTAGCAGAAACGAAGATATACTTTACGGAAAAAACCTCTCTTTTAGTTTGGATAAAAGAAACAACTTTCAGGAGAGATATGAGCAAGTTCTCTCTTTCGACCAGCCGCATTGGATGCATCCTAATCTCAATTATATTCAATTAAATCGCTATTGTTAATATTTTGTCTTCACTTTGTTAATGTCACGAGAATTATCAATATCGTTCCTTCTCTATGAGAGCATCATTTTGTCTTAAAATTTTTCTTTATTTTCCCTAATCGATCGAAATGTTTTATATGATTCCCATATCTTTTTTTCTATATGTATCTTTTCAGTGAAGCCCTACCTTTTTATATAATCTAAATGCGAAATATGATTTTTCATTTTTTATAGCTGTTTACCATTCGAGCAAATGTTCTGAAAGATTCATTTCTATATAGAAAGATACATGTTCATCGAATGCTTCTATTGACTCATATAAGTAAAGTGAACATTTAACATGGAATAAACACTCGTGTTCATTCTCTATAGATTGCTCTATGTATATAGTTTCACGGCCCACTGAAAAGTAAATTATACTTTATCAAGTGATTTCTTATCTAACAGCTGCATAAAGTTATTCTATCGATTCTATTCTAAATACTACAGACAACATGATTTTCATGTTTTCGTTTTCTTTATGTATATAAACATAAAATATTTCAGAAATGATACGAACATGTGCTCATTCTCAATCAATAGCTCCGTATCAATGACTTCAAGAGCCGAATAAAAGTGAGTATGATTTTTCATTCGACTTCATGTCTGTCATATCGAGAATATTAACCAAACAATTTTTCTTCTAGATATCGTGAATTATCTTCATACAGAAAAGCAAGTATTCAGAAACTAGAATGAATAGCTAGTTGTTCTCTACGAAATGCATTATGCCAATGTTTGCTTCAACCTGACGATATTTAAGTATGACGTTTTATTCGATTTCACTTTAACATATTGAAAAGTTATCTGGCATGGTTTTTCTACGTGGAACGTTTCTTCTTCATTTAATCATTTTCTTTATCTAGAGAAGCAAGTAGAACGTGCGCAATTTCTACGACAACGTGCTTATTGGCAATTAATTAATGTACATCGCTGGTTTCATCAACTTTCTGAAAATTAAGTATGACATTTGTTTTGTTTTTGTTTGTTTCATATCGAGAAAATAATCTGAGCGATTTTCAATAGACAGAACGATTCATCTTCATATAATCATGCTTTTCTTCTAGATAAAAAAGCGTACCTGCGCAAAGTGGTAACAGCAAATGTTCATTTTAAACCAAATAGCTCACATCAATGTTTTCTTCAACCATATGAAATTTAGCCATCATGCTTCGTTTGTTTTCTTTTAAGAATCGAGCAAATTATGTAAAACATTTTTCTGTTTATGAAAAAGTTCATTTTCACTATATTATTTTTCCATAAAAGTAAACGAACAAAACTGAAAACTAAACCATACACACACTCATTATGAATCAATTGCTTCACGTCTGTTGCTTCATCAATCCAGTCAAAAGTGAGAACCTTTTTTTAATTCATGTCGTTTTTTAGGTAATAGAAAACTAGTCAAAATATTTTTTCTAAATATGAAAATTAATTCACATGCCATTGCTTTTCTCATATAGATATAGAAGCAAACTACGTAGGATATATTGGAGCAGGATTCGAATATTCTGCAACTGGATTCGTCTAGAGGTTATACCAAAGCGTAAAAATGGTATACCAAGATAGAACTCGCCGAGCTCTCTCGAATGGACACCTTTTCAACAAAATTCCATGTTCGGGTCCGCCATAAAAATGCAAATCAAACCTGAAATACTGGTTTTTCACGAAAAATCTTCCAAAGATTCACTCGACGACTATACCAAAAGCTGAAAATCATACTAGTAGATAGAACCCGTCAAGCTCTATCGGATAGACATTTTTGCAGCTCAATTCCATCCTAGGATCCTCTCCGAAAGGGCAAGTCCAGATCTTAATCCAAGATTCCTGAGAACAAAATTTTTCTTCTATTTTGTTTCTGTACCCAGCACTTAAAAATAAACATCAATAAATTTTATTTTCTTGAAAAAAAGAGCTAAAAGTTTCTTTTTCTTTTGTTGTTTAGTTTTTAATTTAGGTTTTTTCTAATTATTTTTTTATCCCTTTTAATTTGAGCTGTTCGAAATGACGGTAAATCAACGGCATCGTCTTATTCATATTTTATTATTTTCTGGAAAAAATAATACATGTGGAGGAAGAGAAAAAAAATTTCTCGTTATCACCTGCTCGTCCTCGTCTTATTCATCGATACATGTATCAACAGAAAAGGAAAAACATTTCATTAGTTCATTTCTTTGGACCAATACGATTAAAAGAACGATAGATGGAATGATATATACATATGCATTGTACATATATGCAGAGGAAAGGAAGGAAAGGAAAAAATTCATATGTTGCTGATTTAGTTCAATGGAGAAGAAGGAACGAAAGAGGGAGCAATATAAACATATAGATAAGTGCATTAACATATATGAATACATGTACAGGAAAGAAAAAAAAATTACTGGATGGTTTCACTCGATCAATCAGTGATCGAATCGAGACAACAATCGAATATCTGTCAAGTTTATATCAATTCCTAGTTTTAGAAAAAAAGGTTTTAATTTAATTTTAATTTTAATTTTACATATTTATACTTTAAGTCGGGAAATGATCGTTAGAGGTGTGTCATAATTGATTAATATAAGTTCTTTCTTTTTAATGGAAAAATCATATTCATGCATCAACTCAGCTATACAAATAGATTATTTGAATGTATGAATAACATGAATCCGATAAAACTTTCATTAAATTTTTTTTAATAGTGGTGTACATATGATGGTGCAGATGAAAACAAGAAATCTCTGTATAAGGTCAAAGAAACTAGGTTTGACTTTCAAAAATAAATTATGCGTCTTTTTTAGTCGCAGTCAAGTTTTAATGAATTTCATCAAACAAAATCATCATTTTTGATTGAAATATTTTAAATGTAGAAGCAAAATATACTGAACATGAATATTTTTAGTTTGTGCAAATGTTTTTATATTCTGTCATTCATTTTAACCTAAAATAAATATTCATTTCAAAATAAAATTGTTCGTATCGATGTAGATATATATTTTCGGAAGATCAAGAATTTATTCTGTGCAGGCTTAGTAATTGAAATACTGAGCTGTTTGAACGATGTGAAGCATTTGAATGTGTTGCTTTTCTTTATTGATGCTGATTATGAAATAATTAATGGCAGTATTTTTATATAAGTAAAGAATTATGTGCATTTGAAGTAATTTTGAATCTATTTGAAACATCACCCACCAAATCATTTTTCGAAATTAATTTCTTTTAAATTGAAAATGTCGAGGGTGTGAGTGTGGTGTCAATTAAAAGAAGATTGATGCCCACACCCACACCCAAAAATCATTACTACATGCCACAACTATCAAACTTTCTACCGACCAACATCTGATACATGGTAATAAAACTTCGAAGAAATAAAAATTTGCATTGAATTCATACCATACGTGATTTTTTTATCATTCTACTTTTTAGTAGAACAGAATAATATTCTCGAATATTTGATTCGAATTCTGTTCAATTTTGTTCAAAATTTTCTGAATCGATCTAGAGATCATAAGCCACCTGATGAGACTGATTAAGCACCAGTTGAAACGCGTCGTGGTAGCTTCCCACACACCCACACTCCACTTTATCGAACGATACATAAACAATGAGATAACAAAATTTCTAGATATCGTTTATTTAATTAAAATGCTGTCTTTTTGATAAGATTGAGAGTGTTTGAAGGAGAAAGATCTTTAACTCGGAAATATCTCGTTTTATCTCGGGCCTGAGTGTCTGATATTGAAATTTCGTTTTGCTTTATTCATGTGTTGCTCTTTCACTTTATTTGTTATCATTGAAGTTCTGCCGTAAAGAAAATGCAGATGTATCTTTCGTTTTAATGCTTTTTGTTCGACAGACTTCAAGTATATAACGAGGAATATATAACATAGTATTGAGTATCAACACATCGCTTAACTGTATTACACGCAATGGCAGAAAAGACACGTCTTACTACCGAAGAGTTTCTTAGTTTATGGAACGATGATAATAATACACTCGCACCAGGAATAAAAATTGATGTGGTTGAGTGTTTAGTGCAACAACGTTCATCCCAATATTTGATTGATGCTAAAGAACGTGCGATGAAAGTTATGAAACTTGATCAATTTGAAGATTCACAACAAGTTAAAATTCTTGATCTTGGATGTGGTCTAGGTATTGATTTAATCTTAGTTGCAGAAGAAGCTGTTCGCTTAGGCAAAACAGTTTCAATTATTGGTCTAGAAATCAATCCAATTTTGATAGAAGAAGCAAAGAAACTATATGAACTTAAAAAACATTGTTTAACATCAAATGTATCTATTGAGATTGTTCACGGTGATATTCGCCAAATGGCATTTCATGATAGAACTTTTGATATCGTTCGGTGTGATCTCTGCCTTGAGCATGTAGATCTTTCAAAAGCTTTACTGGAAATAAAGCGAGTATTGAAAGTTAATGGTCGATTAATAGCATTAGAAGATGGAGCTGGAAATGTGTATAGCTCTGATGAAGTTTTGATTAAAACATATGACTCTATATTATCAAGCAGAAGAGACGGGGGAACTGCTATTGGTTTACAATTTATGTTGCCAAACATGGATTTCGATATAATATGTTTAATCCCCGAACCGTTTCTTCAATCAGCTCAAGAAATAACAAGGAACGATAAAGATTGGATTAAATTACGAGCACTGGGAGAAAGTATGGTCACAAAAGGTGTCTTAACTGAAGAAGAAAATAAAGATTTTTGTAAACGTTTTATTGAAGCATGTGGAGCTAATCGAATAATCGTTGCTGCTATGCTTTTTGTTATCGAAGCTGTGAAACAAAAATAGAGCAACCGGTTAGTGAAGCTCTTGTGGGACCAAAAATTTAGAACTCATATGTCGCTTTTTAGCTTCATTATACTAATAAAAACATTCATTAAATGATAAATTTCTAGTAGATAATCTTTGCTTTCCTTGAATCTTTCATTGCGCTGCACTATTTATTTAATTTGCTGTTATAGGGACATCATTTGTTGTCATGCGTTTTTTGGGTGTGCGTGTGTGTGATGTAGGTGGTGGCATCTGAGTAATCGGGGGGAAATAAACCGCAGGCACAGCCACACCCAGAATATGCAATTGTTCATTTTCTATTCGCTGGCATCAAAAAATATGCCAGAAAAGTTGTGAAAAAGGTCCAATATTTCGAAAAGCCGGCTTTTTGAAGGATTTCTGCCAATGTTTCCAGATTTTTCAACTCTCAATAGGGTTTTATAACGTTTAAATGTCATATTTGAAATCAGCACGAAAACTTGAGTCGATATATGTATAATTTAGATATTTCTGAGAAAAATGTTTTGTCATGAAGCATGGCCCTGTGCTCCCCCTAAGAGTTCACCTGAAAATGATTTCTCTCAGAATGCTGTTTTTATCCTTCAGTATTATGCTGGTTCACTTTTATTGCCATCAGAGAACCTTGGCTATTTGATTTCAGAGGCTGATTGTAATTTCTGAGAGAAGGGTATGGGTGTGGTACATCTATGCATTACCACCTATACCGACACCCACAGCCACATCCTCGAGTGAATCAATTAAATAAAAAATTCATTGAAAATTCATCAAAACTCGATCAACAAATGCAAGAGCTTCACATGAAAATTGATCGGTTAGCTTCAACTAGTAACATTGTAAGATATTTATAAAACAAAATATGATCTGCTAGTCTTCCATTCACATTTAGTCTAAATTACCAAATTTATTTTTCCTAATAATCAATTAGCATCTATTAAATTCAATTATAATAGGCAGACGGAAGACAGATGCTTAAATATATTAAAATTCAGTATCGAAAATATCTAATTAATCATTCAAGCTATTATTTTTCTTCCTTTTCTCTTCAGCAAGAATTTTTTTTTTAAATTTAGAATAAACTTGATCTTGAACCTAACCTTGATAAATCAGGTGAATAGTTTCTAGATGAGTTGGTAAGCTTTTTCTAATGGTTTATTAACAGCAAAAGTATTACATTGTTTATTTTCTTATTTCTATTAGATATTTAATAATATCAATTACATGATATTATGGCAACAGGTTATGGCGTCTGTTCTCGAAAAATTCTACGAGTGATTTTTAGTTCTGATGAATTAAAGAACTGTATTTTACCACCAGAAAAAGCATATCTTGCACGTGAACGACTTGATCCAGAACGATTTAGAACATTTATTGGTATGTAAGGCGTTTTAATCGATTTTGTAAATCATAATATTTCGTTTCTAATAGATGCAGTTCGATTTAAATTCAGATTGGATTCAGTCAATTTTGGTTTATTTTAGAAAACTCTATTACAGATTTTCTAATTGAAGAACCTCGAAATTCACTTAAACAAAAGAGAATTTGCAATGGTGGTCAATAAGAGCATTAATTAATTAGTCAAATGAGCATTTTTTTAAGTTTATTTTCATGAAATGCTATTTTTTTGTATATACCGTATGATGATTGAAAAAATACTGAACAGAATTCGATATCGTTAATAAAAGTGATAGTAAAATGATTACATTAATTTGTTTGATTTAGCAAAATATTGATGATCTGATGTAAAAATAAAAAATAGTTTGCATTAAGACCGTAAAGAACCATCGACAAAACGGCTTGTGATAGTGTGAACCATATATACGATAGTATATGAGCGACGTAAATCGTCGTATATCATCGTGTACGACCAGACAACATACGGTCATAATTCTGGAGCACGTAATACGACAAAATACGACTGGATACGATCGTATATGGTTGTCATCGTAATACTCGTTCTGGGTAATGATCATATAATGTGTTGAGAAAAGGAAAATGTTATTCTTCGTTGAAAAACAATTTTTCTGTAGGATTTTCAAAGTGCAGGAAAGGATTTTTCATACAGACATCTCTTCGTTTCGCTAATCAGTATAAAACATATTAAGGAAAATACAATGATATTGCTTCCGCAACAATAATTTCTCCGCGCGACATGTATTGTTTCATTTCTCCCGATTATTTTTGTAATATAGAATATCATGTTTGCTATGGATTCTCGTTCTTCGGTTAATGATCATATAAGATGTTAAGGAAAAGAAAATGTTATTGTTTCTTGGAAGGAAATTAGTCCCCTAGATGCATACATTGTTTAATTTTCCATATCGTTTCATGATGCAGACAATAGTTTTCCTTTTAGAAGTCTCATATCTAGGTTGTTAATAATATAAGATGTTGAGGAAAAGAAAATGTTATTGTTTCTTGGAAGGATATTAGTCCCCTAGATGCATACATTGTTACATTTTCCGTATCGTTTTCATGATGCAGACAATAATTTTCCTTTTAGAAGTCTCATCTTTGGGTTGTTAATAATATAAGATGTTGAGGAAAAGAAATTTTGTTTCTTTTTTGACGAATGATTTTCACACTAAAGGTGAGCATTACTTCATTCTTTCATAACACTTTGATCATGGAGAGTATCAGTTTCCCCATAGAAAATTTGTTTCCGCTAAAAAATACAAGATTCCATTCTCTTGTGGGGACGCTTTTCCGGTAAAGAAAAGTATTATTTTATCTTTATTTTTCGGTTTCGCCAATTTTGCGTAATGAAATATGAATGTCAGAAGCACTCACTAAAATTTTATGTATCATATATGTATTCTTTTGTACGTTCAACTCGATATCGATAAATTTACCGAGCGTACGAAATTAGGATATTTGAATTACTTTTTGTAGGCTATTCTGCATTCAGCATTAGTTCAAATATATATATATATCTATGTGTCGGACCTAATTTGCATGGATTGGATCTGTAAATCTGGTTCGCTAGAGTTTTCAGAATGCGTCGCATGCACTGTGAAAAACAGGATGTCCATATGAAGTCAGCAAAGAGCTTCTACTTGACAATGAAATATTAATATTCAAGCATCGATTCTAAGCAGGAAAGTTAATTGAATTTCTACTCTTTAAACAACCAAGCAATTTCTAACTAATAGAAACTTGATTTACAGGTGAATGATAAAAATTTGAAGATGCTTTTATTCGTTTAAAATCGATTTTGTAGACACTAGAATTTGAAAAAAAAGATTGTACAAAAAGATATGTAGAGAATTTCGTTTCCCTACGCAAAATATTAAGAAAATGATATAAGTGTTAAACTTGAAACTTGAAGAAGATCTGTTCAATTGAATTCAAGTTTCATCTTTGACACTATCGCAAGCTTCTAATAATTCCTGCGATTATAAAGCTTCTATTTAGTTTGCAATCTTATTTATAATGTTGATCTTAGCTAAAAACATTTCTTGTAGATAGTCAATTTTAAGGGAATGTTGTCCAATTATGAAGAAAACAATACTTCAGCAATTATCGAACCTTTGGCTAGGGGAGTATCTGCTATTAGATTCGATTCAGGACCACCAGAAGCTTCACCTCTACCATCGAATCATCAGAGCGAACAGACTGAAGCGAATCTCCGATCGCTAAATGCGAATGGAAACAATAGTGTCATTCCAAAAGCAACAAATGCAAAAGGTAGCAGCTCAAACACAGTAAGTTATGTGTTTCTTCAACGAACATCAACAGAACATATTGAAACTATTGTTGCATTATTATATGTCATCTTCTTGATAAAAGATAAAGATAAAGAGAATAATGTTCGTCGATGGAGGAATATTGCTTGTTTGATACGATGTCTAGCTACTTCAAATCTTTCTGAAAGTCTCCAGAAATGCCTACTTGTGAAGAGCAAGCAAACTTGAACTTCTTAGATCAGCATTTAAGTCTTTAGATTGTACACTAGTCATTCGTCCCTCGATAGTTTCAAGCTTAGCTATAAAAACAAGTGATTTCAAAAATTGCGTATTTTACGCTTCATGAAAAATTTTTACTACTTGCAAGGGAACTTCACCATAAATATCATTTTTATCATCTGAAAAGAAAAGAATTCTTTGACTTCTCACATTAACATAAATGATTTTTATTTTTACATTGGAAGTGACCGAAAGGTGTAGTGGTTACAATTTTCTTCACTACTCTAAGTGACTAATATTTGTCTTATCTAGGATGAAACGGATGCTGCACAACGCACGAGATTGAAAGTATTCTATACTGAGATTGAAGATGAATTTTGGAAATATTGGCAATACATTTATGAAGATAGGTTGCCAAAAATGTTGGAAAGAATTACCAAATGTTTCGACGACAAACAAGCACTGCAAAACCAAACTAAAGATGCCATTAAACTTTCGGAAAAAGAATATAAATTTATAGTCCTAAGCTTGATAACAATTCAGCAATACAAATTAGATCGCCGCGGAGAATCTTTAGCAAATGGATCAAAGTATGAAGTCGAATATAAAGCGTCTCCACCATTGAATGACCATGATGCATTGAAACTGGTAGTTAGTTTTGGAAAAGAAACATTTCATATTGTATCGAACTATGACGCGAAGAGCAATTCACATCAACCGGGAAATCACATTTTGCGCCACTCAATACGTGAACCATTGTCCTACAAATCAAAGCCACCTAAGAGGGGCCCAAAAGATCCAGAGGTTATGCTTCTATTTCTTCTAGAGATTGTACGTCGCCGCGTTATTGATCATCGTCAAGATAAACAGTATGGGGGCCTGAAAGATGATTTTCATGATTTACCAGTGGGGCTAGGCATTGCTATGGCTTATGAATTTATGAAGAAGGACAAGTTTTTTGAAAATTTTTGGAAAACTGACGGAAAATATCATATGTTTACTGGAGACAAAACATTACGATGGAACGCTTTTTGGGCTATTCATGAACATTACAAAAATGAACATCTGAAATCGACACCACCAGAGATGATAAAGAAGCTCTTGACTGAGCGTATGACGCGATTGTATTCAAACTGTTGGAATGAGTAACCTGACCAGGAAAATAAATCACTCAATATCCTTAGCGAATTTTGTACAATGACAAGAGTTATTGGGCCATCGTACTCATTTTTTCATGCCATCCCCCAATAAATCTAAAAAAAATTACTTAGAATAGATTATTTTAAACGCTGATGGTGGGGTTTGGGGTGGTGTATATATTAGATATTAAGAAACCCTACGACCACGGTTTCGACCTTTCTCAAGGGCCAATCCTCATGTAGTTTTAGCACTGCATCATATATACAAGTAGCGCTCATCCTGCGGATTCGCTGACCCTTTTCTGAAAGCATGGAACTGCATTGTGTATTGCATATAGTTTATGCTGGAAAAATTATTTGTGGAATAAATTTCATCTCAATTATCAATGCTGGAGCCTATTACTTGTTTGTAAAATATTGTATAGATATTAGTCAAATTAGTTGGTATATAGCGATACATCTATTAAATTCTTGAACCTGCATAAGTCAAATCTAGGAATGATCGTCTTGACTGATATTTCCCACGCAATATAATGCATGAGACATCATCAATTGTTAATGCCTATCGTACAAAATTCGATAAACGAAAGTAGTACTCTGTAGTAGTGCTTTTTCAGTCATGTTGAACTCTTCTTTGTTCAATCTATGACGTTTGTTTAGGGATTTGACTTTTTGAAACGCAAGTTGACAATAAAAGCATCAATGCCGTCTATCGAGATCACTTTGTTTTCGTTCAATAATCAGTACAAGAAGATTTTACCCTACAAAAAAATAACGTGTACTAATATTATTCGTTGTATCAGCAATATGAAATGTTGCTTAGGCTACATTATTATTGAAAAAAGAAAGATATCTAGACCAAAAACCTCAAAGAATTTCGACATCTAAAATTGTTATCATTGTGTTTTTAGAAAATAATATAAATAAAGTTTTTATATAATTTCCGCTTTTTTATTTTGCATAGTCACACTCACAAGCCAATAAAATTATGACAATAAAGCAACTGAATAAAGCAACCCAATATAAGTAACAAAACATTGATTGATTAATAAAAACAGAAAACTTTTAAAAATATGTACGTATAGGTTGTCCAATAAGTCGCAGAATTATTTAAAAGTTGAATGTGGCTTGCATATTTTGATCTAATAAGCTGGTACTTACATCAATAGTAGAGAAATATTCATAGTTTATACTCATAAGATACACATTAATGCAAAAGTTATTTTCAAGTATCACAACTATATCCTAAATAAACAATGTTCATCTTTTATTAGTAAAGACGAAAATAATATATTTACTCCCTACTGAAGAAAAACGACAAGTCGAGGTTTTACGATTACCTCTCTGCCCAGTGCCATTCGATTTTATACTTGCAATTATGGATACATGTCTTATTACCTTCCATACGCCAAAATTTTAGGTCATAAATAACTAGAATAAATTTATTCGCTCTAATCGTCTGTGATACTTGGAAATAGTTTCTGTTTACGTTTTGTTACGAATATAAATTACGAATCCTCTTCTACCAGCGATAGAGATATCAGCTCATTCTGTCAACGTATGCTTGATATATTCAATGCTTCATTTGTTCAGTGGCTGACTGGACATCCTATATATACTGGGTTGGCAAGAATGTTTTTGCGTTTTTCTTTTGAAAATTTTCTAGAACAATCAAGAAAGTTCTAGAAGTTTCCATACTAAGTGTATATAAACGGGGTACGAATATCTTTCGAACAATTAAAAAATATGGACATGGACGTTGATCTCAAATTAGAAATGAACATATCTCATAAAGAGCTTCGAGTGCTTCTGCTTCATGAATTTCATTTGGGTCACAAAGTAACGGAAGCAAGAAGCAACAGATGCGGCACGATGGACAAGGATGCACTCTACATTCGTACAGCGCAACATTGGTTCAATCGGTTCAAAAGCGATAACTTCGAACTCGACGATTTACCTCGTGCCGGAAGACCACTTGAGCTGAATATGGATGTTTTGAAGCAGTTTATCGAAGACGATCCTAGATTGACTACACGGTGTTTAGCAGAGCAACTTGGGTGCTCTCATACTACAGTGGAAACACATCGGTGCGAATTAGGCAAAACGTGGAAATATGGAGTTTGTATACCACATGAATTATCACCACTTCCGCTCCAACACAGGGTTGACGCTTGTATGGAATTAATGACGTCTCATCGCAACTACCAATGGCTACACAATCTTATTACTGGCGATGAAACGTGGGTGTTGTATGTTAACCACACATGCAAGCGACAGTGGCTGGGAGTTCAAGAGAAGCAGGTTAAAAGTTATTTTTTGCATGACAACGCCAGACCTCACATCGCAAAGTCGACTCGGGAAAAATTATTGAAACTCGGATGGAGTACCGTTTCACATCCAGCTTATTCTCCAGACTTGGCTCCTACAGATTATCACTTGAACCGTTCTCTGTCAAATCATCGAAGTGAGAAAAAATTCGACGACGAAAAGCATCTCAAAATGGAACTTGTCGACTTCTTCGGTCAAAAGCCCCAGGAATTCTACGAACGTGAGATCTTTTTTCTGGCAGAGCGTTGACAACAAATCATAGATACTAATGGAACATTCATTGTTGAAAGCTAGTTGTATTCTTGAAGCTAAAAAATAAAGATAAAATTTTCGAAAAAAACGCAAAACCTTTCGTGCCAACCCAATATTACATATTTGATCTACCTGGTTGAGAACTGTAGAAGAATGTTTTCACTGCAAAGCAAAGCGTTCAATTCTCTGAACCCTTTTTGAGGGTTCCGTATTTATTTCGAAAATGGTCCAGAGCACTAGAAACAAATTCACTCCCCCCCATTATACAAGACCCCCTTTAATTAATTAATTTTTTGCTAATTACGAACTTTAATTACCGTTCTTCCATCAAAATATGCTTGATTCTTAGCATTCTAAGCTGGAAATATTAAGAGAATGTGTTCACAATTCTAATAACATCTTTAAAATCCTGAAAATCCCCTTAGTTTTCTGGAAAACCTTTTAAATTAAATATTAGGGAAAATACGGTTCTTAATACAAGCCCCCCTGGAAAATTTTCACGCTGGAACATAATAGAAGACCCGGGGTCTTTTATGGGGCCGGGGGGGGGGGGGCGATGTTTCAGTTAATTCGACAATGTTAGTATCATGCAATTATTAATATTAAAAATGAATAATGATTCTTTTAATAGTTGATATTTTAGATAGAATCAAATAATGTATTATATATCTTTTAAGCTCTTGTAATAATGTTCACACTCTCGGAGAGAAAACAAAATGCATCAACTGACGAGACGCGCCAAAAATAATTAATTCAATTTCAAACGCGACAAAGAAACAACGATACATACGAGAGAGAGAGAAAATGAACATAACAAGAAACTTGCGCGAAATCAGAAACAAGACACGTGACGACACACGGTGTCGTCACAGGGGGGTAGTATGACTACCAAACCCTTCTTAAAATGAATACAAAACCCTCGAAAAGATTTCGTAAAATCTTTGGTTACCTCAAAATCATCGCCATAGACTGAGAATACTTTTTCAAGTGTTTCTTGTTTTATCTACGAAAGCTAAATGGGTTCGGTGTGGCACCATTTTTTCAGTGTAGAGAAAAAATAGTCTTTTTATCTTCTTTTTTTTTAAATTGATTATTTACGGAGTAATTTTCGTTGGTTGTTAAAAATGACGTGGGTGTGAATGCCTTCTTCGAAACCTACACCGGCATCCTCAAGATATTTTGTATTTTTCGATATCTGTTAATTTCGATAATTTTGTCTTTCGACATTAGTGAGGTACATCTAGCTATATGATCATCCTATCTATTATGCATCTTTATAGAATGTATCTTCTGAAACAAGATATATTATTTTCTATGATTTGCTTCCGTTAATAAATCTAAATCGTTTCACTATTGTAATTAGTTTCCTCAGTTATTCCCATAAACAAATGAACACCTTTTTCATCACAATTTCAACGCATTAATTTTAACTATACTGCGCAGAAAACCATGAATATTTTCTAGAATAACATGTGCAATTGTTCTTAGAAATATCACTCTTCACAGCAACGACTTCAATGGGTACATACTCTTAGAGAACATTATAAATATCTTGATATATCATATTACGTTTCCAAGAAACCAACACACTCTCTCAATTGGTCATCGCCAAAACAAAAATCGAACCTCAATTTTTATCATTCTTTCACACCGCAATTCAAATTGCATCAACGAAAAGAGCAAAACATGAAAATATCTTTAAAAAAAAGTAAAATTTCATAGGAAAATTCCGAACGTGCACGCTAAGATGATTTCAGAGCAAAATAAAAACACGTACGTTCAACCTAAAATAGTTCAATTCACTTCCACCAAACTTCGTTCTTAAATATCCATCTTCAGGATTTCGTCTTTTGTTTATTCCTCTTGATCATTTTTTCGATACGATTTTCAAGGTCCTCTCCGAATAGAAATGAATAGAAATTTAGTTCGGTGAGTGTCTGTGTGAAAAAGTGTAGATGAGCATATGAGAGAGATTGGGAGAGAATGATGTTCACCGTGTTATTTTGTAATGCATCAGCCAGGTGTTGTGCTCCAAGAGCTCCGATTTCATTGCCACGGAGATCTAGTGTGGCGAGTGTCTGTGCGAAAAAAATGTAGATGGGTATATGAGAGACATGAGTAGATAATGGTAATCACCGTGTTATTTCGTAATGCATCAGCCAGATGTTGTGCTCCAAGAGCTCCGATTTGATTCTCTCCGAGTTCTAGTGTGGTGAGTGTCTATGTGAAACAATGTAGATCGGTATATGAGAGAGATGAGTAGATAATGGTAATCACCGTGTTATTTTGTAATGCATCAGCCAGATGATGTGCTCCTTTATCTCCGATTTGATTCGACCAGAGTTGTAGGTTGGTAAGTGTCTATGTGAAAAGTGTAGATGGGTATATGAGAGACATGTGGAAATAATGGCGGTCACCGTGTTATTTTGTAATGCATCAGCCAGATGTTGTGCTCCAAGAGCTCCGATTTTATTGTAGGAGAGATATAGTGTGGTGAGTGCCTGTGTGAAAAAGTGTATATGGGTATATGAGAGAAATGAGGGAAGAATGATGGTCACCGTGTTATTTCGTAATGAATCAGCCAGATGCTGCACTTCTTTGTCTCCGATTTGGTTGCGTATGAGATCTAGTGTAGTGAGTGTCTGCGTGAAAACGTGTAGATGGATATATGAGAGAGATGATGAGAGAATGACGGTCACCATGTTATTTCGCAATGCATCTGCCAGATGTTGTGCTCCTTTGTCTCCCATTTGAATCTCTATGAGATGTAGCGTGGTCAGTGCCTGTGAAAAAAAGTGTAGATGGGTATAGGAGAGAGATGAGGAGAGAATGATGGTCACCGTATTATTTCGTAATGCATCAGCCAGATGTTGTGCTCCAAGAGCTCCGATTTTATTGTAGGAGAGATCTAGTGTGGTGAGTGTCTGTGAGAAAAAGTGTAGATGGATATATGGGAGAGATGAGGATAGAATGACGGTCACCGTATTATTTCGTAATGCATCAGCCAGATGTTGTGCTACTTTGTCTCCGATTTGATTGTATCCGAGTTCTAGCGTCGTGAGTGTCTGCGTAAAAAGGCGCATATGTCGATATGAGAAAGACGAAGAGGGAGTGAGGACTACTGTGTTATTTCGCAATTAGGGGTGCCCATTTACAGTTTATTTAGTTTAAATTTAACTTCGGAAAAAGTTAATTTAATTTAAAATGAAATTCTAGCAAATCAAACTAAGAATAAATTTAAATTAAATTAATTTTTAGGCTAACAATCATTTAAATTTAAAATTAAAATTTAAGAAATTGTTTGGATGGATACTCATCATTGTTGTTAGGAAAACACGTGGCTTTAACAGTAGTAAATACTAAATGAGAGGAGAGCCTAGTATTTTAAGTTAATATTTGTTTGTAACAGTCAAAATTTGCCTACAGATTATGCAGGATTCGTCATCTTTCTTCTTCAAAATAGCGGGATATTCATAAGACTATATTTAATAGCACAATTCGTACAAGAATGACTAGCTTTTACTTTGGTAAACAAGAAAGATACTGAAATTTTACTTGAAATAATAGGAGTCAAATCAAAAATTATGTTTATCTACTAGTTTTCAAAATTTAACTAATTTGAATTTCAAATAATTTAATTTAAATTTAGTTAAATTTAACTTTTGGAAAATTTATTTCACGATTTAAGAATTTTTTTAAATTTAAATATGACACCCCTATTCGCAATGCGTCAGCCAGATGTTGTGCTCTAAGAGCTGGGACTTGATTGTTAAGGAGATCGAGTTTGGTGAGCGCCTGTGTGAAGAAATGCAAATGTTGCTGTTGAACATTGTAGATAATTCACATTATTCACTATATGGGTGAATTTCGCTGGTGTTATACGGTTGCTCTGGAAACACGAAAGAACTTATATCTCAATTTCCACTCAGTTAATTTGGACAATTTTCTTTTTAAAATGCTTCATTTTGTTAGTCGTAATTAACATAAAATTATCAGGTTTTTTTTAGCTCGGTGGTTAACGAGTTGTGAAACGTGAAAGATTAAAACGAAAGTTGCTAAGTGGCATCTACCGACAAAATTTCTGTTTTTATCCTATAATTCTGATTGGACAAAACGAACCATTTACATTGGTTGGTAGATTAGGACTTTGCTCATTATGGGCCCGAACAGACTACGCGAGTTAATACTGAATTAACCAATATAATTACGTATTACGTTAATACAGAATTAAGTCGTCTTTTCAGAACGAATTAACGTTAATGCGCCAATCAGATGGCGTGTCTATTTCTCCAATAGTAAATGAATGTAGTGTCGCCTATTTTTGAAGTGTTTTGACTCGAGGCTTAACATAACTATAATGGGTGTCATATTATATTTCGACGGCAAACTTATTATCGACCATTTTAACAAAATAGTGTGAAAACACTGCCGTTAAAAAATAAATGAAAATAAAGAATTTAAATTTAAACGAAACACACAAATCGGAATCTTGATTAAAGTATCCTAAATAAATAATTATTTAAATAATGATTAGGAAAAGTTATCATCACACTGTCAACTAGTTGTCAAAAATCACCCTTCCATGTAATACTGCCATCTATTGTTCACTTTGGTTTGTAATAGATGTCTTCTTCTTCATGTGATTGGTGAATTAGCCTCTCAGTGTGGACTCGTATTGACTTAATTCAGAATTAGGTTAATTCACTTGTGTAGTCTGTTTGGGCCCTATGACCCGATCTACACTAGAAAATTTAATATGGAATTAAGAAATGTGATTGGTGCATTAAGTTAATTCACCTTTGATGCGGTTTCAGAGGCGCATTAACTTGAATGCACCAATCGTTCAAGAATTCGATCCACTAATTAAAACTATGCACGTGCCTCAATAAAGTCGTTTTATATTGCGTATCAGAGCTCCGCGTGGGACGTCCCATGGGACGGGATGGGACGAGCATTTTTAGAAAATTTTAAGCAGATAAGATAGAATGGAAGTCTCTTTCGATATGATTCTATGATATGCATACTATCTCTATCCATTAAAATTAAGACCGTTGTATTAGATGACTTTTAACAGTTTATATTCGTCTTTTAAAAATATTTTTGGCAAATTGAACAACATATACCGAAAATGTTTTAAAATATGAGAATGCAATTTGAAAGCGATCACTTACGCCAATAAATATAATTTTAATGGATAAAGATAGTAAGCATATAATAGAATCACATCGAACGAGACTTCGATTCTTTCTTGTCTGCTTAAAATTTTCTAAAAATGTTCGTCCCATCCCGTCCCATGGGATGTCCCACGCGGAGCTCTGTTGCGTATAGGAGCCCGTCCGGTTAAGCCACGACCGACCGTGCTCAATCAATGCTGACAGATTAGACTGATACTTCCATGTTTGATAGAGGAAGTGTTTGATGAATTTCGGCGAAAGCCGTTTCAAAAAATGTTATTCCATTCCTGAGAGCACCCGCATAAAAAAATGACATTTTTTGTGATATTTTCTAACACCCATCTCTTTTGACGGATGCATGCGTTTCACTTGAAATTTCCAACGTAGATCTATCTTTAGTGGAACTATTTTGCCTGAAAATATGAGTTCGAACGGATGAATTACCAATGACCTGGAGTACCAAGTGCATTAAAAAATATGCATTTTTTCTCGTTTTGTGCATATACATATTGATTGAACAGAGAGTACCAGAGAGCTAAAATTTTATTCACAAAGAGATCTCATTGACTGCTAACTCCTATGCAAAACTCAACTCTCTAGCTGGTTCTTTTCGTTCAGGGGAGCCTAGCCAAAAATGCGATTTTGGGAGAGATCATTCTAGAGCAAAATCAGCTCTGTAAAGGGATGGTTTTTATGGTGTTAAACTACACTATTGGCACTATAAATTCGCACAAGAATCAGGGTGAGATACCCTAGAATGCTGTGTGGAATCTTATTGAAAGATGAGTCATAAATTGGAGCCTGGAGTCATGCATAAAATCTACACAGTATATCAGAAATTAATGAAAAATTGATCATATAGACAACTTTTCATAAGGAATATGATAGTAATGTTTTCCTGATTCTTATTACAGTAAATTCTATCCAGAATTAATCATCACATGACCGCTCCTTCATTGTCGTAAAAACATTCAACAAGAATGATAAAAAATATCAGGACCCCCTCCACAAGTTTTCATCAGAATTGCATGTCGACAAAATTACGGTACTCTCTTAGAGATATTTTTCGTGATTTTTGTTGAAATTTTCTGTTGCACTTAAGGAGCGGCCATGTGATGATAGTTCTTGATAGAATTTACTTTACATGACATCACAGTTTATAAATATCAATGGTGATAGGACCCAGCTCCTATGTAAAAACGCATAATTTTTCAGTGACTTTTGATAAGATTTCTGGAGCCATTAGGAGAGATCCCACGTAAATTTTTATAGAACTATGTAGTATCTTGTTTGTACTTTGAAACTGCATCGATTAGGGCGAATCAAACATATAGTGTTTTAAATCAACCATTCGAAAGTTGATGTTTAGGTCAAAAATGACGGTTTTCTTGCAAAGTCTTCGGAGTCATAGGAACGAGCTAGAGAGTTGAGAAATTTTTTTACAGTGAATATTATATGCCTCCTTTCTGCAGGTCAAATTTCAAGTATCTAGTATAATTGGTTTACGAGATATATAAGCACAAAACTCCGAAAATGATGCTTTTTCTATGTACTTTGTACTGGCGATTAGCTCATCAATGGTTCAATATTTTAAAGCCTTTTTTCTGTGACGAGCACATCTACCTGGGATGTATTTCTAGTAGAAGTTTAAAGTCAAGCACGTGTTTCTTCGCTATAATATGAGAACAGCAAATTTTTGATGAAAGTTCACATTTTTGACAATAGTGCCTCCGGAAAAATCTTAATATCTCAGGAACGGAATAATATTTTTCAAAACGACTTGCGTCACTACTCCAAGAAATCGTGCCTCTATCACATATATTGGATTGAGACGAATCCGACCACATCGATTGAGCAGCTTCTATGCGATTCGATCGTGGCTTACGTGCAATGGCTCTTACATACAACAAATAAAATTCTATTGAATATGCAACGCAAATTTTCCTCATATTCACTTTTATTTTTTTTTCGATGTTTTTCTTCCAACCATACAATACAAGTGCAATTCACCATTATGTGGTCCAAATAATTTTCTATTAGTCTAACGCATTACATATATTGACGACTTGTAGAAATATAGATCCATTGAGTAGCTCGGACTATTAGATTTTCGTATGGGCTTGGCAAATAGTAAAATATTATTCCAAGCAAGATCGAAGAAAGATTCTTTAGATGTAGTAAGTAGATGTAGTAAGTTTTTGTAAGCCATACATTTCCGATTCAGAGTAGTGCTTTTTTTGAATGATATTTGTGATAGTTTTCTGATGAATATTGAACATATTCTACGAATCATCATGTTGACGGAAACAATTGTTCTCAGAGAAACATTTGAAAATAAAGTTAAGATTACTGTCTGTTACGATCGTATTGTTCCCATACAATCGTAAGACGGAGAGAGATACCCTTTCTAGTAAAATGGTTAATACGTCTGCCCGGTAAGCAGGAGGTGCATGGTTCGATTCCATGCGAAGGGGGATATCTTTTGCTCCGTTCTGTCGTCATTCGAAAGATAAGAGATATAACACTGTCATTGAAGCAAGAAACGAAACGTGATGGAAAAGCTTTCAAAATATTTCCTAGTATTTGTCTTGTTTTTTATGCATTTTTGTTGATTTTGTTTTCGAAACGATATTGATTAGTCAGAATGATGGCATATGCTTTCGAGAAGATTAAAGCAAAAACAGAAGAAACAAAATAGCATTTTTGGTTGCTTACAGTTCGTGTTCTACAAAACACTGCACTAATATGCCCATGATTGGTCAACTAATATTCTTGGAAAGATAAGATACTCAGGCATTTCTCGCTTTCACTATTGTATAATCTTCAAACGATAAAGCTTTTGGATATGCATTATTTACGTCAGAAAGTGGATTCATTTTATTACGTTGTTAACGTGAATATGTGATTCATGAACTGCTTCTAATGCATCATGGAAAGAGCTTTATGGGAACGTAGAGGTCAAAGAGTTTATTGAAAACAACAAAAGATAGGCGAACATGAAGATTCCTGACGCTTTACTTTCTCAATAGTTCATATGAATCCTTCTACTAGATACCGCAATAGAAAAAAAAGAATCCTTCTCTCTCAATGAAATCTCAAGATTGCTGTAGATTGCTGTACAATGCAACAAGAAGTATCTTTCCTTTTTTCTGAAATTCAACAGCGTATATAGATGACTTTGTGTAACAGTCTACATAGAATAGAAGGAGTGAAGAGCATTGCTTAAGAATTTTTGAAAATACTTATCGAGAAACAACAATCGATGAGGATGAATAGATTTCTATCAATGGCATTACCTTGATTTGACCTATTACATAGTACACCACTATTTCCATATCGGCATCAGTCAGCTGCATAGATGTAATGTTCAGCTCTTCCTTGTTGTCTTGTTCAGCAATTATTTTCTCCAGTCTTGCATTTCGGAATTTAGGCTTTGATGATGCAGGTGCTACTGGGTTTGGCACTCGCAAAGAGAAGCACAATACATGAAATTAATGGTGCCAAACAAATCAATCAGTGGTCATGTAGAATATATGCCACCTTGTGGATCTAACAGTGAAATGTAATGTCTATGCACAGATCGAGCTTGTTTAAAGTCGATCATATCAGAAAAAAAAGAACAGGAAGCCCTTCCTCGTTAGACATCATCTGGCATTATTACAAGATACCAGAACGGATCGATAAAACTCCACTTTCATTAGCCCAAGTCAAAAACTAGATACTTCAATAATGTTCACCGCTGCTCCGAAAAATATCTCTACAGACGTCAAAACATTATTTATGTTATTGATCGGTTAAAGATAAATCTAGAAAAAAAATCTCACTAGACGGTTTTACAGGTGCAGTAGCAGCTGTTGGTGCTTTCGGTGGTTCCTTGGCTATTGTCAGTGGTTTGAGAGACGGTAAGTCGACTGGTGACGGCGTGACCTCAAATGGTGGTGCAATGGTTTGATATGGCGCAGGTTCCTCTCGTAAATGAATGATGTGCAAGTCTTTGGAGGGACTCCATCTACTGACTACCTTTAGATAGGTACCAGGCAATAGTAAAACTTCTTCCTCTGCTTCGAAATGAGATTGAGCTCGAATAGATTTGCCATTGGTACATTCGATGTTGAACAAAGTTCGCTCACCATCGGTGCCAAGAAAATCTTCCATAATTTTTACCTTTTCAGTACATGAGCTCACTCCCCACCATATTAAATCTTCATCAAAGACATCATTTAAATTACCGCGAACACCACGCCAAATTGTACCTTTCAATGATGGTAACTTGTATAATGCCGTAAAGAAAAGTTTCAAGTATGGAAACCATGGCGTGAGATTTCTTCTATTTTGACAACGTAGAGCTTCGTTGAGTGAAGTATAAACGCTGGCATGTGTTTCAGGCCACTGCATTGTATATAGATGAATTGCTGCTGACTCGTCTGAAGTGAGGCCATTGCCTGGTTTACGTGAATTTCGCAGAGCTATCTTAATCATTGGGTGAATCCATGGAGACCCATCCACTTTTTGGAAAAGTTTTTTTTCGATTTTTTTTTCGTTCAAAAGGCTGATCTCGACTAGAAAACACTTTTGGTCAAAAAAAAAATATATAGTGTCTATCAAAAATTCCGAGTTTTCGAGCATTTTCTCGGAACACCTATCATGAACTTTGATATATAGGAAAAATAGCATGAAATAGGATAGAAACTTTTTAAAAACAATTTTTCCGGATCTTTTTGGTTTTCAAACATATTATCCTCACAGAACGAAGTCGTACTGACAACTCTGCCCTGATAACCAGAAGGATTTTCTAGTATACCGTCTTCAAAAAGAGAGACCATGGAATCAAACGGGACACTACTGTCGAAATGATAGATATTCCATTTATCTTTGAGGACATCTTTAAATATAGAGTCTTATTCAAAAATTTTGTAATTTCACACGAATAAGATTACTAGATGAATCATTGGATATTAGAAAATATCGACTCCCCATCAGTATCTCTTAATCTTTAAAAATCTATTCCAATGCCACGACGAAAAATTTGTGAACATCCGATAAAGCATGAAAAATCTGGATGTGTACCAAAAGGAGTAAAGGCCGTGTCATCTGAACTATCGAAATTTTTGATCAGTCAGTACGATGTGCCTTACACCCGAATTTGCTGGTTATGTCCAAGATGTCATACATTTGAATCGAAGAAAATGATGACTCATCAATCAGAGAAGCTTAACGACAATGAAAGTTCAAGTGATAATGAATCAATGACACAAGGTTCTCCTGTCAATGATGATAGAAATGATGATGATTATGTCAATGTTGAATTTAATGATCTGAATGAAGAAGAGAAAAAGAATCCGCTTATGGACAGCGGCATCACAGCTGACTCAAACGACGATGATGAATCACCCCGTGCTGATGAAACAACTGATCCTGAATCACCCCGTGTTGATGAAACAACTGATCCTGAATCAATGGATGAAGATATATGCCATGCTTTTTATGAACTTGAACATCGAGAAGAAAAAGCGATGGAACAATTATCAAATGTATTTCAACTATTGAACATAGACCCGATCCATGACAGGTTTGATTTGTAAATTTAATTTAAATTTTCTGAAACGAAATTTGTATATAGATCCGCAGTATTACCCATTCGAGCCAAAGTCGATGAGGTATATAGAAAACTTAATCGATTATGTGACATATTAGATGAAAAATCTCACGTTTCGTACGATCCAAATCCTCATGGATTAAGGATATGTGAATCAAATGATCTTTTGGATGGATTAAAGAAGTTATATGCTGATAGTAATGACAGTGAACAAGTTCGTTTGATGACAATTGCTCCCGAAGAATGGGGTCGACAAAAAATTGAAAAATGGTGCGTATTCTATCCTCATTTCGTGCGATATCTTCGCGTTTTTCCAATCAAATGTTACTAAAAACTTCTTTCATTTCTTAGGTTTAAATCAAAGCCAAATCAGGCTCGACGATCGCTTGTTCTTCGAAAAAATAATGGGATATTAGCCTATCCACAATGTCTACGAGGAAATATTCCTTTATCTGATTCAACAATTGATGCTGTAGTCAATTTCTATCGTGAAGATGGTATTAGTCGAACCTCATCCAATTCCAAAGACACAATTAAAATTAAAGGACAACCAGTGGCAGTTCGGTTTTTAGAAATGAGTGTCTTGGATGCTTATCACATCTTCAATGAACGACATCCTGAAACTGTTGCAAGATCAACTTTTAATGCTCTTCGTCCGCGTGAAGTTAAAACTGTAACACCACATGAAACGTGTATGTGTATTATACATGAAAATATGGATCTATTATTGAAGGTTTGTACCTGCTGTATATTGATTCGAATGTAATGTTGCTTTATTGCAGGGATGGAACAACTACTGCCAAAAATGTGCCAATGCAGGTTCTTTGTCAACTGGTGTCAAGGTCAATATGAAAGATCTGATTACTCAAATGGTTTGCACTATCTCGAATGAAAAGTGCTTTATTGGTGAATGTGATAAATGTCCAACTGAAAGCATCACAGATATTCTCACAGATAACAATATGATCGATTTGGATGACGAATGTTCATGGAATTTGTGGAAGAAAGTCAATAACAAGTTCGACCTTCAACAGATGTCTGGCTCAACTGACTCTTTATTAACGGAAATTGAAGAAAGATGGTCTCCATTCTTGCTTCACACACACATTAATCGTGAACAACGTGAATATATCAAAGAGCTACGCTGTCAATCAACAGAAAAGACTTTCGTTGTTGCTCAAATAGATTTTTCAATGAATTATACATTGGTACGTCAGCGTGAAGTCCAACAAGGATTTTTTAGTCAGCACCAAGTTACCTTATTTACAATTCATCTGACCATTGGAAAAGAACAACGAAATTTAGCGGTCATCAGTGATTATATGGAACACACAACGGTGTTCGTACACTGTGTACAAAAAATTCTCACTCAATTTATTAAGAAAAATTTTCCGTTGGTAAAGAAGGTCAATTATGTGAGGTAAGTTTTACTGTTTTTGAAGTTTATGTATGACGTCAATCCTTTCCTTTTCTTTAGCGATGGTGCTTGCGCACATTTTAAAAACAATGCCAGCATTTTGAACCTAATCCACCACAAGATCGATTTTGATTTGGATGCTTGTTGGACATTTACAGCTACAGGACATGGTAAGGGTGCCGGGGATGGCATTGGTGCGGTACTCAAGTCCACGGCTAGGCGTGTTACACGTTCCAAGAACATTCTCATGTCAAATGCAAAAGACTTCTACGAATTCACCCAGAAACAACAACTTGAAACGGCAAGAAGATCTAACAAGGATATTCCTGGTGTTCATGTGTTCTTTCTTGAATCAGATGAAGTAGAAGAAGCGAAGAAAAGTTATCTGCAAGCTAGAAGCGAAAAACTTCGAGCAACTGGTGAGAAAGACTTTCTCTTCTATTCCTTAATGTCTCTGTTTATTTAGGTACAATACAAGGCATTCGAAGTATGCATGAATTCAAACCAATCAACAATTCGACTGTTCAATATAGTTTGACATCTCAGTCAACAAAGATCAGGACGTTTACATTCAAATAAAAATCCTCCTTATATCTTTTTAAATCAATCAAATTTTTTAAAATCAACCCTGATGATGAAACTCAGTGTTCAGATATAAAGAATAGCCATCTTCATCTCCTCCTTATACTAGATTTCTGTAGTCTAATGTTCATGGATAACCAGAAAATGACTTAGAGTTCAAAACGTGCATTAGGATTGATCTGATATACCTCAAGAAACATGTTTCTAGACTCTGTTATATGTTTAAAAACCAAAAAGATCCGAAAAAATTGTTTTTAAAAAGTTTCTATTCTATTTCATGCCATTTTCCCTATATATCAAAGTTCATGATAGGTGTTCCGAGAAAATGCTCGAAAACTCGGAATTTTTGATAGACACTATATATTTTTTTTTGACCAAAAGTGTTTTCTAGTCGAGATCAGCCTTTTGAACGAAAAAAAATCGAAAAAAAAAACTTTTCCAAAAAGTGGATGGGTCTCCATGGATTCACCCAATAATATTAAATATTAATCTGTTCGTTCGAGTGCTTCAACATTGAACGAATAGATGTTAATCGGTAACCATGTAATGTAAATTTGTTCCAAAGAATTATTTGACATAAAGAACATACAATTGGTATCATAACAATTTTGTTAAATAGACCTTTTTGTGCTTTATCTATGGAATAAAACAAATGTGAGCTTATTATTGGTGCTAATGTTTGACCAGGTTTTGATAAAAATGTCATTGTACCAAAGACTAATGCTGGTAGTGGAGAAATTCGCTGATGCATAAATTGATCTTCATCAATTAAATCTGTTATAATCAAGTCAAATAGTTTACAGATACCTTCTGTAAATATTCGATTACTAAAAATAGAAAAATAAATAATTCATTGTTGATACTTTCTTCTATTGTTATCATTACCTAACAAGAAAAAGACATATTAACCAAGTATAATTGTTACCTTGAATGAATAGATATAAAGTAAAAAATAATTTAACATAAAATAAGCCAAGAATAACATAATAAGTGCTTTGTGATTTACATAAATACACAAAATATATATTGCTGAGATGTGGAAGAAGAAATGAAATACCTGAAAAAAGAAAAATATAACAATGGGAAAAAAGAATCGAATATTACCAAGAAGAATAGAACTAAGTAATGATGATGATGGAATAAATATATTAAGAATCAATGGAATAGAATTACTATTAAAATGACAATGAAATACCTAAAACAAAACAGATATAGTTATATTTTAGTTATTCAAAACGTTATCGTGTATGAAAAATATCAAGATTCTGTTCCAACAATCATAGAGCATAGTTGTATATGTAAGTTTCTAGAACTTTAACCTTACTATACTCTTCTCATAGGCAAAAGATGACTATTAAAGTATACTACTGAGTACACTTTATAATGCATCAAAATGAATATTGGATTAATATCGAAGATATCCATGGACAACTTTCTATTTTGTACATACTTGAATCAAATTTACTAAGCTGAAAACTAGATAATTCCTATGTCTACTAATGCCCCATATAAATTGCCAAAGAGTTGGAATATGTCCTTTGGAAATGTTCTCTTGATTAGATCTAAATGAAAATATTATTTATAGTAAAAGAGAGAAACATTTTTAATAAGATAATCTTACTTAGCATGATCACAGTATAGAATTTGTTTCATTGATTGAGTAACAATCAAAAATCCATACATAATTAAAATCGTTAGAATGGTTACAAAAATTCGAAATAATCGGAGATTTGATGAATCCCAAACAAGATAGGAACTAAATAATGTTAACGACCCTGTTACAAGAAAAAGGACAATTGCACATAAAACAAACAAATTCTCTATTTTTACCAAGAGCACTTCCAATAACACTTGCTGAACTCAATATTTCTCTTTTATAGAGAGAAATATCGATTAATAATGAATTATAATTCAAATCAATCATTGTTAAAAATGTATCATAAAGACAAAGACTTAAAAGAAGTTGTAAACTAAGTAATGATGAATTTATTCCAACCAACGGATACCAAAACAAAAGTGATGATAAACAAAGTAAAGGACCACACAATGTCAGATTATTGAGACGATTATCAATAGATGAAGTATATCGATCCGATAACCAAGCGAATAAAGGATCATTTAAGCTATTCCATATTAAAAATAAACATTCAGCTATCCAAAATGAATATGGATTTATTTTGTATATTGAAATGTAAGTTTGAACATAATAAACTGTATGAATATAATGAATTGTTGTTTTAAAAAATGATAATAAACAATAAAATAAATATATGAATTTTTTATCGAGCATCTAAAATGAACCGAGTCGTTCTTGGCAGTATGAAAATGAAATTAGGTTTAAAAAATCTACTGATTTACTCCATATTTATTTTACGAATTCAACCTAAAATGATACTGTAAAATAAGTTTTAAGGCTCTTGTGTTGGATCAAAAATGAACTTGCTTTTATTTAAGATTTTATTTCAGATGAAAGCAATATTGTGTATAGTGTTATGTGATAAAAGAATCTTTAGAGAATCTGCTCAACTTGCGTATCGTTAACTTATGAAATATGTTGTATGTCATTTTTCGACATTAAACTTGAACCTAAAATGAAACGGGCTACACTTACCATAACAAACACTGATTTAGATCTATGGACAATTTTGTCTTGTTTAAAACAGAAGCATATGCAAGCAAAACAGATTTTTAAGAAAAATCAATTAAGACGACTCTTCTATTATATTTTATGTATATCTTTCTCGAAACAATGATCTTCTTTTAAGGTTGTAGTGTCATATGAGGCAGATCTATATATGATTTTTTATGCAAGTTTTCCATACTGATAGTTTATGGCGAATTTTCATTTTAAACAAGTCACTGGTAATGATTCTTTTTTTTCATAAAATGAATTTTCAATATACTCAGTATTTCTCATCTGACGAAGATTTCATTATAGACTTTCTCTCGAATAGAAATCTTTACAATATCAATGTACAAATATACGATTAAGTCAAATTATCGTTTCATTACCAGCTTTATTTTTTTGAAGCATCAATCAATAAGATATATGCTCGATCTAATAGAAATTTATGCGATATCCAATGAATATTTTACCTTAATTAATTCACATATAAAGAAAAGGAGGCACCTTATTTATTTCTTATTTTATCATCTGAAAAAAACGCAAACAAATAAAATTCATGAATAGCTCTGATTTATGTTTTTCAAAATATAAATGAAAACTGAACAAATTCTACATTAGAAAAACATGAAATGTCATTTATTCTCGATGCTGATTTCTTTCTTGAATAATCGGACGTGAACATAATGCACAATTTTTTGTTGCATAAAATGCTTTTTGTAAACATTTTTGATGAAATATATGAAAACATGGTGTTACGCATGCAACACCAGATGTTAGCGTATTATGACATATTGAACATATATCATTGTATTCTTCAATCTGTTCATTTGTTGCTAATGGCAATTGATTAACATTATCCCATGCAGATTTTCTATTACGGAATATTTGCCAACCACGACGTAAATTTTTAATTATATTTAAATATGCATGTATGGCAAGCATAATTGCACGTAGTGTCCCACGAGATTCAAAACATAAGATGTAAAAACCATTGAACAGAAGAAAAACGCCAAGAATGAATTCAAAACATGATGTTACAGCTTTTATCAGGAATATATATTCATCGAATGAATCAGCATTTGATAAACGATTATGTGCATCAAGAACATAAAGAGTATATTGAGCAAGTGATGCTAATAGACGTACAATTAATTCTAATGAAAATGCTGTCACAGCTAAGAGCCAGGTAGAGAATGTTGTTAAACGCCATAAAAGTACAACGTACAGAACAACTAAGAATAGAATTGATAAACATGTGTAAACATGTCGATGATGATATGAACGAAGAATGAGAGACGAATATAATGATGTTAACGATGAACTAAAAAAACAAATTGATTTCATTAAAAAGTTTTTAACGAGAATTTCTAGTCATTTCGGTATCTGATAAGTAGACGACTATGATTGTTGCTCTTTGACTGCGAAGTAAGCAGTTACAGCATTTCTCGCATAAATTGATTCTATCATTGAATAACAATAGAAAAACGAAATTCTGTTCGTTAAAACATAAGAAAATTTCAATAATTAAAATTATGTTGTTATCTTCTTAAGAAATATGTTTGGTAATGATATCTATTTGTCAGATGAGTTTGATATGAAAGTTATACATTCATAGATTTGATATTCAGCGTGCAATATTGATCTTCGTATGACAAAATAATTTATTTCAATTTAACTAATGTTGCATTGAAAAACTTACAAAAAATTACTCAGTATTTTAAATTTACGTATTTTGAAAGATTTAAAATAGAACTCATCTGTATTGAATTAGTTGATGAGTAAATAATTACTTATTTCTATTTTCTTGTTCATTTCCTTCTCCTTCTTGTGAATTTTCATTTGTTTGATTGAATACAATTCTTGTTGTTATTGTTTGCATAGCTACTTTAAGTAATTGTGGTTCCAGTATTGTATGAAGAAAATGAAATAGTGCAACAATTAATAAACTGAGTGCTTTTAGTAAAGGTACATGTCGTCGATTAAGATCTAGTCGTGTGATATTTGATTGAAACAATAAAAGAAAAAACATAACGCCAACAACAGTGCCAATCTGTTCAACATCTTCAGTCCAAAGATGAAGGAGACGAAATAGACGATGTGAAATAGTTTTCATTAAATACGATATAAGACATGCTAAACTAATCAAGCTAAAATCAAATAGAAATAAATACATTGATAAGAAAAATTCTATTTTCATTCAAGATAGAATTCGTGATATGAAAATTGAATCTCATCGTATTCAAAATTTGGTATTGCGAAAACAAGAGCTATTAATGTGGCGTATGATTCATCTGCTTGTAGAGTCAATGAAAGGAGTTCTATAATAATATCTTAAGTTTGTAAAGAGAGGTAAATGTTGATGTTTTAAATTCAATGTTTTATGACAATTCTGCAGAAGATTTTAGTTCTAGAGCTTCATCTGCCACAAATAAATTGATTTTAATGATACTATCACTCTTTTTATAGACAGTGTTCATATAATAATATTTTTTTGTTGAAATTCATTTTTAGATCATGTTTCCACCTGTTTTCGATATCGACCAACTATTCAAAGTCTTAACTCTATTCTAATGAGATTTTCTTTGAAGTTCTATATATTCTATTGTACAACGCAATCACATTGTGTAATACATCTATCCAACTAGAAATAAAAACGTAAAACATTTTATACATATTATTAGAACGTCAGATGTCTGCTAAGAGCACACTTGACTATGATGAGAATACTGATATTAAAATGATGAAAAAGTCGATTTCATAATTTAGGTCATTATTGATCTTTTTTTCTTATTCATCGGAGAAGTCGCCTGTCTGATAAATAGCTATGAACCGAAAGTATATGCGATGCGTACTACTGAATTAACTATTAATACTCTCAAAATACTTAGCGTCCTTGGGTTGTTACTATAGAGATACGGCATTTTCAAATAATTATTATTTAAAAGCAATGTGTTGGTCTCAATCAAGACAACAGATTTTCAAATTATAACTTGAAATGTTTCATTAAGATTGGCCTTTAAGACAAAATAGTTTTGTTGTGACGATTGAAATATCACTACTGGTTCTCTGTTCAGATATGATACAACTCAAGGATTTGATTATTAAAAATATTTTCTCTGCTTTGTTTTGAAAAAATATTAACTATAGAAACAAATATCTTAATTCAGCGAACTCTGTATAATGATTTGCGTAAAATCTATAGCTTTCTTCTTGCTTAACGAAATAAAATTGATCATATCAAATGGAACAAGGAGAATTTCGAAATCATGATTATCTTGAAAACAATTAAATTTTCTTACGTAAAAATAGTCTCTGTTCCATAAAATAAACTTGTAAAATAAATGGTTTTAACTAAAGTTTCATTGTAATTAGTTTGCTTGTCATATAATGTCATATTATCATTTAAATTCGTCATATTTATATTTAATGTTACATTTGATATATATGGATGTGTATATATAGTTCTAATGCCTAATGGTAAAACAATTATTTTTGTTAACCAAAATATCTTCAATAATGTAGCCACATCTATGCGCGTTGATAAATAATTAATTAATGTTTGTAAACCAAAATTTTCATATAAATGATAAAGATCGTTTATAAATCGATTTCGCATTAAATTTAATATTGTTTGTCGATGACAAAGAAATAATTCAGAGAGATGAACAAATGTCCATATTAGATAATAGAATTTTAGTACGGGTATATTGTAATTTGTAGATATCAAGTAGCGTGTTACTATCAATACAATTGGTGCTAAATGACATAAACGCGTTTGAACTTTATATGCACGAACACGTGGACGTATATTGAGCATTTGAATATAGATAGATGATAATAGAAATTGTAGAATGTAAGTATCTATTGATGATGAGCTTTGAATATCTGTTATATAACTCATTTGATAATCAAAATAAATTACAAGTAATGATATAGTATAACTATAGAATATCACAAGACGTCTATCGGAACATAGTAATAGTAATGTTAGGAAAATAAGACCTAGGAAAACAAGAAATATATTGCTACAAATCAGATAAGTATAAAATAAATAGAGATATAATCAAAATCTCTTCATGTCAATAATTCTATTTCAATTGAGATTGAATTTTGGAATAAGTCAAACTACTATATTATTTCTAATATTCAATAACTTTCATTGCATGAAAAATGGAATAGATCTTACTGATTGACTTAATACAGAAAAAATTCAAAGTATGCAGATGATTAAAACATTCCTGTAAGAATGCAAACCAAAACGGTAAGTATTATCAGAAGAAGAAGAAAACGATTTCAAACAAGAGTGACTTTGAATGATTGAAAATTTCTTAAATATATTGTTCTTTGGAAAAGCATGAAGGTGAAAACGCAGATCTATGTTTTGACATTGTTACCAAACTTTAGTACTCAAGGTCATACGGTTCAAGAATACATTACTCATCAGAATTAGTTCTTCAGTGTTCTAAATAGAGCAGCTTCTGATTCTTGTCACTCTATGCGATTATATTCAAGATGTATGCAGCAGGCTGATTTATGAGTTATATCTATGATTAGAATAATAATACCAAGAATAGTATTTGAAAAAATCAAAATGAATAAAACAACATTTTGTTGATGGTCTATCAATGTCGAAAAGAATATCATTTATTAGAGATTATTATTTGCATTATTTTGTATTACTGCAAATGAAACTGAAGGAGACGAGATAGGTTTCTATTTTAATCTAAAAGGGAGTATACTGAGAAAATTTGGCAGCTTTTCTAAGATCTACTTTTAGATTTCAAAACGAAACATTTTCTTAATCTTACATATTTAATTTAATGAACCATTTTAATAATGAAGAATTTGATTGTACTTTTAATAACAAAATGAAATATGTTAGATGCATCACAAGTTTCTGTGAATTTCTAGATCGATAAATTCCACTCTTGCCGAAGTTCAGAGTACAGTCAAAAAAATTAGCTTATCATAGATATATTTTGATTTATGTGATCTACCGATACTACATATTATAGTGCACAGTGAGAAGTTACTTTCAAGAAAAACAAACATTTTTATAAAACCTTTTCAATATTTAATTTCTTAATGATAATTTCGTAAGGTTACTGGGTGAATAGCTCTGTGATTTTCTAACACGTCATCATCTTATGAATGATTCATTATTATGCTAAAATTTATTTTCGATCTGTTTTTATCTCTATTTTATTTGAACTATAGTCCTCTAGCACACATTTTCCAACAGTTTTATAGAAGAAACTTTGTCTTCAATGATATACTCATAAGTCGTATAATGAAACTTTTAAATGTTCTTTTGTCAAACTATTCTAAACAAATATGCATAAAATATATACAGTGTAGCACGAATATTTTTCAGTTTTCTTAAAATAATCCAAATAAAAAGATAAAAGAAACTTTAATCATTTTACCTAGAACAGGTACTAAAAAAATTAGATAAATTTGTGATAGTATATGAAATAAGGAACTGTGTAAAATATAACTGATTGGTTTCAGAAAAAAATAATTATTATGATCAATAATTTGAATTAAATATTTGAGTATATATTCATTTAATGATGAAAATTTTTCTGTAAGTAAGTAATCGTAAATAAGTATGAATGGAATACGTAATAAACAATATTGTATGTAAATAATAGTTTGTTGTGGTATAAAGCGTTGAAAATGTTCAAGAAATGTTCTACGTTGTATTGTGTTTGTTGTCATTGAATTAAGGAAAAAGTCCCCTGCTACGTGTTCGTCATCATTATCCATTTTTGTTTCAGTTTGTAAGAGATTGAAGAAAAAACTTGCATCAAATCAACTAGCTTCACATGGAAACAACAAAAAATAGTTATTGATTGGACGATTTCAATAAACCAATTGGATCATAAAATAGAGGGAAATAAAATGTGGACATTTTGCTTTATGAATGAGCAGAACAGAAGGAATTTTGCACGTTAGATATTTTATGGGAACGTTTGTGTTTGTGTTTAGTCGGAATGAAATTAGACTTCGTTTTTAGGAGTGATTATTGTTAATCTCCGTTGTTTGAAGTTTCCACACATGATAAAAAGAAACCCTATGAATTAGCGATTTCAGAAGCTCAAAATTCCGTGTTTTAATAATGATTGATAGCGTATGTTGCATAGGAAATTCGTAAAGTTTAGTAACAATATGATTTTTTTATGATTCCAGTTCTTTTGCATCATTCCTTTTATAATCATATGAAGGATATGTTCATCGCAGTGTTTTACATTCTGTACAATTTATTTACTACAATTCAAAAATCAGTAATACTATAAGATTATATTTTTGAACAGTGATTTTTAGTTTGATACAGAAGAAATATGTAGAGAAAATAATCGATTTAATAGATAAAAACCAAAGGTAATGACTTCGCTAAAAATTATTAATCATTCATTTTTATCTTTTGAATAGCAACCAGTCGTTCGATCTAGCCATTAATACTATTTATTAGAAATTCAATTTATAAATGGAGTCTCGCTATTAAAAATCATAAAAAAAAAACTCTGAAAATGAAATAGTAATTGTTGTTGAACTCATTTTCTGCAGGAATTGTGACCTTTCCGTGACATCTGTTCCTATTAGATATTTTATTGTTCTTATTATTGTAACTATGCATCATGAGGCATTGCTCTCTTCTTGACTCTGTTACTGTAGTAAAGAACTTTTCTTAGTAATTTTATTTATAAAAGCAAAGTGCAACCGATTCAATTTATCTAAGGAATTATATTGAAGAGGTCAGTGCTGATTGTATTCATGTAATTTATGATGGCTCTGCCGTTAAATTTTACGATATGTTAACAATCAGATGACATGCGTGCCGTTTTACGCGAAAAACATCTTGAACTTGGTTTCATGTATTTGTAAAATCCACCGGTTCACTTTTGTATGTTGACCATCAACGGGCTGTTCTTGACTCTCTTACTATTCATCATATACCTTTGAAGTTATTTGCTAGTGATTTAGATATTTGTTTTAGACTAATTTGACTGTTAAAAAACTTTTTCCGTTACGTATTTAATATCTTTTCCTGATGTATTTTTCTTTCTCGAAATTCCTTTGTGCACAAATTTTGCCTGAATAAAAAAAAGTTATATCATGAAAAAAGCAGCAATTAGATATGATCATATAAAAAAATCTACATGAACAGGCTATTGTACACTAGAAAATGGAATGTGAATAGAAAATGAAAAGTCAATTAACGCAAAAGTGAGAAAAATACGTAAATTCATATCAATAAAAAAAAGCGAATAATCTATGGAATGTTTTATATGAGCGTATTATCAAAAACAAGAGAAAAGAAAAGAAAAATTTTTACACAAAACAAACATACAAATTCAGATTCATCGACCAATTAATATTGCAAAAGAAACAGTTAATAAAAGAAGCATAGAATTAAGCGGTTCTAATGAACTGGCAATTGCAATACGACATTTAAGTTGATGAAAACGTGACAAAAGAGAATCATTGCTCATTAATAGATCCCATTGAGTATCCATAGCATCACCATTAAAGAAGTCATTATGATCAATAAATGGATATTCATAACCAGGTCGACAGCGACATTTATATTTACCTAAACGAAAACCACGACCAAACACTGGTTCACACTAAAAACAGAACGAAAAGAAAAAATTATCTATGATAACAGATTAATCAAAATAATGAAAGCATACCACTGTGCTTTGATAATCACAACGATCACTGCCTTTGAATGCATTTGGTACATAGTGAGGCATTGCACATTGATTTATATCCAAATAACTAAGATAAGCATCAACTCGTACGACGCCCCTGAAAATAATTTTTTGTTCACACAATAAAATAAATAATTGTATGCAATATTTAGTTTTACTTGAATTCAAGGTTAATACCAAGTGCATCAAGTCCAAAAAATGGTACTGCATAAGTAACAATCCATTGACGAGGTAATGTATTATTTCTACTACACTGAAATGTTGGTGGAAACCATTGGCCATGTCTAGGAGCAATTTTATCAATTTAAAATTAAAATAATTATTGTTATTATTCATAGTACTTTAATTCTGGTGCATAAGAATAAAGTGGAAAACCTGATTCATGGTGTACTAATGCATTACCAGCATAGTCAGATCGAATAAATAATTTAAGCCAATGTTCAGTTAATTCCGAACGATCAGCATTTGTTGCCCATCGTGCTTTTAGTGTCTAACAAAAAAAAGAAAGATAAGGCAAATAATTTAGGATTTCAGTCGTTCGAAATTTAAATCAAATCATTTTTTGTGATGATTGTATAGAACGTGTCAAGTTAAGTCTAAAAATTGCTATTTTTCATATATTTCGATCCGACTTTTGTAGTGAAATTTAGAAAAATCAGTTTAATGCACCCAATACAGCTTTAAAAGATTGAAAAACGAAACACATCAAATATCAAGTCATAGTATTTATCATGTGTCTAGAAAAAGCTGGTATGTACTCTTCGAAAAATATTGTTACTTCGTTAGAAAGACGAACCAGCCATTTGAATACAATAGTAAAATATCGAGTGTATGAATTTGTATTTAAAACTTTCTTAACAACAGAAAAAACTGTCTTAAATAGTATACTCGATACGAAACAACAAATTTCGATTCTGATGGTTTCTCTTGTTAATGAAAAACTCTAATGAAGATCAGTTTTGACTATATTATTTCATGAAGGTTTTTCTACGTGTCGTGAAGATGTCAAGACTGACAGTTACACAAGCTCAATTCATTGACAGTATCAATAAAACAAAAAAGTCCTCTTACTCTAAACCATATTTCATTTTCATAACCATCAGGCAAGCCTGCCCAATCAACAACAGTATATTTTCGACTAATATCTTTTTCTGCTCGATAAGCATATGGTCCAAAATAAGGTAAACGATAATTTCGAAATTTTCCACGATCAAAAAAGATGCCAACACCAACAACCTTGTAATCACCACCAGCTGCAGCTAAGACTTCTCCTATTAATTGCTCATCAGTTAAGTCAAGTTCAGCTTTACGTAATGGGAAATCTTCTGCTGGATTCACAATTTGATAAAAACTCGATAGAAAATGTGATAGTGTTAATGCTAAACGTGCTTGTGACTCCAGTTGAATATCAACATCATTTAAAACGTCACCAGGCATTGTTAATTCATCTTCAGTCATAAATTCACATAATTGCGGATCACGATTGAGGCGATCGTAAAGTTGCATGATTGTCGCAACACGTGTTGGACGTTCATAAGCATAGCGTTTTGTACGACTTTTCTTCATATAATCTTCTGATTTATCATTATTAAAACCTGTTACAAGTTTACCGGAAAATAATGCAACAGTATGAAGAGATGATTTGAGAAATGAAGGAACTGGAGGCACTAATGTTGCTATTGGATTTACTTTTAGAACTGAATAAGAAAAAAATTGACCAAAAATAACGAAACATTGAACTTACCAGATTCGGTGATTGGTATCGAAATAGGATCTTTACTTAAATCATGATAAATTGATACATTGGATAGATCACCATTGTAATCCGCTGATCGACGTGTACGTGCAGCAAAGACTTCCATATTTGATTGACGAAAGTTTTGTGGAACTTGTAAATATACTAGAAGAACACAGAATAAATTCGCCAGAAAACTCTTATAGATGATTCAATTGAAAATAAGTTCTATTTAAACCTTCTGCAAAATAAATTGTTTCGCGATTATTTTTCATGATTTCTCAAAAAAACAGCGATTTTTAGTAAAAACATATGTATAGAATTTGAATTTGGCAAATCACATATGACTTATAAACGATCTAAAACTATTTTATCAAGTATGGAAAGCAAACCAAGAAAAAAGCAATTCCTCGACAACATTTAATTGGCCTTCTAAAATTTTCAAATTGTTCGCTCGAAAGAAACTAACTAAAGTATACACAGAATTAAAACTCATGTAGAACATCAATAATTTTACTCGAAGTCAAATAAAACTTTGAACAAAAGATGTTTTCCTATAAAACAACATACATTAGATGAATGTTGTTAGGGGATGACTGTGTTATGATCGTTTTCAATGATTTTCATATTAAAGACTAACAGCTCTTAAATGAGATCAGAAATGGCCGTGTTCTTCCCCATCTTCCGTAAAAAATAATAAACATCAAAGCGAATGAAAACAAAAACACGTGACTTAAGACGTAATGCTTTGAACCTTTAAAAGAAAGATTATGAAAAAGAAGAGCACACCTCATTTCATTTAGAGCTTTGTTATCTTAGCGATATCACTGCTAATAAATAATGTTGACATAAACTTCTTAGATCTCCAAGCTATTCTATGCGTTTTTTCAGGCAAATTTTCCCCGCATCATTCATCTAAGCGATTTCGTAGAAATAACTAATGATATTCTGACCTTATATATATATATAATTGATATGATATGATACGTACATTCAACTTTGATGCAATCAAAGTTATTTTGATATTCTTCTTTTGTTGCTTTTTCAATAACATAACCTTTAAATGGTCCATCTTGATATGGTGGATAACGAAAACCAGGTTGACAAAGACATTGATAACCACCACGTCGAAATCCAAAGCCAAATAATGGTTCACAACGTGTTGTCGGCTTACATTTATCTGTACCAGCAAATAAATTTGGTTGCTTAGATTGTGGATCATTGGTTTGTGCACTTGTTTGACCAACTTCAATACATTGATTAATATCCGTCATAAGAAAATCGATGTGAGTGACAGCAACTGCTAAATTACGCATTGATTGTAAATGTCGATATTCTGTATGACGTGGATATATATCCACAATAGGTGAAACAGAACTAATGATCCATTTATCTGATCGGCCACAATCAAAATATGGACGTGTCCACAGAGTCGGACCTGAGAAAATTCAAAGCAAATGTGTGTTTCTCTTCTGCATTTTTTAGCACGAATAAGTTTACCTTGTGGATCTTCTGGATGTGGAGGGCCATAAAATTCAAAATTTTGAGGTACATCTCGAAGTTTATACATTCTATCAGCTAGTAATAATTGAACAGTATGTACAGGTTTACCTATACAATTCAAAAAAAACACATACATTTCCGCGTTATAAATTATCAATGCGCAAAAAGCGAATATTTTATTTTCACCTCGTCCTTGATCATTGCGTGTTTGATCTGGCAACCATTTACTATACCATTCATTTCTTCGATTGTAACGTGATGTATATTGATGATTTCGACCTGCTCCACTATCTTCTTCTTGTATAGTTTGATTTGTCCATTCATGTTTCCAATTGAATGCATCTACGAAAAATAAAGCAGGAAAACTATTTTCTTATGATTAAAAGTCATCTTGTCTTCTTCTACCATAGAAATCATCAGCTCGCCAAGCATATGGACCAAATAATGAGATTGTTTTGTTAAAAAAATTTTTATACCAATGTGGATAATATTTATCTTGATCAAAGTAAATTCCTGAACCATTGATCATACTTCGACCACCAGTGACATCGGCTATATAGTACAAGAAGAAATAATTTCTATATTCTATAAAAAGTAATTTTTTGAAAATTACCAGCATTGTGTAAAAGTATATAAGTAAGTCCAGGTTCTTCGAAATCAAATAAACGTTGAAATAGATAACTGAATAAAAGAGCATTTCGATGAGCCATATTTCGTATATGTAATAATTGTGTTCGATTTCTCATAATGATATCTTTTTTAAGCATCTCAATCGATGGTTTTTGATAAACAGCTTCTTCAGGTAATAATAATTCACTTGGTTGCTTTTGAAAACAATTCATACCATTAACAGCATTCATTCTATCCATGATTTCATCGATTTTATCATATGCTATCCATTCGAATTGTGAAAGACTTTTATCGAATAGAAGCATGCATAGCAGAAGAGATATACATAAGCTTACGAAAAGTGTCATCGTAAAATATCTAAAACTCAATAAACAGAGAATATAAAGAAGTTCAATAATTTACAGGAAAAACATTCATCGTCTCGTATGTGACTCAATGTAACATCGAAATTGTAAAAATTTTCATACGTCCAAAGAATATCTCAGTTTCTTTTGCCTTCGCTAAACGCAGGAAATACTGTTTCTTTTTTCATGCGAAAAATCGTTCTTACTATCTAATCTGTTATTTTCTCTTCAATTCTAAGTCAAAACGCTACCAGCTCGGTAAGAGTAAGTCATTTGTAACTCATATCATAGTATTCATTTTTAGACTTCATTGAAATTTTTGGATCCTTCAATATTTATCTCAAGCATCATAGATATTGTGCTCATGTTCTAGAGTCACATAAATACAAAGGGCTAAATTAAATAATCATTGAGCTTCTAGCATTTGATGAAACTACTGCCTATACTGCATATTAGAGTATAACATCAGTTAATAAATTATATCGTCGCTTTTGAAGGTAAAAGAATGACCATTAACTATCTTATAACGCAATTGATATATTTTATATCCACTACATTAAAAATGAAATCAACTATCGATCACCGGTCGAAGGTCATCTTTGTGCCAAATCATTGACAGCGACAACGGCCATATTGAGTATTCATTTGAAATGTTGAACTCTTTTACCTGTCACTGAAATGATGAATCAAGTAAGCGAAAAATTTTAAAGCACAATTTTAATACTTTATTTTTATCTTTTTTTTACTTAAAAACTATAAAAAAAAATACTTTCAACTTCTTCATCTGTTGTTCTATATATATATTGATCCTTATAATAGATTGTAGCGCTTTATATTCAATTAGTCGAAAGGTTAGTCCAATAAAATCGATCTCCAAAGCCAGTCTTATCCTATCCTAACTTATATCCTAGTATATTGTTAAAAGCTGCAGACAGCTAGCAATCAAATAAGCCGAACTTAAATATCTATACAACGAAGTCTAAATAATCCTGATTCTGAATTACATGTTAAATACAATACTTAAGTTGCATGGCGCATTAATGATATTGGCCAATTATCAGATTGTACAGCTCTTCAGGTATTTTGTTTTAGAATGAAAGGAAAACTTATTAGCACAGCCTATTTGTTACTCTATTATTGAATCAGCATGTGGACGTTATCTTTATTATACTATAGTTAACGGTACTAAGTAAAATATAACAGAAAATAGTTTCCGTCCAAAAATAATTAATCATTAGAGACCAATGACTTATTTACGTTATATTTTGTAAACGTATCACTTTTGGTTGGTGCTCTTCATTAACTAATTTTTATCTCTATTTTGTTGTATCTTTCATAATTTATGTTCAATACTGTTGTTTACGATTGATTCAATTCACGAAGATTCCTTTTGTATGCATTCGTGATGTTTACAGAAGATTTTGATATGTAATTATGGTAGAAGAAAAAAAAGAGTTTGATCAGTTCATGCTTTTATTTTGATCATATAAGAAGTGCAGAAAACATATCCAATGATCTCGAATTCGGTACCAAATGCTGAAATGGAAATCTTCAAAATTTAAATTAACCATTACCATTTTACATTTAGTTCTCTAGGAACTTGGTAGTCTCATTGATTCATTAGGAATGCATTGTCAACTATCCTCACAGATATTTAATGGTGAGACACATTTTGATTGTATTAAATGAGTGGTCGAAGCATAAAAAATTCGTGATGAAAGAATTAAAAACATGGTTTAATATCATACTGTGATATTGGTCTGTACAATATTAAAGTCCAAAAATAGCTTACAAAGTTGAAATGAAATCAACAAAAGGATACGTATTATGCTTGATAGCGCACCTAGCGATCCTAATTTATTATCTAATGTTAAACAACCAAAATTTCTTAATAATCTAATCATTTTATAAAGTAAAACATACATTTCTTTTATTTGAGCTATTTTCAGATGCAATCCATTTCATCTGATGTAGTCGAAACAGTAGCTCAGTTATATGATCAATGATTACGAGACTAAAATGTACGTTTCATACCACAATATCCTTCTATGATTTCTTCAACAACAACTATTACTGTACAAATGCCACAACATGAATCAATAATGGTTCCCGCTATTGTTCAACAAAACAGACAGTTTCAAAGTAAATTTAATCTTCTCTGAAGTGTATAAAATCTCAAAATTTATTCAGTGCAAAAAATCTAAAATCCTGATTGTACTCCAAATCCGATAGAATGATTTTCCAAAACAGAAATTTACTCAATTGAATGTTTCTATTGTATGATTACTTGTGAAATACACAATTTTTTTTTCTCTTAAAAATGAACTGCATCCAAAATATTGAGATTTTTCATTGCATTAGTAAAATTTTTGACCAGGATCGCTTGTCAACATTGCTATCACATAGACTGTAGCTAATGCAGAATGTCTCGTGTCGCAATTGAGGCACTAATAGAGGAAATTCTGTTGTTGACAAAGCTTATTTTTAACGAAAAAATTGTCTCTATTAATGGTAACACATATTGATCTATATTCCTGAGAGACTATAAGAAAAATTACTAAAACTAGATTCTTTCTATTCTCTAGATACACATGATGGTGATAATTTACATTTATATACTGATCTATTCGTTGTCCCCAGTAGTTGTAAATAAGCACGTACACAACATCAGAATACACGTATCACTAACCAATGAAATAAAATATTCTTTTGTGTAAACATATTCTCGTGGTACCTTTGCGCCTATCGAATTCTTTCTTTCTTTCTTTCTTTTCATATATATTTCAGTAATGAAATGCCAACAAAAAGAACTCTTAATTGATACTACTATTTAGTTAGTCATTCTTACTAGCCAGAAGAAAAAAACAAAGATGCACTTGTTTGTCTCTATCTGTTTCGTTTGCATAATTTTTTTGTACTTTTCTTCTTGAAATATACTGGTGACAGAAAAAAAAATTAATTTGTTCCTTGAACTAAAAAAGGAGCTGCGTGATTATTAGACATAGAGGTATACTTTATCATGAAAATTACACAAGAAAAAGAAAGAAACTTAAATACAAGTAATTCATATTTAGATGGAAAGTTTCGAAAAAACAATCATGATTATTGTAATAAAAATGCACAATGATAAGAAGGCACTTCGTCTATTCATACTAAGAATGTGCAAGCATAGATCACCGGTTAGTAATATTTTTTCTCTGAAGTTGATGCTTTTCTTCTACAACTCTGTGACTCCAGACGAAAGTAATCGAGAGACCGGCAGTATCCGACTGTTTTCATGATTTAGAAGTGGAGTATCTTGTAATGAATCATATATATGGTTACTGATACTTGATGATGACTTTGGAGGAATTGGTGGTGGCGGTCGTTTTGGCGGCTTCATATGAATACGTGTTTTATCTGGTTGTATACATTGATTGATAAATGGAATAATTGATGATGACGACGAAAGTTTATGTGATTTTGAACGTTGTGTTGAAGAGACTCGTGAAGAAATTTCTTTCGCAGATTTTGAACGTTTGAAGAGTAAGCCATGATTTTTATTTAATGAACTTTCAAGTGGTGAGATTGATTTAGTACGATAAGCTTTTTGCTGATTTTTATTTGTTTTCGAATAACGTAAAGAAGAATGAAATGATGATGAACGTGCGAAAGATGCTTTTGATTCTTGAAAACGATCTATTTCAAAAACAAAAATATGCACAAATGATTTTTAAAAAAATAATCAGAGAATAAACAATTCTTTGTGATTAATTGTATAAGGCACGAATTTTCTAATGCTCCGATCAGAAGTTGATCCAAATGAAAATATTCAATTCATAAGCAGTGGATACGAGGTAGTATCGAATATGTAAAGACAGGTGTTTACTTCTTGTCCCCCCGAGAGCATTTCAGGCATAGACCAATAGACTTGATTTTCTACCTTATAGCTACTCAGTTTATGATTGAGATAATGATGTTTGTCAAAAGAATGAATTTATAAATGAAAAGTAATGTACCTAATGAATGAGACATATATTTTGTAGATGCACTATCAATATCAATAAGTGTTTTATGTGATTCTGTTGCATCATAAATAATTTGACTAATAGGTGAAGAAATACTTGAAATAGAATGATGCATTGATGATGATGATGATGTTATGAAATTAAAATAATGTTGATTAGGTAAAAGATTGACGAGATTATCAATTTCATCATCAACAACTTGAGTCATTTGTTGATAATTTTTGTATAATTGAAAACCACATAAAATAATGCGAATACCATTTATCCAACGTTGATATTCATCTGATGTATGCGTACATAAGTAATGTATATATTTATTTGATTTTTTCTGTATATGTGCAGGTTTTAATGCAAATCCATATGAAGTCGGTGATCGCAATGATTCAATCCAATTATTAGCATGATATAATTGTATATTAGAATCAAATTTAAGTAGACAAACAAGATCTTGTTTCGTTGAAGAAGATTTTGGTATTTGATAAATACCTGATTGACGTAAAATACATGTATATTTTTTCCATAGTTTTCGATTCTTATCTTTAATATAAAGTGTACTTGTTATATGATCAGGTAGACTTATGGTATCTATTGATATAACATCAGTCATAATATCATCGAGAATTTTATCACTTATAGAAAAAAACGTTTTTGGTTCTTCAAAAATCATATATTTATTTTGATGTTCTTAAAAACATATTCGATTACATGTATCACGTGCCCAATAAATTAAACCGTCATTTATTAAATTTTGATGATCTTCAAATATACGATATAGGTGTAAATCCGGTAAATCTTCAACAATCGAATAATTTAATGTTGGTCTCAAATGATATTTATGAAAAAGCAATATTAATATTTGATATACAGACATCGTTTCATCAATTAAAATATTTTTTGCCGATTGATCTTCATTATAAATTTTTACGAAAAGTTTTTTTATATTTGCTTCGTGTATTTTTTGTAATGCTAAACGTATTTGATTTTCTCCATTCGTATTTTTTAACGTGTCACATGAAAGAATCTATAAAAAAAAAGAAAAATCAATCTTTTTATTTCGTACAAAATTTGACATACACTAGAAGTATTTGATATCTGTTGACTAATTAATGGTAAACTAATTGAGTCAGTTGATTGAGACAAGCCACTATCGGAAAAATGTTCTTCACTATCAACTTGATGGTTTCCATTTAAATCACTAATCGCCGATGATGAGGAACTATTTCCTGAATCAACCAATTCGATTTCAAGATTATTCAATGTATTAGTTAATGTAACTAAGGTTTGATCAAGTTCATTGAATTGTGCAATAATTGATGATGAAATAGATTTCTTCTTCGATGAATTAATTTCATCATGAAACCTTGTTTTTTCATCTAATCGTTGTTCAAATTTGTGAAGATGGCCAAGCAATATGTCAAGGTCGTTTTCTAAAGATAAAAAACAAACGAAATACTATGTTTTAATTGGCCTTTTTCAATGGCCTACTGAAATGATGCACGATATTTTAGTTCGGTTAAAACTATTTCGTAGTTTATTCTGTATCACGACTCATATATCATAGTCCCTAATGGATATTATGTGATCATAAATTAATATTCTTTTTTATTTTTCTCCGAGCAAAAACAGTATAAAAATTACCTTGATTTACATTGGATATTGTTGATGATGTTTTCTGTTGAACTTGTCTTTCCAAAGTTGATAATTCTTCATATGCTTCTCGTATTTCCTAGAATTTAAACAAAATAGCTTCCTTTACGTTATATTCAATGTGTATTTTTTTCTATGATATTGATACGCATGTTGAATTACATGATTTTTGTCGATGATCTTTTCTTCTTTGATAGCCTTCTCTTTAGAATGTTAATAAGCTAATGAGGTTACGGTAGCAGGTGAAAAGTAGACTCATAAATCTATGTTACATCCGGTATAGCAATATGACACCACAATAAATATATTGATAGAATGAAGAAGTAACAGTCTTGCTAATCGGTTGTGGTTCAAGGGAATGTATTTTTTTCTTCTTCTCAGTATAACAATAAATTATCGATCAGGAGGAAGGAACTACAACTAAATATGAAAAAAAAACACATATCTTACTTCTTTCAAAGTATTCAAATCACCAAGACAATTTTGAACGTTTAAATTAATTGATAATTGATTTTGTTTTCCATTTATATATTCTTTATTTCTCACCAAGTTGTCATCAATTTGATCATTATCATCCCTTTCTGATTCTTCACTTATACTGGACATTGAAGATCGACGTAGAAACATTCGATGAAACATTTTTATTTCAATTTAATCTCTAAAATATATAAAATACAAAAGAACATGAAAAGATCGACTGTTTCTGCTTGTCTATTTTACTCATATATATATATATATATATAAATTGATTGAACAACGGTAGTTGTGATGAGTCTATGATGCAATGTTATGCATGAGAATTCATAACGAAGCGGTAAGTACTACTTCACGCATGACATGTAGAAAGAAGAAGAAAATGACTGACAGTGAATATGTTGCTGCGTTTCTTACGGTCAAATTATGATTTACTATACATTTTCTGTTTATAACGCATGTTCAACTCACCGCAATAATGTTCTTAGCAGATTAAATTGAATAGTGTGTGAAAAGATTCATTACTGACTGAATATTTATTAGGCGAGAAAAAAAGACAGGCTTGATATAAGAAGCGATACGAAGAAACATTCGCACTGATAGACTCAAACAGGGCTAATAAATAGATAACCTTTTCAATGTTATAAAAACAAACTCTCATTCACTCGATCAGCATGACATGATAGTTACTATTTATACTTTAATCTTAAAATGAATAAAATTTAGAGAATGACTATATAGGTGCTCGAGGTAGTCAGCGGGAATTTTTTTCTTTCTCGTACCGAACGTATGGTACTCTCATGAGTATTGTCCGACAGAATTTTTCTTTTTTTTCTTCACTCTCTTGCTCTCTCTCTCTCTCTCTCTCTCGGTCTTTTGTTCTTTGTCTATTGTCTGGCTATCTTTTCTCTCATCGACGGCTTAATAATCGATGGTTTGATGAATAGTAACATACATAAAAAGGGTTACGTGGTAGGAGTGTTCGCGTTGAGGGAAGTTCAATGTGTGAACGTATTTATTCTTCTCCTTATCGTTACTTCATTTTCTTTCATTTTCACTTTTTTTGTGTCATACAGTCACTCATAAATAACTTACGCAAATACAAGATATACCTTACTTCGCTGTACCTTGAACTTCGACAGTCATTGGTGACTATAAAACATGATGAATCAATGAGGATAACTAAATCTTTCTCGCACATACAATACAAAAATAAAAAGCAGCAAAAATATATGTTAAACAATCGAAAGATTAGAATCATTAGATATTTTCACCAAATGTCTATGCACATTAGTTCTTTTTAGTAGTCGATATGATGCGTGTCAGCATACGAACGAACGAACAAACGACCCTTCATTATCCGATCATTAGATATTTCATACAGAGACACACGCACATGTAATGTATATATATTCTTGTTTCATCGAAATCAGATGAAGTGTACATGGCACGTACTCACGTTATATTTACGTACATATATATAAATATATAAATGCAATTATATCAACCAGATATTATAGAATATTTTTGCCACGATCAATGAATAGATTCAAACATACTCATACGTATATGTAGTTATGGTTACTAGCTTTATTTGACATCAAAACCATATTGGTATAGCAAAAGAAAGGCAAAATTATTAGAATGAATAACTCACTTGATCCATGTTTTATTTCTTATCGAGAACGCTATATATGCTGAATATCATTATTACAGTTTTTTTCCTGATATGATTAATGTCTATGAAATATAAAGGAAAATTGCTGGTTCAGATTATTTCATATTTCTAGGAAAATACAAAAAAAAAACAAAGAGACATATCATAGAACTGTTTTATTTGAGTATACCTGACAATAATTCATTAATGCCACTTATGATTTGTCAGATGTAGATACATACAAATGTATTTTGATAGAGATCACTGCATTTTCTATTTTCTCTCACTAAGACGATACAAGTTAAATTTTGCTATTAAGATCTAAAGCTCATACGTCTCAAATGAGAAGTTATTTTTAGTTAATTATGGAGAAAATATTTTTCTTAATAGAAATATGCTCCAATAGTTCTATAATAATTTTGAGATAGACGTAATCGAGCACGTTCGAGACCACTTTTTTCCGACTGAACTCTTTCTTCTCAGCTTTCTTATGTAATGTTCAGGTATGAACTTGGCGATATGAATGGAGTAGTATGCTGTGAAATAGAAGAAGAATTCTACTCGACGCTTGATATTATTTAGTTAGTAAACTTTTTCAAATTTAATTGAATATAGAAGATAATTTATATAAAAGTAAAACGAAAGGATCAGCATCAAGTGATAAAAATTAATAAGATATCGATATTAATAAACCGAAAAAGTTTTTTTTTCCTGTAATTCATTTTTCGTTTATGAGTTTTTGAAAACGTTGACATAGATAATTCTGTTTATCTTCATGATCATAATCTAATTTTCTATCGAAACTACGTAAATGTTCTTTACATTCTAATGATAGTTTGTAACAATTACATATGATATTGGCCATTTTTTCTGAATAAATCAACACGTAATTTTTCAAGATATTATTCATACTATTTCTCGTGATATTTGTTCAATGTTATTGATTGATCATAATTGTTGTATTTTCATCATTGTCTTCTTTTGATTGAGATTGAATAGAAATGAGTAACTTAAAGAACAGAATGAGAGAGAGAGAGAGAGAGAGAGGCCGGCATAACATGCATGGCTGTTTTGTTTGAGTAGAATTGACTTTATATGTTGCAGTTCATTGGCATTATGCTTTCAATGTGAGATATCGATTGGCAGCGAAGTTTGTTTGTGTGAAAGCATTGAAAATCTTCCTTGTCATTTTTTACTTATTGAATATATGATTCGACAACAAAAACATCATTTCTTTCTTATTGTCAATCATTGCAATTAATGAACTATTGGAATAGTATGTGAGTTAGCTGATCAATGTGTGATTTAGATGTGAGCAAGAGCATGTTTGTAAATTCATTTATCCACATAACTGTTCCTATGAATCTACGCTTCCACTACTACAACTTATATACATTAGAACCTACTAGGTTCAAAAATTTTCGATTCAGATTCAATCTCAAACTCGATGGTTTCTACCATTCACCCATGTTCTCCACGTCATGCCCTTAGCTATACTGTTATAGCTCAGCTCTTTCATAGATAAAGACAGTCGAAATTCGCAACAAAACTCGGCACTTCTATAGAAACTCTTAACCGTCATTATATAGTGTGTCGACACTCACAACACAGTCCCTATGCACATCTACAAATCTAGACCCAGTTCTTTAGGTGCAATTACACTAAACAATAATCCGTTCAAGCCTCCATGAATATTAATACGAAACAACTACATTGACAATGATAAAATGTATCCCTCAATGAGGGGGAAGGCTTATGCTGAATCATTCGCATGGATTGAAACGGCAGAAACTGCTCATATAAGTTTTTTCTTCTTGGTGTCAATCTTTGCATACATACTAAATATAATTAGACGAATCATTACGAAGTCTAGAATTCGTTTTATTCATAGTCGGTAGAGCAGCAATGTCCAAGTTGGAATCAATGTCTACAACTAGCTATAAGTTTACTAATGTAAACAAAACTTAGAAAAATCCAATATAGATGAGATGAGTGTAAACTTTATTCTTATAGATCCACATTCATTGTGCACTTTAATATACAATGTGCTCATTTCCAATAATGTGTTGATTTTGACGAGATATTGGGTACGGCAAGTGCATATTGAGTCAAACATTCATTCAATTCCATCCAGTTTCTGTTTGATAGAGTTTATAGAGCTTTTTAAATCTAATGACATTACAAGATCTGAAAAATAATATTCATAAATCGCGTCCTAGCTGTCTTCTACTCTTTACGAATGAATCCATAGTTTTTGTTTTGACTTATTCTCGACAAATTCTGATAAGAATAATTTCAATTTATATTCAAACATCTTTTATTGGATATAATATTTAGGTCTCTATAAATGATATTGCACAGATGCATGTTTAATGATTGTACCTAGACAATGAGAACGTGTTGACAATTGCGAATAGTAAAAATTCAAATTCAATTGAAGTTATGTTTAGTATTTGGAGGCCATATACCTCTAAATTTTTATAAACGTCTTCATTTGAATTTTATCGAATAAAGCAAGAAGCATGTGAACAGAAATCGTCAAGATTTGAACAGTTTTAGAACATACATAGCATTTGTACATTCCATCGATTTCTGACGCTTGGATTACCGAATAAAACGATTTTCCAGCACTGCTTTCAGCTGACATCTAGCAGTTTCAATTATTCATGACATTCTAAATATTGATCTACAAAATTCAAATTGCATAAATAAGATCGCATGCTTTTAGTTTAATTCGTCACGAAATGATAGGTAACTTCCTCATAATAATGTTCAAGAAAAAATTGCGTATTTCTTAACAACTATTATGAAATAGAGGTGCAGTAAAAACACATCCCATCAATTGCAAATACTCTGGGAATGTAGGGATACGTTTTTCTCCCCTTTGTAATCATTGCTAGATATAAGTACATTTCCTCTTCGGATTAAATGATTCAAAGAAAAAGAGATCTAATATTTCCTGATAGTAAGTACTTATTTAAACAGTTATAATTAATTGAAGATCAATTTTAAAATAAATTACTATTACAATTCTCCTTTAGATTCAATCATTGATGAAATCGGTTAAGAAATCAACGTAATTATTACACAAGATTTAGCAGAAGAATTGTAAACATAAGATTTGTGTGAGCTTTGTTTTACACAAATTTCTTCTTTCTTACCTATAGTAATGTGAATCAAGTCGTTATTCTATTTTAAATATTTATTTTGTAGTCAACTTGAATGTATTCGTATTTATTTATTTCGATGAATGAATAGGAAAAAAGAAATCTTTATGTTGATTTTTCAGTTTATCTTCCATTTCGATCGTGTAGCCACGAAGTTGATGAACCTTTGCGTACGCATTTTCCCGATGTAGTATTACAAACTAAATCCCCACAACACGATTTACCGAATAGGCCTAAGCACCTTTTGCCAAATACAGCACAACCAAGAAATCTAAATTTGAAAACATCCGAAGAAAAATATTTATTTTTATTCATTGCGAAATCAGAACGGTACCTTTTCTGATGAGTAGAAATTGCACCTAAATCTCTTGTTCGAGCTACAGCAAAGTGTACAATAATCAAAAGAACTAATGCAAAGGTAACCATTCGAAGATGAGTCATGTGTTCTTTTTTTAAATTAATCTCAAGAAAAATAACTGCTAACAATTATTATTGAATCAAATGTTAAAGATCACAATAAATATAAAATAAACACCTAGCATCGAAAATGATACAAGTAGTATATCATGTACATCTAGATATATAGCAAAATGTCGTTTGTAGAAAAAAAAATGCATCATAGCTATTCATCGAATGAATAGCAACTGTGCTAATTGATTTTCTGATAAGAATACAATTACTAGTTCTAAAAACATATATTAGTCAGCGTAATCGCAAAGTAGAAGAATAGAAATACTTATTAATTGGCACTTAGATCGAAATGTGCGAAATTTGCCCGAGCAGTTGCTAATTGATAAATACAAATCTATTATATTATATTATATTATATGTACACTAAATTGCGAATGATCTAACAAATATTAGTAGACAAATGTAAATATTTTGAACTAATGAACGAATAAAATAACTTTTATTCACTGAATCTATAACATATGCAATTTTTTCTGCATTGCAAATGCTCTATTTCATTATTGGCGTTGTCTTTTACGTATATTAATATACCATATCGTAAAATATATAAATACGATCTACCAGTAACCATTTGAATCTTGTATTGAAATGTACGAAGGAGACTCCAACTTTTTTTTTGCATTTTTTATATTAAATTTAAAGATATACGTACTGTGTTTATTCGAAATTTGGATACAATGTAATCTCCGCTGCGATAGAATAAGCAGCAAGATAACATACTGTTGGTAGATTTGCTGAAAACAATAAATCATGTATTTTCGACATGCATAGGTCAGTTTTTGTTGGCTTAAGTCATACAGAAAGGGAATTATCGATTTCTATCATATAAAATTATCTAGGAAGACCATGGATCTTGTTTTGCAAATTTAAGAAATTATCTCGAGCAAGGATATTAAAGTTTCATAAACATGTTTTTAGATAGAAAATAAAAATATTCTACAATAACTGATATACGTATCACGATGAAGAAATGCTCTTCGATTGTTAGTTTTTATGTACTATTCAAATTCAAATCAAGATTGATTATTCATTTCTCAAATCAGTGGATAAACTGAAGTTAGTAATTATGAAAAATGATACTTTGGTTTGTTGAGATAGTTAACAGAAGTATTTTTTTCTACTAGGCAATTAAATAAAGAAAAAAAAATCGCCTTGCTATCATAAAAAGATTGGTACATTCATCGCTATATGACATAGATGATCAAGCTATTTTATAGCATTGAAAAGAGTTCGATAAACAAAGAAGTTATTTCATGCTTATAGTATGTGATTCAAGCACTCAATAGAGATTACTGAAGCAAAACGTTTTTGACATAGGTCAGATTTCTGATTTCAGAGATATTTCTCAGTTTGAACACGTCCTTGTAGACAATGCACGATTGATTTATCTAGTTTGTTAAAACTTGGACTGAACTGTTAAGAATTACAAATCAATTTTTAGCTCTTATCAATCAGAAACACAGTAATAACAATCTATTCGAAAACTTTCTAAATTCATAATTTAGATACTTTTATGTGGTCCATTGATTTTAAATAGCAAGCCAAGGTTTTCTAACTATAGACTTCCTTATTTCATTGATAATACGTCCTACTACTCCGTAAGTTTGAGTTTAATCAGTGCATCACCATTGAAATTTTCTCCGTATCGCTTATATTCATTATCGTTTTTCAGTCCGTTTGATTCCAATGATATGTGATTAAATTGTTTTAGAAAACTCAGATATTATTTATGCATTCAAATCGAAGTATAGTCATTTTATCAATCGATAAGTTCACATTGGAAAATATGTAATTATTTCATGCTTTTTGAAATCATGCCCTTTAGCTGCTTTTGGATATCTCTGTATAGTTTCTATTTAAAGTTCATTAATTATGCGTTTAGTACTGTGTTCTTTTAAAAATTAAAAATTTGAGATTTCGAATCAAGTAAATCGAGAGCATGAATGGAACTTCCATTGTACATAATTTGATTATGTGATAGAATATGGACGAAAATTTCCAGTTTTGAATCTTGGCATAAACATTAGTTTTAATGAAGAAATTTATTTTTCAGCTCTGAGATTTCGAATTAATAATATTTTTTTCAAGAAAAAATAAGTTGACATATAAGAATTATCTGCTGGGTATCATGAACAATATACAAGAGGTTTCTGTTTTCATGGAATTCTTCAACTGTATCTGAATAATACCAAACTTTCTCATTCATACGTACAATCAATCAAAACTCGGCTTCTTGTATCATCCTATTATAGCAACAAAATCAATATACGTCAAAATACATCTTAATCGACTGCACGGATTGAATAGATGTCTTAATAAAAAAGAAAATATCTACTTGAAACACCAGATTTTCCCAAAAGTCTTTCAAATGGTTACCAGTATTAACAAGGAACTAGCTTGGTAGTTATTATAACAATGCAGACCAAAAACAGTATTTTGAGCTTTGACAAATCTTACTCAGGGTGTTTTCATTCTCATTGGAAACAAACTTTCACTCAACTCAAATAACTTACCGAGCCCATGTAGATATTTGAAAATAATTCCTCGTTCAGTTGAGTATTAGTTGAAAAATAACTAGTAAAAACCTCTCTAGAAGTATGAAGAACAAGTGCGAACACTTCCTCTAGAAAATGGAAATATTCTAAATATCTCATGAAGTACTGGAGAAAACATTCGAGCTTCTTCTTCTACCATAGAACAAGACTATAATACAATAGTATAATTTTAGTTTGTTGAAAAATCCAGGTATTTTCACATAAAATTTCTTTAGATTATTTGAAGCAATTGAATAGCTAAATAATGCATAAGATCGACTTCAAAATGGTTCCTTTGTCGAAAATAAAAGGAATTCAATATTTTGAATCATTTCTCGTATCAGATGATTTTACATATCCCAGATTTTATTTACTAGAGGACGTACGTCCATATATTTATTGACGAAATGATAAATTAATTTTTTCAATCGAACGATATTTACCTCTACAAATTTCCTTTTAGTATTATCAAAAATCAAATGACGCAAAAGCTGATAATAAATAATCAGATCTATTTTCGTTAAATTCATTATTCTTTGTCAGTAAAAAAGATGACTCTTTGTCACGTAAGTAACAAGCATGCAACGAAAATTGATTGCAAAAAAAACACCAGCAAAGATTCCAACGAGAATAGCTTCTTTTTCTTGGAAAACACTGAGAATTTTTGCCTCGTAAATCATACATCAGTTTGTTTGATAATAAATATCCTATATATTCAAAGATTTATTTAAACAGAGGACACTCAATATTAGGAAAAAACGCCGAAATCGGTGAAAATAAACATTGTTTCTTTTTCTTTTCTCAATTTTCCAATTACATGGAAGTTCATCAACAATCTATAAACGTAATCGCTTACTGAATTCATTTAATACATATCCACGACGAAAATAAGATGTTGTTCATGCTAGAAGTACATAATCACAATCTAGCGTTTGACAATTCGGTAAACAAAGTAAAAATTCTTTGATAATTTCAGGATCTTGTAAAGATGTTAATATAATAGTTAAGCGACGAACAGTTGGCAGATAGAACCATGCGAATAGTGATGGTGTGGCTATCATTAAGTCAAATTTCCATTTTAATGTTAGCGTTGTTAATCATGTAAATTCATCTCGAAGATGAACTAAGAAATCATTTGTATACAAAATTCGATCATGTAAATCAACGTCATGCACAAAACGCCATTTACGAATTGATTTCTTTGTTTGTTGAAACTTTATTATTGATTGATCAAGATCACGATGATGAAATGGAAATGGAAATGTATATGTTACAGTTGACATGAGAATTTAGTTGCGATTGGAATAATAGATTTAATTAAAGATAGAAAAAATAGACACAAAAGAGAGCGAAGAAAAGAAAAGAACAGAAGAAAACAATTTCGAAAATCAAAATGCAAATAAAATTATATGAACGATATGGAAATTTTTTTCTATGAGTTAGATTTAGCAAACTATTTTCTAATTGATCATAATTTAGATTTCTTTTTTAAATTGGTGACCAAAACAAAAGAGATTTTTATTTCTTACTTTTCATTTATCTCAACGCGCTCTCATCTCGCTTGTATGAGTCATACAGTAATTAATATTAAAAGAAAAGAAAATACTTCGTTGATTATGACAATAATGTTACATCATCAAATAAATACTTATTTATCCGAGTTTTACACTTTAAGAATTTAGTAGAATCTATTAATATCTAAGTTTTTTGTCATCATTTCTTTTTAATTTAAGCTTTTATAATTGATAATCGTCACTATGAAACAGACAATGATTAGACATAAATTACGAAGTTTCTTTTATATTAGCTTATTTGTTTTTAACGAAGAACGATTGTAGATAATAACACATCAAATGGAGTACTCATATAAGAAACTTCTTTATTAATTTCATGAAAAATTTAAAAAATCAATTTACTTTCCTTCCATATCATTCGATATAAAAACTCGTTCCATTCCCATCCCACCTGCTCGAGACCCGTACTTCGAAATAACGATAGCGAAACTCTCTTTCTGTCTTTTCTTCGAAAGCAGAACGAAAGAGAAAAATCAATGTCCCTATGTCTCAATGTCCCGCGTATTAAAGCAAACATCTTTTCAGAATCTTTCTCATTTCTCTCTCTTCAATCCTGAAAGATTGACACAATTCATCTTGGAAACAAAAACGTGTTTTTTGAATCTGCATACTCAATCAAACTAACTCATATCACTCACTAATAAAATTTTATTTCTATGAATCACTCTCTCATAACATTTATAGAATAATCAACAATTTCAATCTCAACTAGATTCTAAACTCTACTGCCACATATATATAGTGATTGGAAGGAATGGAAAAAAATGAAAAAACACGTAGAAGGTTCGCATGGAAAACTACAGAAAAAAGCGCTTCAAAATAATCTACTTCAAAATAAATGAAACAAAGTCACCAGTGAAAGAATATTTACCGAACAGAATTCAAGTTATATCACGATGTAAGTCGTTTTTTAAATGATCGATTGATATTTCAAAACAATAGTGATTAATTAAATCGAAGTATATAAAAAGGGAAAGCAATTCGATTGTTTTTGTATTTTAGAATCTACGTATTTAGGTTAAAAGAATTAATTTCAGTGAAATTCTGACAAGAATTTTATTTCGAAAATGCTAACAGTATTTGCCTCTATATGTTGTATATTTACTTGCATGTAGTTCAGCTGTGACCATACGGTATTTTGGCTCTATTATAAATGATTTCTATCGGCTGTAGTGTAGGTTGTGGATATGTGTTATCTCATACTTATAATGATATGGATCTGTGAGATCTTTCTTACATTGTTACACACTTGGAAGAATTTTCTGTTTTGATCAGAGAGAACGTTTATTGCAAGCAAAATATTTGATTAAAAAAAGGAAATGGACATTGAACAACTATGCCTGAGACAGATATTATCTTCTATAAAGAGATTGGCAATTCTGTCAATTTAATCTTTCTATACTGTTATTCTTAACAAAATTTTGTTTGAACTGCAAAGAGACTATATTATTCAATCCATATTTTCTTCAAATAAAACTTCAACACTAGGAAATTTGAAAAGTTTTGAAGCATTTGAGTTTCCAATTCTTCTATAATTTTCAAAATCTTTTTGTTTTGTGCGGCGCTTTAATGATTAAGCTAGTACTGATGTTTGAATATTGAGAAAACTCAGTAGTATTTGTTAAATTCTCCTTGTAGTTCTGTTTCAGAAAGAATTATTTCTGTCTAGTTTCTGACTTCGATGGCAAGAATGATGATTTTTTTAACAGTTTTTCTTATGGATTCACTAAAGATTTTATTTGCAATATTTTACTTCGCTTTTACGTTGAACCAGTTTATTAACGAAAATACAGTTATTCATATGACAGATAGAAAAGAAAGGAGGCGAAGGTGGTTACTCATTGATGGTTTATTCTCATCTGTTATTTAGTTAGTAGAGGAAAGCCAATAAGAATCTGAATTCTGCTTATAAGGTATTCTTGAAACGTCTCGCAAATATTTCAGTTGAGAATATAGACTATTTCATTTAGTTTAAATGACATATGCTCAATTACAACTCAACTACGATGATTTCTGTCTTCTTTGCTTTTATTGTCGCACTTATTTATGTGCATTCCATGGTTCATTTACTGATTCTTGGCGTAGAAAGCTGAAGAGTGTGTAATGCAGTCTATTGAAGCATTAATATTTGTATTAGTATTTTTTTGCCAATTTCTAATGACAGTTCTCAAGATATATTGTGCTTCGAGTATTGCAAGCAATATTCGAGAATATTGTCAAATTCTAACAGTGGAGTAGTACTACTTTTGAAAAAAAATCAAAGTCACATGTAGCAAAACGGATAGATAATCTTTGCAAATCATAAAGATTCTTGTTATACATCGATTTGCTGACGTGAGGCAAACGCTTATTTTGCATCCTATTGTAGTACTAGTTATGGTACACAATCGAATAGGATTTTGGTATTTTGTCCTGTCTCTTGAAAATAATTTCTAGTCAGCTACTTCTCACTGCTGTGATGCATAGGCCACAATTCGCAAAAAAAAACTAAATACATAGAACAAGATCAGATAAAAACGAGATAGAGAAAGAAATCACATCCTACATCACTGTCAGAATACCAGAGAAATGAAAGGAATGAAAGAGAAAAAGAAAGAAAGAAGAGCCTACATATATTCATACTAATCGTCTTTCTGAAACTTGTTATTTTTTTCATTTATTTGGCAGTTGCGTCTTAAAGTAGGTAATGCCTATGTACTGATTCGTTTATGTATTCACTTATTATCGTAGTATCCTTCTTTAGCAGCCTTTTTTATTTTTTCTCATTCTCTTCATCGTATCGCCTATATCCTAGTTGCATGAGTAAAAGCTCTAGAATTATATGGTAATGCTCGAGTCTCGTATAGAATCAATAAGGTCTAATGTCAATGATCATAATTCTAACACTTAAGTATCTTTTTTCACGTTAGATTAATGTAGCCGTCCTTGTCTAGCTCAGATCACATCATTAATTCATTGTTTCATTTTATTTTATTTTAATCGTTTAACTAATGATTTCTAACTTCGCGGAATTAGGGTGTCCTTTACCATGGACATGATCGTAGTGCTGAAAAATGGTAACAGAAACAAAACATTTATTATATAGGAAAGAGAAAAAAACGAAAAAGCTTTGTATCGATGTAGGGATATATGTTGACTAAATGTCACACTAGTATAAAACATACAAAATAATATGAGTCTACTTATATAAGTTGACGAAACGAACATTTCTTATTAGATTGAAAACAACCCATATATTGATATTCTTACTTTGCGACAACTCAAAATATGGCTGCTTGGAATAGTATGTACACAAGTAGTTTTTATCAAAGCATCGAATATATTAACTATTTGTTTCAGCTGGTCTATTTGATTGCTGCAGTGATGGTGGCATTTGTCTTTATGGTTGGTGCTGCGCACCTTGTCTGTATGGAGAAAATGCTGAAAAAATCGATGGCAGTAGTTGTTTCGGTTCATGCTGTATATGGTACTTGCTTGCACAATGCAGTTTATGTTGTTTAGTACACATGGGCAAACGACAAACATTACGCGATCGTTTTGGTCTTGCAGAAGATTGTAGCGATTGTGTAGCAACAACATTTTGTGCTCCATGTGCGATTTGTCAAGAAGCGCGCGAACTTAAATTTCGTTCAGCTGCTCATGGAGGTATTTAAACATAATGGTAGTTTTATTAATTATGGAATATTCTATTCTCAATTATTGCAGGACCCGCACCAGTTGTAACACAACCGATGGGCGCACCTATGTATTCACCATATGGACAACAAGGAAATATGCAATCTACATATGAACAACCCGCAATGAGAAAACAATGAACATTTTAAAATGATTGGATTCAATAATTTACTTTTCAGTTCATTTATTTATTTATCATTTCATAATATTCTTTTATATTTTCTTGTTCTAAGTTGCTCGAAACATATTTACTTGTGTATAATATTGGAAAATAAAAGATAATGATTAGAACCAATGATCATTTATATATGACAAGACATAGATTGATCTAATATATAATTCTGTTAAGATTTTTGTTATTATTTTTTTAGTATTTATATTGTAAAACGAACTTGTATTATTAACAGTATTATTTTCTTCTTCTTCTATTAATATTTTAATCATTAACTACTGCTTTTGATTGAACATGACGTGACTTCTAATCATTTTATTATGACCTTCTATGATTAATTGTGTCTGATTTTCAAAACGTCTTTGCCCACAGTTTTTATATTAACTGAAAAATCAGCAGTTAAACAAGATGGTAATTTCGGTCTAAAAAGATCTTTATATATTCTGTCGATGCTCTGTTAAAATGACTTGCATTTTCTAGACAAATAATGAATATCAGGTTTCAGCTATTCAAACAAACGAGAAACTAGTTTAATTGGACTCGCTCACAGTATGTTCCATTGAATAAATCCGCCTGTTTTAAAAGTCGTCGCGTTTATATTCACGATATCAGACTACAATAATTCTTTATACCTTTTTGTTATGAATTTTAACGAATGGAAAAATAATAATTTTTGCAAATGATTTTTCAAACCAAATTACAGGATATTCTCCTATACACATTACTATCTGTTATACTGTTCGAGGATAGTGTTTATTAAATTCTTCATTTATGATTTTAGTTGAAGAACATTACTTTGATAGTCTTTAATGTTATGTCTTGTGACAAAAATTGCAAATACAGTCAGAGAGGTCTCACATTTCAAGACTAACACTACTAGAATCAATAAATACATTATCAACATATTGTGCTAGAGACGAATCATCAAAAAAGTAATTAGTCGATTAAGAAGAGCAATTGGTAATTCTGATGGCAATAATAAATATATATCTTTTTTATGAAAACATCTATGAATGTATAATAGGGTCACATGTGCATGAATAAGAAAGTTTTTTCTTTCTACATTAATGAAACATTTTGATTACGAAGCCCTGATTTATATATATATATATTGAGGTTTATTATCGGCTTCAATGAGGCAAAACTATTTAAATGAAATTTTTCATGGCACGTTTGCAAAGAGCTATGTAATCAAATATGAGAAAGCAGTCGTTTTCTGGTGGCGACAGCTGCCAAAAGCTAACGTAAAGAATACAACAGATTTATAAATAATAGAACACAGCGCGGAAAAAATATTATGTCAAGTACACCACTAGAGTAATATATAGCAGAATATGAAAACTTTTGAATGATATTATTGATTGAAATTTAGATAAATGCATGAAGGGTCAAGTTTTTTTTCTTTCCTTATCATGTGGATTTTTTTCCTTTTGACATAGAATGAAGAATGCATATTTAAATTGCACTTTGAAGTATTGTATTTCAAAGATTTCGTGTAAAATCGTGCAAACAGTGGTATAAAATATATTTGCTGTAAAACGAATAGCTTTAGTAAAGAGTACAATGTAAGATGTTCTCGAGCTATGAATAGAAAACGGTTTAAGAGCTGTTAAATCAACATAATTAATAATCAGCAAATGTTTTCAAAAAACAACTGAAGAAGAATAAAGACACTACTTAGATTACTTTTTGTACTGGATCAATAGTTTGGTTACCCCATGTTGTGTTGTTTCTTCATCAAATATAATTTCTCTAAGTGTAACGACATAGAATATGTTCACTATAGTACTCAATAAGAATCAGAAAAAGTATTTTATCTTTATTCATTTACGTGAAGATTTGTTTGAAAAATCGTTTTCTTTTGAAGAATAATCAAGAGATGTTAAAATGCGATGCACGATTACTATCTGCTTTAAGCAATATATATTAACAAACTATAGATGCACAAAGTGTATGCCACACTAATTATTTATGTGAGAAAAAATTAACGAAAATGTTTCTGCTTTCTTATGTAAATATATTTGGATTTGAATTTCAACGAAAGTGGAATAAAACAAATTATACTATGAGATCTTACTTGGTGTATTCTATTTTTAGTCTAAATATATAAATTTGTTTTGTTATTGAATGCAATAGTGAGAAAAAAACTTGAATGATGATACATAGCTCTAAACGATGCGAATATGAACCATAAGACAACTTAGTAAACTATGAAATTGATGAAGAAAGAAAAGATCACTTGAATTGATTGTGAAGTCAAGTCAATGCAAGAAAATGATAATAATTTCGTTCTTTTTCGAATGTTTTTAGTTAGCTCCAGTGTTTGTGACAGGTGATGTCGACGATGAAGAAACTAGTTAGTTTCCATGGATTACGATTTTTCTTCTGATTTTCAATTATAAAATACAAGCAATATGATACGTCAATTGCAACCATTCGGACTTATGTGATGGTATCTTTGGCAGTCATCAAGAATCCCTAAATAATCAAACAAATAGTTTGATCTCGAAGTAGTTTTTACATTTGATTTGTTGAATTCTTTTATTATACTAGTAGGTGACCGAAAAATAATCAAACAAAGTATTTGTTAAGTTTACAAACTATGTAACGAGTTCCTATAAATATCTTAATTTCTATCTAAAATGCAGTTGTAAAGCGAACTCCATTGTTCCAGAATCGCTGTTCTGAGACTCCTGGTTCTAAGGCAACTTTGGAAGTAAATATTGTGTCTAGAGTTTTTGGGCACAAGATCATGGATGTGTTCGGTGAATTATGCGTGGTAAGTGTCAATTTTCATGCTTAGACTTGATTTTCGTATCTTTAACAAGTTATTTTAAAGAAATTTTGGATGAATCTCTTTTATTTTAGATTTGCTTTGACAGTTTTTACATTTCACAATTAAATAAAATTTTACTCAGTTCAACATTCGATCAATTAACTATACATGTTTTATTCATCTAAAACACAGTCAAAAGATATTATGCCTTTTCTCAGCATTTACTGTTGCGACAATAATAAAACTCGGCGATCGTAGTGATTCATTTAAAGGCAAAGAATTCGCGTTGCACTTCATCACTGAAAATCTCACACGAGTTTAAGTGTAATAAATTTGTGTTTTTGAATGAAGCCTTCTATTGTTACACTACAAATGACACCGATATATATCTATATAGACGATCATTGCTGAGAGTTTCTCGAAAATTTAAACTTCTCATTCGTCTCTTTACATAAAAACAAGAATTTAAAACAAAGAACTTTTACAGATCGTGTAGTCTAACAGTCGTTTTTTTGAAGAAGAACAAATAAAATGTTTAAAGTGAAAATTCATTTTCCATTTTTGACTACTACTAATTGACTATCTACCAGAAAACATAATCATATAGAACTACACATTCTAGAATATTCTCTTGACGATAAATAGAATTTTCAGCATACAATGTGATGCCATTTGAGTGCATCTGATGTGATATTTAATATTTTGAGAGGAAGGAAGGGCATCTAAAAGTCAAACTACAAACATGGTAAAATAATTATTTTGCCAAAAGAAATATATTTAAAGCATCATAAGTAGAAAAGGATTTAAAGAAAAATTTTACACAATCGTTGAGATACCTTATAAAAACAACAGATAAGATGATCAGTGAAACTTTTAATTGTGACATATAATAGACAACTTTTCCCGAAAAAAATGCCATTTACACATTATTTTTTAATCAAGAAAAAAGAAACGTTCGATAATCTCATACGCTCATGTTTCGATAAAATTATACATAGACATATTTATCTGGCGAGACCTTTAGTAGTTTTTCATCTCCTTGTATGTATAACTATGAACGAGACGATCACTAGCAAAAAGCAAACAATCAAAAGTTACATCTCTATTAACTTGACGATGACTGTACAAACGAATGGGAGGCAGACAAAATCGTCTGAGCACATTTCGGCTAATAACCCCAAGATAAATACTCATTTAGAAAAACGATAGAGAATAGGGCGCACGTTCAAACATTGACTATTATATACACATACAGATACAGACATAGCTATAATATATATCTGTCGGTCATTTCTCGAATTTATTTAACGTGAATGATTAACGTTTAGAGCGACGAGAATGAATGTTCTATATTGTTGTTAATGAGTATGTGCGGAAGGACGACATGGTACAATGGTTAATGATTATTCTTGTTTATGACTTTGCTATTCTTCAAGTTTGTTTGAAAACATGTTTTCTCTAATATTAAATTTTTTTTTGTTCATTTAATGTGTTATAGTTATCTTTAAGTGAAGTAACGCTTTCCTTACGCTTACTTCATTATAAAAATCCAAGTGGTTTAACATATGAAAATCATCCATGTGATACAAAACTCGAACATGATATCAATAGAGATGGCCGATGTGATACTGCAATTTTATTTTGTCTAGTACGATTACCATTTCAAAATCCACATAATTGTACATTAGGCGATCATTTTACGGGTTTTGTTGGTGGTAATGATATCCAATTTATTGATATCGATAAAAAGCAAGAAGATCGATCGGCTATTCAACCACGATCATCATCGTTTGTGTCTCTTTGGTATCAACCAATAATTCATTTTCGATTTAAATATCCAAAAGTATAGTATTCATAGTATTTACATGGATAGATTTTTAAGATACTTTTTTTCTCTATATTTTTCTAGACAGGTATCGGTTTAATTGTAGAAGTGCTTGATATTGATGATGTTAATAATCGTACAATTCATGATTCAATTGATTTTTATGGAAGAACATTGCTCGATCTTAAAATTTATAAATCAGCAGAAACAGCAGAAATGCAAAGAATTTCCTTGCGTAGTTTGTTTGGTGCTTATACGAATTTAACAGCAGATATTTCGGTTTGTTTTCTAATTATATGCTATTTTCTTTTGATTTAATAAACTCGAAATTTCAGCTTTATTGTTCGCCAAATTATTATGGTAATAATTGTGAAATAGTTTGTATACCAAATGAGCAACGCTATGATTGTGATCTGGTTACGGGTCAAAAGATTTGCAAACATGGCTATTTTGGAGCAGACTGTCTTAGTGGTAAAAAGAGATGTTCTAAGTTTGAGAAAAAGAAAAATTCCTTTCGTTTTAGATGTGCCTGCTTGTGAAGAGGAGCCATGTTTAAATAATGGAACATGTGTTGTATATCTACGAAGTTATCTGTGTCGATGTTCAAAAGGATATAGTGGGCGAACTTGTGAGATCGGCAAGTATCAAATAGATTTTTATTCATCTAGTTTGACCAGTAATATTTTGACTAGGCCCAACAGGGAAAATTGCTGAGCAGATCTGTAATCGAATAAATTGTGTTCATGGTGATTGTTCAGAAAATGGAAAATGTATTTGTCATGACGGTTGGACATTGGAATATTGCAATCAAAGTTCGCTAATGGGTATATTCGTTACTTTAATGGTTGATCTGTAGAAATATTCTATTAGAATATAAACTAAACTCAGTATTTCAATTCTTCATTGATCTTAACGCTTAAAAATTCAATTTATACAGAGAGAGAGAGAGATATTTCAGAACATCCTAATTTGACCAATAATGATTAAGCAAAAGTTCATTAGGAATAAGAATCGTTGACTAGTCTTGTTCTTTTCACTGCGTTTAATAATTGATGAATATTTCGAATGATAATATAATCCTATATAAAACGAAATAAGATTAGTTAAGCATTAGACTTAGATCTTGAAAGAAACTTTTTGATTTCAAATTCACAACGAAATTAATTCTATGCTTTTAACCAATCTAGATTTCTAAAATGATGATTACTATTGCTTTTGCTTTGAACTACTTCTTCCTGTTCAATTAAATCTTTTGGAATTTGCATTCTTATCGATTGTCATGCTTATCTAATGTTCTATATCAATAATTGATTTTCTGGCATTCTAGTAGCACGTTCGAGCATCTTCTCTAAAGAGAGACATTCAAATTCGAATGAAATCTTGAAAATGACTAGCCTTACATTCATCTTTATATAATCTTATATTGTCAGAATATAAATACCGAGATGGCTATTTACTCCCAGGAGTTTCTTCGTAATTGATATCCCATTGTTTCATTCTATTTTGCTAATAGATTCAGCTAGTAGACTCGTGTTTTCTATTAACATTATACCTAATTATCTCGAGTTTATACTCATTACTTTAGCTCAGATTTAATTTGTTTGTTATTTATTCTAATAGAAGAATCTGGTTGTGCGAGTCGTCCCTGTCTACATAATGCAACATGTGAAATATTAATTGGTGTTAATCCAGTGTCGGCTTATCGCTGTCATTGTCGATCAGGTTACACTGGTCGGAATTGTGAAGTTGGTAAGAGATAACATTTTGTTTACTATTCTTTTAAAACGTTTATTGTTGTTTCTTTTACAGCTATCATTACTTCATGTGAACGAATATCATGTGTTCATGGTAGATGTTATAAAATTGATTTATATTCAGAAATTTGCAAATGTGAAAATAATTGGGGTGGAATTGATTGTTCTCAATCTTTATCTAGTGAAAGAGACAGAAGACATTTATAGATTTAGTGTAATAATTTCATCCTTTTTAGTTTCATCAACTACTCAAAAAGTCTTCCTACAAACATCAAAGACAACGAAAAAAATTGTTCAAATAACAACACCGACAAAAGACATAAAAAATATAACTAATATACCTTCAAAAACTGATCTACATGAATATCTCATTTGGTTAAATCAAAATTATGGTATAAGTAAAACGACAAGATTATTTCCACTACCTGTTACAACACCGATAATATTGGATGAACACAGTATAAATGAAATAAGATATTATTTCATAAAATATATCTTTTTTCCTCTCTAGAATATACACCATGTTTAAGTGCACCATGTCTTCATGATGCAACTTGTATTGTTAAATCTGAACATTTATTCGAATGTATTTGTCCACCTTCATATATTGGAACTGTGTGTGAAATTGGTAAGAACATGATGCGATAGTTTTTTTCTTTTATCTGACTTTATTATTACTCCAGAATTTTTAAAAAGTCCGCAGTCTAGTAAGTTTAGACTTAGAATAGATTAAAAGAATGCATGCTAGATAAAGAAAAACTTATCAAAGCTTTCATCTGAAAAAAACTTTATCTTACAGAACAAAATCCATGCGAAAGTTCACCGTGTCAACATCATAGTATTTGTGTAACAAAACTTAATCGTACTATTCAATGTCTTTGTCGACCTCATTATACAGGCAAATTTTGTGAATATCCAGGTATAGTATTTTCTTTTTATTTCTGCGAACATTTTTCTAAATACAAACCTTATAGTACCTTTTCCACTATTACCATTCAATCAAAAATGTACTCGACCTTGTCGCAATGGTGGTATTTGTCTGGTACGTTGAGTTGAAAGTTTTAACACAAGAAAATATTGAGAATTTTTAATTTAGATTGATGAATCTAATCGAGAACAATGCATATGTAAAGCATCGCATACTGGATCATACTGTGAATTAATTAAAAAGAACTGTTCTACTAGTAATGGTAGGCTAATTTCATGCGCATAAAACAAGTATGATATAGGTCTATAACAGTTCAGAACTGAGAACTGTAGTCGCATTCCTAACCAGTTCCTTTCTGAAGAACTCGAACTGGTCACCAGTTCCTTTCGAAAGAACTGAACTGGTTGCTCATTCTCTCTGTGTAGAAATATTCGACCGTTTTGAGATACAGACCAATATAATATGAAAATTTTTTCTATGTATTTATAGATACATAGATGTCCCTATGTAATAATATACACAGGTACCAGTTCTCAAAAAAAGAACTGGTCCAAGGTGCCAGTTCTAAAAAAAAGGACTGGCTGATGAACCTAGTTCATCAAAAAGAACTAGTTCGAAGAACTGGTAGCTGTCGCAGATCTAGTATGATGTCTTTTTATTAGTATTGCGCATTAAACCTTCATGAACTGTGTAAAATTTGTTCACAAAGCATTTTCATTGAATAACATACACTAGATTTATGGTTAAAACGCGCAAAGATGAAATGTTATCAGTGATTACTAGTCATACAGTAGATCTCGGAATCGGTGTTCGATTAAGCGTTATACTGGTTGATATAAATTCGTGTAATATAACAATAAAAATGATGAATGCATGATAGAAATAGAATGACGTCATATTCATTTAGATTTTCCGTTGCAAAGAGCTTCAGTCCAAGAAAACATTTGCATCATTTCAAACGTAGTACGGCGATGAAAACTAAGAGTTTCTCTAAAACGAAAATTTGAATTAAAAAATGTGAACAACTCAATTATAGATTTAGGCTCATAGACATCAATGTCTATTCATTTTTTTATAGGATTCAACCGTAGTCTTCTCATGCATTCACTATGCTCGCCGTTCCCTTAAAACTGCATGTTTAAGCCTGTGCAAATATGTAGACAAGATCAGTAGGTCATTATGTTTTCATCTCTAATCGAATTAAATATCAATCAGGATAATATTGTGTGACTATCAAAATGGTCACCTTAGATTGTTCTACTTGTTAAATACAAAAGAAATGATCTAAGTTCACTTAAGGGAAACATGCACGAACAAAAGACACTTTGCTATTAATGAAACATTTATAAGCTGAATAGTAATATTTTATTCTCATGTAGAAAAAATGGAGAAAAATAAGACAGACTGTCATCTAAAAACATTATCAAAGAATCGAACAGATAAAAATATATCAAATAATTTTACAATAAATCAAGATAAGATGTTTACCAACTGTTTACATCTACAGCAAACGAAGAGACCATCGAACATTAGTTGAAGTAGAGACGACGAACAAGCCATTCAAAACATAGAAATATTTTTTGATGACCTCTTCAGAATAGGGATGAAAATGATTGTTTATAAGCATTTTCAGTATTGATTCTCACATAGTTATCTAATTAATTCTTCATGTTCAAATGACATTCTCGAAATTAAGTTAGTTGCATCTGTTTTTAGTACTCAACCGGAAGTTTTTATCTATAATTTTATTATGGTGATATTTAAAAGAAATACAATTAATGTAAAGATTTCGTTTTACTGACTGGGGTTATATATAATCAGGAAGAGATGAAACTTTTGCCTATGAAGGCTTGATTCTATTTTATTCATATCAATTATTACACGAGATTGAACGAGATACTAGTTATGCCAACATTTTCACAAATATAGACTGGAATTAAATAAAAGTGGTAAATATTAGTTACGAAATACTCATTCTAATTTTTTGCCTTTTGTCTTTAAACATTTACAGTTAATCGTAGTTTCAAATGATCACCAATAAAGTATTTGAAAAAAAAGAATATTAATGTTTATTATTTATTCATATTATGAATACAACGAGTAAACATATAGACTATGGAACCAAAGAATCTCATAGAAATGTTGATACTTGTGCTTGTCTATAATACTAGCTTTGACTAATCATAATCAATGAAAGCGTTGTTAAACATGATGAGCACTTTTTTCCGACTTATAACTTGATAAAGTTTACAAAACAAATATGAATAATCTGTGTATCTTTTGATACATGTAGAAAACATTCGATTCTGTAGTAGTGTTTATTTGACAAGCGATCGGAAAACTTATTAGATGGATTTTATTCACTAGCAAACATTTTTGTTCAACCGATATCACATACTAAATTTTTTGAGATAAATCTCTTGTTTTAATAAAAAGAACTTTCAGAAAATCTTTTAAATTTTTGTCCAACTATTTTATTCAATAAACCATACTTTGTTTTTGTAGATTAAATAATTGAAAAGTTTAATCATTTCTTTAGTAGTGAAAAGTTCATGAAGTTATGACTTTTATACTTAGGTTCATGTTTTAGTGAATACTCGTTCGTAAAATATCAATAGAATGATAAGCCTATTCCGATTAAAGTAAACAATTCTCTAGATCTACATTTGAATCGATGGTTTAAATTGTTGACAACATATTGTTGTCTGCCGGAAGAAATATATCTCGCCCGTAAATTTTCTATGCGCTTTTCTAATTTAATATTTTCATCGGAAAAACACAAGTAACTATGAATTCTATTAGATCCTTCCTGCCATATGAATCCATGTCTATCAAATCCGTGCTTATCAAATGGTACATGCCGTTCATCAATATCTGCAAAAAATTACACATGTTCATGTCTTTCACAATATACAGGTGACTATTGTGAATCAGAAATCAATTTGGATCCAACACTTGCTCTACTACGTAATACTAATTTAAAGCAAGCTGACAATACAACAACTGATCTTTGGCCATTAGCTATTATATTTGGTTATATATTTTCATTGATGTTAGTTTTTATCATCATTTGGTTTTTATGGTAAATTTGTTTTGTTTTTGTTTTTTATTTTTGTTTTTTTATTGATTTTATTAATTAAGGTATGGTTTGACAATACGACCGCAATCATATATTCCATATGGAGAACGTTCTAGTGATCGTTATCAACCATATCGCTTAGGTGTTAGTAATCCACTTTTTTTTACAAATCAAGAATATAATACACCAATATCAAAAACGTGGTCAACACCAGCAACAACAATATCAAATCTTGATCAATGGACACGAACAATAACCCGTTAAATTATTTGAAACGAAAAAAGAAAGAAAGAATAAACTAAAAAAGTCCAAGAATGGTCTTTGGGCTTGATCTACTTTTTTCTCTGCTCTTTTTTCTCATTCGTACTATGTACACATTAAATGGAAAAAAACAGCAACAGTAAAGTAGATGAGTAACAAGCAAAAAAAAGAAATAAGCATGATTATCTTCACCAAAAATCGTCTTCTTCCGATTGCAGTTTAGGATTAGCATTATTATTGTTATTATTGGAATGTTTGCTTGCTGAGTCAACATCCGAAGTTGAGCTTGTTGCGGCGTATTCACGAACAATTTTTGTCGAGCCTCTAGTTAGTGGTGGAGGTGTGGATGAACTAGTATCATCGTTCTAAAGCAAATTACCATAAAAACCAAAAGAAAATAATACAATGTTTACTTTTTCTTGTTCAGGACGTTCGACAATTTCACTGATTGAGGATTCTAGTGAATTCGATCGTATTAGATTTTTAGCTAAGAAATAATTAATCAATCGTTTTCTATAGGAAAAACACAATCATTTTCTTTATCAATACTTGAATTTGCTTGATTAGTATCACGGTTCACAGGTGATATTGTTCGAGCTCTTGTTGTATAAATGTCAGCTAAAAGAAATTAAATTAAATTAAAAATAATCTCTTTGTTTGTCTTACCAGATTGTTGTCGAGCTAATCTTTTATTATTATTATTATTATTATTATTATTATTACTAATTGACGAAGGAGATGATGATGACGATGATAACGATAGTTGATGCTTTTCCATAACAATGGGTGTTCTCATATCAGGATGTTCAAGAATATTTGGTGCACTACCTGAACCATTTTCATTTGTGGAAAATGTTTTTGTTGCAGTAATGAAACGTCGATGTATTTTTTCATCAAATGATGACGGTTTTATTGTTATTTCAGGGTGTTCAAAGGTACGATCGTTACTCTGTGATATAGTTTTTTGTCGATCATTTGTTGCATTTTTTGACGTTAATAAACTTCTTAATTGAAGAAAAAAAGAAAGCTGATTTTCATCGATGATATCATTCAAAAATATGTTATACAAAATAGCTTTTTCTCATTTTTTTTGTTCTCTGTGTATTTACTTTTCCATGTAAACATTCCTATTTATGAGACATTGAATTGTTTTTCTAATATCAATAATTATAACTGCAAGATAGATATTTAAATAAATGAAAAACAAAATTCTTATTTTCCAAATTCATATCAGCTGAAAGAAAATTATTTAATTTGTTAATTAAATCTTACTCAGGTATATTAGTTAATGGTTGATCTTTATTCCAACTAAATTTATGTGAATGTGCACTGATCTCTTGCAATGACGTTGAAGTTGGCACTGCATTTGCTGTTGCTTTTTGAGTTTGCCCACTTAGTTTAACAGTTGGCATGCGTCCTACAGATGAGTAATCGTTTTCTGTAAAAATTATTTAAAAAAGAAAAATTAAAGCAAAAGAAAAATGTTAGATAAATGAAAATAGCTAGTCCTATTGTTGCTTTGCGACACTAAGCGGTCTTAGGCATGCTTAGTGAGAAAGAGAAAAAATCTCTTATTTACATTGCATGTCATCAAAATAAACAGTTTCTCAACAAGAAACTTCAATATGTGCTGTTGTACTGATTGTCCTCTCGATTTAATACTGAAACACAATGACGAAATACAAAACATGAATTAATCCTTATCAAGGACACAAAAACGAGAAAAAGCTTTTCAAAAAAAATCTGCTATCCAGTTTTATTGTCAGGCGGTTTGCAAAATACTTTTTTCCCTAATAAGATTTTGTTTATGCACTGAAAAAGTGTACCGACGACTGGTGCCTTATGCATATATTGAATAATGATAATGAAGAATGTCAAAGAAAATCGATCTTTTTCTGTATTACATTCTTGAAAAAAAATATATCAAGAAGGTCATATATCAGACCTCTTTTTTGCTCTATGAAACTTAAATTATGTACACAAATAAGTTCTGGTTAACATAATAAAAATATTGACATGTTTATATGTACGTTTTGGTACTGATGTATTATATTTCTTAAGATAACGAAAGAAAAAAAATTAAAAAAAGAACAAGTTATAGTGTTTTTTCTTGCAACAAATATCCGTCAAAGATATTTGACATTTGAATAGTATTTTGATGAAGACTTTTTTTCTCTAAGGTTCTCAAAAGAAGAAAGGAGGACTGGTGACAGTGACCATTTTCGATTCCATGTCAAAGAAAGATAAAATGCCCCTTGATAAGAATGTGCGCATGAGCATCGAATAATGACATGAGAGAGAAAAAGAAAAAAGAGTTTTCTGAAGCTAAAAGCAGTAATCAAGCAATCCTCCTCTATTTTAGCTTCTTGAAATAGAGAGTATGAAAGAGAACAAGAAAAATTCCTTACCAAACCTAAACAGAACCAATTCTTAAATGGTAGGATGACTCTGTAAACCTATGTTGAAGGTGCTTTCTTTTATTGTTAATTCACAGAAAAAAATTAACTGCATATTTAGAATTGGTTTGATCGGAAAATCTATTGGCTATTTTAAATTAACAAAAAATATGACGAATAAATTCATAAGAAACTAAATTAATAATATCTATTCTATAAATACAAAACTTTATCGTGCTCTCTTATAGAACGAGAACGATGACTATAGACTATGTGATCGGCAAGACTGGCAATCCAATAAGTTTAGCAGGTCAGTAACATTTTCTCCTATTTCTTATCACCCAATCAGTGTGTATTTGGGACGAGAATGATTACTCTTATTTTTATTTGTTTCCGTGTTATTGTCGTTCCGTTGGTGCTTGTCGTTCTTTTTTCCTTTTCCTTTTCTGCTCGGCAAGTTGACAAAGAAGTAGGATGACCAAAACTTAAACCGATCTGTGCTTCTCGCATCTTTAACTTGATCAAATGAAAAAATAATAGCAGATGAAAATAAACAACGTTGCTTTCAATGATTACATAATTATCTGTTATTAATAACTTTCTATCATAAATGAAAAATTCTATATGAAAACGAGATATTTCGTAAACCAATTTTGAATAAAGGATCATTTCCCAACCGACTATAATGCTTCTTCGCTGCAAAGATCTACTAGTGTCAGCAAAACAAAATGATCATTTGAGACATCTATTCACTTCCGCAATCAAGATGAGCTAGTTTTCAGCGAAATTCATAACATAGATATTTTTCTATATATCAAACAGCTTCTGTTCGTTATATAGAAGAATAGAAATTAAGGGGAGAATTTGTTTTGAATATTCTACGACTATATTTCTATTGAACAAGATAGTAGTAATATTCGTTCAAACTCGATGCAAATACAAAATTTTAGGTCTGATAATCAGAGTGATATAAGGAGTATTCTTATGATGATAGTATTTGTAAATAGATGTTAACAAGTTAGAATCTATAAACACGAACGTAAAGATGATTATACTTCTAGTTTTTTTCTTCTTTTTTTTTGGCCAGTTACCAATTGTCGATGACTACCAGTATGCCGCAGTAGGGCTGTCTAGGATGACTTCCTGACGTTAACGGAAGCTCGCTGAAGATTTTAATTGAATTATTTAGGCAACGAGATTCTTCAGGCACATCAATCTCGCGCAGGAAATCGGGCATCAAATGAGGTTAGTTTGATATAAATATGTCTAATAGGATATGTCACTTTAAAGCTTACTTGGATTTGAAAGAAGCATCATATTCTAGAATGTATTAATTTATAAAAGTTACTTATTTAATAGATAATGAAAAAAGCATTTGTTGATGCACGATTCCACGAAATGATCGAAAGAATATGAGACCAAAAACGTTGGTAGATTTTTCTATTCTTTCCTTCTGTCTTCCATTTATTCATTCTCTCTTCTTGTCACTTATTCATGGTAAATAGAGAGGGAAAGAGAGTAAGACAGAAAAGAATGAAAGCAATGTTTATCAGTGGAATGTTTTTTAAAAGTACTAACGAATAAAACATAGACCTGAAACATCAACAATAAAAAGAAACGACCATTGAATGCATACATATCCCACTCTTACTCCGCATTTCAACACTGATCATTTTGTTTTTTTTATTGCGAAAAAGCTTATTGGGCGAATCGCTTCAGACAAAAATAAGATTTTTTTATTACAGCCTACACATATAACGCGTGTCGGTATGAATGAAGTGTAAAAAAGACGCCCATTCAATTAAAATATTGCAAATACATACGTGTAACTACTAAATAAATACACAATGTTATGCTATGCATTGACGAAATGAGGATAAAACAATACGAAATAATCAAATAGATAAGAGAATTTGATATATTACTCATTTAGTACCAATTTAAAATACAAAATGTGTCTGTAGTGAAATGATAACTATTAATATAATGAAAAAGAGTAAAAGAGATGCCGTTGTCTAATTAATAAAACTAACGCAACTGTCAGTGAAACAGTTTTACTCCTTTGATTTTCTCGTTTTTCTTTTAATTATGTTTTATATAAAACCCGTAAATGTCGGTAGGAGCATTTTCTTTCATTCTTTCTTTCTTTGACGCATAAGAATTCAGACGCTTTGGAAATGGTCTTGATAGCTCTACAATTACCTGTTGGTTGTAAATTACTGGTATGCGAAGTCTTAGTCATAATGCGATGTTGATAGTCACGATAACTTTCTTCAACTTTCTATCAACATAAATAACAAAATTTCGGAACGAATAAAAATTTAAATTTCTAAACAAACGTCAGCTTCCCGATCAAGTTCAAGCATTCGTAATTTTGCGTCTTCAATAAATTGATTATAGTTTGATGATGTTGAATATCTACTGTGGTTTAACTGAATATCACTTGCCGATTTAATCACATGAGATAAATAATCGCCACCAGTATTACTTGGAAAACGACCATTAAAACTTTTTGACAAAAAACAAATTCAAGTTTTTAAATATATTATTGTTCTATTGCTTGAGGAGAAAAAAAAGTATTACTTACTAAGGTTCTGGTTCATTTGATGATTGCAATAAAGCAATTTGTGTCTTTAAATCGATTAGTTCATCGTTCACAACTTTTTGACCTACTTGTTGATTATCAAGAACAGTCTTTAATTCACGGATAATGCCTCGCTAAAATAGAAAAAAATCAATGAAATTCTGAGGAAAATTTTCTCATCATTCTTCTTTTTCTTACAGATTTAGTTGATCGATCATGAGGTGATGAACTACTGCTATCATGATGATGTCGATCTTCAAAAGAAAACAAAGAACAATTTTCTTTTAAAATTCTCTAAAAACGTTCACATACTCGAATGTTGTGATCGACTGTAAAAGTAGAAAACTTTTAAAATAAATCACAAAACACTTTAAATTATTTCTACCTTGTATTATTATTCATTTGTGCTTTTAAAATGGCATTTTCCTCTCGAATCGATTGGTAATCAACAGCCTAAATAAATCAAACAGAAACAAGAAAAGAATAAGTCGTAATTGTTGAAAGTTATGGTGTACTTGTTTAGCTTTTTCACGTAAAATTTCATTTTCACTTTGAAGGACTTTAGCCTCACTATGTAAACGGTGAATTGTTGACTAAAAATCAATATAAATGATCAAAGTACATTCTTTTTTTGTTTTTAATTTCAATTTTTCAATTTACATCCGCCTCAGAATAATGTTTTCGTAATGAAACCACTTCTGATTTAGCTTGTTCTGCTAACAGACGTTCTTCACTAAGTCGTCTTGCCTCTTCTAATTGTAGGAAAAGAAATTTATTTAATAAATGAAGTTTAAAAATGGAATAATTATTTATTACCTTGGTTTCTCATTTCGATTAATTGTAAATTTTTATTACGTTCTGTAAATTGCTGTTCGATCTCAAATCTTAATCTTATATTCAAGGAAAAGAAAAAGTAACTATCATAAAAATAAATAAATTTATATCTACTTGTTTAATTTCATTTGTACTTGTTGATCAACGTGTAATTCAGTATTTGATAATGTTACTTCTCTTTTACGAATATCGTCTTCAAGACGTTTTACACGATCCACTTCTAATGTTAGAGATCTAAATAAAAATAAAATCATTTACATTTCAACTAGATGATTCAAAACTATTTTGGAATGTTTCAAAAAATTAGACTGCAAACCGACATATTTTCTCAAGTGCATTTTTGCTTGTTTTAGATGAGACAAAAACTGATAGCTATTCGTGTTCTTTTAGCCTGTAATAGAAGGTAAAAATAATCTCGTTATAAAGATATTAGTTGTATTTTCTGTCTAAAAAGACGTCACAGGAAAGTTATCTTCTCTCACAAACACAATAACTGTCCATCAATGAATAAAATCATTAACTAGGTTCATATGACATTCTAATCTACTTTTGATGCTCCCCTCTAAATCAATTTTAATATACGAAAAACTAATCGATTCATAACTAATCTAATAGAAACAGAAAACGGTCGTGATAATCGGATGGCTATGACATCGAGCAAGAAAGCTTTCATATTCATATGTTAAGATGCTTATTAGCTCAGTTTATTCTCAAAAACTATATAGCATTTAAGAAAAATATAAAGAGGCAGTTTTAAATATAACTACTTTAATATTAGTGTGAGTGAATGTTATGTTTCTCACAATGGCGCGTATTGTAAATAAAAGTATTGTAGACTATTAGGACTTGAACTATTTATAGGAGTGAAATATAAAAGCTTATTCATTCTTTTGTTAGCTCAAATTTCAACAACAAAGAGAGTATCTACGGAGTATGATAATCAAGCAATGGAGATTGACGACTAACAGGTCTTCTCGATTGTGTCGTATGAAAGTTTTATCATCAGATAGAACATTGATATATTAGCCAAAACTTTTCTTCATCCGTCTCCTTCACTTGAGAATATTCTGCATTTTTCATTCAAAAAAAAGAGAATATTTTCTTGTTGAAAATGTTAGACTTGATAAATAACAACTTTTCTGACTGAAAATTTCAAAATATTTTAAAGGCCATAAGACTTACTTATAAAGAAATATTCTGATGAAAACTTCTTCGTTTAATTTTCTTGCTCAGATCCTATCTGATGATAAAAAATCTGGAAAAAATCATTTTCTTCTATCGAGAAAACTTGTGAATCGAAGTTGATATAGGATTCTATGAGTAGGGAGCTTTTTACGAGATTTTCAAAACATGAGCTGAAAAGTGAGAAATTACTTCGGGCGACTTGCTTGTAAAATGCCTAATGAAATATTTCTTAATAAACACGCGCATCTCTTTTTTTCTCATATATTTTTCTGTTTGAATTCTACGTAAAGCAGATGTGATAGGTTAGTAATGCTATTAGATCAGCCTATGGGTTAGAGCACTATCATAAAATTACAAATTATTCTATAATATCGAACAAAAACACGAACATCTCGAAAAGGTGATTTTATCATATAAAATTTATATTTTTTCCTCAGAATTACCGTTCTCGTAATTCCAGATTTCTTTGATTTTCTGTTTCTCGCATTTTCATAGTTTTTAATTCTTCGAGAAATGATTGTCGTTGAACATATAAATCACGTCTTTCATTCTAATAATAAATAAAAATTGCTGTGAATTTTAAAACAAATGAAAAAATCAAGCAAACTTCAAGTTCCGCTTTGAATCTCTCTCCGATACGCATTTCCTTTTCATTTAAAGTATCTTGTTTTGATTTGTACAAGATTTCAAGCTAAAAACAAAATAAGAATACGACATCATTTTGTTTAAATGTGACGAACTTCTTTTCGAAGTGATTGCAATTCCATTTGACATTTCGAACGTTCTTCATCACGCACTTTTTTAATTTCATTTTCACGAAATTGATCCATCTAAAGAAATATATACTGAGGTATTTTTATTCTATCGCATCCATATATATATATATGAAGTAAGTCATTCATTATGAGCACCACTTTGACATACTAAACTGCTGGTATAGCGAGCTTTAACAATTTTCTTGTTCTATTTTATAGATTTATAGAATACATCTTAATTTAATCCTAATAACTGAAAGTGAAACAGCGCTAGTGTACTTTGGCTAGCTTCAACCAAGTGAAACACACAAAGTATCAACTTTACATTATGTATTATAGTTTTAAAAAATCCTTTAGTTTGAAGCGTCATATTTCTGACAACTATATGATGTATAGTTCAAGATTTGATAAAATCTCTATAAAATTGATTCAGACATTCTATCGTGTAGTGTTTTGATTCTTTTCTCTCATGGATAGAAACAAATTGTCTTACTATTTTTTAACTGACTAATTATATTGATGGTAGTGCGAAATAGCTTATATTTTACATATATTCATGCTTTAAAGGAACTTATTCAGAAAAATAATATTCACAAAGAATCAAAGTCAGTGAAAGGTAACACTAGTCTGTTACATTGTGACTGAAATGACTCATGTATAGAATTAATTTTACTTGTTGCTTTAGATTTTCTTTAGTTCTTAATTCAACATTTTTTTGAAATAATAATAATTTTTCTTCGGTTGATAAATTCTGCATTGACATTAAATCATCATGACGATTGGTATACATTGCATCAAGATTGTTTAGTTTTTCATCTAAATAGCAAAGAAAATTAATTTCAAATTCAATTTGCGAAACTAATTATTTGAATGCATAGACTTTCATTATTATCAAGCCTTGATAATATATTTAATTACATAGGAGTTCGAAGGATATTTGTCATTCTCTCAAACTTAACATCTACGGTAGTATACTATTTTCGCCTGAAAGACATACATATAGAAGAGTAACTCTAATTGTAAAATAAATATTTCGGAAAGTAATTCTTTTTAGTAATTGTGTCTCTTTTTCTTTTCTACGAATAACTCTTTGGAAATTTTCACTAATTGAAATAAATAATTATATTGCAATCTACGGAAAAGATTCTTTGTGTACATTAATACTTTTGAAATATGTTTGTTAATTTTCTCAAGTAATCATTTCAAAACTATTTCGACACGTTCGAACTGGCTGTGCAAATCAAGGAAGATTTCGTTGTCCTGAGAACTGTTGCTGAGTTTCATCAAGATAGTGAATAATTGAAATGTGAACCACTTAGCACAGGATATGCTAGTTGTCTAACTCGATCAAATAAATGATTATTCGAATACTATTCATTTGTGAAAAATATTTTCTTATAGTAGCTAACATGAGGTTCTGAACAAACAACAGGGAAATATTATTAAGGAGAAAGTTTCGTAAAACGTGCTTCATTTTTCTTGTAACATAAAATCAAAATATTTAGTTCAACACTTTGTCTTTTCAAATTATGTGAGTCGCTCACGCAACATTTAGTGAATATCCTGATGTGAAAAAATAAACTATTAACTTGATTATTATCTATTTTCCTCTCCTATCCAAAGCGTAGAACTTAACCAAATATCAGCTAAAGTCTATTTTTACACTCATTGTCTTGTGAATTTTGTTTGTTAATTCCGTAAAAAAGAAAAGAACTAAAGACTAACCAAGTGTTGATCCAGCAACAGAACCTGCCCATAAATCATTCGATGTTTGTGTGCTATTATTTTGGGATGAACCTGGTAACCATGATGCAATACATGTAAGCATCGATATCAACAAATTTTTATGACCATTTATTTCACTATTGGATTTCTAAATAAATAAATAAATAAATAAATAAATAAACAATAAATCTAAAACTTGTTTCTAATATTCGTACAATGTTCTTATAAAAACATGATTCTGTTGAGATATTAAGTAGTCGAAGAATTTCTGCATCAGACAAAGTCTAAAAGTGAGAGATAAACGTTTATTATTATTATATTTTTTTGATAATGATAATTATTTTAATATACTCGATAGTCATTGATATTTGCTTCAGGTATAAAAACACTTGTTGTATAATCATATTTTTGACCTTGAAAATAATCGATAATCAATCCATTGAGTGCACGAACTAAAAGTGTCGGCTGTATAGTTGAAGATGAAAATCGAATTTGATCATCAAAACCACCGCGTAACTCATGAATTAAGCGACCACGTAAATGCGACTGAAATATTTTACAAACCATTTAGAATATTAGAATAATGAAATTACTATCGATCGAAAAAAAAGATTGCTGCATTTACTTTGACATTATCAATGATGCCTTTTGATTTCATTAAATCAAATAGCTTAATTCGAAGATCTCTTCCACTAAGACCATTTTGTTCAACAGTCGTCATTTTTTAAGAAAGTCTTGAAAATATAATCTGAATGAAATTATATCGTACGCAACCACAACTACCATAATGAATGCGTTTCCTATCACGACGCCTCTACGCACAGTGTATCTTGAACATTTATCGTTTTTTCATTGGCTCTCTTTTTAGCCAGTCCAGGAATTATTGTTGAAAAAACATACATAGATAGATGGGTAGCCCGTTGCTAAACCGGTTTACGATAGTGGTTCTTCACATATGTGATTTAAAGCAAACAAAATCATATGTATAACATCCTACAATTATAAAAAGTGCGTGTTTTTTCACACATAGGTTTTAAATGCAGAAAAAACAATTTAAAAAGAAGGAATGCAAGATAACGAATGAAACTTATCTTTGCTGTCTATCGTACTTGTGTTCGACTTAATTCAGGTATATGAGCATTATCTCATCATGTTATTATATTTTTGTGTGTGTTTTTCTTTTACTCTTATGAAAAAACGTTGTATTTTGCTTTCTTTTTTACAGGTATTACGCACGTGAATAAAACGCGAGCAATGACCTCATTTAGAATTCCGTTGCATCGTGTTAAAGGTACCCATTATGAATGTGCACACACCATAGGAATTTTGACGCATGAAGTAATTCGTCATCGTATTGCTAATGATCTTACTTATTTATCAAAACTATTTACATTCGTACAAACTGATGATGGTCGTAGATTATATCAAGATTTCGTGGAAAAAATACGTCTATTATATCCGTGGTATTGGGATGAAATTCGTGGTTTAGCTGATGGTTCAAATATTGCTTTAGAACAAATACTTGTTTTAAACTTTTTGAATGAAACTCGAACAGCTTATCGTTTATCGGAAGAGAAGAAAAACTCCGACAATGAGACTGGTGAGAAAGGTTGTACCACTGTATTGATTAATCGAAAAGATACTAATACTTTATCATTATTACATAATGAAGATCATTCAGCGACTTTATTTACGACAAGTTACCTTGTTGAAGCCGATATTCAATCAAGTAAATATAATGATGATAAACGAGAAAGTCCAAATGAAAAATTTATCGCTTTTTGTTATGCTGGATCTATTCCAGGTAAATAAATAGCATTTTTGTGATAGCTTATTAATCTTCTCTCTATTAAGGAAACGCTTTTGGTGTAAATAAACATGGCTTTGCATGTTCATTAAATGGACTTTATCCAAATTTTGTCGGACATGGTCGTCTACCAAGACAAATAGTTAATCGAGCATTACTTTCAATACAAAATGAAGATGAATTAGATAAATTACTTCAATCATCACCGATCGCATATGGGTTTTGTATCAATGGAGGTTTCATACATCAATCTCAATACTTACTTAACTATGAACTAGGTCCGAATTTAAACATTGATAACGAAAACTATATTAGCAAACATCTTATTATCAATAGTGAAGAAACTGTTGAAAAGGAGAAAAACTTTTCTACAGCATTGAATTTTCTTGTTCATTATAACCATTACGAACATTTAAATGATGTTATTATTCAACAGAAAGCACTTGAATCATCATATAGTCGTTGGAGACGTGCTCAAGAAATTGGAGAAATATTTACTATTGACGATGCTCTATCTTTATTGGGTGATGATAAAAATCAATTGTTTCCTATCTTTCGTTTACCAAATCAAACTAATATTAATTCTGCAACACTATGCACAGTACACATCAATTTTCTAACCTTAGAACTTACTGTTTATCAAAGCAATCCAAAAGAAAAAAATCAAACAACATTAATTTATAATCTAGGAGAATTGTTGAGTTAGAGAAAAGATTAAATTGTTTTTTTTTGTAACAGTTATACATCAATTATCATTAATATGCTTTCTTTTCTAGACTATTGGATACTCGTGATAGTGTTTTGTTTTTGTTTTTATGTGATGCTAAATTAATGCAAAAGAAATATGAATAATAAATATTTTACTTCTCTTCGGGATACTTTTCAAGCAGCTGTTTTCGAATCAAATACTAAAGTAAATATTTTTATTGAAACACTAATAAAAATGATTATAGAACATGAGCAATAAATTCATCGATCTTATTCAAAGATTATACCATACACGGTTGAGAATGAAAATAATTGACATAAATATCGACAGTCAATATTGATACTAGTGAATAAAAGGTTTGCACTACACTTTCTCTCTACTAACTCAAGCATTAGAGAGGAGCCAGGCATTGAAAACGTACTTCGTACTGTCAAGTAAATTACTTAATTCCAATTAAAAAAAGTCACTGTAGAAAATTTTGTGTTCTTCTATTTTATGAATAGTTATGTTCCTAAGTAATCTAAAACATAATCTTATACTCACAAGGTATAGTTACTGAAAAATTGCGACTTTTGTACTTTTATATACCAAATCTGTAGGAATATGATTGAAATCTCTTTTCTCTTTATAATCGTGTACAAACAATTGACTCCAGTCAAAGAAATACGACGGTTTTCTCTAGCGCTCAATCAATGAGAAAGTATTGTGAAAAAATCTTACTGAATAAATTTGGTAGTCATATGATGTGTACAAGTTGAAAAAATAGATCTTTACGTATTTCTGAAATAAGTATTCGATAATCAGTTTAGTCTAGTATTCTTGTTGCTTCTATCAATGAGTCGGAAAAATAGATTTTCCCAATAGTCTCCTTTCATCGTTGTGAAGATTCATGGATCACAGATGAGCATTTCAGCATATACTTTCCTTTGTTACAATCAAATGTTTTTCTCAAAACCTATTATGAAGCTAGAAAACGATAGTTAACACATGAGAAGTGCTAAAATTGAGATCAATTATGAATCGAATAAGTTGGCGTGTATGCATCAAGCATTTAGAAGATCTCAAAATAAATGCTATGAATACATGCAAATCTTAGAAATTACTACAAGTATACTGATGCAAAGATTAAAAAAATCTCGGTGAATACAATAGCAGATGTTACATAACGGCAATATATTCTCGGTATTGCAATGTCAAATACGAATTATTTAAGACCAAAATATATGTTACATCAGTAATTACAATCACGTGTGTTCTTTTTTCATTAGCAACACAGACTTGAAAATCGACATTTAGTCATCATTGGTGGTACATTGTTTTGATTTGTATTGAATCTCATATCGCTAAGGAAAGGCAGGAATAAATGGAAAATTTCAATTTACTTTGAAAGAAGTCAGACTTTCTTATAAAGTTAATCACATTTTTAATTCAGGAAAAAGACTGTATGACCTGAATACCAGATAATTATTTGAAACGGTAAAACGTGTAAAAAAGGTCTATAATTAAGCTTCATTGAAAAATATATATGATGTGTTATAGAAACTATGCGTACCTGAGAGATTCAGATCGATTATGACATTTGTCTATTCGAAAATTACATAGAGCCAACATTTCGTAGTTTCTCACAGATTCATTAAACCATTAATCTGTAATATTTTATTCTAATTTTTGACAAGAGAAATCCCATTTGTTTTTCAGTCAGATCCATACACATCCAAATACACAATGGTGTATGTTTCTAACTGGCATATAAAAACCGACTTTTTATTCTCATTTATATTCGATACAAGCAAGAACACCAATAGAATCATTTTATTCGTTTAGTTTATTTTACCTTCTCATTAATGTGCTGTTTACACTTTCTTCATGGTAAGTGTTACTATTTTATATGAGTCTTTAAGTAAACTTTATTGTTTTCAGTTTCAATTGTTATTTTTCCTTGACAAGTTAAAACTTCCTGTATTTTCTCATCTAGATTATGCAATTTATTTGAAACGATCTTCTTCGTAAACAACTTTTTTTTCTCTAAATTTCTGTCTTTCTTTTATTCATTTTCGATAGTCACATATTGTACTTAATAAATGCATTCGCTACTTAAATTATTTTTGGTATCAGCAGTTTCTTTCTGTTCTATGCAAATATGCTGTAAAGGTTTGTAGCCAGCTTTAATTCAAACAGTCTAACAAAAATTTAACTTGATTTATTCTCTGCTATGCATAAATTAATTAAAATTTTTTATTGAACCCAATAGTCTTCATAGGAAAAAGAATCTTAAATGACTGTCTAATGAAATTTTCCATTTGTTTATATATATATATAATCTAAAAGAGCCTACACAGTAACAATGAATGCTATTTCGATATGTCTAGGACATGAAAGATCAGGTATTTAAGATAAGTGTTCTTGTTGATAGCTCAATGATGCATGATGACATTTTATTGCTATGAATACTTACTTTCTTGACATTTTTTTACAAATGTTTGGATATAATGTGAGCAAACGGAAACACTATTAGCAAACAACACACAATTTTTCATAGGATACAATTAAAAGTTTCACTAGCTATGTGTTGCTGGTGATATATCTTGAGAAATCTTTACTACCCAGTATTAAGACTGAACTTTCTTTTTATTGTGCATATCCTTCATTCTATACATATTTCTAGCCTGAATATTATCACATGTATTAGCAGAGGCAGCTTTTTTTTCTGCTGCAGTCAAACTACAGATCAATGTTTTTTTTACTGATCGTCTCCAAACAAATGGTTTTCATACATCGTAAATGTGAAATTTTCTACTATTCTTTCTTTTTATTACATGCAGATTAGCAAGTAGTTCGGTAACTATGAAATAAAACGTATTCATATTGTATGAAAACTATTGTCAAAACTATAAAATCGTTATATGAAACCTTTTTTAGCGTGGCTATAGATAAAATGTAGTTTCGTAGATCTCAAATTGAATTTCTATCAATGCAAAAATTTAATTTGATTGAGCATTTTATTTTGAGTACTGTTTTGCCATATTCAAAAAGATAATTATTTGTATGCTCAATAGACAGATCGAAAGATAAAAAAAATGGTTTACTCGAAATTTTCGTTGAGTCTATAAGAGATCTATTTGTAATAAGTACTAGATTGTAGAAAAAAATTAGTAAAATTTATAGAATAGTATACTAGTCAAAGATATTGTTCATTTAGCGCCCGTAGCTATCGACTGAAAGTTAAGTAAATAGGAAAGAAAAAAAAGATACGACTTGTTTCAGCAAGTCAGTGAAACTCACTGCTAATCATTGCTGATATATGAATGTTAATAAAAGAAAGATGTTATGCTTGTCATTTCTCATTAAAATCAGTAGTTTTTCTCTGCGTTTTTCTTCTGGAAACAGTTAAAAAGAAAACTAAGAAGAATACTTCGTATCGCATAGATTAGATAAACAAATTATAAAAATAAAATTTATTTTTTCTAAATTTTTGAATGAAAAAGTGAGCTGATATTTCGTTTGTCTTCTTGTTTTTTATTGATTAGATGTTGTTCAACAAAGCAGATAAAAAAGATTGATTTCGAACATTTGATTATTCATAAAATGAACTTGACTTATTTACCAGCGGATATTCGTGATATACTATATACGTTTATTTTCATTCCTTCATCATCATTTTAGATATAGATGCAAGTTATTACATAAAATATGTGGCCTGAACTAATTCGTCTTGGTCTTGTCCGTATATTTTATCCTTGTTTAATGATATTTGGTACTATAGGTAATATATTATGTTTGAAAATTCTTTTACGAAAACGTTTTCGTCGTCAATCGACATGCCAGTATTTATGTATACTTGCTGTTATTGATATTTTATTTATTTATATGAGATCGGCGAGATTTTTATATCGACATATATTTCATGTCGATTTACGTAATACATCATTGTGGATGTGTCGATCATTTATATTCTTTTCTTCAACACTTTCACATTTAGCGTCATGGATACTTGTTATTGTTAGTTTGGATCGGTATTTCATTATGAAAAATCTTTTTCCAGGTCGTTATGTTGGATGGCGTGTGATTAAATCAACATGTGTTCTTTTTATTATTGTATGTCTTGTTAATATGCACTACTTTTACATTGTAGGTAAGCAAAAACACACAAGAAACATTTTATTTATTCTAAGAAATTATCTTTACTTATTTTCTTATCTATAGGCATTGACATGAAGTTACGTAGTGCAGCAGTGCACAAAAATAGAAATGTTTCTAACGAAACCTATCATATAATAACTAGCTTCGTATGCATAGCACCTTTACAATATAAAAAATTGTTTGCTTTATATATACCAATATTTGACTTACTTTCTGTCGCTATTATTCCATGTTTTCTGATGATATTTACAAATATAGGTATAATACGTACTACGAAACATACTGGCATTTTGTTAACATCCAGAAAACAAAAACGAAATAATCGTCTTACGATCATGTTATTATCAGTTACATTAGCCTTTATGCTTTTAACATGTCCCTCAGTCATATATATATGTATAAATCGTTTCACCTCACCAACCGCAGCTTCCGATACAAAGCTAGTCGTCATTGATCTGCTTGAATCATTGTGGTATACGAAGCATGCATTAAATTTTATATTATATACATTAAGTGGGCAAGATTTTCGAAGAGAATTTCGAAAACTAATATTATGTCCAAAAAGAACAGCACCCAATACAACAAGATATCAACGACGACGACGACACCAACAACGAAAAGCAAATAATCTTATTTTAACAAATGTTTATGCTTCTTCACAGCGAACACCTTCGATTAATATTCGTTTACATAAATTAAAGAAAAAGAGGCAACATCATATAGGAAATAATGTATCGAACATGATTTATGAAAATGTAATACAAGATAAAATTATTGATGATGGAGAAAGTGCTATTGGTGGGGAATGTGAGTTGCCTTCTATTGATTTAAATAAACTATCACGGGCAATTAATTGTGACGAACTAGAAAGAACTTCGTTGTAATATTTTTCAAACTGAAAATATTTTAGATTTTTTATAAAATAAAAATACATTTTTAATTTAGTTTATCAGTTCGTTAGTACCTTTTTATGGTGAGTTTTGGTCAAAAAGAAATTCTATTATCTTCGCATTAAGAAAAACTATGAAAATAAATAAGTAAGAGAAATTGTAATAGGAATAAATGAATGTCTTTCTATACACGTAGAAATGTATATTACCTTCGTAATTATTGTTAAACTGGATATCTCTTTGGATAACGGCTTAGCATTAGCAGCAAATTAGTTAAGACTATATTTATTACTTTTATATTCAAATCAAGAAAATTATTTAATGTTTTTGTATTAGTGTTAAAAAAAATAATTGAAAATTTCAACATTAGTTTTGATTTAGTATTTGGATTGCAATGATATCATGCTCCTGAAAATATATAAAATAGTGTTAATGTTAAGGTAGTGCTAATATCAAAGTATTAAATTATTTTTTAACATCAATGTAAAGACATTAAAATATTTTCTTAATTCTAATAGAAAAATGGCAGTATTTCTCTAATACTAATACTAATACTAATACTAATACTAATTCTAAGACGTCACCCCTAGATATTTCAGAATAGATGAGTCTCTGAGTATTTTATTAATGCATCGGACAGTATCTATTACTTTGTCGTGATTATATTACAAGAAAATTCTTGATGACATGTATTACAAGTATAAAAAGAACCGTTGAATATATCCACAAAGAATTAAACATTATACGTTTAATGATCTCTCTAAAATATTTTGCAACACGAATCTGTTGACTTTTGTCCGCTTCGATGTTAGACGTGCTAGACAAAAGCAAGTGTAATCATCCATTCGGAAGCGTTTGAAAAACTCTTGCTAAATATTATATCAAAAATCGATATTTACACTTTGATAAATATTTTATCAGACGTTTTTCTCTGGAAAATGATCGGAGTAAATTGTAAAATACTTTCATCTATGCTCAAATTTGAATGTTTGCTTTCAAATATTCGAGTTATTTTCAAAACAAACAGTTTATTTGGCGAATCAACGTTAGGATTTTATCTAAAATATGAAGGAAACAGTCAGCATTGACGAATCTTTAGCCCTTTCAAATAATTCTCACTAGCAATAATCAAAAAGAGTTTTATGTTTTTGAAGAACTGATACAAATGTGAGCCTGCACAGATCTAACCTGATGGGAAATGGAAATTGCCATTGCGAGAAAATTCTTTTACGAAATCCATCACTTCGATACTGTATACTCTCATGAAAAATGTTTCGTTGTTAGCTTTTATGCATATTTTGCAGAGAATTAAACGAGGAAATTTTCAGTGAAACCCTTTAGTTGGAATAATAGATACTGATAAAGATATGAATTAAGTAATCGAACGCTGATTGATTTCGATAGAAAAGTTAAAAGATTGTGGTCTATTTTCTAAGATGCAACAACAATTGTTTTCTTTCCGAAACAAACATATTTATTGGTGTCAAGAAGAGGAAACAACATAAACTTCAGCTATGAAGCTTGTTATTCGTCGTTGCCATGCGAAAATCGATTAATCTTCTGGGATATATCATACAAAGCTTTGTTTCTATTCTCTATAGACCACGATTTAAAACTCGTAATCAAAATCAGCCTCATGAGACCAATCTATGAACAAAATAATGTCATCGAGAAAAAAATATTTGTTATGATTTCTAGAAGTTCAATGAAATTTTTATAGTGAGTTTCCAATGCGAACACTGACAACGTTAAAAAATATGAGATAGTGTTTTTTTTTCTTTTTTACTAACATTCTAAATGTGTAACATTTGCTTTAATTTGTTAGTATGGCTCGCTCAAGATTATTCTGATGCAACCTATAAAATAATTTCGCTCATTTTGAAAAATACTTCGGTATATACTGTAATTCTTGCTCCTGTTGATAACTTTCTATAGGTTTGTAAAACTCTGATTTTTTAACACTATTTTTTTTATCTAGGATTAAACTAGGACTGATAATGAATTATCCAAAAAAGGAATTCTGATATATTGAGTAGTAATACATCGTAACGGATTAATAAATAAAAAGGATGTTATTATAATAGACAATATTGTAAAACAAAGAAAGAGCAAAATGGCATAAGTAATTTGTTATTAATATATTCAAATGCAATAAGTGTGTTATGATTACAACGTTATGTTTTCACTCACTCTTTACTAAATAGAAAAGTGAAGGGTAAATAGTTTGTAGCACGCGTAAATAAAGTTAAATGGAAAAATAATATGATATTGATTGAACGAAAGAATTCATGCCAATTGAGTTTAATAGAAAAACTTTGATAGTCATTGAATAGATAATCGTGGTCTCAATTATAAAAACATGCACAATGACTGCAAGGAGATTTACAATGGGAAAATTGCTCTCAAAATTTTCTTTAATTTTACGATAGGAATAATGAATTTATTCTTGTCTTGATTTATTTTAATCATAAATTCAATTTTGTTCTCAATGATAAAATATATAATGATAATAAAATGAGAGTAAATTTTAAAGGAAAAAAACATGAGTACGATAGCTCGAAGACTTTTTCATATAGTAATCATGATTTTTGTATTAATCAAAATTACAGAACACATAAGTTCAATACCCCAGCTTAGGAAAGACTTCCAGCTACTATGTAAACCATCACCATTACTCTTAAAAACATGAAAATTAAAAACTCATTCGATTAGTAGAGTTATCTTGGGATTTTTGTGCAGAGTATGGCAAAAGTTTTTGAAATCATTACTATTATATTGTTGGGACATATGCCAAAAAAAGGATAACCAAATTCACTCTATAATACTAGGATTCTTTGCGAATCATCTCTCTCTCTCTCTCTGTGTGTGTATATATACTAAAAGCAAAATGAAAGATCCAATGAGAACGTAAGCTTCAATGGATTCATCTGAATTTCAATAATGCGGACTGGAATGATAAAAATACAAGCGAATATTATATTGGATTTCAGTTTGATATCAAACCAAATATTGAATCCAAACGTATATTTAGCGACAGCATCCTTTAATTTAGTCGTACCTCATTCTATTAGTTCATATGATTTGTCATGTTACAGTCCGTGTTGTCATGTCTTCTACTTTTTCAGATATCTGACACATTATGCTCTTGAAGTAAATATGTAATGATGTACTACATAATTTCTTCAAAAAAGTGAAGAAATATTGATAATTAGATCTCATCATGTTCATGTATTATTCTTATTCTCGTGGAAGATAAAATATCATTGCTGCTTTTTACGGATTAAGAAAAGCTGAAAATCTATACTTTTTGTTTTCACACTGCTCTTTATTTATATCTATTATATCTTGACGTGAATACCGATGTCGATACCAATATCAGTGATTGAATAGACTTATGTTCTATTTTGGGAATGAATCGAAATGCTCTAAAAGGCAAATATATGACCTCGGACCGAAGTAGATTTCAGTCATATTCGCATCCACATCCGCAATCAATTCAAGACATTCGTTAATCATTTTTACTAATCGTGGAACAAAATGTGAATTTAACTGAAGCATTGTTCATATCAAAACTAATAGAAGTTTTGCACTGCATCAATATGAAAACTAAAAATGAAATAAAATTACAACGCGATCTAATATCTCGTGTACATGGCGGCCACTATGTTATAGAGAAGTAGTCAGATCTTAAATCAGTGAATCATGAGCGTACCTGCCAATTATGATAAATACTATTAGATTTCTTGTTACGAATTAAGGAAACTAAATCAAATCTTTTATATCACAAACCAACACTTTTTTAACTATTTATTATTTCTTTACTTGTATTATACTGATGCAAAGATCTATCCGTACTATTTTCAAAAAGTTCATCAAAATAGCCAAAGCCATGCTGATTGTATTTATTTAGTAAAATAGCAATATCAATCAGTTAAGCACATCAAAATCATTAGGTACAGCATCGAAAGAGGCTATTGATTCAATTTTTAACTAAGAGAAATCTTGAATTTAGGTGGCCACGTTGATGATCAAGGAAATCTGATGTAACGAAGGCAGGATGATAACAGTGGATTATCATCATTTATAAAGACGTTGATAATAAAGTAGAGCTTATCCTTTTGATAAGTGCTCTTTCTATCACGAATTATTTGAAGTAGTAATAATATCTGTGGTTTTTCAAATGATGAAAGTTTTCAATACTCATTTTCTCTTGTGTATATACGTTAAATGCCATGTTATCACTCCTATCTCTTGGTAAATTAATAATTTATTGTTTTTTCTTTCTCTTTGATATTGTAGATACAATGAAATCTGTAACAATGATCATCTTGACTGAAATAAACGACATGATCATTCTATTTTATTGTTTCTTTACATTCTAATTGTAGATACATCTTTTATCACCGAATCTTCATTTATAACTCTCCGTTTTTTTTAACGGAAATTTATTTCGAAAACAATCATACGATTTCATTAACTTCAATGTGATTACAATAGAAATTTATTGTCAAGGCAATTTTATCACTATTTATTCTTAAAGAGTATTTAAATGTTTCTTTACACGGGTTATAGATGAAAGTGTAACGGTCACAGTTGTCATCTGATAAAATGATATGCATAGTGAGGTTTCAAGACGACATCAAGCATCCAAGCGTATTTTACTGATAAGCTCTGTGTGCCTTGGAGAGCAGACATAGACTATCGAGCAAAGGTTTAATAAAAGTTCTGGAATGGGGTCCTCTTAAATAGAAATCAATTTCTTATTTTATCTCGTAAGTATTAATTAAAGAAGAGAACTTTCTCGCAATTATCCAAGCACTTTAAAAAACCATTATTTTCACTCAAATCTTTTCCACATGGAACATCTGTCTCGTTGAGTCTCTGTGTGACGTTTTTTTTTATGAAGAATACAACGCATTTTGATATTTTCTGGTGTGTAAATAAAAACTCTCAGACAAGAATCGCGATGATAATGTTGAAACACAGTTTCAGACATTTCCCTTTCAGCTCTATTATCCGTATAAGATATTAATCGTAATGAAAAATACGCAATCCAGCAGATATGTGCGCTTTGTGTTCTCAAATTTTCTATTACCCAGTCGATGATGTCAGAGTAAAGACAGAAATATTTCCACCACTAGTCTATTTCGTACAAACACACTACAATCCACTAGTTTCAATGAAACTAATGATGCCAGTCGCACAACCTTGTTTATCAACATCATCTTCAATCACCTACTAGCACTCGAAACAAGTTTTTAGTTTTGTCGATAAGTACATTCGTGTTTTCACCGACAAAAACAAGGGTATGAAAGTTATGTGCAAAATATAAATAATGTTTATCTTATTCCTAGTTTTTTTTCTCCAAGTTGTAAAAAGCCATCAATTATTTACGTACCTTGTTCATATGTAACTCAACCTTATGTTTTTTTTTTACCAGTGACAAATATATTTCAGGAAAGACGAATTCAGATTGTTATTTTCAGCAAGCCTAATTGCTTTCTTTTCAGTTGAAAATAAAATTTGTTTTTACTATCAGATATTGAACTCAATGAATCTACTAACAAAAAATAACCACAAATAAAACCAAACAAAAAAAAAATAGGAACACGCAGTCTATAATGGACGATGAAGTATTGCCAGTCAGCAATTGTGTCTTATTACCGCATAGACCTAAGTTGACTAAATGGTAAGAAAATAACTAACTGAATAAACTCAAACTCGAACACGCGCTATTTTCAAAATTATTTTTAATCGTTCTTCAATTTCTGCACTAGAATGGTAAAGTTTTGAATCGAAAAAACACCAAATATAACGATTACGATAGTCACAAATAGAAAAATGATTGAATTTGTTTTCTATTTCTTCCTTGTCCGTATATACAAATATGAATAAAATTATGCTTTCATTTACATTCTTGAGCTGCTCACTTCAAAGCATACTTGATACTTGTTTTTTATTTTATGGTTCCTATCTTTTATTTTTATTTTCCTATGTCAATACTACACAGATAAAATGTAGACGAAAAATACTCATTTAAAACGATAAGCACAGTCTTATTTCGTAGATTTCTTTTTCAAAAGTTGTTTTAGATCAACCAAAATGACAAGTGAAGAATATTCAGTTTTTAGTGTCGACGAAGTATCCAATATAATTAAAGAAGTCATTGAAAGACTTATCGGTAATCATGCATATCAACACGATCAAGTTACTCGATGGACAGCAGATATTGTTGATCAAATTCTAACGGAATTAACTAATTTAGGCAAACGATTTAAATATATTGTACAAGCCGTAAGTAGTTGTATTATCTTAATAATAATGAGTTATTTACATATTTGAATAGGTAATAGTACCAAAGAATGGAACTGGTTTACATGCAGCCAGTTCTTGCTATTGGAATGATATAACTGATGGGAGTTGTACACTTCGGTAATAAAATATCATTGTTTTATGAAAAAAATTATTTTTAATTTTGTTTTTGTAGTTGGGAAAATAAATATGTTCATGCTGTTGTTTCTGTCTTTGGCTTGTCTATTTAAAAATGCTTTTTGTGCTAAAGCAAGAATAAAATAAATATGTTTGTTTTAATAGAAATATTTTTTTCTGAACACTAATATATATTTTTTTGGTGCTTTATTTATCTTTTGCAGAATAAATATTTTGAAATTTTTAGAAAGATCATAAACATGTGCGGACGTGTTGCTTGTGGCTTAGCTTCAGATGTTGTACGTCATTTTTCCCCTTATATGCATTCTCAAACACAGGAATCAACTGTACCACTATTCATTGATTTAATACCAGTAACACGATCTTGTCGACCAAGTTGGAACATAGCTCCAACTTTCACTTGGTATAATTAATATTTTCTGACAGAAAGGAAAATAATTTATCAGATAGTTTTTCATTTGCAGTCTTTGTTTGATTTCGCTCAAACATTTGAATAAAACAGAAGATTCATCAACACGAATTGTTTGTTGAATGCGTTGGTCACTAGTTCCAAATTATTGCAAAGGTAGTTTGTTCGGTATTTAAATCTGTTTTAAATAATTGTCGATCTGAAACTATTGATGAAAAACCAACATTTAAAATATCATTAAGAAGTGATCAGCGCTGCGTTGTGTTGGCTGAAGGGTATGTTCAAAGCGTTTTTAAATAATCTTATTAAAGTAATTAGTTTTTAATTGTTTAGATTCTTCGAATGGAAGAACAGAGATGATTTAAAATAATATGAAGTTTAGCATATGTATATATCGGAAGTGCAATTTTGATGCAATAATCAGTATTGATGTTGTATATCATAATGCTGATGTTTGAGAGAGATATTTAAATAATACGAATTCAGCACTAGTTCATTGAATAGCTCGCAAGACTTCGTTAATCTTTGTTCTTAGAAATTCAATTTGTGAATCGATGCGAAATGTACATGTTCGAATACCAGCAAGTAAAATACTTTTATCAATCAATCATCTATTTAAAGCAAGACAAAATCCTTTACAGGCGATTTTATCAAGTTCACGCTAAATAGATAAATCGCTCGATATCGGACGATTTGATACGAAACAAGTAAAAAAAAGTTTTTTTTGTCGCATTAAAAAACATGAAATAAATTCTTAAATTCTTCCATTGCTCGTACCAAATAATGATAGTCAAATTTATCGAGTTACACCAAATATGGGTTCAACAAAAATCAATGACATCAATAATATTCGACCAATTGATATAGATAAAGAGAAGTGACCCACAATTGAATATAGAAATGATTTATTTTTATTTTATTTTATTTTATTTCTATTTTTGTAGTAAAACAGACTTTCGAAATCAACATACGCTTGTTTCATTTGTAATAAACAAACGCATCAAGTCCATATTTTGATGAACACGTATTAAAAGAGGAGAGCAATACAATATTATCTAATAAACGAACACAAATTGCAATCGATGATTCTATGCATCAAGACACAGGACTGCCGGCAAAGCGATTTAAAAACTAGATCTTTCTCTATCTTTATTGCTTACTTAGTTATTATTTTATACGGTTTTTTAAATTTTATTATAATTACATTGTTTGCGTAAACTAGTTTTGTCAGATAAAATTCTAGATTAATTTAATCATAATGAAAACGTGTAACTTTTTTTGATGTATTTTTTTTCACTCACATATTCAATGCTTTCCTAGAAACGTTTTTCAATGATATAAATATAGCCTCGATTGTAGAACTTCTTTGTGCATATTATTTACTGCTTGAAAAACATTTAGTGAAATAATCTAGAAATTTTGATTATTCATATCAAGAAAGTCGGTTCACATACAACATTATTCAACGAAATATTTGATTCAGTTATCATAATGGATTGTTAATACTTTTAATTCAAAGAAAATACAACTATCGTATTGATTATAATCACAGAGCTATCTTCTACTCTACTTTGCTATGTATTGTTTTTAAATAATTTGCTAGCTGATATTTCGACAGTTTTTTTAAAATTTACTATTATTCCGTATTTGTATCATAACATTCATCATTCACTGTTCGATATTGAGATAAATTTTAACTTAAACACTATTTTTGTTCACGAAAACTTCTGTCATATTCTATTTGATAAATGCGCGTTTTTGGTAGCATTTAAATATCTTGTTCAATGTTTGTTACTCTCTACTTATCTGTTTCAGCAACGACAAAACTCACGAAGGAGATACATAATAGATAATGGCATTATTTCTTTTTCCTAGAGAATGCCAAGATTTACAGCATGGTAGAGCGCTTTTTTTGAATTAGGACTAGTTAGAATTAGAGAGATATTGTTTTAGTGCTTTTGGAAATGTTGAGCGTTGCATCACTACTCTCTTCTTTAAAAGTAAAATTTAAAAAGAAAAGGCTCTATCAGAGTCCGACTAAAAATATAGATCTTGTTTGAATCGTATGTTTAACTGATATTCGTACCTACAGCACACCAGTCGTATCGATATGGATGAAGTACCAAAGTCTTTTATTTAGAATAGTATTTAGAAAAAAATATTTTGCTAGTTGATATATTTCATTTAATCTCTAGCTTCCGGTAAATACTATTAGAACCATTTTCATACTTGAATAATCAAGGAAAATAAAATTTCATTCAGATTCATATTTGAGAAATGAGAAGAAACAGTTTTTTTTTCTATCTGTGTAAATAATGACGTTGCATTTAGAATAAAGAATTTTTACTATTTTTTTAAAAATGAGTCGATTTAATTGAGGTTACTTGTAAGTGACTGTGCTCTGTCAATGATGGTTGTTTTAAACTTGTTGAATAAATATTATTCGTTTGGTCTTGTCTTTGTCTTTGACAACCAGCTAAATGGCATATTGAACCAACAATAGATATAGTAAGAAAAATAATTGCAATGCTGAATAAAACCAACGCCCATAAAGGTGTAAAACCGTGAAAAATGCCATTTTCATCATGATAGTTTCTATTTACGTCACGATCAGTCATTTTTATTAGATAATTAAATTCAATTGATAATGAACATTCGTTTTCTACATGACTCATTTAAATTTGTTTGATAATAGTAAAAACGTTCACTTAAAACAAATTAACATACAGCTTTGCATGTAAAATAACAATTATCTCACGTCAATGAACTTGCAGTTAAAAACATTTATTAAATTTCTTTAACAATAATTTCATGTCATCTAATTGATATTTCAGTTTTAGGAGTAGAACAGTATAGGTTTAGCCATGATTTCACTTTGACCTCTTGGCAAAAATTGAGGATTTTCATACAGTAGATTTTGACTTGAATGATTAGCTGTTTGTTTCTCGGCCGATTTAAATAGGAAATATCTGTTAGACAGCTGTTACTAAGCAAAATTTCGTCTTGTTAGTTATTTATCTACAAGAACGAGATTAGAGAAAATTGTATGAAGGCAAACAAATGGCGATCATAAGTGTATTTTTATTCTTAAAAAGATTTCTATAAGAAAAATATATGTCGATAACAAGTTGATCATGCATTATAACATGAGTATATTTATTTACCTGAACACAACATCAGAAAGTGTTAAGATATTTAAAAAATGCTTTTATTATCGTGCCTCTTTAACTGTAAACAAAAAGGCTTTTAACTGTTTCGAAATACCTAATAAATAAAACTAGCATATAAAAAATAAAATTAGTTACGAAGAAAATATTGATGCAATAAACCGGTTTATTTCAGGTAGCTTCAACCATTCATTCAGCAATAAAATCCTTGACAACAGATATTAATAAAAATGCACTTAGTACTAAAAATAGGATTAACATAAATAGAAGCTCAAGAAACATTATGCATAATCATCAAACAAAACAGTCACATGCAACTAGTGAAGATGGCATTAAACCATGTGTTGTACAAACCGTACCGAAATTCAATACAAATTCAAATAAGAAACTACTGTATCATTTAGTACGCTATGCTTTTGGTAATATAGTCTGTAAAGCTACATATGTTAAATAGATAAATAATCAAATGGTGATTACTATCAAATTACTCATCATATACTTAAACATTATGAATTTATCAACCATATCTCAGGCAGTATTGCCAATATTTTATTTTGTTAACGATTTATTTCGGCTAGCACACTCGCACATTACTATGCGTTAGATCCAACCAAGACGTTCAAATCGATCGGATGAAATAATCAAAAGTATCCCACTAATTATGAGAACAAGAAAAATAAAGTATCACCCTTTATCAACACAAATTTTATTTATCTTCACCATGCGCAAGGTTTGTCAAATGAAAGAAAGAAAATAATAATTCATGCTTTTTTTCCTTCTTACATCTTATAGAATAGCTGCTTCTATCAACTGTTGTTTGTTTACGCACAATACACGAATAATAATAACACTCATGTATAGAGGATTTTGTCGAAAAAAAAAACAGTCTAAATTCAATGGTATTTCCAATTTCTTCTTTTTTTGTCATTGACGAATAATATTTGTCATGTGTCTGTCGTTTGAACAGAACTACTTTTTAAAATGTCAGTATATATTTTATTTAGCGATGCTAATGTGGGATTGACGCCACAAGAAGGTCTCAATAGATCTCTGTTGGTCAGTATTAACAAAAAATAACATACATGTTTTGAAATACTTAATTAGTTTTCAATTTGTGGCTTTTCTTATGCTTTCCAATGATCAATTGTGGATGTTTCTTTTATAATCTATGAACTATCTAAAACTATCGTTATTCATTGTCTTTATGTAACTCGAAACCAATGTGTAGCTACTAAAATAAGGTTCAATCTACTTAAATATAGTTAGTGAGAAGATAAAAATCAATTTGATAAATGCTAAAATTCATCAGGACTTTGTTTTTGTTCAAGTATGTTACTAAGTATACCATCTAACTGATAGAATTATTTTCGATCATCTTTACTTTCATCTCATCATTATGATGTTGAAAAGAGCACTAACATAAATCATCCAACTCGAAATATCTTGAAATGCAACAGCAACGAAACCTTAAATGTCAACATTCCACACGTAGTTTTTTTTTCTCATCGGACATTAATGTGACTTAATGAGAGAAATCTTCTAAGTGACTGATCGCGTTAGAATCGCAATAATGTACATCATGTAACTCCTAATGGAGTATGTATGCCTTGAAAAAAATGTGTGTCATTAGCTTATCGCTACCGAAACAGTGCATTTTGTAAGAAATTTTCAGTTAGACGCCACAGATTTCTTCAGTAACCTTGGGTAAATTCATATTCCAACTTTGACTTAACAAAAAAAAACTATACAAAGATAGATTTTAATGAAGTTGTATTTTTGAGAATATTTCAAATAGTTTGATTACTTCGCATGATTAAATAAGGACATAGAAATTAGTAGTATTTATAACAGATATAATACACACGACTCTACCAACACTGTTGCCTATACTTCATTCTATATTATTTTTAGTAAAGATTATTGCAGAGATATGCTACTGAATACACGGCTTTCGCCAACACTTGTTGGCATATGTGATTTTAATGCGTTAAAATTACGTGATCATAATACTAATATTAATACAAGAAATTATCTTTCATCTAAAACACCTCCGCCTGTATCTTATCGCGATTTACGTACAGTTGTTACAAATCGAATTCCATCAAATATTGTTATTTTATCGAAAAGATCTTCTTCTCCGTTATCATCGACTACATCGATATTGCAACAACGAAAAACTGATTATGAAAAAAAACAAAAGCAACCAGGTTTCGACGTTTATCGATCTCTAGTTCGATCTATATCACATTGTTCAATAGCTGCTGAACGAGATATATCAAATGATGAAATGAATCGTTTGGCAAATTCAGTTACCATTGATCGAGTACCTTTGTTACCAAGTACTGACTTTTTCTATCCACATAATTTATCGAAACTTTCAAAACATGATACTAATTCTAATCATAAACGAAAATCATGTAGTAAAAAACAGATCAACAATGAATCATTGGCATCATCCTGTTGTGAACCCGTTGAATCTGTGCAACCAGTGTCACCAGATATGCTTGATCGAATAACAACAACTACTAATCGCCATGATGATGAAAATAGTGATCGAATGAGTACAACAACAATGCAAAATATGTTGACATGTACACCGAGAGCTTGCATCCGTAAACAATTACATGTTTATGTACCACAAATATCTTTCTAGAGAATGGCATGCTTCTTCAAGCTAAGATATTATCTTTTATAAAAAGAGCAATTATGATAAGATACAAGAGCAGAAATATTATTTATTTTTGTAAACAGTTTTTTGATTGAATCTCTAGTGAAGTGTTGTTGATACTAAGTGAATGGTGTGAATATGAACAAGACATATCACTAGAAATGTAAAAACAATACTTTTAGAATCAGAATCAACCTAGAATAGAAGAATGAAAGTACTGAGAGATTATCAAAATCGTTTTTAGTTTTTAAATTAAAATATTTTTGAAACTTAAGTTTTTGAAATATATTTTGTCTTTTTTTCACTTCCATACTTCGCTTAATAACAAAAAAAACAAAAATGGAAGTATGAGATATAATTCTTCTAAGACGATATATTTTCTGATTTATTGATAATCTTAAACAGATAATTTTGCCTTAAGCAATAGACAAATTTCTTAGAGTAGATAGGTTGGCTACTCTGTAATTTGCCACTAAAAATGATTTTGTTTTTAGTAGTTTCGACTGTTTATTAGCTCTTCTAATTACATCAGTCTGAGAACGAGAATGCTATAGACAAGAGAGCATATAAACAATAAGCACTATGTGAACTTCCTTAGTGGTTATTCCACCTAGTCATTGAATCATCATTGTTGTTTTCATTTCTAGAGTGACTGAATCAGCATATGAGAATAATCATGGATGTGATGTTATACATTAGGAAAAGGCAACTAGATACTTGGTTTCTTTCCCAACACTTCATTATTATTATTGATTTAATCAACGGTTTTGCTATGTGATCATAATCTATTATAAATATTCTTTCAGTTCATTATTTCCAATTTGAAGATTTTTTCGAACTAGACAATCCATTTAAATCAATAAGCATAGCCATAAAAAACATTTATCTCAAGATTATTGGTTTTAAAATGATTTGTGTTTTAAGAATCACATGCCTAGTAATATAATACGCTATATCTATTTGTAACTGTTATTATTCTATATCGGAAGAGATCACATCTGATGAAAAGAAATTGAAAAGCTACTAGCTAAATCATAAAAGAATAAAAATTTGAAACATGGCGGATATTACTTAATTCTTCAGACACGTAATAAGACAGTAGTTCACCTGTTCGAACGACATATTATTGATACATACTCTGTAATCGTGTATAAACTTGTATCATGTGCTGTAGAATTCCATATTTTACTAGTCTCCTACAACATATTGCTTATATACTGTTTCAAAAAAATCTTAACAGATTATAGTACTAAGGTTAAACCTGTGTTTAAATTATCGGCAATATATTGCCCAGCGACTCTTCTTTGAATAAGTGTAGTAGTTATATTCATGATTATTGTCGATGAAATCCAAGGGGACTGCATATAGAAAAGTAGACTTTTCAAAAAAAGAAAATCAAAGAAGAAATTGATTGCATTGATTTATTTATCGTACATTAAGATGATTTGCTATAGGTTCTCGTGTATTTTTGCATGAAGGAAATAAATACATAATGGTTTAACTTATTAGCCAAAAAAAAGGTAGTCTTTTTTTAACGTCGACCAAAAAATGCATCCCAATGATGTTTTCGACCAAATGATTCCCGGTTCGTTGAATAAAAATTTTGACTACCATATTTTTTATTCAATAGATCTTTAAAAGATGCTGATGGACTTTGTAAATGAGTTGAACGCTGTTGTAGATATCCAGGATAACCATTATCATGATGTTCTTGTTTATCGTTGTTGTCTTTCTCCATCAATAATGAATATGAACCATCGACTATTGTCGATGAATTCATTTGCATCAGAACAAAACATAATGCTAAAGATCCATCAAATTATTGAAATATATTAGCTGTTTAAGAATAAAAACACAAAAAGCAGTTACCAGTAATAAATAATAGATTGGAAGTTGAAACCATGATATGTGTATAATTATTATTATTTTTGCAATCGGATGAATGAATGATGTATTGCCGTTTTGGTTGTGACTGAATTAAGTATCGAATGAATTTTTGCTGAACTCCTCAAATGCTTCTGTTTGTTTTCTTCTTCATGTTTTTATACCGTGCATAAGAGATTAGTTTTTACTATTATCGGTCACGTTATTCATCCTCCTTATTGATAATCATCTATTGTACGTTTCTTTTTCTTTTGTTTTTTCTTACCAACGATTTCAAAGAAAATACGAAACTAATCCAAAAAGCATTTTTCTTATATAAGAGTAAGAATTTATGTATGGAAGCAAAAAAAGAAGAGAACTAATGGGAAGAAGAAAAGATCACGCATGTCATGGAGTTATCCTTGGCTTAGTATTTTACAGATAGTCGTTTCCTTTATGTAAAGACGGCATACCGACAAAGGATTTATCTGAAATGAACTATAGGAAATTTTGAATGTTTTTCTACATACAGTATGAAAATTACACAAAGAAATTAGCTAGATCCGTGATACTGAAAAGTTATTTTTATATACATTTTGATTTTATACAAATTTTATTTTCCAAAAAGATGAATATGATTTATACATAATAAAATGATGACTTTATATTTTGGCACCAATGATTTATATCGAAACAAAACAAAAAAGAATCAATATTGTGCATAGAAAGTAACTAGTACTTTTCTTAGAGGACAATAACGACTCAGTAGAAAAACAATCTTAAACTCCCCAACTACTTATTTGAACTCTCTGGACATAAAATTACATGACTTATGTTACACTCATTGATATGTTATACAAACATGATGACATAAGAAAGCGCTTCCAGTAATGTACATAGAACGTTTAAGTTGTTGATGGATAATTAAAGTCGAAAAAATTCCTATATATAATATATACAAAATCAATTCTTGATTCAAAATATAAACAATCTACTAGACAAAAAAAGAAAAGAACTTGTTTCTTTCATTTGTTTTTTGGTCTCATACTTAACTGATATGCATCCTAAACAATTTATCTTGACATATAGAATAATAAATAAATATGACCATCCTAGTGATGATTTCTACGCTATAAAAAATATCATATCTGACACAATATTTAATCAATGCTGTTCTTACTCCATAATTCATTTTATAATATCTACAGGTTTTACTGCATAATATAGTAATCATTGGATTGATATCGTTATATATACAGTAAAGACCTATGCTTCCATTGGCATATCGTCTCCATTCATCAGAATGATTTATTATCAATCTTACCCTTAGATATTTATATATTTAATTGTCATTTTTAATTACTCGTGTAAAATTAACATTCATCAATAGTTGATGGCTGTAAATATAATCAGTAGTTTAAATGATTTTGTTCTTTTTTATTCTATATATTCATCTATAAATTCGTTTTCTTTTGTTTTCCAGAAATTTTACATTAAAACTATTGTCTTGTGTAAGATACGTGCGAAAACAATAATAAGTGATAAAATACGAAGGCATATATAGTGAAAAGCACATATAATACATAAATACGAATTAAAACAATAGTGTTGATAAAAATAATTAAAGACAAATACAAGTCAAAAACAAATTAATTAATTAATTTTGTGAAATTTCAAAGAGCAAACAAAGAATTAAGAAAAACAAACAAACAAACACGCAAACATTAGTTAATTATATGGAATTGTGTTCATTATATCAAAAACGTGCTTTTATTTTTCCAAATCTTTTCGAACTCTATATCCACGATAAGCAGCCTTAATTTAAAACAAAAAGAAATATTGAAATAATCATAGGAAAATAAATTCATACTTGAATTTTAGTAGCTGCTGCATTATCGTCATCTTCACCATCGACTTCCGGATGATATTCAGCTGATGGTGATAAAACTAGAATTAAGAAAAATAAAAAGTGAATGTAAATAAAATATAGAAAAGAAAAAAGAAGAATATTCTACTTTTATTGTGAGTATTATCGTATTCGTCATGTGTACGTGGAGATGTCGATGATGGATGTTGCTCATGAGTACCTATGGAACTTAATTCTTTACGAGTTTTATAACCTCTATAAGAAGCTTGAATACGTGTAGCGGCTTTGTCTAGATTTGAATGATTCATATCGTCGTCTTCGTTTTTGAAATTCGGTTGTAATTCTCGATCAAAATCTGAATCACGTGGAACTTGTGTATGTCGTTCAAAATCTTCACTTAATTGTGTTGGTTCGCGTTCAAGACGTGGTCGATCAGTATCGTCGTTTTCACCTTAAATAGAAAAGACAAATAATGACCTATTGACTTTTGCTTATAGACAGCTATGATTCAATTTGTAAACGGCGTCATTTTTAACCTCTGCTCTATATAAGATAAATAGTTGCTCTATATTCAATCGATCATCAAGCATTCAGATCTTACCGTCAAATGTCAACGATATCTTGTATGTTGGCATATACACTAATTTTCTCTAGCAATAAAACGAATGACAAATACAGTCTAGTGTTGGATGTCGTATGCATGATGTTGATAATGAAGGCTTAAATTCATCTCTTTGACAGACAATTATACTAGTAGACAACTGTACGTAGCATCTCTCTAATATAACCAATAATGTGTTACTATTATTAAAAACCAGTGAAAGGATTTCTATGTTAGATATAATTACGTAGATGACAAAAACCTTGACGTAATATGAAAAATGCATTTATGCGTTCCAAGTACTTAAACAAGAAAATGCAACGAGCTGTGCTAACGATATATTTTGAATAGACTTACCGAAAGAGTATTTCAACTGAAGTAAATGGTTCTACTCGTTCAACTAATTATGTTTGGCTTATATTTATAGATATACGTAGACAAAGACTCAGATGAGGAATGCTTTTTTCTTGTGTGCTTTTTGCTTATCTATCTGTATGAATCTAAATAAATTCTGTAGAATGCAAATAATATCCACTACGGATGATTCGTAATTGTACTCGACTGATATTCTCCTTTCTTTTTTTTTCTCTTCTCTGTCGATAGGCTATTCTGACATATTTACTTTATCCATTGGCGAAATTTTTTCTCAGCGACAATGCTATCAAGAGAAGCATCGGACTTGCATTGCTAGTTATTGTGAACTTTCTCATTATACTTAGATATGAAGTTATGTCATGCTGAAGAAAAGAAAAGAAGAAAATCAGTGGTAGTAGATATCATTTCTATGCATATCTATAGAGAGAAAACTAGATTGAACTGAAAACATTTAGCTAACTAGAATCGATTGAATCGAGTCTTGGACTAAGTCGAATCATGAAAATTTCAATCGATGGAGTTAACATTACTGTTATCAGCGGATCTATAATAGATTATACGTAGAGAATAACGAATATATATGATTTGATTATTGACAAGTTATCGTTTAGAGTCTGTGAGAAAAGTGTAGAAAATATCAATTGAACAATAGAAATATTGTATCTTTCGAACGACTTAAAGATTTAAACAAAAACTAATTGCTTCCAAAATTTTGAATACGATTCAAATTGACTTCAGAAAAATTAATTTGAAACAATCGAATTTCAGTATTCTGAATTTTTAAAATCGAACGAATCCTATTTTAAGCTCACCAGTTTCTAGTTGATCGTTTGCAGTTAAATTTCCGCCAAGATCCTGACGATCACTATCGATTTTTTCGCTAAAACGAGTTGATGGCGGTGTTGGTGTTCTTTCATTCTCAAATTCCTAAAATATCAATAAATATAGTAAATATATATATAAAGAGAGAAAGAGACATTGAATGCTGATCAATCAAACAAAAATTTCTAATTCATCTGCAATCCATTGAGCGTTAGCCATGCAGAAAGCTTCTTTTTCCTGTTTTTTTTAACGCTAACGATGATTGTCTATTGCTATCGAAATAGGATTTGTCGCGGTAATCTTAGCTTCAGAAAGATAAAAAATACCTGACGTGTTCGTCGATCAGATAGCTGCGTAGATTCAAGTTTACTACCAGGCGATTCTTGTTCTCGGTGACTATTTTGTCGATCTTTTGAACCACGATATCCTACCTGATTAGGAAACTTGAAATTATATTAATATGCAAAAAAGCTTCTTTAAATAGAAACAAACTTGAATAGCTCTTGCAGCAATTTCTTGTTTTTGTTTTTCAATTTCACTATCTTCTTCTTGATATTGTTCTTCTGGTTCATCAACAGGAGAATCTTCTCGTTCTTCATCATCATCTTCTGCAGTTGCTTGTATTTGATGAGTCTGAATGAAACAATATTTAGTAATATATTCCAAAGAAAATATTGAATAAATTCATTACATCATTACTATATGCTTGGTGTCCCATACGGTTGCTGAGTAAAGGTGATGATTTCTAGATAATATCATGGAAAACAACTAATTATCATTATTTTTTTCTCTATTATTTAGAATTACTCGATCTGTAAGATATTCATTGTCATTTGGTGTTTCGGTTTGTTCACGACCAATACCTAATTCTTGTCGATCAGCATCAATCACTTTTTTGCTCTGATAAGTATTTATATAGAAGAAAAAAGACATAAATAAGCAAAGGCAAAAATATGAAATATTTCAACAAACTTCGTCTTGCATATGTTCGACACTTCTTCTTGTTTGATGACCACGAAAATTCGCTTGAATTTTTGTTGCTGCACCATTAATATTAGGATCATTAACTCGATACTCTTCCTGAAATAACAGTATAGAAAATGATATATTTTGATTGAGAGTAATAACATACTTGAAAACTATGATTATTATAATATCGATCTTCAAGTGAACTTTGTTTGTCAGACAAATATGATTGACCTTGCTCTAAACGATACATAATGCTCCTAAGATAGTAATGATCATCCTAGGATGAATCCTTATCAGCATTTTTATCTACTTGAATTCATTTTGAAAGAAATCAATCAATCGAAAATAGATTTAATCGAGAGTACTTCCATACAATTTTTTTTTCTTTGGAAAATGGATGTATTATGTAGAAGATACAAAAATGTCTGCGACAAACTATATTATACAGAGTGAAGAAATGATTTCTCAGTTAAATTTAGTTATATATGCATCTCATTAAATCACACTATCTATCTTTAAATAGTTATATTTGTAAACTTTGAGAAGCATGATCTGTGTACAATGACGGAATAGCATTTTGACTGTTGATTTATGAAATATTGTAGAAGAACAACAGGTTTTTGTTTTAAATCAATTCATAAAAGTTTTACCAAATTTTAGATAAAAACAAAACAAAACTTTATGATGCAATCATTGAGATCAAAATTTGCGATATTGGAATCTAGCTTAAAATCAATTTATATGTAAGATATTCAATTGAGCGATGTTCAACGATGAAAAATATTCTCTTATGAGCATTTCTAAACATACTTCGTCAGACAATATAAATATTTCTTGATGACATTCTTTATCAAATACAATTATAGTTTATAAACTTTCTCAATAGTGTAACTAAGATTATAAGATATCTTCTTACGACTGCAAGGAACTTATATTATTTCTAATCAATATATGATTTAATTATGTCATCAATCATTCATTAGAATCCAATCTATTGATTGATTAATCTATTTTTAGTAGAAGTAGAATTTTTCTGAAAAACCTTTTCTCCTTATTGAAATATCAAACACATAGAAGACGTACAATAGCAATAATAGTATATTGCTTATGAAAAATTAATAATAATAATAATAATAATAATAATAGAGAAAAAACCATGCGCATTAGTATAAAAAAAGCAAGAAAGTTAAACCTAGAGTTGTTTCGAATGAATTACATCATTAAAACTATTCAACACTTGTTCAGCTTTACGTCTTATATCATCAGGCAAATCATCGGGAATATTATGTTCATTATTTGATAAATGAATAACAGTATTTTTTGTGTTAAAATTTTTGTTTGGTGATAATGAAGATGAATCATCAAGAAAAACTTGTCGTACTCGTTTTGTTACAGTTACATTAACAACTTCGTGTTCATTTATTTCAGCATTTAACGAATTTAAATCAAGTGCAGAACCCATTTTATCGTAGAGTGCTTTCAAAAATGAATTATCCGATGATTGTGATGCAACATAAATTGTAATGATATTCATTAAACGTTGTTTTATTTTATTATCATTTTCTACTGGTTGATTCTGTTGAATATTATTAAAACATTCTTCAAGATATTCATTAACAAGTCGTTTTTCTGTTGCATTACCAATAATTCTTTTATGTACGTAATCAACAAGTTTTTGCTTTTCTTCAGCATTTGTCAAGATTTTTTCACGAACAAATGTTGCAACTTCTTGTTTAAGTTTATCAATTGTTTCAGCGTTTGAAAATGATTGATTAGTTTCAAAATCGTTTTTTACTGTGGTATGCTCATCGTTATCATTTGAAGGCGATAATTGTGGTGGTGTTGTTGCTAATTTTTCTTCCGAATCAATAAAAGGTACATTATCAAATTTGTCAGCATTGGTTGATAATATTTGTTCGCAAGTTGAATTTTCTTTATTTGGTATTGATGAATCATTTTTTAGATACTTTCCATTGTTTCTCTTCAGCTTTGCGGTACACGCACCCATTCTGTATTGATTTTTATCCAAGTATATTTTTCTTCAGCTTCTCTGGATTGTTCTACTTGGTGGTAGTTAGTTTATACTTTGAGTCTTAATAGCCATAAGAGTGTTTTGTCATTAGAACTGTTCTTATTCTCTTTCTTTCTTCTATGTTTCTATATTTCTTCTTTAGTAGAGAAAGAACGAGCGAATCAGCAAAAATTGTTGCGCTTCGACCAGATTGATGAACTTTTTCATCATACATATAAGTCATTTCTTTCTATGTATTCAAAAGCTCATGATGGTCGATCGAGTCGAGAGAGACAGAGAGAGAGAGAGAGAGAAAAGAAACGTTATAGTAATCGAAGCATTTTTCATTTCGAAATTTTTTTCATACATGCGCCCGAGGGCGAATGATACCAACGCCTTTTTACAAGTACACACTTTTAGTCACTTTCTTATTCATTTCATTGATTAATTTTGATCCACTATATATTGTAATTCTTTTGAGGCTCTGATAATTCTTTTTTCTTTCTCCTAGCTTAATCTCTGCATATATATATATGCATAACATGAATAGAAGTAAAACGTTGTGGACAACGTATTACATTTGAATCAACTCATATAATAATTTTGAGCATCTTTATACTGTCTATATGCAGATAAATGCATCCATTCTATTATAATTATCATTATTATTCTCTATGACTACTATTGTATTGCATAGTAATGATTGATTGGTAGGTAAGACAAAAGATGACGAGTATTCAATGAGCAAGTACAAACAAACAAACAAATAATTCCATATTGATCACGTCTTGACTTTGCTGGCGTATGTTTATGTATATGCGTTGTCAAGAATGATTTCATTAGAATGAGTTATCATGATTATCAGGAATAGACAAATATATACAGAAAACAATCAAACTTCAATGAACGTACATTTGATGATATAACGTTAGTAGACGGGGAACCCAACACGCGAAGAGTAATGTGATAGATACATAGTAAGAAAATAGGACACAGAGAAAGAGAAGAAAAAATAATGAGACGATCTACATCGCTGGTTGATGATGAGACATGCGCCGGATAGGCTGGCGTGTATCCGTTGATGATGATCGACGATCCATTAGGACAATTCATCTCGTTTTCTCTGTGTTGAGAGATGGACCATTGAAGCAGATGATATTGTATAGACGAATAGAGTAAAGATCATATATAGGATACAGTTATTCAGTATGTAAAACATGGTTGCTAACGTCTTTTATTAGCATAGTTACCATACAGTTTGCAAGTGTCAAAGAAAATTGTCTATAGAACTATCTTTAAAAATTAGTTTAATAGGTTTCAAATTGATTGGTTTACTTCTATATATCATTTAGAAATCAATTCATTAACTAATTTATGCGATTTTGAGAGAAAAAAGTGTAAATTATTCTATGATGATTTTAAATAAAACATCATCATGGACGATAAGGTCGAATAAAATAAAATGCTTACCTCGCCTTCTAAGTAATTTTTCAAAATAATCAGCAGCAAATTCATGAATATCTCTTGGTTGACTACGAAGAATTTCAGTCGATAAACCAACTAAAAGACTTTGAAAACCTTGTGGTACACGTAATTTTGTATTCGAAAATGGAATCACCATGATTTTAAGTTTTGTTATTCGTATTATTAAAATAAAAAAGTATGGACTAAACAAAAATAGTATCTAAAATTAATTCTAATGTGATATTCATCATTTAGACAATTTTTGTTTTTCGAACAACGAAACAGAAATCAACATCAACACAAAATATGAACAGAAAAAGAAAAAAAATCATGTACCAGAGGCGAAGTGAAGCAGAACAAACGGAAACCATGGTAGACTGAGACAAACAAGAGACGAACAATAACATAAATGGCTCAATAAAAAAATCCAATAGTGAAAAGGGACAAAGCAGAGGGCGCAGTTTTAATAGAGTTATTCTTTTTCTTTTTACGGTATATTAGAAGAATTTAATGCACATGGATTTAATAGAAACAGTGCAAGCCAATAATCGATTTTTAATATATATTTTATATTGATTTATTGGTTGCACTCTTATATTTTCCATACATACCAAAGAATAGTTTATTGATAAAAGCACTTTATATTTTTCTCATCATTTTCTCTATAGAAAAATCTAGTAGACGACATACAACAAATTAATGTTTAAATCTCATAAATCGATTTATATAATTATCCAATAAAGTATTAAATTAACCTAAAAACCTTGTTCTATTTGATGAGGAATAATATATATATATCACTGAATCAAAGTAGGTTTTAGGATTGCCAGGATGCAACATCTAGATCAATGCGACTTATTCTTTTCCTAAGAGGAGTTATACGAAGATTGAAAAAAAACAAGTGTGAGCTGAAAAGTTAGTGCTAAAAATAATTACCAATGAACAGTTAAGAAAAAACAAACGATGATTGAACTGATGCTATTTTCTTGCACGAGTCTTTTTAATGTATATTCGTCCTGAAACTTTGTTGTTTCTTCGTTGGTAACAATCTAAATTTATATCGCGCAATCTAACTAATTTTTATGGAATTACTTAATGAAAATATTTTTCGGATTAATAAAAAACATTTATATTCAAATAATTCATATAATTGAATTATAAATTGATTAATAAAGTAGAATAATTAATTTTTTTCTTTCGTTAAATCAAAATCATCCTTTGTTTCAATCAGTTAAATCTATATTTGGAACTTATCGATTCCATGAAATGTAAATATTAAAACAGCAATAGCATTGCATCGTTTATTTAAAGCAATTCAATTACATCTAATCAATGTGACTAAAGCAGAAGAAATAATTTCATTTATTTGCTTAGAAAACGAAAACAACATGTAGAAACATGACAAGAACAAATAATAACTAAACCATTTTTCTATGAAAAAACGTTTTTCTTGAACAAAACAAAGCAATCGGGTTACTTTACCTAAAACTTAATCAGTTAGTAATTGTTAACGACTATATCTAACGCTTTGACTTGATTGTTCAACCAATAAATCTACAATTGGTCGACCATGTGCAACGCATCCTCTGGATATTAATGTGATTAGAATAGCTGATTTCGCACGTCTAGTACCAGCTTTGACATTGCACATCTGTTTAAATACCGATGCGTTCTAAACATAGGAATAAAATAGCAAGATCTAATTCAGATATTTATTCACTTAATGTTTACATTGAGGATACGATGAAAGATCAGAAACTAAATCAACCGTTTGCTTAACATATTACAATTTTGAATTGAAGACACGCTATATTAATTGATGTAGTAAATTACTTTGTTGCTTGAAAAATTGAATAAAGAAGGTATTAAAGATGCCGTTCATAATTATATAGATATTCGAGATTTTCTTTAGTTTCTGCGTAGAATGTTAGCATCGAAATTCGTTAAATAAGGCATTATCATTACTTAAGCTATAATTGGAATTGAAATAAGAGTAATTCTAAAGGGAAATCAATCAGTATTCATACGAGTGTTTGATTTATGATTGTACTCATAGCTGAAGTTTCCGTGATTTTGATAAAATTAAAATGGATATGCCTTTCAATATTTTTCTTTCATTATGATCATGATTGATCATAAAATTGTTTATAGTTAGTTGAAAAATGTATGTTATAATGTAGAATGAAGAAAATAACGAGATGGTTTTGCATGAAAGTAATAGCAAATAAAATAATGACTGTTGGGATGATTAATTTATCAGTCCTACGATACTTGCTTCGTAGATAGATAAACGGTCGCGTGAATCTTTTGGATACCTCATGAAATGAAATGATTTCAGATAAAATATTTATTGATAATCAAAAACAAAGTCTTTTTAATTCATATACTCATACATTCCTGATTTAAGTAACACTTGAGTTTTTGTTTGATTGCTTATACATTGCAAAACAAACCGAATTGAATAGATGAACGCTTCTCTGCTAAACCAAAAACATGCCCTATTGTATAAATAATAATTTAGGTTCATTCTCATGATCAATATAACTGTATTTTACATAGTTTGTTTTGTCGACAAGAGTTGATTGTTGAATTTTTGATAAACATGCAAACTATTGGTAAATATCAACCGAAGTCGAAAAGTACGGGTCGTATTATTGGTACGAATATTTTACTGCAATAAGTTTGTCATGTTACACCGTTTACTTAAGAAAAATGGATCTACAACAACATCGATTTTGATCGTTATGAATTAAATCCTAATCGTCAAGCTCCAATATTCGTTATATTCTCATCGAAAATTTCTACTGAAATGCTGAAATAAATAGATTGAAGTTAACAAAAAACTAAAAATTTGCTCCTCAACGAACATTTTTAATGATAAAGACAATAATATCAACAGGAGGTCGTTACAACATAAGGCGTTCACACAAGAAGTTTGATGGAAATATTCATGATCATTGTTTTGTGATATTACAAGAGGCAGAAAATGTCTGAATAATACATATTGATTCAATGGCGCAAAGAGTAGCAGCAATTTACGTAGAGCGGCTTGCTTTGTTTGTATACCATAAACACTGGTAAAACATTCACAATAAATAAGACCAAAAACGCATATATTAATGAAGGAGAGATACAATATCGACCTGTGAAAATATACAGATTGATTGAAAATCGTATTACCACCGGATTCAAAGTCCATTCGAATACAAATGAAAATTTGAACACCAAATATCTTGTATCTTTGCATGTGACTTTTGAATATTTGTTGGTTCAATCTCATTCAGAAATGTCTATTACTTACGTATTCAATCAAGTTTTAGAAAAAGAACGTTACAGAGATCATTCTTTAAAATAATTAACATTCTAAAATTAGTTTTGGTTTTTTGCACAAAAACTTTAATTTGCGCATCATATAATTTTCATTGTGATAGCAATTCAGAATGATTCTTTCATTACACATATTTATGTTGTAGATGATCGATAGTATCATACTCCGTTTGGTGTATCAATAAGCTTTCGTCTGTTTTAGATAGTTATGTTTTATATTTGTATCTTGTTTTAAGACTCCTAACAATTTACATTTGAGTATAAGCCTCGAAACTATTGTGTGTCGATTGCTTTGCAAATATTGTTCGACTCATACCTAATCTAGTCTTATTATTCAATCCTTCTACATGTGAAAAATACACAGACAAAGGCAGTGTGTGTGTGTGTCATTGCACATCATATAATGTAAAACAACAAAGAATTGCGCTGAACACTTAACGGATGCATGATGAAATGCATTCAATGAAGGTAAAAATATGCATAAGTTGAGAAAAATACAAGTATTTAATCGTAACACTACATTTGATTAGGGATAAAAAGTATGAAAAATAAAATAAATAATAGACAAAGAAAATTAAACGCCGAAACTCTAGGCATATTCAATAACCATGATGATAATTATGGTAGTCATCTTCTGTTGTTGGATTATTAAACTATAATTGTGATGATAAAAATATGAGAAATAAGATATGATTTTTAAACTAAATATTTACCTGTTTCACGATTACCGACGGTGATGAATACAATTGGTCTTGCTTAATACCAGCTCTTAGACCTGATGAAAATTTGGTTTGCCATTTTGGATTCGTTGGTGCACCGTGTGGAGCAAGAAGTGAAGAATTACCCAAAAATTGATGTGGATCGTCTACACTAAAACTGGCACGTTCAACACTCGTTATTGGTTGTTGTCGTTGTTGATACTTTCGATTGAGATAAATAAAAACACCCATCAAAATTAACGATATTATTGCATAGACACGAAATGTTATATCAGTACCTTTGAAATTATTGTAATTGAAACACAAATCAATATATTGATTTTATTTCAACATACCGAAATAGGAAGCAAGAAAACCACCAAATAAAGCTCCACAACCTCGTCCAAAACCAAAATGAAAACCTTGAAGAAGGCCTTGACACGATATTCTTAGATTTTCTGGTGTTGTTTGAGACAAATACGAACAAGCTGTTGCCCACACAGCAGCATGTGTAAGTCCTTAAAACAATTCATAAAATGATTTGACTTCTTTAAAATAAAAACATTTGATGTACCTTGTATAAATTCAAATGGTAAGACCAACCATGGATTTGATATAATTGATATATAGAAAAAACGAATAAAATTTCCTAATAAACCCAAAAATAAAATTTTTATATGTCCAAGACGATGAATAAGTTCATGTAAGAAAAAATAAGCAAATAATTCACTTGTATGATTTATAATCGAAGCAACACCTACGAAAATATGGTTTTTTGAAGGCAATATTAAATGATATATTATAAATTCTATTACCAAAAAGTGTTGGTGATCCACCAAGATCTTGTAAATGCCAAAAAAGAAATGTAAATACAAGACCAACACCACATCCCATCCACCTTGAAATAAATACTTGTGAAATAAATCAAATTCAAACTTATTCATATCTTTTACCATGCTATAAAAAGAAATGTACCATTTTTAAATGTCATAAATATTTGAATGAGTTGCATCAATTTAATCGTATTTGACGTTGAAAAAGCGTTCTGTTTTATTGAATTAACATCAAATTCTTGTGTATTATATTCATTTGTATTGACATTTGCTTTTACTGTTGTAGAAAAACTTTTCTTTTTAAATCGTCATTTAATGTACGTAGTGGCAGTTGTTCATTTTTATCATAAGAGAATTGAAAACGTGTCGCAGTTATTAATGCAAATGTCATACAAACACTAAATGCTGCAAAACAAACTGTATAATTTTTTTCGAGTGGTCCACTTGTGCCACAAGCGTGCAATGTAAGTGACTTGGATTGATCTAGAAAATAAAATAACATCGACATGAATGTTACTTATTTTGTGTATTCTCATTACCAAGAATAGTAGCCACAATAAATATAGCTAAGCCCCAGCCTAAACTACCAAACATACGTTGTCGTCCATATAGTTCAGTATCTTGACCTAAATACGATAATGTACAAGCATCCTAAAAAGTAAAAGAAAAATGAAATTATTCAACGTTTTTTTTAAACAATAATCAATCAAAAATATTTTATCGTTCAAAGAAGAAGTAGAAGGATATACTACACGAATGTAAATATTAGTGAATAGGCTTCCGGTTACCCATAATGATGAAAGCGGAAACATTCTTGTTCTCAATGACTTCTAACTATAGACCATCAAGTAAATCTAAAACATGAAATGTAGTTTTAGAGCTTGAGATAGAATGAATGTTCTTCTTTAGAATTTCATAGATAATATAATAAAAGAGTTATCCATGAAAACAAAATCAATGGAGTTCATAAAGTAATATGCATTCTGTTGAAAACAATCAGGAAACGATTTTCAAGGTAAACTATTAATAGTAATAATCAGTTTTCTCTTCTAATTAAAACTAATACGATTCTTTAGAATTGAGTAAATAATCAAGAAAAATGAATTTTATTGAGTCGTTAAAGAGCTCTTGATACTTGTCGAACACTTCTTCGATAATCTATCTCACTATATAAACATGCACACACTTAGATATATATTGTTTATGTGATTAAGGATAATACAATAATTTTTCCAATAGACTTCATTTTATTTAGTATTCTATTATAAGTAAATTCAAGAACTATACTTCACTGTATCTAAAAAATCTCTCTAAATCCAAATGAAAATTAATTTTTCGACAATATATCTTACGAATAAGTTCTTTTTTTCTTCTCTTCTTTAGATAAGAATAGATATTAAATCTTTCAATATTTACTTACAGCTAATGTAATTGCTGGTGCACTAAAAAATTCACCAACAATAATAAGAAGTAAAAAGACCATGAAAACATTGTGAACATCTTTTTTTTCATAGAGTATGGGTGATGCCAGTGATTTAACGAATGATAAATCTATATGTTTTATCGTTAATGGATTACCCATCGGCTTTTTAGGTTGATCAATAGGTAAAATATTTATTAAATTCGATTGTTGTTGTTCATAATTGTTTTGCGTTGTTAATCGATCTTTTTCATTAGCCAGATTGCCTTCATTAATATCATAAAAATCATCATCTTCATCATCATTTAATTTTGAAAGTAAAGTTGTCGTTTTAATTGTTATTTTTCGTCTTCTAGATGATGTTGCTATCGTTGAACTAATCAATAGATTCTGATCACTAATTCTATCTTTTGTTTTATTCAAAGAAAATATGCTTTGTTTAATAGTTTGTCGTTTAACAATTAATTTAATTGTCGGTAATATTGTACTAGATGAAAATCCAACACGTTCAATAATTTGATGGGTTGCATTCATTTCTCTCCAGCATGAATGTGGAGGTGGTTTAATAAGACCAATTGCAACCGTGAAGATAATCCATGACAGTATTGCCATAAGTAATATATTTTTTGCTTGCCGAAACCGTGTTGATACGACACTCCAAAATGGTGCCGAGAAAAATTCAACAAATGGCCTAATTATTAGAAAATATATGCACTTATTAATTTTTTTTAGTGACTTAGACGAAAAAAAGAGCTAGACTAGATTGCGCCTCCGGATTCAAAAGTATTGAAAACGAATATTCTTCAAATGAATGTGTTTGTGTGAACGAAGTATCCGGAATGCAGGGCCAATCTTACTCAAAATACAAAATATTGCAATACTGATTTATATTGAAAATAAATTGAGATGATGAAATTACAAAAGAACAGAAAACAAATTTTTGTACCGCTTTAGATTGGTTTCTTTTCGCTTTGAATGCTCTTTTTTAATCTGTAGTATTTTTTCTATTTCTTTTCATTTGTTTAATGCATAATCTAAGTCAGTTTACTAGATCAAATAATCTTTTTCTCTTTACCGAAATCCCATGAGAATACCACAATACGATGGACCCATGCCCATTTGTTTAAAATAAATAGACATAAGGGGGAAAAGTGAACCAAATGCTGCAAAGTACCAAAAATAAAAAAGTTTCGCAAATAATAATGTACGATTTATATTTGATTTTAATGATTCAAGTAGATTTGGTGCATGTCTAAGTACTTCAGGAGTTTGGTCATTATTATATTCGAAAAGTTCTGTTTGATCGTATTCTTGTTGTTGTTGTTGTTGTTGTTGTTGAGGATGATGATAAGAATCTTGCATATTTTGATAGAAACCTCCAGAATCCATTATCTGAAGTTAATACTATCTAGATAAATAATCGAAAGATTTTGTCAATATTTTTATTCATCATAGTCGATATTTTTTCCCTATTTTTCTGTTTCTCTGCCTATATACATTGCCCATAAACTTCTTAGTAAAAATGAAACAGAAAGTTTCAAGAATATCGAAGACGAGAAAGAAAAACGAACCGCTACTTACCGAAGGTTTAGATTTTCATGAACTAATAGTACTGTATGACAACGATAGTATGTTGTTAATTGTGACTTTTTCATTTTTTTTCGCTTAATTTATCCGAATTGACAGTTAATAAAAAAAATCTTCCTTTTTTCTTCTTCTTATTCTTTACTAACATCAACGGCAAGTCATGGCAGGCAATAACGCCTTGAAAATATGAAGAAAACAAAGGCAATCCCGGGGAAGCAAACGATGACAGCATGCAATGGAATGCTACGTCTTTTTCTATTATAATGCAATACTATCTAGAAGAAAAGTTCGGTGCATACGATGTCGAATCATCACCGTCACTCCTATTTCTTTTTTGCGATTTGTTTTTCTTCTCATGTTCAACATCATTTTATTACTTGTAGAAACGCTGGAAATGAGTGACGAGGATAGAAAGAGAGAGAGGGAGAAGGAGAGGAAGAGAAAGTAGAACTAGATCACGCTATTAGCTGTTTTCGTGAAAGAATGTTCTGACTTTTTTTCAAATAGCAAGAGAAACTCAGCTGAAATCTCTAACTATTCTTCTGATGAACATCATTTTGCATGTTCGAATTAGAAAGCCTGAATAAACAAATGTTCAAAACAAAAGACTGTCCAAAACATATACTTTTATTTATTAATGGAAATTTTTAATAGATGATCGGCAGTACGCATTAATCCCTAAGCAAACTGATATAAACGGATGCTCTTTTTTTATACTTTGTGAAAGAAAAAAAAACAAAGAAAAACATTTTTTAGAAGAATGGTAAAGTATTGATAGGGGCCAAAAAAAGAATCATAGTTTATCGCATAACGTTCAGTTAATTGAGTACTCGGAAACAAAGCAAAAAATGAAAGAAACCAGAAGAGTGTTGAATAATTAACTTTAAAACTTTGTTGACCGAGAAATTTACATATAATATATATTTGACGAGAAAACAATAATAGCAGTATACATCAAAATCAATTAATAGAGCCAAAAAAAAAGAAAGATTAATTTAGTATTTTAACATGTAAAATGTTTTTTTGCTTACTTGATGATTATTACATTTAGTAATCGTGTAAATATATTTCGAGCAAGTTTTTTTCTCGGCTAGTTTTTATTATTAAATCATTTCTTTTTCCGGTCTTAGGTATATTTTTTATGTAGGCGGAAAATATTTCACGGCAATAATACACAAAAGAAAAAGAATAATGTTAGCTCTTTTATTTTAAATATAGCGATTCTACTACGAGAAAAAGTCTACGTTTATAAAATTCTCAGGAGAAAGAAAATAAATGTAGTTGATAAACATGCGAATGCTCAACAAGAAATACATTGTTAAAGCAAAAAGCAAAAAAAAGATAGATTATATCTGCAAATATTTTGGCATAGAATAGAAAAGAGGAAAAAGAATCGATTATCTCTAGCGGTTCAATAGATCGTTAAATGAATCTTTAATAGGTGCGAAAGAACAACTATCAACGATATAAAAATATAAAAATCCTATTTTTATACAAATGGCAATTAAAGTAGATATCTTCATACGATACTTCATGAATTTGTACATTAAAAAAAGATAGATTTTTTTGTATTTATTTCGTGTACGTAGCTTACTTCTCAATTTGATCATCAAGTTTAACAACATAAAAATATCTTCGCATAGTAAAATATATATTTAAAAGAAATTGTCACATCAAGTCTTCTGGGATATTTTTCATTAGAAGAGTAGCTGTTTTTGAAATGTTATTGCATTATTCATTAGAGACCAAAGCAATTTTTTGATTTATTAAAAAAATATAAGAATAAAAATAGTCTTCAGATTTATGGATGTCACCTTCATAAAACAAGTTGTTCATAGTTGACAGAAATGTCAACTTATGTCTTCACTTAAATATCTCTATCTAGAAATATTTTAAAAAATCCGATTGACTTTATCATCCATAATCTTCTTTTCAAAGATGGATTTTAAACTCACTTTGCTTGTTCTATAAATAGATTCCGTTTTTTTTCTTTACATATTTCTTAAAATTAATCAAGCACAATGAAGACAATAATCAACCTTTGTCATCATATCATCAAAAATGTCGAGCTATTGCTATATATATGTATAATTATTAACCATTAAGATATTTAAACTAAATGAAAAAATACTAAAAGGATGATAATTTATTTTAATCAATCTTGATTTATATCTAGACTAGCCCAGATTTCTAGGTATTTTTAATTGATTTCCTTAATCATGATTGATTGTTTAGAAAATAGTTTCATTTTTATTACGAGTATTGCCTCGTGGGTGAAATTAGACTTCTTAGAAATACATGATTTAATCAATAACTAACAGTTTAAGACATACGAAAAATAACGACATTTCTTAGACATATCGAATGTCATGAAATTGTCGTATATCTCTTTCGGTTGATGAGTAGGACAAAACGATGTCATAATTTTCAAAAGATCTGCCGTCCAATTCTCTGCAATCTTCAATTTGTCTCGGTATAAAACAGTACAGCTGAATATTTTTTTATAGGTCGTTTAGTGTGATTATGTGTCTATTGTGCCAACTTTGCGCACATCTTTTAATAAGTCATGTTTTTCATGTAAATGAATAGTTTGTGGGTAAAAAAACATAATTTACTATTAATCGGATATGTGTGAAGGTTTTAAATACTCATTCTTTCGGTGAGGCGTATTGTCATATTATGGAAATAGCGCGAATTTCATGGTTGACTACCTCTTTTCAAAGCAAAAATTCTAGCAATATCACCTATGAGTGAATAGCGTTCAAGTTTCCAGTGGTTTATAGAAAATTGAATTCTTTTCCTATGTAGAGCGCAACAACTACAAATAATTCCAAGTAGTTATTTGATTTGCCTTCAAATTACAAAAATAGAAAGTATTTTAGATGTCTGTTTATAACTTTGGCAAGATTGTTGGAACAACAAGGGGGAAAAAGTGGAAAGTAGGCTTGATGTTTATTTAATTTCACTACGCAACCTATAAAAATAATCATCTCTATTGTTCTAAATCTAGGGGAAAATAAGGTTCAGGAACATTGAACGATAGATCTTTTGAAAGATAGATCAATTCTTTTTTTGTTATGGTCATAAACAAAGAATGTTGCAAATTTTTTGTGACATTCGCTACGTCTATAGACTAGTAGTAATCAGTGTGTTATTAAATTAAATCTATGAATCAGTACTTGTTACTGTTTGCACGTGAACTATTGGTTTCGCTATGTTCGTTATTAGCTCTTTTGAGACGTGTGCCGATCATGACAATGGATTTGATGAACTTCTTTAAATAGCATTGACTGTAAAATTATGTTGAATATGGTGGATCGTACAGTGAAGTTAGAAAGTTTAGATGAATGTTCACTTTGGTAAGAAGAATTCTGAGCACCTCTTTTTCTAATAGATCAATCCACTAATTTGACCATAGACAGTAGTATACAAACAAAAAAGAGATTAACTCACCATTCTTATTGCGATTATTTTGTTTTTTCCAGCAATAGCTTATAATTCTCTTAGCTCAAATTGAGAGTCATATGTATTCTTTCGTACTCAGTGCAGTATGCTGATTCTTAGCTATGCCACCTGTAGACTTCCGGAGCTACAGATACACTATTTTATCTAGAAAGTGCACTTGATTTACACTAGATATGGCAATTAAAATTAGAAAATTTTGAATTGACATGTAACTTAGATATTAATTGGATGTGAACCATTGTTAGTAGCTATTAAATTGCACACTATACTAAAACGCCTTCATTACGTCTAGTATGTTCATGCATATCTTAAAATCTCACTACTTTTACTTTATTCTAAGTAGAAGATGTCTTCATAGTATTTCATATTCAATTTAAATACTGGTTTTTGAAAAATAAAATTTTGTATTGAATTAGCAGTTTCAATATATTGTAATTAATGAGAAAAATTATTTTCATTTGTCCGTTAATGTGAAGACATATGAATCTCGTAATAAAGAGATGAAAGTTTAATCAATGAGTATGTACGTCTCCATTTTTCTAGCGTAAGAATATTAGAATCTGACACTAGTCACACTGTAAAAAATACGTTTATTATCAAACTTGTATCCAGGGCAAGAATTTTTGAGGTTTCGTACTGATTTATCGAACTTAAAAAGCATGAGGTCGTGACTGAGTAAACCATTTCAGATTCAGCAGGTGAGTACAAAACTGTAAAGGTCCTTCCCCTTGAGATAGGTTCGGTAACAAACCTATTTTTATTAGAGTGCAATATCTAGAGTAATGCGTGTCCTTATGCTGAATTTATTATTGAAAAATTTCAGATGTTGATTAGTTTGTGTCTAAAAATAGCTTCGGATATTATTTTATGATGTTTACTTGAAATTAATTGTTGTATAGATTAGAGTGCAAACAAGTGAACAAGAAATATTGCAGTTCCACAATAAATCGAAGTTAGTACGAATAACATTTTTGTTAATAACAGAAAAATTTTTAATTACCTATAAATAGAAGAAAATTATTTATTAGTTATGTGCTTAATTCAAAAACAAAGATCTACTGGCTATCGCATTCTACAGAGTAGAGTGATACTAAGAAAATTCACTCTCATAATACAGGATAAAAAAAATATTCATAAATATTATACAGAATTGTTTTGCTACTACTATCGAATTCTGACTTTTTTCTATTTGATACAAAATTATATATTGTAGTTAGTAAACAAATATTTTAGAAAAAAGATACTTGTCGAGTAATAGAAAAAGATTTGAGAATATTTTTTTGGAAAAAGATAGGAATTCATTAATATGATCCATTTTCCAGGACTAGGCCTCGATCGAATAAGACCAATAGTCTAATATTATATCTTTTATATACAATATTTCCACAAATGAATGATTAAGTATGATTATTAGGTTTGTTATTTGTGTTGAATAGAATTAATATTCAATTTATTTGTTTCAAAAGAACTTCAGTTAAAAAATACTACAAAGTGAATGCTACTTTTTATTCTTTCTTCAGTAAAAAGAAACCATCGGCTATGATATGATGCAATTGCTTCGATTTCTCTAAAATAAAATAAAGTAAAAGCTTTTTATGCATATTCATTTGAAGAAGAAAAAATAAAGTATTTAAAGAGATGTTCAAAAACAATATAAATCGTTTTTTCACCAATACTTTTCAAAATCTATCAATATTCTAATGATTCATTATGCAAAATGTGACTAGTTGCTTTCACAGTTAAACGGACAACGTCGAAATGAAGGTATACGTACACGTGCATAATGTTCTGTGTAATCATTATCAGGTAATTGGCTATTCACTACATAGTCATCAGTGGATGTACCAGCAATAAGACCATATCGACCATCGTGCACAGGAAGTAAATTTTGATCACCAAGTGGTTGATCAAACCAACGGCGATTACCGACAGCAGTTGATTGGTTTTCATAATTAGGTGTTGCTCTCTTGTTCACAAAAGTAGGTTTTGAACTCTGAACAATTAAAACGTAAAGATAACAAATCTAATAGGTTCCAAAATATTTATAAACCTTGCGTTGTGACATTGGAATTATAGGTGATTGCATTGAATTATTCATTGGTCTTTCTTGCATAGGCTCAGGTGAAACAGTTTGAATTGATTTGTCATCATTATCATCATCGTCATACGTGCGTCCTATGTTTTTCGTAGATAGAATGGTTTTCTTACTTATAGGAATCATTCGATCGGCTCTAATATTTGTTGATGACGTTTCAGAATCAACTAAATCTTGACTATTGGATGCAAGCCCTGCATTAGACAAAGTCGACGAGGAACGATCTATCGATAAATACAAACAAAGAATAAAATCTCATACTGAAAAAATAAACTAGACTTACTTTTCTTTGGAAGATTTCGATCATCTTGAATTGGTTGATATTGACCTTTATCGGTCATAAATAGAACTTCAGATTTCTTAGTTAACATATGATGATGATTAAGATTTGTCGATGATACTATATTATCATAAGTAAACGAATTCGTTATTTCAGGTTTAACCTGAAATAAAATAATCAAATATTTTATTGATAGAAAAGACAAACCGTCAAAAAAAGCGTTTACCATTCTTCCAGATGAAGTTCGATAATAGATTGTTTCTTGAATTACATCATAATCAACTGTTGATGGATCATAAGCTAATGCAAGTTCAGTTGTTGTTGGTTCTGTTGCATTAATGCCAATTGTTTTTGTTTCTACTTTAGGTGTTTTTGGAACGGGAGTTATTTGTTTTGATTCTTCGAGAGTAGGTAGTATAGGTTTCTGTTTTGCTTTCACTTCTTTATGCTGATGATCTTTGCATCGACACCAATCGTACATTATTTGATTAGCTTCAAGCCTTTGAACGTGATGGCGGCAACCACATATTTCTTTTTTTGATTGTTCCAATGCCATGACTTCCCAATGATTTAATTTTGGTACTTGATGTGTATGAGAATGTTTTTTAGTTCTTTTCTTACGTTTTTTCTTTTTTAAGCGTTCGACAGGCTTCTCAACTGTTGTTTGTATTTGTTCATTAATAAATAAATTTTTTAAATCTTCTACATCTTCAACAACTAAATCCTTGTTTGTGATGATTCTTCTTGGCTTCTCGCTTTGTTTTTCTTGCTTAATTTGAACTGTCTCTTCGTATTTTATGCGTGATCGACCCATTATGTTACCATAGTAACCACGTATACCACTATTCACGGTATCAACACACTCATTGTCTTCATTACTATCATTATCACCATAACTATATCTATCTTCATCATCATTGTTATTATTATTATTATCATCATCATCAACATCGTCGTCGTCCTCAGAAACAAGAGTAGGCAACTGTTCTGACACAGTACTGGCACCATGGACTATAAATACAATATAAAGATGAATATTTTATTTCTATAATAATAAATAATGATTCTAAAACGTTTTCATCAACACAAAGTCTGTGTAACTGCAATGTTTTCAAAAGCTCAGATAATTGATCATCTTCTTAAAAGATATAATTCGTATTAATTAAAATGAACCTAAAATGTTTTATTATTGATCTATTTCATCCTACGCATCAGTAGGCGTAGTATTCTTCTTATCACAAAATCTAGATGGTGATGATATGTATGAGCATTTAAGTGATAGATAACATGAAAATATGAATTGGAGAAATAGAAAAATAATAGATTCAACAAATCAATCGATAATGATCGCATCCAATATGTGAGAAAAATGAAATTTCTCTAGTAAGATTATCAAATAATTATTTTGATGTAATGAGACGCTCGAATGAAATAAATCTATAAGCATTCTATGCCATACCACGCATCTGTTCTAATCTGTAGACCTTTTGGGTTTGCGGAACATTTATTGGTGGTAAACAAAATGTTGGCGCTTTTCTTTTATTTTCTAAACGATTAACCTAGATTTTAAAATAGAAAAAGTATCACAGAAAATAAGTTCTTCTTAATTGTTTCAAATAACCATACTTGTTTAATAAGCATATCGACTAGTGGCTCTGGTAAAGCTACTGGAGCCAGAAATCGTGTTGGTATTCCTTTTGTCGGTTCGACTTTAATTCTAATATCAATATTTCTTTTCGTTTTTCTTATATTCATGATAAGTCATTATTTATCTTACCTAACAAAACTAACTCTATTTTGATATCCATCATCTCTTTCAAATGATTTATAATGATCTTCATCTGTTTCATTGTTGTAATGTTCATGACTTAGATGTTGTTCACGTTCATGTTGTAATGCTGTTATATGATTTTTACATAAATTTAAATGTTTCGGATCATAACAACATGAATGATATTTATGTAATTGAAAATATTTTACATTTCTTATTTCAGGAAAATAACATTGTAATAATTTTCGTACTTCTTTTTTCGTTAAAGTTTTCTTTTGTCGTAATTCTTCTATTTGTGTTCGTGTTAATATTGGTGGATGCCGTCGTGCTACACGACGTTCTTGTTGCATACCAATCGGTTTTATATAAACATTTGCTTGACGGCACATGAAACATTCTTTTTCAGGATTTCGATGGTCCTCCGGATGTTTTTCATTTAACGATATCAACGATGAATCATAACGCGATAATCTAGTCGCTGATATATTTCGAAACCGTGGCGTTCTTGCAGTTGACTAAGAAAATCACTTAAATAGATTTTTTAAACAAATATTTCACTTACTAGCATGATATAGAAAAATATTTTATCAATCACTGACTTTATGCATCAATGTTGACGATTAACTGAAAAAGTAGGGAAAATGGTAAACAGGCACTCAAAAGAAAAAGAAAAGCAATGGATTAAATTATTTAAATGCACGCAATCAAAAGATGAAGCATTAAATTTACTGTTTGCTTTTCAATATTACCTGAAAAATGGTTTATTGTAAATCTTTCTTTTTTCAATCCAATTTTTTTTCGATGAATCTGACAAAAAATAAAAGAATGGCAAAATGAGTAATGTTATAATATTTAAAGTTGTCTATCATTTATTTGTTTTTGTTTTTATTTTGGAAGCACTTGCAATGTTGATTCAGCATTTTCAATTTTATAAAAAAAAACAATGTGCAAATGTGTATGATTTCGTATCTTAAAGCAATTTCTAGTCGTCCTGCATACAAATAAAGGGGAAACGTTTTCCCATGAATTTGTGTTTTGAATTATGAGTAGAAATGTATTCTTTTATTTCTTTTTCAATTTTAAGAAATTAGCATAGACAAAGACATAGTACTATTCTGTGAATAATATTAACAATAAATGCCGAAAGTATGTAATGGAAATACTGGCCATCAAGATTAATCATAACCGACGGGAAATTATCTGAGAGAAGAGAATGGTTGACGTGAAAGAAGCGAAGAATTTATCAATAGGTGATTGATGATAGTTTGTTCTCGTTTTTTCTTTCAATTCTTACTTGTATTGTATTCTTTCATTAGTTGTTTCATCATAAGTATAAAATTTATTTTAAGTGTACAAAGTTTCATGCCATGTAAGCCGATCAAAAATCAACCCGATCTATGCCGTATAGTTGTTTTCACATTTCATTTCATAGATGGCTTCTACGTTCTGATAAAATGTTGAATTTCAAAGTACATAGAAGAGAATTATATCCACTACATCAATTTTTGTCCAGTTTGATTATTTATCTCGATGGCATAGTAAAATTCTGTTTATTGAAAAGACTTGAAACTAAAAGAAAATGATGTAATTTTAATTCATATGATATGCTGTAACACATTAGAATTGATGTTTCTCAGCAGTAATCGATCTCTTGAAGGCAGATATTATCAACGTTATGATAGAATTGAAGCATATTCGATGAAAGATTGACATCATGGAATTGAACGACGGTATAAGAAACTCACTGCTTTGTTGGAATATATTTTCAGCTGTTATTAAATAAGAAATTTTGTCTTGATCGTGTGCTGATTATTTCCAGGAAAAATGTTTTTCCACTTGAGCTCAAAACGCATAATATTGTTCTCTGCATCGAAGTCTTCCTTTTCTTATGTGCTACTTCATATACATTTCACGCCCACGCCCACATCCACACCCACACCTACATTATTTTCCTCATAGCAACAAAAAAACATATTTCAACAATTTATAATTTTCTTTAATGAGATATTCATACAAAATCTTTGACAAACTTCTTAGATCCTCAATATCTTACGCCAAGTAAAAATACAGAAAACAATTTTCGACACTTTTGAGTGTATAGCACTTCTAAAAATCTTTTTTGTTTTTGTAAAAATCTCCACAACTTTTTATCAATCGATCTTTGAAATTTTCCTATGTTCATAAATAATTCAATCTCTCATGAATAGGAATCAGGAACAAAAACTTTTATATTAATCCTAATATTATAATGCTCTTCAATATTTTTATAACAGTATTAGAAAATATTCATTCATTGTGATTTAATTCAAGAATTCGAATGAAGTACAAGTCACAATGAGCAAGGCAAAGTCATTTTTCTTTGCTTCTGTCTAATAAAGATAATTTGATCTTGTGAAAAAAGATTGATCGTTAAGAATCATAAAACTCGATGAGTTTTTACCAAAGATGATCAAACCTAAAACGCGTGTCGTAGGCAAAGTATCATTTCTTTCCTTGTGTTTGATGGTAATATATGAAATGAAGAGGCGGAACAACAATCTATTATTTTCAGGGAGAATGGAAATTAAAACCCATAAAAAACTTGAATGAAGAATAAAATGAAAACAAAAAATAAACTAATATACTGTACGTCTATGTTGCTGAGCATCCTTCTCGAGTTCAAGTTAAGTGATGAGTAGGGTGATATATGTAAATGAGGTAAGCAATAACAAAAATTTCAACTATTTATATATCAATATTCATTGGTTATGTTTATTTCTTCTTCACTGGTACTTCACTACAAATATATTTCATTCTTTTTATCAATATGATGCATCCAAAAAAAATTTATCATTTTGAGTAAGATTTTCTATTTATATCCACAAACTATCTTGAATCATATTTGTTCGATTTTTTTCTTCTCCAGTAACAATTATTTTTGTGTTTCATCATGACACATTGAGTCAAACATTGTCGAAAAATCTCCTAAAAAAGAATGATGTTGCTGTAGATAATACAATACGGATTAGATCTTTATCAAATTTGGAATCGAATGATTCTGATACGAACAATGAAGAATCGATATAGGAACTTAATTTTCTTACAAAATGAATATCCTTCTATGAAGCAACAGCCTTCGAGGCCGATTCGGCGAGCAAACTTTTGGAAACAAGCTAATACCTGGAGTGAATCTGCCAATTTTTGGTGACCTAATTTAGCTATTCAGAACAATAATTAAAACGATGTTTTATTATAAAATCAATGAATAAAACTGAAAGTTGTCGTACATTTTTACATGCTTGAAAAAAATAAAGTATACTTTTTAATTATATCTATCATCAAGCCAAATATCCATTATAGTAATAGTGGAAAGGTAAAGAAAATTATAAGGTGTTCTGACGTGAGAAATGCACTTTACTGAATGTTTATTTCATACGCTTCTTGATAAATGATGATAGTTAAATCTATAAACATAGAGATAAAATCCGTATAATCTAGTCATCTATAATTGATAAAAACAGAATAAAGTAATAGTTGAGAAAACACGGTGCAAAGCTATAATTAAGTTGATGATAATAATTTTCAAGAAACAACGTAAAATTTTAGAGAAAAGAAAGATGACAGAAATCATTCACATAATGTTGTTTCGTATATAATCTAGAAGTATATTTATTAACTGCTAGATATTGAACGTTGAAATAAACAATCTTTGTCTCAGCTGAGTTCGAACTTAAGGTTCACGTGAAAGATCAATCAACTGAATGTTCTCTACTAGTGCCTGTAAATAATAGTTATTGTTATGTTTTCTATCAGCGATTTGAATTTAATACTTTGTTTAGAAATAAATGAAAGGCTATATCTTATTTGATTCAATGTCAATCACTTATCTTCTGTGATACACATTATGATGTACGCAAACCTCAGATATAGTTTGGATTTTAGTGTAAAGGTAACTGTTGAAACATTTATTCACATCAAATCTAAAAAACATCGCTTAATATTGTTTGTTTCAAATCATTCTATTCCACTGATAATACTAATTTCGATCGTCTCTCTTGAACTATGTTCTAATTGATTTGAATTATACGACAATTCATTTGAAGCAAACGCATGTTGCTAGAATATTTAATTCCCATTATAGTGGGATTTTTAATTTTAGCTGCACCACTACATATTCACAAATCTCGTTTCATTTGAAAAGTAAATATTTAGTTCAGTGTTGTATTAAGATGCAATCGCTGAATAATTATAACATATCTGATAATGAATTAGGCAAATATCAATGTTCACAAGTGATAAATATTGTATTCATTGTCTCATTGTCGTTACTTTTCATATGACATGAGGCAAAACAAAATTCCAAATTACTGTTCATGTAAATTGTTCTCGAAATAAGCGAAAGAGCAAAAACAAAAATTGTGTGGGATACTTAAGTTTTCATCAGTATATAATTAAGGTTTTATAATTAGCTTTTTTCACAAGACAAATCTTTGTTAGAATTGGTTATGAAAATTAATTCTTTGTAAAAAGAATCAAGAACGTGATGTATTCAAGGAAGCATATTTTAGACCGGATTATTATAAAAGAAATGTCTAAAACTCTAACGATGCAAATATATATTATCATATTGCTTAATTGTATTCGTTCTCTATCAATGATCGAAAAACAAGAAGAACTCAAATATTTTGTTTTTGAATATCAGAATATTTGTCTAGTACGATAGAAGTATAAAACCCGAAAAATATTTCATTTGAGATATACTTCACAATTTATTCTAATAAGACATATAGGAATAGCAGAAAAAAGAGCATTTATTTCTGTGTTTCACATACTTTTTGTATGTATTGCAAAAGAAAAGTTATTTGGGCATATTTGTCGAATTTCTCAGTGCTTGTTGTGGTGGTAAAGTTTTATTATTAGATGATGGTGGAGGAATAATTTTTGCAGCTTTTCGTAATAGATGCCAACAAGCAGCTCGTTGTTCACCATTAATAACTTCACACCAATGAATTATTTCGCTATGTTGGGCTATATTAGCACTACTGATCGGTGTTACATTTTCAAAACGTAAAAATCCCAAAGGTTCATCTGGTGCAATAAGATCATGATGATACAAACCTATTTCAAGAGATGATTCAGCTAATGAAACACCTGAAATGTTGAATGATATTTCTTCATTCCATTTGGGATTTAATGTGTTGCGTTTAACACATGTTTTTTTACGTTTTATTTTATCTGTTTGTCCGAATTGCAATGTTAACCGTACAATAGGATCTAGTAAAGGAAAAATAATTTTTCATCTTATTGAAAAATCAATCAAACCAGCTTCAATATGCATCGACAGTGCCTTGAGATTTCTTGCTTCAATAATACCAACATTAAGTCGTTCAGCTTGTGGTAAATATGTCAATGAAACAAGTAACTCACCAAGATACTCATCTTCCTAGAATAAAATATTGATATATAGCTATGTAGTATATATGATCTTTGAATTTTTTGTTCTTCTTTTTGTTTTTAAATCTTACTGCTCGTTGTTTATTAATAGTACACCAAAGATCACCACCAGTATGTAATATTTGTGATGTTAATCGTAATTGTCCTTCGCCAATGCATTCTGGCCGACTTGAATGTGCATAATTATATATATATAAATATAATGTTTTCGTTGTTTTCAGTATTGTTTCATTCGTAAAACCAAATTTAAAACATTCATTCCATATTGGATTTATTGTTTGTGGCTGAACTGATGTTTGGCGTAATTTTTGATCTATTGGTGGACGAAGATAAAGTTTAACATATGGATTAGGTGAATCATCACGTTCCATTGGTAAACATTGGGCTAGATAAAAAAAAGAAAAAGAACACAAGTCGATTATGAATTTCTTTATGGATCAGTACCTTCGATGACGTTAACTACCAAATCATTTCGATGTTCATCATAGAGAGTACGAACATGTAATTTACATGATTTTTCTTCTTCAATTGATAATTCATCATTAATGCGTTCGTTGACACCTCCACTGCTATCTGCAATCGTCCCACTGTTCCCATTAATGTCACTATTAGCGGCACATGCAGTGCCTGTGAAATACAGATCAGGCATTATAGCACCCAATGCACCACGTAGTGTTTTTTTCTTAGACAGATGAGAAGAAAATTGCGGTGAAATTGGTGGTGAAAGAAATCCTTGTTCTAGAGGCTGCATGGAGGCACGCAATATATTGCCTGATTGTTTTCCAACAACCGGAAATTTTGGAATTGCATAACGTGACGATGGTGATCGAAGTAATGATTGACGACGACCGGAATTCAAATTTTGGTTCGAATCTATTTTTGTAGCCAGTCTTTTTGATGAGCCTGACGATTGTTCTTCAAGAATTCCTGGTGACTGATCAACCGATGAAATCGATTGCTCAACGGCATCTGATGAACGTGGAAATAGTTGAAATCGTGTATTTTTTGAATTAATTGGACTGGGCGATAATTGCATTTGATATTCAGCATCTGCTGCAGATAGACGTGCTGTTTTTGAACATGATCTACTTGCATAATGTGCAGTAATACCTTGTGCATCTGTATCATCGTAGGAATGGGATAAACGACCGGTTTCACCTTTCTTATGTAGCAGAACGCTATCAGATGCAACCGATGGTCGACCCGACTGATTAGAACTAATGGATAGCCGAGATAATTTTTCTGATAAAATTGATAAACGACCGCCGGAAGCAAGTGATGTGCGAGCAGATTGAGATGAAGTTTCTTGTGTAATAACAGGTGGCTGTGGAAAACGATGAACTATTGGTGCATAACTCTAGAAAATGAAATTGGAATAATTGAAAAAAAAAGATTTTTGAAACTAATGAGTTTTATTAGATGTCATAGGAGGAAAAATAAACTACCTTACAAGTAAAGGAAATTAGAACTTTTTCTTTTTTTTCTTATTATTCTTGTTCAATTGTATTAGTATGTTTACTTGTCTGTGATGATCCAATCAGTACCGGAAATTCAATAAGTCATGGCTCGATAAGCTGCTCGATAGTCAGAGAAAGGGAAAGTAGAGATACTCACGAGATGTTGTGGTGGCTTAAAATAATTTTTCGCATCAATATTATTAATAGCTGCATAATGGCTTACTGATCGACCGAAATATTGATGACTTGATGATGGTACACAGCATTGACAAAAAATAATTGTCGCAATAAGAATTATAATAATAACAGTTACAGCTCCAATACCAATACCAATATATAAATCATAGTGTGATGTAAGCATGATAGCATTTCGTTTATTATTTATTATCTATAAAGATAAGAATGAATAAAGATCTGAAGTTTTCTTTTTCTTCATTCATTGAATATTAGACAGTAATTCATTGTATTTGTGCTGCCTGTAGACACGATTTCTGTTTGTACACGTATGTCCGTTGAAAATCTCCGATTTTTCTATTACCTCTCTCTTTGCTAATGATGTGTGCGAGTGTGCGTATGTGTTTATGATTATAGTGGCTCTAAGTGAAAAAAGAAAGATGGCAAATGAGAAAGAGCCCGAGCAACTATCATCATCATCCGTCATATAGATGGAAACGAATGACGATTTCAATATTCATATTTTCCCTTGACGTATAAACAGAAGAAAAGCACATTCTCTTCAGTATGAAACAAATAAATCATCTACTGCGTCATGCTAGTCAGTGCTCGAAACCATACAACTCTAACACTTACCTGTCATGCTTCATATGCACGAGAAAAATATCGGGTATATGACAGTGAATTAGCGTGCATTTAGAAAAGACTAATAGATGAATAACATACGTGAAAATAAACGCAATGCATAGAATCTTTCTTTTCTTTTCTTTTCTTTTCTTTTCATTGAAATAACATTGTAAAAGGACAGTGTTTTTCTATTTCTATTATAACTACTTTTCTTTTTGCCATCATTATCATCACCAGAGTATTTAGAGTGAGCATCTTAGTGATAGACAGATGTGGAAAAAGAAGTTTCATTTTCTTTTTTTTTTATAGTTTTTCCTAGCTTGTTTTTTCATACACAAAAGAGACACATGTAATTATGATTCTTTTCATGAATACTAAAAAAAAGGACAATGCAAAGAAAACGCTAGCGATCTCTACAAAGGCATTCGATGAAACTTGCTGTACTCACCAACAATCACAATCGTCATTATCGTTTTCATTGCCACTCACTTCACTACATTCGATTGATAGCAGAGGATAGGAAAAGAATTTTTTTAATAAATATTATTAGAAAACTATAAAGAAAGAGAGAGAGAGAGGGAGAAAGAGAGATGTTGGGAAATGAGATTTGCAATGCTTTTCTTTATTCTAAGATCATATCCACATCTGTCTGCTTTAAAAAAAAGAAGAAGAGAAAATAGAGCAGTACAAGAATATAGTTGTAACAATAAGAATTCATCTTATTGATTGCGCTATGTCACAGCAAGCTGAGCTTTCAGACACACATACACACACTCACTTTAAGTATTAAATAAAGAAGAAGAAAGAAAAATAGCAAAACTACTAGTGAACTTATTATTTGCCATCGGAAATAAAATAGACATGGCGTATACATTAAACATAGATAATTACACTGTATCAGGAAATAACAACGATTCTACGTACTGATACTAAATATTGAAAAATAAAATAAAACAATCGACTTATTGATATTGAGTTTATGAACTCAGCAACGTATTCGCTTTTGTTTTATTTAGTGCCCAGTAAAAATTTCAATCTCACAACTATTTTAAGTATATCTCTGAGAATATTTTTTATTGAGTGGTTCTTAACAGGAATATAGATTTACATGATGGAAGAAAATAATTTTCTCTTCTAAAATTTCATTATTATATATTCATGACGATAATGTTCATTCATTATATGATGTTAAAACGACCATCATATTCTTCACACATTTATAGCTCTTATTCTACACTTATTCATCGTAATTGCATTGTTTTTTGTGTATCCACTTGAATATAACGATATACGTGTATCTTCTATGCAGAGCATTTACAAAAGGCAAATCGCTTTGGCAACACAGTTATCTTGGCTTCATCCGTCTGTTAAAATATACTTGACTCGTTTCATTTTTAAGTGGCCTGTTGTCGAAATAGCTTGATGAGGCTGACAGAAACGATTGAACAATCGTACATAGAAGAATTATGCATATGTCTACGTGTGGCCAATGGAACAAGAAAAAAAGAAAGAATGAATGAATGAGAGAGCTCATATAAGCTTTCTTATTCTGTATTTTTTTCTTTTTTTGTACATGCGGTTACCTGGCATTCGATAGTGTGTGTGTCTATATACAAGATATCACCATACGTTCATACTCAAATATATATTTTATTCATCATAGAATCAGTGACTCCTGAATAAAAATCTTCGACAGAAGAGTTCGAACATTATTTTCAAACTCGTTGAATTAAAATGAACGATTCAGCTTTACGAGATATTATTCCATCGGATAATATCGAGTCTTTAGAGGTAAAAAAACAAACAGTGTTCTATATAATATTTGAGAATGGAAGGAATTATTTTGCAATAAATATGCCAACAAATATTTGATTCGTATCTTTATTTTTTTTGCATAGAAAATACGACAAAAACAATGTTCAAGCATATGCAAAGTCTTTATATTCGCAATTTTTTTGGGATTCATTTCTATTGGAATTGTTTCACTAGTATTGATTCTTGCATGTAAGTTTAAATCATAAGTTTGTTTGATTGAATGTACAAGAACTAATATGTATGTAGATACTTCTAAAAAAACATTTATTTAGATTCAAGTAGATTGCTTGCAACTCTTTTTATACAATCTTCTACAGTACATGTCTTACCATTATTAAATGAAACTCTAGTTTTAAACTATCACCAACAAAGCCGATGTATAATTGTTTTCCTTTGCTTATCCTGTATATTGTATTTTTTGTTCTATATTGAAGTAGATTCAAGTGAGATATCGAATGGCCCTAAGTTAAAACAAGAAACGTTTATGCCACCAAGTAAAAATGAACCCATTCAAATATCAACACCAACAATTAAAATAGAAGAGAAAAATGAAAATTTATCAACAAGTACACAATCAATGAAATCCTATCGATCATCAAATACCATGATAAAAAAACTATCGACTTCGTTATATATTCAAACAGAAACACCTTATCGAGAATCAATTATTTCATCACCTACAACAGTTAAAATTCAACAATATGTTGGCACATCACAAGACAATAGGCTGATGACTGATGAGTTTCCTGCTTCGACATCTACTCCTGAAGGTACGATATTTCGTGTTTTTTCTTCTTCTGATTCTTGAATGTTTCTTTTTTCCCCTATTTTTAATTGCTAGTCTTGGATCACGATCATGAAATGCCACCAGTACACAAATCGATTTACAATCATCGACAAGTCAAAATAGAAAAACGACAATATTAACAAACCATAAAGAACTTCAAAAAAAGGATGTACTGGAAGATTCTTTATCTTGGTGATAAGAAAAACCTAAAAATAATAGGTTTTATATGAATTTTCCAATACAAAAAAAAACAGGATTTGATATTTGCTTGTCGAAATAAACAAAATCAAACTTTTAAAAGCTCAATAACTATTTAGTTGAAATAATCTTGTTTCTTTTGATGAAAAATCAGTGTTAAAATCTAAGAATTATATATAATTATATATGTCTTCCAAAAGTTTTTAACATTCATTTATTTTTCATAAATTATTTCAGCATCAATATCGTAAGTATTTAAAAACACAAAGAGCTCAACTTCACATTGAACAAGATTTTCAATTAGTTTTTTCTATCATATCATAGTTATACTTGAAATCAATTGAAATAGATATGTAATAGTAATTGTTGAAAACATTTTTTCTTTGTAATTAAAATCTTATCATTAATTTGTCATTTATCTTCTATTATTAGAATGATATTTACAAAGAACTAAGATAAACTATGAAAAATGTCAAGAATATTGTTTTCAAGGAGAATGTGTGAGATGAAGCACACGAAACGACGTGCTGCAATGAAAGAATATACTGCATGGATTGATGCAAGACATGAAATTATGTAGTTCAATTAGCATCTTATTTGGTTTCGTTCTCTATTGGAAATTTGATATATTGTTTAATCGAAATCGAAACACAGGGATATATGTAGTTTGATAGTACCGAAGTTCACAGTAAAGAAAAAGTCAAACGACACTTTATGATTACGAATATTTCTCAATTGTAGTAAGATGAAGAGTTATGATGTTTGCTGTTCGAAAAACACTCTGTCTCTATATCATTTCATGCACAATCAAATGATATTGTTTGATAGCAAGATTGCTAATCATTGAGCTTCAAAGCACGACCGATAGTTCTATGAAAATAATAAAGAAATTTAATATTTTGAAAGCAAAGTGCAGTAAATCCATATGTAGAGTAAAACTTTTTATCCTTATCTTTTCAAGAGTTATTAACGCATCAATAGATTTTATGAATAAGAACTAACAGAATGTAAAACTAAAGAATCTTCTTAGAATCAAACTGATGTGTCATCTTCATAAAATCTATTTATTGACTATTCAGTAATCAACCGACATTGTTCATGCATCGATGATATCGTCATGTCACTTTTCGAATGAAATAATATTCCTTTTTTTATCATGATCTTTAGTAATCTTATTTTTATTTAATATTCTATCCATATTGTCTTGCTTTTCTGCATATTATTTTGTTCATAAATGTGATAGCTATATGTGATCTCAAAACGAAGAAAACAACACAAAAACAATATTTAAAGATCCATGAATCGTAACTATCCATTAATATCAGAAAACGCAGTCCTGCAATTATAAAATTACTAAATATTTTTTAAATACGCTTTAACTGATTGTTTCATTTTCTAAATATTCATTTGCGCCGTTGTGGTTTTTTTTTCATCGACAAAAAGTTTGCGCTAACAAGTACAGAATTATATAATCTCACTTCAGTCATTTCGTATTATTGTAACGCAATCTTTGCAGTGATTAACGATAAAAAAATAGAATCCAATAAGCAATGATGTTCTATTCTATTTACTACAAGTGAAAAAAAGTATGAAATGAATATGTCGATAACACCAAGTAAGGTTAACAATCATTTTTCGATAACAATAAATACTAATTTACAGCAGCAGAGTGCGATTACAGATAAGCATGTTTTATGTTCGCACAATTTACTGTTGTATATTATTCTAGATATTTAAAAAGTTGTCTTTCTCGGTAAGTATGGCACAAATGAATATTCACACTTATTATAGTAATACATAGTTTTATGATAAAAATAAAGTATCGATGAAAAGAATGATATTGAAATATTTCATGCATTCCTTCATCTTTGTGTTCTCGCTGACAAGTAATCATACATATCTTGTCTTATAAACGAGATTCAGACGCTGATTATACAAGAAGATTAATGATGAAAAAAGGCGAACAGGTTTAACATCATTGTTCACTGCCAATTTGAATGAATACGATATGACTTCTGGGAGAATATTTATTCGATTTATTTAGTTCTGTCTTACAGGTGATAAATACAACTATTTATTTAGTTTATTTTCTCGAATAATAGCATGCCATTGAAAGAAATATCAAAAAAGAAACAATTTGAAGGCGAATGTTTTAATGGCGAAGATTATGAATATGTCACAGTACCACCTGATGGAGGCTATGGTTGGGTTATTGCTTTTGCTGCAATGGTATTCTTATTTTTTGGTGATTGACATTAAATTTATGCTGATTTTGGTTTTGTCTTAGCTTTGCAATCTTGTCTGTGATGGAACATTGTTTGCTTTTGGTACCATGAAATATTATCTGAAAAGTCATTTTCAATGTTCAGACATGGTTATTCTTATGGTTGGATCTGTTCCTTGTGGTGTTTATTTATTAGTTGGTATGTAGTATTCATCATAAGAAATATATATATTTCTGATTATGCTTTTTTCCAAAGGTCCAATTGTATCAGGTTTAGCTAATAGATATGGTTGCCGACTAATAATTATCATTGGCAGCATTGGTGCTGCAAGTTGTATGGCATTATCAACTATGTCATCAAATGTTTGGATAATGATGATTGTTTATGGTGTATTTGGTGGAATCTTTTTTGGCATGGTCTATCTTCCGTTAGTAGAATTATTTAACATAAAATCGATGATAAATTTGATGTTTTATTAAATCTAGATCAGTTGTAATGGTTTCATTTTATTTTGATAAAAAACGAGCTATTGCTAATGGTATCATGTCTATGACATAATTGTGTACTTTTGCCTATTTATTATTTGGTTTTAGGACTAGTAACAGCTGGTACAGGCATCGGTGCTCTAGTATTTGGCCCACTAGCTGATTACTTAATGCAAAATTATGGTTGGAAATGCGGTCTCTTCATATTTGCTGGTATAATGCTAACATGTATTCTATTTGGAGCTATGATGAAACCATTAAAACCAAGAAGAGTACTCATTCAACGAATGGAAATACAACCACAGTGAGTATCAAATAATTTTTCGTCATTTTCTAATATATTATTTTGCACAAGCAGAAATCTAATAAAAATAAAATCTGATCGTTTAAAATCCTCATCAGCTCGTGATGATGATGATGATGATGACGCAATTCATATGAATGATTCAACTCATGAATCCGATATTAATATTTCTGGTGTTTTAAAGGCAGCTGTAACACCTTTTTACTCATCACGTACTCGTGCATTATCAACATCGAGTCGTGTATCATCAAATTCCAGCCATCGTTTGGGCGTTTTGAATCCAGAAAATGCAACTCGATTATCATATAAAAAAGGTGTACTATTTACTGGATCAAAACAACCAATTGATCATGCATCACAAACATCATTACATAGTAATCCATATGCATCATCGATAACAAATATTCCTGCAGCAACAAATGAAATAAAGAAAAAACAGTCAACATTTCGAGCTTTTGCTGATATTCTTTCGACAATGACAGATTTTTCAATATTAAACAATAAACAAATGTTATTAATTTGTATTGGAAATATGTTTTCTATGTTGGGATATTATTTACCAATCATGTGTCTTGTTTCATTTGCGATTGAAGATCATCATGTCCATCCAACAAAAGCTTCATTTTTATTAACAATCTTTGGTATTTAAAATTAAAAAAACAAAATCAATGATAAACAACACATAATTGTTTAGGTTTTTTCAATACACTCGGTAGATTCTCTGGTGGACCCATTGCAATGATACCGCATTTAAGTGCATTACGTGTTCATAATGCACTTTTATTTACAGCTGGTATTTTAACTGCTTTAGCAGCTTATGCATATAACATGACGACATGTGCTCTCTATGCTGCTCTATGTGGATTTGCTATTGGTAATGAAACTGCATATAAATAATTCGAATAATATAATTTCTATGTATATATACATATATTCTTTTTTATACAGCACCTCATATGTCATTATTGCCAAGTATAATATGTGATTGTGTTGGTCTTGATCGATATACAACAGCTTTTGGTATTCTATTTCTTTTCCGTGGTATCGCATCAATAATTGGGCCACCTGCTGCAGGTTTACATTAGAAACAAGAGAAAAAACAGAATTTTCTTATTCTTATTGTTTAATTATTTATTTCATGAATAGGTTTTCTGAAAGATTACACTGAAAAATATGATTTAGCATTTGCTGTTGGTGGTGCGATGATTATAATTGCTGCTTTCTTTCATATGTCTTTATCATGTATTGAAACCGAGCGTGCAGAAGAAGAGCAAGTAGAAGTTGAAGTGTAACATTACCATCTTGATGGATCAATACAATGTTACCTGTTTTGGTTTTTTCAAATGAATAATTTTAAAAGAAAATATAGTGCAATACAGCGTTTTTGTCGTAGTAGTATTAATTCTTTGCATGTTTGTTTTGATTTTTGTTCTGTGATATTTGGCTATTATTAAATTCAAGATTTAAACACTTATGATATTCAGGTTGTTTGGAAATAAAAAGAAAAGTGAATGAATCCATTTAAAGAATTAATATCAAATGTACTTATCATCGGTTACCGATTTACTATGTACAGAATTTGAATTAACAAATATTGCACTTGATATTTCATCATTATCAGCAATGGGTTGTTCATTTGATCTTATTTCGTGAAATATTTTACTTTGCCTATTAGTAACACGTAATTGCGTATCAATAGTTGACTCATCGATTGATGTTCTTGTTTGAGTTTTATTTAACAATTTTCTAACTGCAGTTGATCGACGAGTAAAACATTGAGTAAATAATTTCAAAAATTCACGCCGAAAATCTTGTCCATTTAATGTATATAAAATAAAATTCATTGCATGCTTCGTATACCATAATGCTTCACATATGTCAACTATTAATTGGACATGTGATGGTTGACGAATATTAGCATCTGCATTTAAATTATCTTTTCGTTCAGTTAATATACGTCCAGAATAAATTATTTTATTAACACAAATAAATATTACTGATGGACATGTTAAACCAATAAATGCAAGAGTTACAGATAGAAGCATAATTGTTAAACGTTGATGTCGACGATGTGCACGTTTGCGATGTTGGCGCATTTGACGATTATTACGCATGGTAAATGTAATAATACCGATATTAGTAAAACAAAGAAGTAAAAATGGAATAGCAGCAACAAGTAATATGTCGAAGATCGGTATATATGTGCGAAAAAAAATTTCAAAGCGAGTACTTGGTATACAAACAAATATAGATGAAGTTTTATAACGGAATAAATCCGACGATGGATAGTTTAATGAATGAGTTGAATTAATTGATGTTTCATTTGACTGCATTAATAATCGGTGGATAAAACGCCGTTGATCTTGTATACCAAATTTTCCTAATGTTACTGATCGACCTTTGACAAGAGAAAAGAAAAAATATTTCAATTGAATATTTGCGAATTTATTAATTATCCAACATAATATTGAAGATCTTTATTCTTTCAAGTTTCTTTTATAATCAACTTTAATATTTAGAAATAGCCCAATCATCATTTTTCTAGGTTTCCAATATAATGAAATTTATAGGAAGAAAACAATATAACTTGTAAAACTCATGTATGCTTGTACTTGTTGAGAGTATCCTCCATCAATTATTCATTTCATTCATAGTTCAAATTCATTGAATTAAAAAATCTGAATATCAAACTTATTCTATTGATTATCACTTAAATATATTTCTTTTTTCTTATATTCATATTTTATTTCAAATTTCTAAATGAATAAATTTACAATGGATTATTATTGACATGAACATACGAGTAACTCATTTAAAAAATAGGAACATTAACTTATATTATCTTATCTGCATGTTTTTCATTGATTGTTACTAACAGTTTAATTGCTGATTTGCCATGTCTAGTAATAATTTTTGATGCTCGCGCATTGATTCTGTAAAACTTCCACTTCGATGTACCTATCTCATATAACATATGTTAACTCATTTTATTTCTACACGAACAAACGCTTTCGGCAATTTCATACAATATACATCGGATACTGTTTTATTATTACAAATATAATTTGGAGCATGAGAAATCATGTAGAATATTTATTTACAATCAACTCAATAAAAAGTAATCTTAAACTTGAATGCAAATAACAACTACATATTTATGATCTTTGATGACATGTTCTAATCATCTATTCAATTTTCAAATGGTATCTTCCCAAATAGAAATCTGATCATGATTAACTTTTTATGATATGAAAATAACAATTTTCAAAGAAAAACTTACTTTTTCTATCAAAGCTTTTAAAAATAGATATTCAGTTACAGAAACATTCTTTCCTAATAGTAAATACTTAAATATCAGTGTGCAGATTAAAAATAGCATTGCCTTTGTCAATACTACTTCTTACTATTTTGTTTTTCTTCTAAACTTATAGGGTAAAATTAACTATTACGATTAAGTCAAATATTGACTGTTAGACAGAATACAATATTTATAATGAATCTATTGCTTTTCTTACCAAGTATAAAGAAATAATAAATATTGCATAAAACCACAATAGCAATAAGTATACTTGTTGAACATAAAACCTGATGGAATGATGAACTACGTCGTCGATAACGACTTGTTACTATAAAATATCGATCGAAACTAACAATAACTAATATCCATGATCCCATGTGTGCAAGCGCTGATGAAAAAAAGGTTAATATACGGCACATCCATTTTGATGTATTAAATATTGTTGTATCGCGAAATAGCTTATAAACATGTTTACTTGAACGCATGACAATAAATAAAATATCAATAACAGCTAATACAGCCAAATATTGACAGGTTGAATTTTGATAAAATTTTTTACTTAGCAATACGCGTAAACATAAGGAATTACCAATAGTACCCCATATTAGCAAAGATGGATAAAATATTCGAACAAGGAAAAAACGCAAATCTAATATAAATGATGCTGTTTGTTGATTATTCGTAGCATCATTATTTGATGCGAAACTATCGATTACTGTATTATTCATTGTAGTCTTGTTTTTATTGGATCATAATTCTGAAGAAGAAAAAGAGAAATAATATTAAATATTAACAGAAATGTATATTTTTTATTGCATATAGAAATATGGTCATTTAGAGATTGTAGAATTTCTAATATTCTTTTTCTAATCAAGATATTTTCTAGTTCATAGATAAAATGATAAAAATAATACTACACAGCGATTCGAATATCCACTACATAATTCTTTTTCTTGATAAAATTAAAATCTGAACAAATCAACAGTGTATTAAGGTGAGAATTTCGAATTCATAATAAGAAAAACAAGAAGGAATATGTACAGTTAAGAAAAAACAATAAAGAATGGATAGAACGGTAAAATAAAAATTTAGAAAAATTGATTTTCGACACGGTGTTATAGAAAAAAAAGAAACTGTCAAATATTTGAAAGAATCTGTTTACTGTTCAAACTGAATTCGCATCTGTTTTTGTTTAAATTATCTTTTTCTGAATCTTGAACATTAAACATTAAGTGGAAGTGAAAAATTGAAAGGCTTAACTAAATATTTAAAAATTTATTACAGCTTACTTTGTTTTGGTTTTCCATATTAATTTTTAATGAATTCAACGAAATTTACTTGCTCAAATCCCTACCATCAATGATAATGTGGAAATATCTGATTAGTCGTTACTTATTACATATTTACGCATGCATACATGCTTCCCGAGCAGATCTTGATTGGTTTAGGTGAATCGGATTTTCTATTATCACTGAATCTTTGATGTGACAAGCTTACACTAGTAAAACAACAGAAGTCGCTTATTATGTGTGCTAATATCCCAGTAGGATCAATTGAAAAAATAATAAAAGAGGTCTTTTTTAAGATGGACTAATAAATATTTAATATCATCTAGTACTTGCAGTTTTTTTCTAGATTCAATTTAGGCTTTTTTTGAAAACATTTTAGATTTCCAAAAAAAATACAACTAACTACTTAGAATTACTTGTTGAAGGATCAAAGTCAATTTACAAAACAAAACCAAAGTAAATAACATCAATGGAAAAATTAATAAAGATAATTGAAACAAATATATTTTGTCAGAGAAATATGTTGCATGCCTCTTCCAATTTGGATCATGTTTTATTCTTCTAGAAAATAACTCACTTGACTTGATTTTATGAGCATAAAATGGTAAACTGAACGAAAAAAATGATATAAGACTTACTCATGCAAGCATACAACTAATTTTGATTGTTGATTCTTGCTTTTGTTCGCTCTAGTGAATAGTCTTGTCTGTTTTTTTGCTAGTTTTCGTCTCTTACTAGACTAACAAAGCTTCGGCACTGCTTAAACGAAGACAAAAAGAAATGATGAGAATAGCAAAAGAAGAAGAAGAAGAAGAAGAAGAAGAAAAACACAAAATATCAAAAGAAAACAGGAGATCAACCAAGAGAATGGATAAGAGACAGACGATGAAAGTTTGAAGTGACAACCTTATAATAGACAATCGTTTTTCTTATTTTGAGCGACAAACTACCGGTTAATCGTCAATTTCAGAGTTGATTAACAGCATTCGCTGTAATTTTGAAAAATCATATTTTCATGTTTCTTTTTACTATTATTAAGCTTCTCTGAAGATTTGCTTTCAGAAGTCAATGCCATGATGACAGATTTTTTTATCAATATCATCCATATTGATTTAATCAAATAAAATAGAGTTTTATACTTATCAGATTCTTAGATATCATTGCAAAATGCATGAATATGCAGATCAATGAGAGTAAAACCAATTTGCTGCCTTTGAAGTATTTACTAGTCAAAGAACAAGGAAGGATGATGTTAAGTGATGCTTTCACGTAAACTTGTTTAAATATACTCGCATAGACAAGTTGAGCAGTGCTATATAATCATAGAACTCAAGTATGTAAATTGGAACTTATATTTCAAGCGTCACATTTCTTAACTAAAACATCATATATATATATATATATTTATTATTTTTTTTCGTGCTAAATCATCGTTTTGCTATTTTAATTTTTCTAGAAAAAAAATCTGCTAACTATTATTTATCGCTTCCTAATAACACATTAATAAGGTGTTTCTTTCACAGATTATTTCCTACAGAAAATTTTTGTTTATTTAATTTACTGGTTATTGAGCAAATAAGCTTATAGATATGAAAAGTATAAGAGTACCAATTGAAGAAGAAAATTTATAAATTTTACAAAAAGATTGAAATGATTCATTTCAAAATTGCCAGAAGCATTCGGTGACATAGAAAATAAAACGATTATGTCATGTACGTATATGAGATAATAGGAGGTTTTATCGTCTGTAATAAAACAAAGAGAGTGCCAACTGACAACTAAGCTAGTGTTAGAGTAGAGAACAATTAGTAACTAAGATGTTGATAGCACTATCTTCATCGATGACAAAATCTCAAAGATACAATGTCATTATATATAGTATATTAATATTCTACCGTCATGTAAAACACTATCTCATGAGAAAAAGAAAAGGAAAACAATATAAGACCAACAGAAACTAATTTTATAGCTAGAGTTAGGGATGCATTGAATTAGAATTTCGTTCTCATGAGAAAATAAGATGGTTATATGTGACAGTCACTTGATTGTTTATTTACAAATGCAATATGTTAAAATATCAATTGACTTTTAAATCATTTCTTCTTCTTGTCTATTTTCAACAGCAAATATTATTAATTGAAACATGCTAAACTGCCCACACTGTCCTAATGGAACTCTTTTTTAAATAGAAATTCGATTCAGACTTTGTGATAGTTTTGTTCCACAACAACAATTGGTCGTTTATTTTTATAAGTCTATAATCAAGAAACTACTAGTTTATTATAACGAAAAGATATTACTATGAATAGAAAAAGGAATGAATAAGATTAATAATATATTGTTTTTATTGTTGATATAAACAGTTCAACAGAATGATTAGAAAAGATCAAAATGAAATATAACAACTCTATGTTGTTTTAGCAATTTCAAACTTTTTAAATAATTCATTTGTTGTAAATATCAATGAATCAATTATACTAACAACTGTAAATGAACCACCAACAACAGTACATATCGATGTTATAAATGCATAGAATTTTTGTCGGTGTTCAGTATATTTAACAGTAATTGGCCAAAAGAATCAATCCAAGATGAAAAATATGTCTTATCGCTTTAGATTTTACTATTCTATCGTAGCGAAACCATATTGTAAGTATCATACCAGTATCATGAGTTTGATATGGATTATATTCCTAGGAATAAAAAACAAAAATGTATGTTTAGATTTATCAGTTCTAACAATCTGCAAGACTCATTCATAATTAATTTTCTTTATCTTCAAAGAAAAAGGATTTCCAATAGTGTGGATATACTTCATATGAATATGGAGATGATTTTGATTGAAAACATTTGATTGCGAGTGAAAGATGATCATGATAATAACGTACACTCAAGTTCAGACAAAAGTTAATCAGGTTTAACCCTTTTCTGATAAAATATCACGCTTTTATATAGATATATTCTAAAGTAAAATATGAGATAAACTCAGTCGAGTTTTTTTTTCTATTGAATCTTTGTGAAATAACATAAACAATCAAAACAAAAATCAGATAGAATCTTAATACAGAATGCATTGTCTCGATCTCGGTAAGCAAATAATTATTCATAGGCATACTATTGAAAAGTCGAGTTGGTTTTCTGTTACACAATATTTTATTCTGGATCTTTCTTTCTGTCTTGTAGTTTACTCGATAAATATATTTTAATAGTGACTAGACGAACCTCATTATGCTTAATTAGTGAGTCTTTCTTTTTTTGAATGATATATACTGACATGTTATTTATATTACTGGAACCATAAGATGTACGTAATAGATCAAATTTCATCTACGAAAACCTCAACAAAAATAATATGTAAGAAAAGTCGAAGGATTGAAGAAAAGTTGTGCAATAATTGTTTCGTTTACTTATTTCATACTTCATCTTTATTAACCCTTATCTTCATATTTTGACATCGAACTACAGCGACAATATAAAAATAAAGAATATGACGATTTCACTCATTATTGGTATTTTAATACTGTAAGGGTAATTATTATGTGTAAAATAGAGAAAGAAAGAGATTTCTGGAAAAACAACTGATAGTTTTGATCTCGTTATTTGATGTTAATGTCATGAGCGGTGTGTCATAAAAAGAAGAATTGAACTTATAGAAACTTTTCATCACCAATGAAAAGTAATAAATAGGTCATAGGAACTTCTTTCGAATATTTGAACAAAAAGATGTTACTTAAGGCCCTGTGAGACTAAAATGTGACGCACAGTGCAGCTATTGTTGTTTATCAGAGAGTGATCATTATATTCGATATATTTTGAGATACTAATTTTTGTATTTTCACTTCATTTAGTTATTTTTAGAAATCTAATAAGAAAAAAAACTCATATACTATGACGAGATGTTACTAATATTAGGACTGGGATCGTACGGTATTAGCATCTATCATGCTTGCGATACAAAGGGAAAAATTACTAAGATATATGTCACGTTTATAATGTGCCACTACTTAGATGTTTGTATTTTTTGCCATAAGCCATTATGTAGCAATTCTCTCACAGTCGGTGATGTACTCACGCTAGTGCCAATCGTTCTCTATGAAGATGAGATTTTACTACTCATTTTTAAACTACATATTATAACACGGTATTTTTAAATATCAGCTTTGAAAATCTTTATATAAAAACAAGTAAGAGAAATCAAAGAAAATTATTAGTAGTCTATATTCAGAAGTAAATTATAATTAATTAGTCTAAGAAATATATAGTACTATAACTTATTCATGCATCAATTAAGCATGGCTAACTTTTGTGTCAATGGTTAACACTAGAATGTTGACTAAAGAAGTTCACTATCGTCTATACTACTAACATTAGAATGATTATATGCTAGTTTTTAATTTGTACAAATCCGTTTCAAAAGATTATTCTCAAATGCCCTTTTACTGTTTTCTATAGAAGAATTGTCTGAGAGACAGAGTTCAAACACCAATATATTGTGCGTAGAGTTTAACAAGGTCCGACAGTTACAACAGGCTCTGACTAAAAAAGAAAACTGATAGTTAAGAAGATTGTCTTGTTTGTTTCTTTCTGAAATATGATCATTCGCAAAACAATTTCTCTCTTAATTCGACATCGAATGCTTAATATACCCTAAGTGTATTTGAAAAGATTTTTCATTCAATAAAAAAAATAATGAATCCTCATATTAACCCTATAAACAAATGTAAATTGACATGGGTAACGTTGATCATCATGAAGATTTTCATAACTAGTGGGTACACTTTTCATTAAATAATCGTGTGAAACATGACCTGGCCGATTTGTATTATTAAATTATCGCATTGGAAGAAATGCTTTGCGATTTGGAATTTGTCGAAAGCCCTGTCAATGAAAAAAACATCCTTGATTTTCAAAATTAATTAAAAAAACCAATTTAACACAATAATTTAATTGAATCGCCAAAAGTTAATTCATGTATAACATGTTTCATATCACCATTTTCAGGTTGAACATGTGACGAATGTATAGAGATATGAAAATTGCCTGGCACACGATTTATTTTAAAAGAAGCATTAATTTGACAACCAAGTTCATTATTCTCCGTTGTTTTTAATGTATTATCAATAAATCCAACTTCATGTCGGCCAAGATCATCTTGAATATCGATACCAACATCTAAAATAAACACATGATACTCTATTAAAGAAAATAAAGAACATATGTTTCTTACATTTACAATCTATATTGAGTATACTTATATCAATATTTACCGGTATGCGATCAGCTAGGCCACTTTCTGGTATGCCAACAAATAATTCACTTACACTAACGAAATGGATGGGAGTAAATATTTATCTTATGACAGAGAAATTTATTTACATACATTTCAGGTGTAATGAAATAGTCAAATTCAATAAGAATCAATGTTGAAATAAATGTGACACAAATAATTGAGATCGCTGCACCAGTAGTTGTTGGTTGAGTGAGATCTTTAGGAACTTTTCGATAGATATCAAATCTAATTGAAGCAAAAGTCATGATATTTATTATTATTATGAAAAAAGCTATTGATTCAATTCATGAGGGATTAAAGTTATGACACACGATGAAGCTGCTGTTTGTAACTGCATCAAGATTGCTTTATTCGATCTTTCTTTTGCCTTATCTCTTGGCTGTTCATTTTTCAGAAAGAAGAAGTTCATGAATTATGAGAAATTTATATTTTTTTAAATAAATATACTGTCTTTAATCCTAACTATAGAGATAATTTAATGCATCTGCTATGATTTGTCAATTCTGTTCAACATTCTTCGTGATGTTTCCATAATAATACTGTGACGCTCGTCATCAACACAATTGCGTACCATTATTTATTTTCATTTATTGATTATGATGCTTTTGTTGTTGTAGCGTTCACTTTTCCTGCGACTATTAGCTAATCACTTACAGTTATAGCACCAGTGCATCTATCTTCTTTCATCTATGTTCACCTGATTGTCCGCATATTCCTTCTCTACTATTTTGTTTCGTGTTTTTGTTCCATCTCCCTCTCTTGTCTGTTTTGCTTTGTCCTATAAAAAATATGCACTCTATGATATGAAGAAATAGAATAAAGCGTTTAGATCGTGTGTTTCTCACCATTCTGTGGCATCGAAAGGTAAATGAAATCGTCAAATGTGTCTAGACTAATCTGTGAAGACACAAAAATATTTCTTTCCCATCTTGACTAATAAACTCAAATGAATTGAATAATATTGATTACAAATATTTGATATTTACCTTCGTATGTCAAACTGCATATTCAACATTCAAATTCTAGAATAGAAAAGAAAAGAAAAAGCGATCTGTAATCGTAAAAAAAATAAGTTTTAAATTAACAGTTTATGTTAGAATTTTTAAAAATTAGAATTTATATGGATTTTTGTTAATTTATTCCAACATATTTTAATTCATCATATAAACAAGTTACATTTCTAACAACACTATACATTATCATTGACTGTGGGGAAAACGAACAAAATATAGCAATTAATAAATTGTCTGTATTAACCTAGTCACTGATAGCTGTTATAGTATGTTAACCAATCATCAATCTACAAATTTATTAATCAATGATAAAATGTTGCCGAAATTAATCGCATTTGAAAAACATCTAAATTTGATATTTAATAATATGCCATGAGAACATTCACTTAGTGATTTTTATTATTATTCTTCAAATTCAAAAACTCTGATTAGTGAATTGATTGATTTATATTTTATATTAGCAAGTAATAATCAAGAAAGAGCAATCAGTAGTAGCTGAAATAATTACGTCATCTCCAATTTAATGTACACTATTAAATTCTAATCTCGTGATATTAATTTGTTTCTGAAAGACATACGTATATATTTGCATAGTAGCTGTATAGACTATAAAAGAATGAGACTAGGTTATAAAAGCTTAATAGCAAAAATTTAATCGTCATACTCAATTCTTACGTCATATCATTCGTTTATTTGATGAATAAAATCAATAATTGTAGATCGAACGAATTTACGATAGAAAGTGACTCTACAGATAATAAAAAGATTATTTATGGAGAAACTCACCACGACAGGTAAATCAGCGTCAATTAATTAAAATTAGGTATCAATAAAATATTGACATCACTCCTAGACGTAACGTGTGATGATTACAGCCGCTAAAAAGCGATTCAAACTCTCAGATCTCGTAATTTAAAGCTTCAACACCGCATTGAATTGAAAGAAGTAGAAAAAATGCATTTAGATTAACGGTCCGTCTGTAAATGAAATAATTTATACTGTACTTGTTATCTACAATTTGTAGAGCATACTTCGTTCCCTGATTTTTCATTTTTTCACACTGAAGGAGTTGTTTGAGTCGTGGATATCTATTTTGACTCTGACATTTGAACGCACTTTGAATCATTGATTTATTTCGTGCTAGTTTGATATCAATAAAACGGTCAGATATCTAGAAAACAAACCCTTTTCGAAAAGTGATTTATTTACTAAAACCAAAAGATCCTACAATCGCATATTTTGCCGCTTTTGATTTTCAAATTCAGGGGTGTCATTTTTTTTAAATCTCATAGTTCAAGTGAGCAAAATAAAGCCAGTCGATTTCGCCTTATGAATATCTCATATCATTTATGTGATTCTTTTGTTAGATAAAAAATTTTAATGATATATTTTTCTAAATATTTACAAGGAAGTCGAAGTATGATATTTGTTCGCAGTACAATAGATATCGCTCAGCTTTCAGCTCGTTAAACATCAATAGAAATATCAACTTCAAAAGTGTCTTGAAATCAATAGTTCTATTTTGGAAAAAGTAGACTGAAGAAGATCGTATCATCACAATTATGTTTTGAGTCAAACACGAGTGCTCGTACAGATAGTTTCTTATTCAGTATATCGGGGATATGCATGCAATTAGTAACACGCTTAGTAAAATACAAATGAAAAGGAATTCACGATCTTACATTCTATGTTATAACTCTATTAGATGTAGTCTTGAAAATTAATGAGAGAAATATGTGATATTGTGCGCTTGCTGCTTTTCAATTGAATGCCTACCTTCTTAGTATTTATAGCAATTGTTACTCGATCCGTTTGGATTTCATGTACAGTACAATGAGAGATTATTTCGTCGCTTGTAGAATGAGAAAAATTTGCAAACTTCATGGCATGGTAACTACGCTCATCGCTGATGAAAGAGAAGTTATTTAAACTGGTGTAACTACTAAATAAAAAGTTATTGCCATCAACGAAAATCTATAAAAAAAAATTAATGATATATTGTTAGTCACTGTTTCACTGGTGACATTAAAGTTAGTGTTTCACCTCATACAAGGGGGTGGGGGGCTTTTTATGAGGGGTAACACTACCTTCAATGTCGCCAGAAGAATTCCAGCTAAAGAATATCAGTTTGCACAGCTGAATAGCGAAATCAACTAGTATTTAATTTAGGTGAATCCTTTTTTTGGTCATAAATTGTGTTAAATCCAGGTTGATCCCATGCAGTGTTTCTAATAGAAATCTGAAGTAAAATGTTTTTGTACATTATGTTTATGTGAAAAACGTGTATCTTCACCCTTTGATTTTATAAACAAAGTGTATCAAAGTGTAAATAAACGAAAAGAGGTCAGATAATCTAGAAAGATAATAAGAAAAATTCTTTTTTATCTGTTTCATAGAGAAAGAAAGTCACATAAATTATAAACAACCAAACAAGAGCATTACTAGGTGTTGCTACTTTTTATCCAATATTATCACATTCAGTTGAATACTTTTCATTCATAGCATGTACGGTTATTGATGAATTAATAAATACATTTTTACGTAGAATTTCGACCTCACAATGTGAATCTGTTGATACAGCAACCCAGGTCAATGGTTCCAGAGGGCTGATACCGTAGGAGCTGTCCGGAAAGATGCGGAAAAATCACTGTATCTGGCCGAAAAGCGCTGAAAAGTGGAAGCAGTATTCTGGTTGGAAGTTACCGGATTTTTTTCCTGTGGATTCTGGTCAGTTTTCTGTGCTTTCCAGTTGGGAGTTGTCCGGAATCCACAGGAAAAAACCCGGTAATTTCCGATCGGAATACTGCTTCCACTTTCCAGCGCTTTCCGGCCGTTTCTCGTCGTACCTCCACGACCTGGGAAGTGGTGATGACGACGGCAGTAATTTAATTCCGTCCAAACAGACAAAGATTTAGCGAAATCAGTTTTCGTGATCTAACATCAAAGTGTTATTTTCTTTTTCAAAGTGTACGCCTTAAATTTTTGCTTTCTGAGCAACGTGTAAATCAGAGTGTATTTCGGAAACAGCAGGTGTTCCAGACATTTTGCTTTTGCTGTGTACACTTGCTGTTAGAAACGCTGATAGTCAACGTAATTTATTCTGTGAAAATAATATTGATTCTTTTCTCTTTTTGACATTTGAAAGTTTTACCTTTTGAAACAATCTCTAGAGCTTAGTTATATGGTAGAAAACAGTACACTTTTGTTTTTCATATCCTTCAAATCGGAGAAATATACAGCTCAAGGATAAAAACAACAATAGATTTCAACATCTACTGTAATTAGAATATAAACAAAGAAATTTTTATTTTTTATTTTATTAATAACAAAAAAGTTCGAATAAAAATGTGTACTTTAAAACCAACGTTAAATTTAAAAAAAACCGTCTGAAGCAACTTGTTTACAATCGCATTGATTCACTCATTGTATTAGTTAGTTCATGATGATAATCATTATGTTCGTCATGTGTTGCCGTATTGTGCAAACAACGATCGAAGTTTGCATCATGTATTTTATTTAATGGTATTGAAGATTTATATCGATAGAATGAAAGATCTTCAATTGTTGGATGAAGAGGTCCTACAATAGAGGGAAGAATTTTAAAGTAAATCAAGAAAATTTATTTTTTCGTAAAAAAGAAACCTTTTCCCATTGCTTTACAATGTTCAGTAAGTAAATTTAAAACTTTATCATGTCGATATTCAAGAAACGTACGAATCTCATCCAGTGAAAATTCTTTTTCAGCTGCATAATAAACTGATGTGAGAGCTGGCGCAAGAAAAGGCCATTTAGCACGAAGATTAATTAATTCATCATACATTCGATATTTTTCTCCATTGGCAAAAAAACTTTTCTCCCAATCCGACTGTTCATTTATTACTGATAGACTTGAATCTGATTCTTCTTCATTATTATCATCATTATTTTTTCTATCATCAAACATATTAGCTGCATATCTTGTTCGTAATTCAATAATTCTTTTAGCTGAAAGAAATTGTTCGACATGAAGTGATTGTTTCAATTCAGATGCATCATTATCAAATGTATGTAATGCATCAGCTAAACGTGATAATTTCATTTGAGCACGATCATCCATATATTGTAAAACATTTTGATTAGCTTCATTTATTCTTCGTATAATATCTCGTTGCATTGCTTCAGCTTTTGCACGAGCATCAGCACGTTGTCTTTCAATAAATGACCGAACTTCCATTTGACTTTTTTGACGATTCATATCCATCTCAATATGAAAAAGAAATGAAATAAAGCATTCTAATTAAAAATCTCTCTCTCTCTCTCTCTCTCTCTATATATATATATATAATTACTTGCTTAGCTATATCACTCATCTCTTGTAAAACATAACGTTTATGTACTCGAACGCACATATCACAATACGCTTTTTGACAATGTTTGCAACGGTGTCTTGCTACTGAAGTACATGATGGCTCTACACACATTTGACCATCGAGTGATAAACGATGAATTGGATGATCAGACATTTTTATTTCACTAAAATTAAAGATTATTGTTTTTTTTAAATCGGTAGTAAATAGTAAATTTTTACCTGATATCGGTATGTATGTATGTAACAAAGCAAGATAGTGATGACGGTATTCACTGAATGCAATGAATGCACTTCTCTGATTTGTTTTTGTTTGTTATGTCGGCGATCGAGGTAGAGATACACACACATATATATATATATATATATATATACGCATTCTATAATAGACGATCACAAACGACAAATCTCTGAAATATCGTCTGTTCTGTAGAGAGATGACGCACTGATCGTGCCGAATAGCTATGAAATCTAATTTTGAGCATGAAATTTGCTTATGTGTAGCATAAATTAGGTCGACGCATTCATTCTTTACATATATTAAAGTAAAATTTAACTTAAACATTTATTCATAACAAACTAAATAGCAATCGACAAAAAAAATGAATTTCACTGTTGGATATCGCTTTTGAGAACATCATATATAACTAATGCGTATAAAAGAATATTATTGAAAATTCTACATTAAGCATCAAAAATTTCAAAACTTGTGTCCATGTTTAGAAAAAAAAAACTATGGATAATACGTAGAATTTATTATTACAAGTATTTTTGTAGAGAAAAAAAAAGTTTGATGAATTCTTATGATGAAGAAAAAACAATGGTTGACGATGGTAATGTAGATCTTGTAGTATTTCTAATTGAGTTTTCATTCATTTTTGTGCCAAGCCAAAACGCAAGTAGAACTGAAGCAATAAAGGCAAAAGCATGAGCTGTAGTTATTAATTCAAAACTATAATCAACAATTCCAAAACGTCGTAAATATCTTGTAGTAGCAATTATAAGAAAAAGTGTCGCAATAACAAGTAAACCCAATGGTATGATTCTTAATTTTTCAGGTAATAAACGAACAAGTATAACTATTAATAAAACAATACTAATCACAAGAAAAATCAATGCTAAAACAGTCAAAGTAGCAGCAGATGGTGAACAAACATTCCTACAATTCCAAAGGCCATAACCATTTTTTAACCATCGTGGCGTTGTTAAGCCAATCAAAGTCAAAAGAGCACCAATGCTGGTAATAAATGTAGCTGTAGTCAATATTGTAGTATCACTTAATTTCATTTTGTGTAGCAAATGAATAAAACTAGAAAGTGAATCAAAAGAAAAAGAAAAAGAAGAGTGCACTAATGTAAAGTTTAGTGTATAACAATCAAATGCTACGAAGACGTTGGCTGTATACTAAAATGAAAGAACAAGGATGAAATGTATTTATCTAATACTAAACACCTTGTAGAAATTTAAAATTGATTTAGAAAGAACCTTTTAGTCATCTACAACTTTAATCATCATCAAAAAATGATATCATTTTTAAGGATTAATTCTACTAATTTATTAGTAATAGTCTATATATTATATTGTCTTTTTCTATATATTATAATTATGTACTCATACTACTAATATAATTAATCCACCGCGTTTCATGAGTGACATTTTACACAATTCAAAGGTCAAATGATATTTTTCAATTGAATATCATGATAAAAGAAGTTTTTAATTCGGTGCAAAACGCAGCATTCATGTGGTCCGTCGCGAGTTTACTTTTCTACGTGCTAATTCCAACCCGTCAGTTTGTGACTTCTTTGCACTACCCATGATTAGAGCTCAACACAAGCAGAAACTATTTTAAGATTTCGATACATAAATAATTGTATTTTTTTCTTCTCAATTCTATACAAAACAAAACTTCTCCATACGATATAAAAGTGTTCTTCTAAGATAGATTGATTGAAACACATGAAAACAACTAGTGATCTCTGAAAAATATTTCCCCTTCCAAAGGACGCATGCTACTTGGTTCCATGGTGATTTCCTGAATGTAATTAGAGTATGTGAATCGTTTATTTTCTTGTTTCGTCGAACAAGGGTTGATACCATTTGCAAGGAATCAGATTACAACCGATTATTGTTGGACTAAAATGTCGATCAAAATCGCATGATTTCAATCTGATTATATTCGTTTTTTAAGCCACAATGGGAGATTTTCGCCGATATTTGGATTTTGTCAAACCGAGTTTATTCCATTGAAACCAATGGTATATACTTTCAATGGATTCATCATTTTTAATCCATTGAAATCTCATTAAGAAAGCAAAGAAAATCAAAGAAATCTGCATCTGTGGCCGAAACAATTAATTTTCATATGTTTGCAAAGATTTATTATGAATGCAGCAATAGGACGAATTTATTTATTTCGATACAGCGTGTGTTATAGACAGTTGGGGTTGACACAAATAATAAATCATCAGCTAGTTGTTAAGCATTCTCTTGATTACTATTAAATACGACAAAAACAAAGTTGAAAAGAGCTCGCAAACATCGATGTCATGTTTTATACAAAGAAAAAGAATTAGCAAAAATTTTAACAATGACTCGATTTGACGCCCGAGACTAGGTCTCTGAAAATGTAAAAAATGAACCTGTTTTACCAGAGCCCAGGTCAATGATTCCGGAGGACGGATACCGTAGCAACCGGCCGGAAAGACGCGAAAAAATCACCGTGTCTGGCCGGAAAGCGGCGGAAAGTGGAAGCAGTATTCCGGTCGGAAATTTCCGGATTTTTTCCTGTATATTTCAGTCAACTTCCAGCCGGAAAGCACAGAAAACTGACCGAAATCCACAGGAAAAATCCGGTAATTTCCGACCTGAATGCTCCTTCCACTTTCCAGCGCTTTCCCGCCGTTTCCCACCGTACCTCCACGACCTGGGAGCTTTCAAGAGAAGAAATATTTAAAAAAATTTTGTCAGCTTACTTGACTCATTCTGCTGCTAGACGACGTACTGTCAAAATTGCACATGAATGATGTCATCTGTGAATTATTAAGAGACGAATTTACTGTCACAATAATATAATACAAGGAAACAAAAACATTTTTGATTCAACTTTAAATTTTTAGATTAGAGATTTTTATAAAAACTGTAAATTTAACTTGAACACACAAGCAACTTTATGATTATGAAATGCGAAGTAATTCTCTCGTTGTTATTCGATGTTCGATTGTTAAAGTTTGCAACAGCTCAACAATTCCCTTAATTATTTCAAGTACTAATTCAAATGGTATAAACAATATCATCGAATCTCAAAAATTAATTTCAATGAAGAATATGATCTGCCTATTGACTTAACTTATGCACAATCAAGTCATACACCTAGAATATTTATTTCTGTTGATTATCCAGTCAGACAAGTCTCTAAAGAAAACGCTGTTTTAACAATAGACCATCATAAATACGCTGTTTTTTCGACTTTTGAACGCATTTTAACGCGTTATAATATTTCAGCATTCAAATATGTAGATTTATTTTTCGATTTATGCGCTTTTATCCGTTAAAAACTCAAAAATTATGCATTTTTACGCTTCCGTTTCTTAACTTTTTCAACGTCCTAAAAGTAATTTTTCTCAGGATTCGTTTATTAATAATTAATTAAAATGATTTGCAACTTTGCCCTTGGAGTGACCAGTCCGGTCCTCGTTTTCCAGTTCCTTAAAATGAATTTTTTTTACTTACAACATTGACAAATAAGATCTTCATGTATAGAAAATCATATCAAAGAGAGCAGCCACTGTTTGTCATTTTAGAAAAAATTCTTTTGTTTTTAGTTCATCCAATACTTTTTTCGACTGATATAAAGTAAGAATCTCGTACAACACAATGCAACCGACTGAAACAGATTTCCACTATGATTGGAAATAATAAACATTTTCATCGAGTACTTTTCTCACAATGCAGCTATTGATACATCAATGCACTTTTCGCTTCGTATCTAGAAGTGAAAGCCGTCAGCCGATTTTTGCTGAAGCCGACGGCTGACGGCCGGTATTTTTGCTAGAGCCGACGTGTTTCTCAGCTGACGGCTTGCACCTCTATTCGTATCTATTTCTTCAAACGCAATATCTCGATATAGGGGGGCGCTAACTTTCCCAATAGCCGCCATGATTGAGTGGATATGTTATTCGACACATATTCACAAAGTACTGTGTTCAAACCACAGTATCACCAACCATGGAATAACCCTGAACAAGTTACTAACGGCTAATTGTTCCGGATGACTCATCTGATAGCGTATCGATTATATCATTAGTCAGTATGCATAGTTAAAACAATAACTTCAACATAGACGTCACGACCACGTGATCCTATGATGATCGCCAACCCATAATCATTAACGGGGGAAGCGTTGGACGAATGGGGTGCAGATACCGTCGTCCGTAAAAGAGAAAAAAACGATAGAACCTGGCTGCTTGTGGACCCTTGAGCGCCGGCCCCAACGAACGATAAACCTATGGGAGATATTATTACTATTATTATAACTTTCCCAATAACTGTAGAAGTGCTTCGAGCTAAACTTTGATCCACGCACTTTAGAAAATCAAAATCAAACGGGCTTATACAGGCAATTTCATAATAATGCTTCTAGTTACATCACTCTCACAAGCATTGTGTTTATTGTAGGTTTATTCCAAACTCGTAGAGCTATTCAGAAAAGGTGTTGTTTTTACATCAGCCCCCAGGTTGATCAGCTTGTGTCGTACGTTGCCGTATGCGGCCGTTTACGGTCGCATCAGGTCGTCGTAATGTTCGACCTGGGCCCTCGCGAACAAATGGAAAGTAAGCATTTTATTTAAATACATTTATATTCTTCTTGTACATGCTTGAATATTAAAGTCAAAGTAATGTAAATAATATACTTTCCAAAATATCTACACATGTCTCGTTTTAAAATTTATATCCATCTCAACAGCTTATAGGGAAAGTAACTATCATTTACTTACATTTTCATCCTTCTTTATATTTAGTTCGATATAAAATTCAAAATAAAAACGTAAGTATTCAAATTTTCTCTCTAGTTATTTCCTTTTTTCTATTTAGATTTCTTCATACCATGTATTCAAAGTAAGTATATTTTCCTACTCATTCAGTTATCTATATATTTTCTCTTTATTTAGTTCAATTTCCAACTCAACAAAATGTAAGTAGACAAATTTTTATAGATAGTTATTTGTCTTTCTCTCTTTCTGTTCATTGCAACAACGTCTTAAAAGTAAGCACTCCTTATTTATATAAATATATATGCTTGATTTCTATATTTAGTTCAATGCTTAAACTAAAAATTATGTAAGTATTAAAATTTCTAAATAATTTTTTCTTTTTCTATTTAGATTCATGAGAACTAAATATGCAAAGCAGCGTTGTAGACCGATTTGAAACATCAGCTTTACTTGACAGCGCCTTCTTTCATATAATAACAACGCACTTGAAAAATTGGTGGCGTCACAGCTTACAACTGTGGACGTTCTTCTAAAGAAGAGAGAATTCGAGCTGATTCGAATGACGGTCTGCATAAAGTTTAGTCTGTCAAATAGTAACTTATTTGGCAATCGAGAATTTTTTGTGGAGCTTCATAATGAATCAGTTCGAAATCGCTCTTCTCTAGAAGAATATCCACAGCGGTAAGCCATGACAACGCTTGTTCTTCAGGTTCAATGTTATTTTTCTGAGGGGGAACGGTGTCAAGTAAAACTGATAAGCGCGAAAATCGGTCTCGGTGGTACTCAATCAGACAAAAAAATAACGCGTTAAAACGCGTTAAAGTTTTGAACGAAATAAAATGTATGGGTGAACTTTAACGAAAAAAAATCCAAAAAATGTGTGGCTTTTCGAAATTTTTTGTCGTTAAAATTTCGACGCGTTTTAACGCGTTGTTTTTTGTTTTTTGTCTGACTGAGTAGTAAAGACTTCTTTTATCTTAGATAAATAATGGATTTTTTCTTTAATATTTTTGTTTTCAGAGATGACTATTGTATCTATGTCTATGCTTAACTAGAAATATCTGTTTCCGGATAATCTCTAGGTGTTTGTACCTTCACCTGCAAATTAGTCCTCAAGGCTACCCATGTTCAAGAAAACGGTACGTAAACGACGTAAAAACAGTATGAAACGTTGAAAAACGGCGCTGTTTTGCGTCAGCTCGGAAAACGACGAATATAGTGTTGAAAACGATGACCGTTTTATAGCCATTTTAGGCCTTTTAAGATACTCGTTCCGGCGGCCGGAATGATTGTCCTGAGTACTCATATCAAATCTTATCAAGCAAATACAGTGTACTAATTTCACTTGTATCTACTATACGACCTGGAACCAATTAATCAACTACAAGAAAACGTTTTGGACACGTTTTCACCGTCAAGTTGCGCCCAAAATTCCATCAGACATTGATTGCAATAATTGTATGGTTTTTCATTGTGATAAGACCATAGTATCTCGGCACTACTCTTGATTCCACGTTGTCATCCAATTCACATACTAATCATATAGAATCTAAAATTCGTTAAAGTTCTCCTACACTCAAGCAAATAACATCAAGTCATATGACTGATGAATCAGTAATACCTATATACGGTCATATTTTCAATCGATACTAAGCATCTACTCAATCCTATCAAGACTAAAAAAAACCATATAGAAGCCGTAAATACTTAGGTCGAACATTACAGTGATCAGAAACATTCTTACACGACCGAAACCGCTAATTTATCCTCTCGTTCCTTGTCGTTTCCAACCGTATTTTACCTGTGGAATAGACTAATGTTTAGAACGATATGCACTGTTTGTATGACACGTTGAACATCACAATGACTAATCTTCTGACATTTAAATGGTAATCGAGCTCATAGAAGTGCACTGTTCTAAGATTACTCTCATAATAATTAAAAGAAATCGCACAGCAAGATCTGATTTCCTACAACATTAAATGTACTTATTGCACACGTATGAATACTATCATAATCCACTATGATTGAAAAAAAAATGAAATATAATAAAACAAAGGAAAAACAAGTAAAAAAATTACAAATCTTTTCATCGTTGATAAATCGTTCTTATTTGACTGTACTCTTTGTTTCTAGCTACGTTTCTTGTTCTCTTTTTTTTTGAATCATCATCTTTTACTGTTAATCTACTTTTTTCTTAGTGTCTAGTTTATATTGAAGAAAACAAAGAAAACGTGTCTAAGAGTGTGTTCCTTTTTTTGTAGCTAAATATATGTTTTCTCTCTATTCACAAGTGTTTATTTCACAACAGTTCAATACATACAGTTTTATTTTTTGCTTTCACAGCGATAAAGTTCGTCCATGACAATAGAAACGTGAGGACAAGCCACTCGCTCGATATTTGATTTGATTGGGGGAAATGATTTTCAGTGGAGAAAAAACTAGAATTAACAAATGGAACTTATGCTCATTTTGTCGTGAGAATCTATAAAATTCATGACCTTGATGAACATTTATTTTAGCTTTATAAAAACTCAATTGAAATGTATTCTGAAAATATTGATAAACTTGCAACGAGTTCTATTCTTCATATAACTGATCAAATATTTCATTTAAGTAACTTCTCACCAACATATATTGAATTTGTCAATTAATGTAAGTGAAAGACTTCATTTCGAGTCTGTTTAACTCACATTAGAAAATTTTAATAAATCTTGACTTATCTGTATGCTGGTCAACAAAATTATGAACTGAAATCGATCGAAATATTTAAGTCTTTTATTCTTTTTTGTTTTGTTTTGGTAAGATTTGTCTATTTTGATTGTTGTCAATTACATCCCTAATCCACTCTCCCCCGACGACTCCCCGGGGATTTCTCTGGGAAGAATTGATGAGATTTTTTAAAATAAAAAAAAACTTTTAAATTTTTTTTAAATTTTAGAAAATTAAGAAGAATTTATTAGTAATTAGATATTTCATCCATTTTCCCCAGACAACTCTCCGGTGAACTCCTTGGAGATTCTTCTAGAGAGAGTTGGCTAGGGATTTTTCTTTAATTTACGTATATGTTTATTCAAATAACAACAAATAACAAAGAATAAACATAAAGCGAAAGAAAAACATATCATTAAGAATTTTCCAATTCTTGAAATCTAAATTAGAAAAGAAAAATATAATTTGATGGCGTGTATTAATCGATAAACAGAAAGATACTGACGAACATTTTGGACATAAGAAGAAGACCGTTTGTCCTTCTGCAATAAGAAGAAAGACATTTGACAGAGACGAATTTTATTTAGAAAAAAAAAACAAATAAAACATTACCATCTGCTGAACGTAATTGTCTTGTTGTAAATGACATTTCATCATGTCCACAACGAGGACATTTTCGTTGAATCTAAAGTAATATTTACATAGAAATATTATTGCTTAGAAAATTTAAAAAGCTATCATACCAATGTGCCCTCAATAGCTTCATTATTTTCTGATGTTCTTCTACTATCTTCAATATTTTGAAAATCAACATGAATAGTTGATTGTGTACCATGAAATACTATCAAATGAAAAATCTTTTATTATCAATATGAATACTTTTACAAACCTGATATATCTTGAATTTTTTTGCATAGTAAACATTGAATCATTGATGAACCATCTGGTAAAGGCAATATTGTTCCACATGCTGGACAAAAATCTTGATCAAATGTATTACTCATCTAATCAAATAAAAGCTTTCTTACATTAGTGTCTTGTTCTAAGATCTATTTGTTTCTTAATCTCAAAATTTAATCCAAATTTTTATTTTCAAGAATAAAATAATCACACAAACACAGACATAAATTATGAACGAAAGAATCTTTTAACAGTTTGTCTTGCTGACTTTTTTCCTCCACTTTGTTTTGAATCCATATTACTGGCTAAGATATTTGATGAAGCTTGTAGTATATTTAAATTATTATTATTTTCATTACTATCTCGTCGTCCAATATTACCACCAGAATTTTGTCCTTGTAAATCAATAATTTTAATCATTGATAACATTTCTTTATCATATTTATCTTGTTCGTCTAAAGCTTTTTTCTTTTGTTCATTAGCTTTCATAGCTTCAAATTTTAAAACATTTAATAAAGCTGCACAGTTTTTACACCAGTTTTCAAGTACATCTTCCATACGATTAAATGCAGCTGAATTGACATCACGTGCTATAGCAAATTCAACATTTAATCGACTATTTAATTGATCTAGTTTTCCACGTATAACTTGTGCATAAATCCCATCAATAATTAAATCTTCAAGTTCACGTACACTTTCAATTTGAAGTTCTTTTAATAGAATTGCATAAGGTAATATTCGTGCATGAACAGCCAATGATGCTAATGTTAATAATTGTAATTTTCGTCGTGCTACGGATGACAAAGACATATAACGTGTACGATCGGATTCATAATCCGTTAATGTACCATAGGCAAACAATTCTAATGTTGATAGAATTTGTGAATTTTCTTGTTTGAGAAAATTTACAAGTGAATCCAAACGAAGAAATTCATCAAAACCGAATATATCCGCATGTTCGATTACACGAGTGACTAAATCGATTGCAGCTTTACCACGTACAGATTTAGCTATTAATAGAAATTGTTGAGCGGCCTGTGAGGACATCTGAAATATATATAGAGGACTAGAATAGAATATAGAAAGAAGAAAGAAAAAGTAGAACGAACGAACAAACTAAAATTCATAGATAGATAGATAGTAAATTTCTCGATTATATACAAATGTCCGATTTATATACGAATACCCTACGAAATACTGATAGTATTTATAGTCAAACTGCAGATGACAGTTCAACAATACGACAAGTACTTGTCGATATTGAACGTCTAATGACAAGTCTTAGTAATGACGTGGATCAAAATAAATCTTCTATATCATCAAATTTAATTAATTATTCATCTCAACCACAAAGATTTACGTCATCATTATGTTATCCGAGATCGACAACAACGACGACGACGACAACGATAACGAGTATTACAATAAACGATGATAACCATCAACTTATTGAACATCTCCGTAATCGTATTACTCGACTAGAACATGAACGAAACGTTCTTCTGACATCGTATCAATTACTTCTTAAACTTCTTAAATGAATTAAACATAAGATAAAATTCATATGTAAACAAAAACAAAATTTTAAAATGAATTTTTTTTATTGAATATATTTTACAAAAATACATATTTAAGCGTGACGAATTTTCCAATTTCTTGAACCATGAAGATTCTTACGAAATTGATCGAATACAAGATCATCGGTAGCGGTTTCAGATAAAGGCTTTTCTAGTGTTGCCGCTGGTTTAGAATCTATAAAAGAGAAAAAATATAAGAATTCTACTAAAACATATTATGAATAAGCATGCTTCTTTGTTTTAACCGAAGATATTATTACACTAATAGCAACATGACTTTTTACTGTTGATATGAACGCCTTAGCCCGTGAATTATACAGTTTTTCAAAAATCAACATCCTTAGATTTCTCGAGTAAAGCTATAATTGTTTTGACATAACAAAGCAATGATATAAATTAAAATTGATTTGGAGAAAAAATGTTTGACTGATAAATTGAAGCAAAAGAAAAGTTCAGTAATCTATAGATCTCATGTAATGAACGTTTTAATGTCTATCATTCGAAGTTTTAGTTTAACCTAAGCTATATCTATTTCGATCTTCTATGACAAAATTGATCTTACCTCGTAATAAAGTTGGATGTTTTTCTTTATTTCCAACAACGGGCTGTGGTTTAACAGTATCTTTGATTTGATTTTGTTTTAATCGTTTTGAATGTAAAATATCCATTCCATCAGTAGTAGTAACTAAAAACAAAATTGAAATATTCCGTTCAGAATCATTCTGCTGAATATTTATTTACATCGTTTATGTTGCACAAAACTAATTGAAGCCGGTTTTGTCGGTGTTGGTGGTACAACTGGTGTACTAGCTAATATACTGATTGGTGTTGGAGTTTGTGAAACAATTGTTGACATTTTCTTTTCTACACCTTTTTTCTCGCATAATGTTTGTAATAATTTTCGTTTCGCTCTATCTGTTTCTTCAATATTACGTATTTTTTCTCTACGAAAACAAACAAAGATAAATATGATAGAGACGAAAAAGTTTGGATTCGAAAATTAACCTACTCAACACCAATATCAACTTCAGGTATTCCACTTAACATTTGTTCTGAAAGCATTTCTTCGGACGCTTGTGCTGAATGATCTGTAATCAAATGTTTACTAACATGAAAAAGAGTATCTTCAGGTTTTTTTAATGTAGCAAAAACAGCTTTTAATTCATCATTCGTTGATGCATTTGATGTTGCTGTTGATTTTTGTTGTATTTTAATAAGTTGTTCTTCAATGTAACGCTGCATTTCAGTATCTTCATCACGTGTATTTGTTTCTCGAGCAAAATTATCATTAATTGTACTTAGATCTTTCGATGAACGTCCACGTTGTTGTGATTTTGAAGAATTCATATCAACAAGACCACCTGTTTTTAATTTGTATGGATCATTTGACTAAAGAAAATTCATTCGCTTTTTTTTATCTACGTATGACAATAGAACATACATCATTTTTTTTCGAACCAAACAATGGATTAGCTTGTTTGCCAAGAGCAAGTTCTTCTGCTGAAACACCTTTTTTACGTTGACGAAGTTTCTGAATTAATTTAAGATCTTCCATAGAAACTCTAAAAGGAAACAGTAACTAAGAAGAAAATAAAACAAAAAGATAGTCTCATACCCGCTATCAGATCCTTCATTCGAATTGGGTCCATTACTATCGTCATTACCTGGCTGACTATTATCATCATCATCACTGCCTCGTCTTTGACGAATATGTGCTCGTTTTGACATAATTTTATTATTAAGATATAGATAGAATCTAATGAAACCAAATTAATGAACAAATGAGTGCAATTATGAAATATAAGTTATAAGAATCAATGCAATAAAACATTACATCTACCTACAGGGTCAAGTGCCTTCGTTGGATAATTGTTTCAACCAATCATATGAAACTTTGATGGCATAAGGAAAACAACTGAGAATGCCACTAGTTTACGGTCGATAGAAGTAATAAGTCAAATTAAACATTGAAACTTTCTACAGAATATTTTTACATCATTGTGTATTTCCATTTACATGTAAATTGATAACATCAGTCTAGTCGTCTTTTATCAAATGATTGAGAACATATTTCGCGTTTCCGTAAAACCAAGTTGAATTTATGCAAAGAACAGGTGAATGACTCTGATATTTTTTGTTAATCTTCTGTTTGAATGCTAGATGTTTTACTTATCGCATATCGATTATGTTGGTAGGAGCTTAGTTATAGTTAGTGACTTTTTATTTTACTTTGAAAAGACGTGTTAAATTGAAGTACCTGCCAAAGTTATTTTTGTTATTGTCTAAAAAGAATTGCATCTAAATATCGGTACGTATTTCTTGAGACTATTTAAATTTATTCAAGTTGTCATCCGTTTAGTATGCAAAAAAATTAATAAACGTTTGAAAAGAAGGACTTTATCAAGCATGACAGGTTCAATTTTTTTTGCATAAAAAATTCAAATATATAGAATCAAGGTCAACAAGAAATCGTGGGTCTCCTCAAGGTCAGATCAGATTTTGCAAGTTGAGCAATCATAAGGTTTTCTGGTACGGAGAACTTCAGACAAGTATTGGATAACAATAAAAATTAGATAAATGTAATGCATTCTCAACAAGACTGCATGATTTATACAAGACTCTCGTCTGATATTATATTTCAATAACATGCCGCATAATACCATCGAAATTATATCCAAGTTAATGTTTCATCTATACATTTAAGAAATATTAGTAAACGATGTCAAATTTTCAAAAAGCATTTCTTATTATTTTTTTGACATCGTTGACAGAGAATTTTATGCTGTAAAATTGAATGATCGAGACTGTATTCATCTCAACATTAAAACCAACTAATCGAGCTATTCTCAGAAGTGTACGCTCTTATATAGAAGTCTTTCTTGTTGTAAATTATTACGAATGTTCATTGATAACGGTAACAAAAAGAAAAATTGACTTCTACTCGCATCAATTCATACATTTACTCCTTTTACTCTATTCTATGCGGTCATTTAGTAAATGTTCATTCTATATTCATATATGCATCAAATCATTTCATTTTTACATTTGGTTACGGTGTATGGAATATTTTGCTATTCTTATTCTTAATTATAAATAATTATTCATCTTGCTCGGCATACATAAAAAAAAAAAGGTGTCAAGGTCTAACCATTGTAAATTCAATGAACCGAAGAACAAATCTCTTGTTCTGAAGCATTATTATTATTCTAGTGTTTCTTTTTTTCTCCCATGCAAATACGAATTGATCAATGGCGAACAATTGATATGGTTGTTGGACTTATACAAATAAACTAAACTCTAGCCATAAAAATTTCAATACATTGCTTATCTTTCCACTTTATACTGTCCATATTTATATGATTTGAAGAAGACGAAGAGAAAAAAAACAAGACATCAAAAATGAAACATAGATCAATCAAAACATAAAAGAGAAGGCAAAAAAGAAAAAGGTCAATTTTCTATACACTTCAATGATTCTATTCAATCGGTTGATGACGACGGTGAGAACTTATCTCTTTATACATGTTATCAACGCGACAATTGTTTTGTTTCACATGACCTTCATCATAATAATTCATTTGAATAAATATCAGAAGACATTAAACATCGATTAAGTGTTGTTAAATGTGCACAATCTTTAACTTGTAAACGTGTTATATGTTGAAATTGACAAGGATTTGATATAGATGATTTATTAACATGACGATGAGATTTTCTTTTACTAGTTAAAATAGAACCACACGATGAACTTCGATTATTTCCATTGGAGAAAAGATGTTTATAACGATGATCATTTCGTATCGATACATAATAGGAAAAGAATTCTTTCGATGCTAGAATATTATTAAAACGAAGTACAGCAAGTGTTACTTTATCTGACAAACGAAATGTAATGTGTTGTTCACGTGCTTGTTTAACATCACTATGTCCACCGATATTATCTTGCCAAACAGGAAAACCTGAACCATATTCAGCAATAACAAGTGATAAGCATGATTGACGTTTTGGATTCGTACCAGAATTAAGTAACCATACAGGTAGGCCATGTTGAAATAAAATCCAATCTTCAAGTTTAGCTAAACGTTCAGCTGTTGTTATGTATAAATCACATAAAGATCGAGCTGCATATACATGTGTGCCTATACTTCGATAGGATAATTCAACTTTAAGAATATCATTATCAGAAACAATAGTCGATTTATGTGATCTATTGGAACGAGCACGTCGATTTTCATCTTTTGATTTATCTAACAACGATTTACGAGAATCTTAAAAATTAAAAACATCAAGATTAATCCTTTCCTATTACAATATAAACTTGCTTGACAATGTTGTCGGCTTAGGCTTTGGCTCATCGTTTATTAATCTATCACAACTTTTTGCACGTTGTTCATATTGTTGATGGTTAGATGTATTTTTGTTGGATATATCATGAAGAAGATCAGTAAAACGTTTTTCAATTGTTTCAAGTTCTTCGCAACTAAGCCAACTTTGTTCTTTCGAATGATAATCTGTTTGTTGATTCTTAATTAAGGGCGATATTCGTGCTACAGGTGTTTGATGCATTCGATTTGTTTGATATTGTTGTTGTTGCAATTTCAATGATTGCATGGATCGATAATCTGTATTGATTAATTTCGACAGGTGAAGTGATGATGTAGCAGAACGAAGAGGTGAAAATGTCGAAGATGTTTGAGATGATGAATAGCTATTAAGATTATTGTAGCAATTTGTCGATGAACTAGAAGACGCAGACGATGATGAAACCGCTGAATAACGATCAGATGCTGTTGCTGCTGCTGGCATTCTCTAGAAGAAGAAAAAAACAAAATAATCAATATGATCACGTTTCTACTACACAGTGTATATATTCAAAGAATGAAAATGTTCAATATGATTGCGTACTTTACTATAAGTTAAAAAGAGAGTAATGCGTGAGAGGGTCTTGTATAATCATAAATACACTGGCCGACCGATTGACAATGCAGTAGTGTTTGTTGATGCAGTTCGTCTTCTCTTCTCGTCCCTTTTTTTTTTCTATTTCACTTAATTGTTGTTGAAAAAAGATGACCAATACGACAATCAAAAGACGTGTGAGTGTGTATGTACGCGTATATGTGTCAACATACTAGACGATTGCAAAGTGTCCGATCGTAGTGACAAAAAAAAAAAAGAAAACATAACAGAATGAAAGAAAGCAAAGAAAATCAATATAATATATTTGTCACAGGAAATTTACTCGTTTGGCGAGAAAAGAACGAGAGAAATTGGCAATTACAATTTTACTTTTACTATCTTATTGATATCAATATTTTATGAATGAGGTATATGATCAATTGAAACATAGTGTGAGCGAAAATATAGTAGGTCACTTTTACTTATCAAGATGTAATGTTACACTTGAGATGATATCGACGGGAAATATACGTACACGGCTGTGCACGCACAATTTCACTTAATCATGTCAAATTGAAAGAAAGAGCATGCACGCTCACTAACTTCGCTCTGGTTCAAAACGTATGAAACAAAGAAATAAATGAATTTGTTGATATATCTCATCTTTCTACATTTTAACCTTCTTATTTGTATCGCGTTTACTAATATTAGTTATGATTGTATACATGCAATATATATCAACATTCATAGATAAACCCATTAAATATGACATCATCAAAAACGTGCAACTTCCCATACGACTAGTGACTTATTCCTTAGCACTCATATGTTCGATGGCTGTATCCATTTGTATTTAGTTTTCAATGTAGTTTCAGTTTCATCGTTAGCACTCACGTTTCTAAAAATCATTGCAACTGTGTCAACATCATCATCGGCTATCGTACGGATACGTTTTCATTACGTATACATTTGCTGATTTCATCATCTCATTATTGTTGTTTCGTCTCTATACACACTTGAATTTATTCTTCCTAGGTGTAGTCTACTCTTTGATCACATCAAGTGTGTCAATTGTAATTCATTGCACACGAATATACACTCTACCGTTCGCTATTATGTGAACTTATCCTTTGCTCTATTACCATCAAATGCCTTATTTGTACTCGTACTATTTCATTCATGATCCATTACGCATAGGGAGAGAGAAAGAGCCTCACTTTCTTTGTCTAAAGATTTAGATAGAAGAGAATGATATGTATGCGATTGTGTTGCTCATAATAGCAAATTTATTATAACAAAAACAAAAACAGAATAAACCGAAGTATTACACAATTTTAATAGAAAGATACTAAATACTCTATCTTCCAACGATAAAATATCCCACACGCGTATGACACTTCTATCATTACACTGCAAATTCATCGTTCTCGTCGTCATCATCATCATCGATTCGCTTTTGTCGGTGTATTTGTACTGATCGGGTGATCAGTGATGAACGTCGACGACGAATAGGTTGTTGAGACCTGAACAAACAATGATAGACTTCTTAAAACAAATATAGTAAAAAAATTAAGTACGCACTTTTTATGAGTGTATTCTCGATTTAGTGAACGATAACGCCGGTAATCATAAGTATTCTCTGTAGGAGGCATACGTTGCCGAGAAGTTACAGGAGGTGGTCTGTGTTGATAATCATCGCGCACTATTAAATCTATTAAAAAGCAAAAAGTAAATGATTATATATTCATCGTAATAAAGATGAATTTTTATTATCTACTTGTTTGTGTGCCTGTCGAACATTGTTTCATTTCTAAAAATAAGAAATGAAATATATTGTTTTGAAATTCAATCACAAAGAAACTCACCAGATCCACACAATAGTTTCTTCCAAAAACCAGGTTTAGATCGTTTTTTAGTTTTTTCCGACGGTTGTATCGTGAAACTACTATTGAAATATGCCTATGACAAAAAAAATCCAACTACAATAATCATACGCTACACAGAAAGGTTCAATGCAATACTTGATTAATATATAATTTATCAAAGTGTATTCCTGCATCCGCAAGAGATCGTCGTACATTGGCCATATCATCGGATGCAACAATGCGAGTCATTTTTTGTTATGACGCATTCATTCGAATGCATCAGATTTTATACAATACGAGATAAATCATCAATTAACTCATCGCTGATTGATGATGATACAATAAAGAGAGAATCATGAACGATGAAATGTCAATTAGACAAATCATTCATCAAATTAGACAACTGATTGCAATGTAACAATAGCGTATCACTTCTTGTTTTCACATTAAATGATTAGTAGTCTATTCTGTTCGCTTCGAAACAATCATCTCTCTGATCATTTATATTTCTATCTTCCATTGAAAAAACAAATTCCTTATGTCGATTTGAAGTGCGCTAGGCACATTCATTTGTTTGCATCATATCTGTAATTGTTAGATATTGAGGTACTCTTTCTCACTTTAATAAAATAGTTTTTGTCAATCACAAACCAAATATTTCCAATACTATTACCTTTTATTTTACGAGAGCGCTATTAACGGAAAAAAAAGAACAAAAATTAAGAGTACAAATAAGGCGACGTTCAGGATCGCTGTTGTGGCGTTGGAAGCGTATTTGGTAGTGGTTACTTACTACTAACAGTACTTTTAACATATTCGATTCGATAGATGCGTCCATTTCCATCTTCGCTAAACAATAAACTTCCGTCTTTCATTTCCAGTAGTCCAACAGGTCGACCATAGGTCGTTGGACCTTGTGGATCAAGAAGAAATCCTTTGAGAAACTCTTCATAGTATCCTTGTGGACGATTGCTATCATTAAATGGAATGAAGATAAGCTTATAACCGGTACCAGCATTACGGTTCCATGAACCATGACAAGCAATGAATGCACCGTTTTGATAGCGACTTGGAAATTGAGTACCACGATAGAATTGCATGTCTAACACAGCTGAATGTGCTTGCAAGAGAACATCAGGTGTACGTGTTATTTCAACTAAATCAGGACGTTCACTGGAGCCATTAGCAAAACGACGTCGTGGATCGACATTTTTCGGTGTAAGATAAGCTAAAATGATAGTGTGAGTGGAAAAGATAAATATCTTGTTTTTTCATTACCAAATGGCCATCCATAGAATTCATCTTTTTGAATTCTAGTAAAATAATCTGGTACAAGATCATCACCAAGTTCATCTCGCTCTTGTACAGCAACATAGAGTTCCCCTGTTTTGGGATGGAAATCAATACCAACTGGATTACGTAAACCCCAAGCAAACGTTGCATTAGCTGTTCCATCGAGATTAGCGATTTGTACTGAAGCTCGTGAGGGATATTCGATGTCTACATTGCTACCAGAACCAACAGTTACAAACAGACGGTCGCCACTTGGTGATAGAATTAAACTACGTGTCCAATGGTATGTACTTGGGTATGTGAGAAGAACTTGCCCAGTACCCATTATTCTTCTATCACCAGTTTGATATCGAAATCGACGAAGATCACCAGCATTTGCAACATAAAACCAACCCTATAGAAAAAAGATCGATGTATGCGTGAAGATTAATGGTTTAGTAAAACTAACTGGCACAAATGCCATGCCAAATGCTTGAGAAATACCATTGGATGCATCAGCAAAAACCGATGTAGTATCGCCAGTTAGGATTGAGATAGAACCACCACGATTTTCTGTAACAAGGATATCATCAGTTGGAGTGTAGATCATTTGTCTTGGCGTTCGTAGACCACTGCGATAGATTGTTACACGAAAATTAACATCAGCTACAAGTAACGTTGCATTACTTGGTACATCAACGACAATAGCTGGTTTCGTAGCTGATGATGTTGCATATGGTGCTGGAAGATCATCTAATGTTAGACGAATTGGCGTTGGTGTGAATGGTTGAGTTGGAACAACCGGCGCGCTTTGTGCAAATGTTGCAGCAACAAATAGTAAACAACAAGCGAGCATGATTTTTTTCTAAGTGATAAATAAAAATCGTTTCTAGGATTTATATAAATATATCATTTCGGTACTTTAATGCCTGTTTTGTAAAATGCTTTGATGTAACTTATTGTAGCAATGATGATAACGCAAGAAATATATAGGATTAGTAGCAGCAAAATGACAACAATAAGATCGAAATCGAAATGAGATATTCGATATAGGAAAATATTGACAATCATCATTTAGTGTTTATATCTGTGGGCTTGAATAGCATGAAGGCCACTTTTCAGTTTTGGTTTGAAGTTTGTATGATCAAGTTACTATAAAGATAACGATAGAATAAATGAAAAACGAATATGATGATGCGACAGATCGCTTATCAAATTGGTATGGGGACTCTAATCGAAAGACGAGAAATAGTTTTCAAGACTAATGATGACTATTCTTTTCTGTTCGTTCCAAAATAATGAAAAAATCGTCGCTCTAGTCACACATACATCAGTTGTAAAACATTTGATTTTAGAAATTATCTCAGCCGAGACTCAACTAAGATAATATAGAAAAAAGTAAAGAAAAATTTCATGATTTTTATCAGTATATGGATTCGGTTAAGTATGATCACTTAATTAGTTGATCATTAAGTTATTCATAGGACAAGACAAGGACTGACAAAATACACTTTTCGTCAAATTGTTTGGAAATTATTACATACAATCATCTCTTTTCAAATCGTATTGCAGAAAGCATGAGAAGTTTTTTTGAATCGTTTTGATCTTTATCTGATTTCATGGCTATTTGAATGTAATCCTTCGCTTGTACTTAGATTGAATTTCATAAACAGTTGAAAGAGTTAAATTATTAAGAAGTGAAGAAATTTTCTATTATGCTCACAACAAATCAGATATGATCGTCAATCGGCGATTCGTACGTAATCATTTCGTTTTATGAACATCAATCAAAATGTTTTCAGTATTCAGTAAGCGAATCTTGAAATATGCTTTGCATGATGATTTTCTTCAAAGCATGCAAAAATCAATAATATTCTTTCATATTTCTATTGAGAACACTATTTTCACTTGAAATTTTTTGTTGCTTAGAAATCGACTCTAAATACTTCGATTACTGATGCCCCTTTATTGTGAAAAAGATCAATGAGAAAAAGCAATTATCAACGCTGCGAAGAAACTGATGGTTACAACGATTGCTGTTGACTTGCTTTGAACACACAGGTGCTTGCTTGTCAATTAGCACTACTTTTAACATATTCTATTCGATAGATGCGCCCATTTCCATCTTCACTACACAATAAACTTCCGTCTTTCATTTCTAATATTCCAACCGGTCGACCATAGGTTCTTGGGCCTTGTGGATCAAGAAGAAATCCTTTGAGAAACTCTTCATAATATCCTTGTGGTCGATTACTATCATTAAATGGAATAAAAACAAGCTTAAAACCAGTGCCGCTATTACGATTCCATGAGCCATGAAAAGCAGCGAATGCGCCGTTTTGATAATGACTGGGAAACTGAGTACCACGATAGAATTGTATACCTAATACGGCCGAATGTGCTTGAAAGAGAACATCGGGTGTACGTGTTTGTTGAACTAAATCAGGACGTTCACTTGAACCATTAGCAAAACGACGTCGTGGATCGACATTTTTCGGTGTAAGATAAGCTAAAATGATAGTGTGAGTGGAAAAGATAAATATCTTGTTTTTTCATTACCAAATGGCCATCCATAGAATTCATCTTTTTGAATTCTAGTAAAATAATCTGGTACAAGATCATCNCTTGAAAGAGAACATCGGGTGTACGTGTTTGTTGAACTAAATCAGGACGTTCACTGGAGCCATTAGCAAAACGACGTCGTGGATCGACATTTTTCGGTGTAAGATAAGCTAAAATGATAGTGTGAGTGGAAAAGATAAATATCTTGTTTTTTCATTACCAAATGGCCATCCATAGAATTCATCTTTTTGAATTCTAGTAAAATAATCTGGTACAAGATCATCGCCAAGTGCATCACGTTCCTGTACAGCCACGTAGAGTTCACCCGATTTTGGATGAATATCCATGAAAACTGGATTACGTAAACCCGAAGCAAACGTTGCATTACCTGTTCCATCGAGATTAGCGATTTGTACTGAAGCTCGTGACGGATACTCAATATTAACATTACTACCAGAACCAACGGATACATACAGTTGATTACCATTGGGTGATACAATTAAACTACGTGTCCAATGGCCTGTACTTGGGTATGTGAGAAGAACTTGCCCAGTACCCATTATTCTTCTATCACCAGTTTGATATTGAAATCGACGAAGAGCACCAGCATTTGCAACATAGAACCAACCCTATAGAGAAAAGATCAATGTATGCGTGAAGATTAATGGAATAGTTAAACTAACTGGCACAAATGCCATGCCAAAAGCTTGAGCAATACCATTAGATGCATCAGCAAAAACCGATGTAGTAGTATCGGTTAGAATTGAGATAAGACCACCACCATTTTCGACAACTAGAATATCACCACTTGGAGTATAGATCATTTGTCTTGGCGTTCGTAAACCACTACGATAGATTGTTACACGAAAATTAACATCAGGTACAAGTAGTGTTGCGTTGCTGGGTACAGCAACGACAATAGCTGGTTTTGAAGATGATGATGTTGCATATGGAGGTGGAAGATCATCTAATACTACACGAATTGGTGTTGGTGTGAATGTTTGAGTTGGAACAACTGGCGGGTTTTGCGCTAATGTTGCAAACGTTGAAGCAACAAATATTAAGCAGTAAGTGAGCATGTTTTCGTTTGTAAGCAATATTGCAATTTGCCAAGGGCTTTAGTGTATGTGTGTACCCTTGCGATACTTTTGTAATCCTAGTTGTGTGAAAAGTTTCTTATATTATATATATTTTTCAACCTTGAGAAACGATTAGATATAAATAACATTGTTACCATCTATTTCAATAAGAAAACGATTAAATGTTATGTGGTAGAATAGAAGTCAACAGTAGATGAGTGTCATATAGGATTGATTAATCTCTACATTTATTTCATAAGAATATGAAATGAGCAAGTAGCGTCCTCTAACTGATTATTGTATGTGTTTTTAATCTCTTAAAGAAAAATAAGATAATTAATTTCGGCAAAGTTAATGATCGTACATTCGATTTTGAATGGGATGTTCATTTTTTCTATCTGTTGTCACGAAATAGTTCATTGTAGTGGTTACTGATTCTTTCATCCAATATGGTTGTCGCCACTTTCGGGGTAGAACGAGAAGAAAAAATCAACAATAATAATAAGAAAACAACTGAAAAGTTTTTTTTTTGTACTTGGTTGTCTCAAAGAAAAATACAATAGTGTTTCGTTTACAATTCATTTTACTTTAGATTTACATCAACTACCAAATCAAATCATTAGTTAATCATCAATGGCATCACTTACACGTTTTTCATTATCATCATCATCGGCTTTATGGCGTTTATTGATCAATCGTAATGCTGGCCTTGTTCAACAACATTTGCCATCGATGACTATTCCATCTGTAGCACAACAACGATCAATTGCCACTTCACCTATTCGTCGTGATATTGATTCGGCTGCTAAATATATCGGAGCTGGCGCTGCTACAGTTGGTGTTGCTGGTGCTGGTGCTGGTTAGTAATGAAAGAAAAAAGAGTTATTGTTATGTTCACAATTTTTGTTTTTCTTCTAGGTATCGGAACAGTATTTGGTTCACTTGTAGTAGCCTATGCACGAAATCCAAGTTTAAAACAACAGCTCTTCTCATATGCCATTTTGGGATTCGCCTTGTCCGAGGCTATGGGTCTCTTCTGTCTTATGATGGCATTCATGTTATTATTTGCCTTCTAGAAACATTGATTGAATTATCTAATTCCCATTCGTACAAGAACATTTAGGCGATCTTTTTCGTTCTACATACCCGTCCTAATTCCTTTACATTCATTACAAATACCATCGTAACAATAGCCTATTGATCTTGTTAGTCCTAGACTTATCTTGTCACCAGAAAAATTTTGTCGTGATTGTTTGTCTTCTTTTCTCTCTCTCTCTCTCTCTCTCTCTTTCTTTTTTTTTATGCTAAACTTTGCTTGGTCAACCTTAAAATAAATTAAGAAGAGATAAAAAGAAAGGAATACAAAACTATTTTAATATAAAAATTTCAACAAGATTGATAATTCTATATTATAATATTTGTTGCCGTTGTTGTTGTTGTTGTTTTGAAAAGAACTAAGAAGAGTAAAAGTCACTAGGATATCTTGTGTGATTTAACTGCGTTCTAATAAAATTTCATGAAAAAAAAGCAAGTATAAAAAATCCGAAGCTTTTATTTCCAAATTGATATTTCTTTTTTATTGATTACCCAATAGATTTCTTCATTATCATTTAAACCACATACTCGTCTAATCCAAATTTTGCGTTTATCATTATCACCTAATATAGGTAGCTGCAATGAACCTCGTCTACAAATAAGTCGAAAACTAATTAGATTTGGTAATGTTAGAAGAATCATTTCAATAATTTTTTCAAGATTTCTATTCAAACATCTACTTGAATGCATTACAAACGAAAGATGATGTAGATTTGGAAATGCACTGAGTAATAAATCAATATCTTTTACAATAATACGACCATCTGTATCACTACCGAATAGCCAAAGTTCTTGTAACCGATGAAAAGTAAAGTTCGATAAACGTTTACATAGATGAATTATATCGCCGTACATAACTGTTAAAGCGCGAAGAGCAGGACTTACGTTACTATTCGCTACTAATAATAGGAAAAATGGTATATTTATTTCACATCGTGTAGATCGAACATATCTCAATGCGATAAGACGAGGTAAACGTAATTGTTCATTGAGATTTGTTTGCTCAATGATATTCACGGCCGTTAGCTCAAGAGCTCGAATATATGGAAAACGATTTAACACGTATAACCAATCATCTATCGATGTTTGTTCATGTCGCGTACATAATAAAAGTGATTGTACACCATGAGGACGTCTTCGATATAATTCTTCGTCTGTTGTTTTAGCATATTTAACTGTAGGCGAAGTTGTTACGCACGTATTTGTTTTGAATTCATGCATATCATATGGAATTGTATCAATATAAATAACTCGTTTGTCAGCATAACAAACAATCGGTAAGTTTGCTCGTTCGAATGATTCAATAAATGGATTGATATCGATGGATTTAATTCCTGTTCCTATCCAAATACGTATTCTAAAACATAAACTTTTTAAATTAGGTAAACGTGATATTAATAACAGCCAACAAAGACCATCGCCATAATCTATATCATAAGTTTCAATATCAAATGAAAGACGTTTAATGGTTGGTATATGTATCATAATTATGAATAGGCCTTCAAATGTGAGAGCTTTTTGAGCATTGGTTTGAATATGAAAATCTATTAATTTTTTTGGCATTATTGCATAAGTTACATATTCATAGGATTTACTCGATGAAAATGCACTAATTTCTACATAGAGTTTAATAAGATTTGGTGCACGTTTAAAGAGTAAAATAAGATCATCGACGTGTGCTACAACGATTGTCAATTGTTCAAGACATGGATTTACTCGTAATTTTGCACTATGTTGTAATCTAATACCACCTTCACCAATCCAAAGACGTATTTCTTTAAACGAAAAAGATGAACAGAAAAGGTAATAATCGAGCAGATGTTTTGTTGTTTGTAGTAGTGGTTTTAATCCATCAATATCGATTAGTATTTTATCAATCATGGCTAACTTTGGAAGAATATCAATATCTTCATTACTAAAATCAATTAATCGCAATTGTTTTAGATTGGGCAATAAATTATAAAGTGAAGTATAGTTTTCTGTTGATTTATTAAACCGACAAATTTGTCCTGGTGAATTCCAATTACTTAAAACTAAATTTATGATATATTCTGCTGTATCAGGTAAGAGATGCGAATACCACCGTTGATACTGATCAAAGGTTAAATGGTGAATATCTGCATTACGTCGAAATTGACTAATTGTTCGATTTAGACGTGTATTAAGTTGTCCAAATCCATTAATAATTTCAAATGGCCTCAGGTAAAGACAAATTTCAAGAATAATTTCATCGGGTAATTTTTCGAATTTCGACGGGAGCATTATTGATTTCTACGATGTCTTACTATTAATTATATGGTGATGTTTTTCTGTCTATTTTTCAGTGTCACGCGAAACCTCCTCCGCTCATGTTGTCATTTCTGACGAATGTATCTGATTGCTTATGTACAGGTGAAAAGGAAGAACACGACAAACATCAAAACAGGTAAACAGTAAGATATGAATGATATTATATTAAATATTTTTTATTTCAATAAATAAAGACAACATTAGACGTCAATGCGCTCATAAAAACTTACATTTCATGCTTGAAATATAGTAGCGTGCAGTATATCTGTATCGTCTCACGTTCTATAATAGGGTATCCATTATTAGAAACTAAGAGACAAAAAGAAAGGCAGTGTTTATTGTTCAAATTTAGTTAAGGTAAGGGTCAAAATTAAGTCATGTAAATAAGTATGTAATTATTTGTACTAAAAATCCTTGAAATATTCTTCATAATAATCTTGTTCAGCAACAACTAACGGTTCTTCATTTCGTACTATTGATTCTTGACGACAATCGTCTATTGATCTAGTAATCACATATTGATAGAATGGTGATGGAATTTGTTGTGTGTAAATTGCGTGAAAATTTATTTTAATAAACCATGGATCTAATAATTAGTTAATTAATATAACGAGTGTTTTGGTTTTTTAAATTTCAATATATGTAAATATAACTAACGTTCTTTAACTGCTGCCGATCCTTTTGAACTCGAACCCAATCGTTTTGTTGGATCTTTTTCAAGTAAATCAAGTATAATCTTTTTAAAATTCAACGTAAAACCAGTTCGCATAGGCGGTTTCTTCCGACATATTGCTTCAAATAAAACGAGATCAGATTGACCTTTAAATGGTGGATTACCAGTATTCATTTCATAAATTAACACCTATGACAAGAAGAATTTTATTTGATTATAAATAAAAAAAACTTCATAGCGGGCGTTCTTGCTCCTAAAGTCCACCAATCTGTTGGTTTGCCATGACCTTGAAATATGTTAATAGAGATCGTTTGTTTTTTGAAATCGAATTCGTACAGAATACCTTTATATTGAAGTATTTCTGGACTGAAATAATCAGGTGTACCACAAAGTGTAAATGTTCGTTGTTGAATCCGTTTGGAAAAACCAAAATCAGCTAGCTAAAATCCATCATATGGTTAAAAGTAGAATATGCAGTAGTTTTATCCTTGCTCTTACAAATGAAGTTTCTTAGCTGGAAAATCACTTTTATATCGAAAATATATATGACATTATGTAGATCTAAATGGGTTATCAATAGTCTGAAAAACTTTCCGCGTCTAATCTGTTACTTCAGACATATTACAATGATGTTAATAATGTATCATTGGCATAAACAAAATTCTATGCAGATATTTTCATACAAATCGCAGCTTAAAAAGTAGTAGTTTTTGTGAGAAATATTATGATGCAGTATTTTTCACAGCAATATTTCAAAGAACTTCGCCGAATAAACATGATGAAGATATTGTTAAATCAAGTTCAATATCTTATTTTGAGAAATATCCTCATCCACATCGTCTACTTTTATAATCAAATGTAAAATAGCTATGATTACCTTTAAATAACCATGATGATCGACCAAGATATTTTCCTAAATTCTTATTTTGTTTTCTCTTCATCATAATACATGTCAATCATGTACGAAACTCACAGGTTTTAAATCTCGATAAATGATATTAAAAAGATGCAAATATTCGAACACCTAAAACAAATTGTTTCATGAGCGCTGCAGATAAGACAGAAACTTTTACTTCATACAAGAACGATTTGAGCAGCAAAAAATGAAGTTACATTTTCTTGAAAAAATTTTAATCTATTTATATAGCCAAACAAATCACCACCACCAATCTGAAAAGATAATATTTCTAGACAAGAATTTTCCTAATCTTTTTCAATTACATATTCCATAAGAACATAAATATATGAATTATCTTTAAATAAAGAATGCATTATGATAATATTCGGATGTTTAATAGCATTGAGAATACGTATTTCACTTTGAACATGTTTTATTTGACTATATTTGACAATTTTTGATTTATCTAAAACTTTGAGAGCGTATTCAATTTTGTTTTGTTCAAATACAACTAATAAAACTCGGCCTATATTAAATATAATTAGAAGCTTAGAGAACTCTTGAATGTGATCATATCTCACCGAATGATCCTTGTCCGAGTGTCATAATAAGTTCGAATTTATGTAAATCAAGTTCGCGTTCGATTTTGTATGAAAATTGATAGCGTTTTTCAAAACTTTCTATCTGTTGAAGATTTTCGTGAGGATTACCATAGACGAAATTCGATGAAAGTTCACCCGGTGACATATTTTCTGGAATATCTTTGTTAAAATATGAATATGTCTGTATGTGACTTATGGTATGAGTATTCAAAATGCTATGGATTTCATCGTCAAGTTTTTGTTGCTATTAATACAAAACTGAAACTATGGAATTGAAGCTCTATGTTGTCGTTTACCGATGAAATTGATTGTAATTTAGATGATAATGCATGAATCGATGGCATTTAAAAGTTAATGATATTGACGAACTTTCTAAAGTAGAATCAATCGTTTTAGCAACATTCTTTGTTCATTTCACACAATTGCAGTTCGTTTATATTGAAAAAATAGTGTGTTTAAAGAAGAAGAATACAGAATTCACTTCTTCGCGCGTAAGATTCATAATTTCTTTTATCGTTTTTTAAAAGTCAAAACAACACATAAGCCTAAATTCTTCCTTTGAGAAGTATATATAATAAAAGTCAAATCGTGTTTCATCTTTCCATGAGGCATGAAACCGTATATTTAAAAAATGGCTATTGCGATCTGATGAAAAATTTTAATATTTACGTAGAGAAAAAAAACAAACATAGATATAGCTTTCGGATTCGATTTTAAAAGTAGCAACTATTCACGTTTTGGTACATCTTAGTTGCCGTCAGAATGATACTTAACCAAAAACGTGACTACGACTAAAAATTTTGAATACACACATTGTAATGGATATCGTTGATCGATATTTTGCGAGACACTGTACATACTTATCTTGGTGATGGTTGTTGTTTTTTCTTCCGTCCTTGTCGCATGTCTCTACATAAGTTGGTGTTATAAATAAATCGAGATCAACACATTTATTTTGTAATCGTAGATTTCGAAAGAAAATCTTCTGGCAATATTTTCATGGTTCTTTTTTTGTATGATCATTTCATTCGTCAAAAGCATCGATTTCTTTATCATTTATAAAGAACTCTTCAAAACAAATAATTTTCAATCACCAGAGATAATCATAAATAATTGATCAAAGAAAAACAACACAAGTCGTTTTCTTCAGTCGCCGGAAGAATTTTACTCATTCGCTTTGAAATATCGTGGCATCATCGGTTTCCTCGTAAACAGCCATATAAGTTAGCGACATCACTTTCAATTAACTATAATGGGTTTATCGATCAAACCAATAGAATTCATCGAAAAACTAACCGATTTCAAGTGAAAAGATCAACAAGTAAAGCCTAGGAAAAAATTTGTAAAAAATCCAAACTACTTGTTTCACCTTTCAATAAATGTATACGAAATAACTCAGTAGAAAAACAAATTTTGAAAGGTAAAATGAAAAATTTTACACAAACGCCGTCGAAAAAATAGATTTCATATTTCAGTTACTGTATCTAATTCAATCATTTTTAGATATTTTCCGTTACACGTTCGTACAATGAACATAGGATCATCATCATCTTTAAATCCTTCTCCTGGTTCAATTACTTCATCTAATGTCGGTAATAATGGCCCATCATTCGCCGTAATCGGTAATCAAACATCTAATAATTCGAGTACAAACTCCAATCAGCCAGCATCAAATGCTAGTAATGCACCTGTATCACGTGAGCGTATCGCCAGTTGGATAACTGAATTACTTTCGTCAACGACACGAGAAGCAGCATTAATGGAATTAAGTCGTAAACGAGAAAAAGTTTCTGATCTAGCTGTTTTACTTTGGCATTCATTTGGATCTGTTGCTGTATTGCTATATGAAGTGATGTATGTCATTATTTTTATTATCTATCGTATTTTTTATTTTCTTCTTCTCCTATGATTTAGTTCAGTTTATCCATACATTAATCCACCGACATTAACTGCTCAACAGTCCAATCGCGTTTGCAATGCATTGGCTTTGTTACAATGTATTGCATCACATCCAGAAACACGTACGCTTTTCATTCAAGCAAATGTTCCACTATTTCTTTATCCATTCTTAAATACAAAATCATCAACAAGACCATTTGAATATCTTCGTTTAACATCCTTAGGCGTTATTGGTGCACTTGTTAAAACCGATGAAACAGAAGTTATCAATTTCCTATTAACAACAGAAATCATTCCATTATCATTGCGTATAATGCAATCAGGCAGTGAATTATCGAAAACTGTTGCAACATTTATTTTACAAAAAATTCTTGCCGATGATTCGGGATTAAGTTATATGTGTGAAACATTTGATCGTTTTTCACATGTTGCAATGGTTCTTGGACGAATGGTTCTTCAGCAGGTTTGAACATCCTGTGTTTCTTAAACGATATAATTTAGTTATTTGTTTTCGATAGCAACGAGAAGCAAGTGGTCGTTTATTGAAACATATTATTCGATGTTATTTGCGTTTATCGGATAATACTCGTGCTCGTGAAGCTCTTCGATCATGCCTTCCGGATTGTCTCAAAGATCATACATTCGTAATTGATTTTTAAGAGAAAAACATTTCGAAATGCTTTTTATTATTATAGGATGCCGTACTTACAGACGATTCGTCGACTAAAAAATGGTTATCCCAATTATTACTTAATCTTGAAACACCTGCGACAGCAGCTACAACTAATGCACAACAGCAATCATCCAATTCTGCTGTTCAACAACATAATCAAACTTCATCAACATCGGACATGGGATAAGAAAAGATACTGTTTTCTTTGACATAGCTAGTCATTTAACTGCTACATTTAAACTATAATGATTATTTTTTCTAAACAAAATCCCAGCCTACATGTACATATTATGCAATTTTTAGAATTAATATACTCCATAAGCACTTTGCCTTGTGTTTCCATTTGCTCTACGCTGGTTTTGTTTTATGAAACGACGAAATCAGCGATTTTTATCTTGTTCATAAAATATTTGAATGCTCCATGAAAATAGCTTTTTTTTCGAAAACAAAAGGACGATCATAACAAGTGATTAAAAATTCATTTTTTCTTTTGTCTAGATTTTGTTCGTTATTCACGAAATGCTTTACAGAATATTTTATTTTTCTCTTTTATCCATTTGTATTGAAGAACGCTTGTTTAGTTTGTCGGTATATATATATATATATATATATATATATAGTATATTTAAGATCATAATTTCGCCACGAGAAACAAATGAATAAACAGAATTTTGTTTGCATTAACTTTTCTTGTCTTCGTAAAATTTATTTATTAAAATTCTTAACAAACGCGTGCAATTTGCATCCGGATATAATAAGCAATGTAATGTTTGCATATGAAACACATCATTTTTTACTAGAGGTACAAATCTAGGCACGTTATTACCTTTAAAACCGAGTGTAATAGCTTGATCAATATTCGATGGACTTGTTAAATTAGTAAATAAATTTCGTTCAATATGATGATGAAAATCATTTGCAACAGTTAAGTTAATATTATAATTTACTCGAAGTATATAAGCTATATGTGTATCATCAGGATAATTTGATGATATACATCCTTCCATAAAGTTATTATTCGGTTGAACATCATTACGAATCATTTTTAAAAGCGCCCGAGAAAAACAAACACCACCGCCATATGTTGCAAACCAAAAATCTATACCATGACCACGCTTTGGTTCTTGCATACTTGGTTTACCAATATATAATGGTTGTGTATCAGGAGAAAATTGTTTTAAATAGTGAATAAGTAATGGTACATTTACATATTGATCATCATCAAAGCGACATAACCATCGATATTTATGTTTATTTTCGAAATAAATCTGAAATTCTGATGCACTGTGACAACATAAATCACGAATGGAATGCGCCTGTTTACATGTAGTTGAATGCACATGATCATGATATTGTTTAGAAAGAAACTGATGAACATATTTTGCATCGCCGTTTGTAGTTATATGAGTTGTATCGGGAGAAAATTGAAACCATGTTTTGAGAATGACTGGCATACGGGATCTTTGAGTATATTTAGAAGTACGTATAACAAGAAGAACATCATGAATAGGTAACGTCGTAGGAATATGATCGAAATTTGGCGTTTTTACTTTGAAATATGAATAAATGTCGCTATTGGTGTTATTATTATTGATTGACTGTAATGCATAACTGATGAGACTCAATATCATTAAATAAATTAGAATCCAAACAGAGATCATAAGCAGCCATAGAAAAAAGTATTTACGAAAGATAACTGAGAATCCACGCATTAACCGATTGTACATATGGTTAGAATGCCAAATTGTACTTTAGCATTGGATAGAACGAGAGTGAAAAAAAAGAAAGAACAACAGAACAGACTTCTTTTTCTTTTCTCGTTCGAATGCCACACATGCACAAGATGAAAAAGAAATGTATGACTGTATTCGCTTCTGATTATGCATGGGAAGAAAATGAGTACTTTTCTCGTGTTCGCATATGTATATAAATATATGTGTGACCTGCGCCCGATTTACAGTCGAGCAAACGAAAGCAATTTTATGGGGGGCGCAACGTGCTGACGAACGATGCATTATCAACATAGGAATCGATTCAGACAAGTGGTGACAATTATCGATGAATAGATGTTCACATGATTATAAATCGTTTTAAAACATAAAGAAAATCGTCGATTTTTGTTTTGCGTGTTATGTACATGTAGATTTCTTTTGCATTATATGTGAAATTTAAGAACTTTTTCAAGTGCAAATTTGTTTCGAAACTTATAAAAAATATGAAACTATCGAATTCGCAACGAGTTTCCTATTTCGATAATTTGTTAGATTAGTTCAAGATGAATGAGAAATCTTCAAAAAAAACCAGTCTTTGCATCAAAATTCCTTTAGTTCGAATGAAGTTAATATTTATTAAAAGTATTTCTAGTCGTCGTAAACGGCATTATTTTCATTCAAGTAGAAGAGATAAGAAAATAGCTCAGCTTCTGCTATAGTAACAAAAGCTTCATAAAATACAACTGTATGAGAAGCTCAATTGTGTTAAAATTTTGAATTTTCATTAGTCACTTCGCTGTATCTATATAGTTTTAGTAGTGAAAATACAATTCGAATATAAAATATATTTTAGTAAGCATTGCAATGGTTTACAGTGATTAGGAAACGTTTGATGATGATGATTTTTTAGATTTTTCGTCGATTGTTTAAATATCTTCTATATTTGCAGCATAAGAAACCATCATCTTGTTAGTCCACGTCTACTAGTTTCCTTTGTCACATATATTGATAAGAATCAGAAACTGAAACAGACAGTTGAATCAATATAAAATTTCGGTTTGACAATAAATTCTATGAAAGTCGCTTGTACGAAAGTATTGAAGTAGAGATACGATAGAAAGCAGTCACCGCCTGAAAGTTACGATTGAGACTTTATCAAGACGGAAGAAACTCTTTCCGAGTCATTCGAATGGCTAGAAATGCCGAAATGAGTTTTTCCCCCTTTCTATTACGGGATCCACACAAAGCATCTAAACAATATAGCCTCACTACGAGGTCAACAAATATCACAAAACTGACTGATGATCGCATATTTATATATACGTTCAGATTTGTTTCGTTCTTCAAACAATGAGGAACAACAGAATTTATCGCTAAAATATGACCTGAATGAATATTTCATACTGATCGAAAAACATCATGTTGGAAAGCTATTTTTTGAATTATTTATCGATTTTTCACTTCGTCTTTCTGTGCTACTTATCTTAATATTTTAAGTCAGTTTTTCGTGCTAATAAAAAGTACATAATCTCATCAGTTGTTTGATCAAAAACTGAGTAAAACATTTGCAAACTGGACGATGAAGCCCCAGTTCAGTTAGCAATTGTTATTTGTAATATGAATGCAAGAAAACCAATCATCTTAACTCTTCTTGACGTAAAATATCTTGGTATACTGAACTTTTTTTTGAAGCAATTGAACAAGAGAAAACATCAAATGCTAGTAAGAATCACGAAAAACTAAAATTTTAGATTTGTAAACTATAGTTTTCAGTGTCTATAGAGGTTGAAATAAAAACTCACAACAATCGTAATGATGTTTGATCATATGCTTGAACTAAAATCTATCACCTTCATTTATACTATGACTTAGTGAGAGTGCTTACTTTGACCTGGAACCATGCAGTATATCAGCTGATTCAAAATTTTCAACCCCGTACTCGTTCAATAAAAACTGCATCATTAGAAACTTCATATAAAACTAATCAACGAGAACTAACCTTCTCGAAAGCATACTCGCACTTCACGAACGGAAACTTTTAAAAATAGATTTCCCAGCAGAAATAGCACGGATCTTTCTCTTTTCTGTCTTTCTCTTTTTGCTTCGAACAAAGATGAACACATAAGAGCTTACAGCTACATAAATCATGCGTGTGTAGCCGACGGGCAAGACAAAAAGAGAGTTTTACTGTTTTGTTTGTTATGATAACAATGGCAATATTTACGTATGACTTCAGTTTAATTTAAAAGAAAATTGGAAATAAAAATACGAGAGCTATAGAGAATCCTACTAAATTAATATTGTAAAACAAATATCTACTTAAAAAAAAGAATATTTGAAGACTTATTTATTATTCAAAAGTATACGTTGAACTTCTTTTTCTTACTTCAATTTCAATGGATGATCAATAAACATTTATTTTTAAATAGCTTATAATAATTAGAGACTATTTTCTCGTGTGAGCACCATTACTGTCATTGATCGATAGAAGTTTATAGAGAAGAAGAACGATGAGTCTCATTTAACAGTCATAATAAACTATGTAATAATATTCGAAAATATTGTTAGCACACGAACTAAAAGGAAATTTTGTTTTTCTTGATCAAGAAAAAAGTTGATTCTTTTCTAAAACCTTTTCAGATTCAACTTTTGCACGGACACGATGGGTTTCTATTATCCTATATTCTTTTCGAAAGCATGATATAAAAAATAAATGTGTGGTTTTATTGGTCTCGTTAATTTCTTACTGTCGTGGAAAAAGCAGGCATCTTCTAATATTGATGTGGTAGGGAAATATGATTTTAATTTAAGATTGAAGTTCTGAGAAGATATTTCGAGTAATCTAGCAACTAGTTTGAGCCAATATTTTATTTAAATACGATACTTTCAAAATGATTTTGCTTGATTGCACGATTTTAGATTGATGTCTACTGAAGAGGATCGGATACTTAGTCATCGTATGAAAACCTGTATAAATTAAGTGATATTTGCATACAGTTGACTGATTCGGCTTGATTACGCATTCAAAATATTTTACTAGTCGAGAAATTATATTCATTAAGATAAACTAGAAATTTTATTCATTAAGATAAACTAGAAATTTTATTCAATTTTGTTAAAAAAAAAAACACACAAAAAAAATGAACTTGTTCATAGCTATGCTTTAGCCTCTGTCTTAGCTCCCAACAAATCCCGAATTTCCATTAATACTTTAATTTCTTCGCTCGGTTCCGGCACCGGAGTATATTCTTGTGCTTTTTGTTTTTCCCTGCTTTCACGCAACCGTTTCACTAGTAAAATTATACAGAATAGCCCAAACGCTACGACCAATAAATAAATAAAATGCTGAATAAATGCACCATAACGAAGTACAACAGGTGGGTTTTTTGGATAAGCAAAATTATGCATTTTTATTGTTAAATTAGTAAACGCCACACCACCGAGTAAAAGACCGAATGGAGGTAACAGTAAATCATTAACAAACGATTGAACAAGATCGCCGAAAGCTTTACCAATAACAAGACCAACCGCTAAATCCATGACATTGCCCTGTATGGCAAAACTATTGAGATAAAATTATGATTAAATGAAAGCTTAACTAAAATATAGTAAACGAACTCTCTAAAGTCTTTGCAAAATTTTCCACATCCACTGCAACAGCCTCCCATTTTGATTCTAAAAAAAGAATCATAATTAGATTAATAAAGTACTAGAGTAATTGTATGATATCGTCTCGATGAAACGTTTTGTTTAAGCATTGAAGAATTTTAATATTATTCCTATACTATCGCTAACAAAATAATCTCTCACTGAAAGTCGGTAACAATATTTATCTTTACAATTTTCAATAGCCAAGTCTTTATTATACATACCCGTATGATAATATTAAAAAATGAAGTAAATAATATGTACAATAAATACCTTTTATAGTGTTAGTAGTAACCTTTATTCTGGCTGAGTGAATAAGAAACTTTTATTTTTTTATTCTCTTTATCCTACATACGATGCAAGAATATATAGGTGATTGGATAAAATCTCATTAAGCAAAAACGATAAAATGGAAGATAAAACAATAGAGATGCAACAGCAATCATATTTTTTCTCGGCGTTGGCCTACACAAAAGAAAACCTTATTAATAAAAATAAGCGTTTTATACGCAAGATGGATATTGTATCTATTCAATCTGTTCTATAACAAGAAATATATTCATTATTGAGAGAGATTCGAGCTAGGTTTGTAAAAGGTGTAAAACTCAATATATTTTTCTACAAAAAAAGTTATCTACTTAAAGAATATAGAGTACTCTGTAGACATCGTACAGTGAATGTAACATTTGGGGTATATGATGAAAATACACAGAGAATATATTTCTTCTTATTATTTGATGAATGATATCTACGTTGATGAATCAGCTATTGGTAAAAAATAATCTTTTCTTGTCATCGAAGTAAACAATAATCGATCAAATCTATTGCAACTCATTCAATATATATATTTTTAAATTAATTCCCATCATTATGGGTTGGCTGCATTCTAATATGATAGGCGCAAGGGAAACGTGTCATACTTCGTCTTTCCTAATCAATTCTACCAAGCAAAAAAAAAGTGTAAATGGTGAAGCTATACGTATAGCTGGTGTTGGCAATCAAATGATGCATAACATTTTAAACCAATACAAAAACTATGTTGTGATCAAACTAATCATTGGACTCACTACGATTATAATTATCAAGGATATGTTGATTTTGCAGTATGTAGCAGAATCTGTCGTTGCTTGTTAGAATTTATTCAATGCCTATATGATCGTTTTCTCTGAAGTGTCACAATTACGAATGACGAAAACTTTGAATAGAAAAATTTCTCCAAAACAAAACACTAAAGACAACGTATATAAATAAACTTGATGCAATGTAAAACATTATTCGTTTAATTAGAGATATAATTTATTGCTTGTGTTTGATCAAAGCAGTTTCAATCATTTATAAAAATATTATTTACATTGGATAATTGTTTTTTTAGTTGTTCTTTCTGTGTATCTATATCGATACTTAGGATTATTCTTGATGATGAAAATCAGTGCTGTTTTATTCGTGAAATATTTCTGTTTTCTTTTGTGCAAAAGTTATAACGAGAAATACGAATGAGATACCAATAGCAACTGTATTCTTGATGTCTGTATAGAAGAAAATTTGCTATATCCTACCCCTGATACACACCTGAGTGTTATTTATCAGATAGAAGTGATTGAAGGTGGCAAGTATAGCACTTGAGTGTGTCGATCATAACAGAATAGCTCTGTCGCATATACAGATAACCTTTAAAGATTCAAGCAGAATAGGACGTATGAGTCAATATAGATAGTATCTTTGATTATTTTGCTTGCTGAAGCGAAAAGATGGCTCAAAATTTCTTAACATGAAAGAGAACAATTTTCTATATCAATCTGTATTGAAAACAACACGATTCAAGACGTGTTAAGGTCTTTTCTTTTATTCTTTCATTGCATTCATGAGCGAAATCTAAATGATTAAATTTTTGATAAAGAAATCATGAGAATATCGTAGTTCTTCCGAAAAAAAAATCCTCATTGGTTAATAAAAATATTAATAGAGAAATTATATGAAATACAGTTCTTGAATATTCGAAAGAACAATTTCTTTTAATTGATGCAAGTTATGTGTGATAAATAATCGAAGGATTTAAATAGAAATCATTGTATGAGAAATATACAAGGGGGAAACAGCAGACTCCATCTGACTCCAAGAAGATGGAGTCTCTCATTTCCCTCTTGACAGTATGACTCAGTACTCGGAAGTTGAATTCCCATTACAGAATAAACAGTTCAGCTTTGGGAATTCTACTTCCGGGTACTGAGTAATATTGTTCTGTTATAGGAAGTTTTTTTGGACAATTTCCGGCAAAGAAGGAGACTAATAACTTTTATACAATGATACCTATGACAGAAAAAAGTAAAAACATATCAGTTTTCCATTTCCATAATGGTTTTCTCGAGATCCACAAGGATTTTGCGATACTTACTGTGACTCCAAGAGACTCTGTGTGACTCCTCGTGTTTAGGTATGACTCTCTGGGATCCTAAGTGATTCTATGCAACCAGCTGGCTCCATGTGACTCCGTTTGACTCCACCTGAGTCCGAGGAGTTGGAGTCTGCTGTTTCCCCCTTGGAAATATATCAGTCGAACTTGATTGCTTTTTTTGCTGTTGATCTAGCAAAGTAATACTGACATGATTAACGTTGACGTTGAAAATATTGTCCCAAATATTGCCTTTTTATTGAGAGCAAACTTCAATTATTTGTTTTTCATGACTTTACAAAAAAAGAGCAAGGTCCCAACTTTGAATAAGACCGAAGCACTTGAATTCAATCAAAGTTTTCATCAGACCACATTCTTAGATTATCATACGAATAATTATATTGATTTCTTCAGCTCGACTTATTCAGTATTTTTATTATTCTATTATCAATATACATATATTCTTTAGTATATCATATACTACTCATTTTAAGCCAATATAAAATTTTAATCTTAAGGATTATTCGGGCTATAGAACCAGTTGAACATCTTCATGCTACAGTTTATTCTTCTGAAGATGTTACCATTCAAATCATCACCATTAGATCTAAGAAAAAAACGGACATAGTTTTACTTAATAGCGCATAAAATAATTGATTTATTATGTTTAAATGAAACTGCTAATCAGATAGTTGTCCTTCCGTCATCGATCAGAAAGGACTGACTGGCTTACAATATTGTATTAAGTTTGTTGTTGACTATTCAATACCATAAATATTACTACAAGTAGAAACAAAGCAAATGGAACCTTATGATACCGAATACATACCATCAAGAAACATATTCGTAGGCACAATATTATGACCATCTATCATCGTTAAAACTACTAATATTGATGCTCCTATATATATATGCGGTCACATGATAGAAATTTTGGTGTGTATAACTTTTTGCGACAATGACTACCATCGCAGATCCCGAAAATCATTTTACTATAAGAAGACAAAGAAGCAAAAGAAACACGATTAAAACTGAACTTTTCGTATTGGAAATGTGACTAACTGGAACTTGATGCAGAGCAAGTTGAACTTATATTTTGTAATTGTACGAAGTTTTTGGATACAAATGCCAGTTTACCATGTATTTTCTTGTTTGCACTCTACATAGAAGAATTCGATTCAATAAATCCCATCGAAAACTTTGTGATTGAGCCGACTCTTTAATATGAAATTAATAAATAGCACATAAATCAGCTGTGTACGCCTTGCAAAAAGATCGAAGTCACTCGTTAGTAAGATACACGGGAAGAATCTAGATGTAACCGGCTCGCACAGGTATATAGAATTCGACATGCGCTGCACGCTCTTCTGTATTTACTATCAATGTCTAAGAAATACAGTTAAATTCTCCTTTGCTTTTGAGGCAAGATTCAATAAAAAACAAAAATGACTTTTCTGTGGAGTGCTTCCACAAGCAATTTTTGTACCCATATAGAGAAAAACGACGTTTTACCACTCTTAGAATCATGAACGGCGATCTTGCGTAAAATTGATCCAGTTTTTGTGGCATCGATAAATTTTCGACAGTCAACTGAACAACATACTTTTATTTCTAGTGAGTAGAAGAAGGGTGAGCTTCGTTAAGAACCTGTTCAAAGAAAAAGTGAGCCAACTCGTTAACAGGGATTAGAAATAGTTGTTAAGGAAACAGAACAAGAAAGTCGACAATGATAGCAAAATTACGACCCATATCATAAACTAACAAAAAAGGTATGATCATAATAGCTGCCGATTGATCATCTTTGAACTTTCTAGGATCGTTTAAAACGATTTTTATTTTAAGTTTGGTTTTGGTGTACAGACATATCATACTGCACTTGCATTGAGTCTTCTAGAGTATTAGTTTTAGCATCAATGCAGTTCCGCAGAAGGTGAACTATAATATCAATTATCCTTGTTGAAATCTGTTGTTTAAATAATTCTTTTTATCTCGTTATGTCGTTTCACCTGAGTGAAGTACAGTTAAAAAAATATCACCAATTTATCACTATTTTCACATCACTAGTGCAAACTTCGCACAGTTATCTTCGCTAAAACTATTCTTAAAAGTTTATTCAAGATTTTAGTTTATTAAAATACAAATGATCTATTATTTATTGAAATTTTTTCCTATAAGTATAATTGTCAGTATTTTTTCATCTCGACAGTTAACTATTCATTTCTTTTTCTAATTTTGAAAAGCTAAATCGTTGTTGAAACTATTTTCGAACCCTCATCTGTGAAAAGGGCTTCATGTTAAACATATAAATGAATTAAAATTGCTAATATCGCTATACTAACAGCTAATTTATGAAAATCATTCGAATATATGAAATGATGTCTACAGTTCTTTAAATTCATTCTGCATGATAGGCGGCTTCGTAACAATTATATGTGGAAAATAAAACAATTTTTAGAATATATACTGCGAGTATTTGACAATGAAGAAATAATTCTCAGTGATGATCGCTTAACCACCTTATTTAAGTATCAATTGTTCTTAATCTACTATGAAACATTTCAATAGGGTTTCTGCTAACGAAACACGAATGAAAACATGATTCAATACAATATTCGATTCACTTCAAGAAACTAACGGGTGTTCCACAAAGAATGACCACCTTTTGTCTTCGGCCTTTGAGGCATTTGATAATCGTCTTAAGATCTGATTCTACGCTTGTTGGATAGAGAATTCGTTTCTCTACAAAAATATCCACTTCGTTCTTCAAAGAAGCTTTTCTTGTCAGTGTAAGATTTAAAAAATCAACACCTACTAAATCATCCAACTGCGCGATCAAAGAAACAAAGAAAACGATGGAATTTTTAAAACAGTGGTTCTGTTGCAAAATCAAATATGCTACGATATTCTACATAAAATTTTGCATCTTATGATGCCATTCTGAGGATTTTAGAATAAATATTTGAGTGAACGCTTTTTTTGAAATAGAAAATGTGAAAACACGGAAAAAACCCTTTCCTGGTGACTCATGTAATTGTTCTATTTTAATTTTAGCCAGCCCAAAATGTTTCAGCTGTTCAAACTAACACTTACACCATTTTTTCAGAATTAAATTTTGCAGTCAACGGTGTGAGAATCACCATTTCACAGGAGAAGCTTCGATTTGGAAAACCTTATTTTTTATGCTGCCCCTAAAAATACTACCAAGGGTTAGTTCGAAGCCCTTTTCTACTCAGCGACAGTATCAAGAATCTTGGAAAGGTCGAGTAAGCATAAAACACAGAATTCTCCATCTTTTGAAGTCAAATATTTAACTTTTAACATTGGCCTAGATTAGCAGAGACTTATACAAATCACTTAATGTGTGAAGAAAATTTCACCGCACAGTTGGATAGTTTAGTAGGTGTTGATCTTTTAAATCTTACACTGGCAAGAAAAACTTCTTTGAAAAACGAAGCGGATAGTTTTGTAGAGACACGAATTCTCTATCCAACAAGCTTAGAATCAGATCTTAAGACGATTGTCAAGTACCTCACAGACAGAAAACAAAAGGTGGCCATTCTTTATGGAACACCCGTTAACAAAATATATTAATGAACAATTCGGAATATTGACTCACTTTTCTTTGAGTAATGTTTATACAAGAACAAGTTCTCAACATTCTAAATACAATTGATTTTAGTTATTCTCAATCGGTTGGATCACTACAATTCCTTGAACTATGAGTCTCTTACTTTGCCGCTCTTAAATATCAATTTCGTAAGAACCGCTCCTATTTTCTCGTTTACTGCAAAGCTAAGATAATACGATTGATAATTACCAGCAAATATATATTTAGTCAGCCGTAATTTTACGCAGCCGATTCATTTATACTTGATTAATCATTCACTATCGCTTACTGGTAAAGAAGTTATATACATTTAAATAAACAAGAAATTTTATTCATTTTCTAAAAAAAAACAAATGAACTGGTTTATAGATCATGTTTTAGGATCCAGTTTTGTTCCTAGTAAATCCCGTATTTCAGTTAACAATTTGATTTGTTCACTTAGCTCTGGCACCAGATCATATCCATCATCATTTTCCTTCTTGCGACCTTCGCGCAATCGCGCAACTAACGCAATTATGCAAAATACTGCAAACGAGATGATCAATAAGTAGACTAAACTTTGAATAAATTCACCATAACGAATAACAACTGGCGGATTATCTGGATAAGCAAAATTCCGCATTTTAATTGTTAAATTAAAAAATTCAACGCCACCAAAAAGAAACCCAAATGGCGGTAAAAGAATATCGTTGACCAATGATTTAATAACAGTGCTGAAAGCTCTACCAATAACGAAACCAACAGCTAAATCAACCACTCTGCCTTCGAAGACGAAACTATTCACATAAAGTTATAATAGAAGAGAAGTGAAAATTAAAACAAATTCTTTACATACGCGCGAAAGTCTTTGCAAAAGAGTCGAGCAGAACCGCAACAACCTCCCATTTTAATCTAAAATAATATATATACACATTGCATTATCCTTAAGTAACAAATTGGTTACAACTAGTAACTCTATCCGTAGTTGGAAATCTTATCACTGCGTTCAATTTATATTTATTAAAATAATAAACTTCTACGAATACTTAAATCTGATGTTATTTCGTGTTTCATACTTGTTACCAATGCTGAAATAGGTGAAAACAAATATTTTTGAAAATCAAAGCATTCGAAATGTTCTCAAAGCTTAGCTTTGATAATTTTAAACTAACAAACTGTTCTGATGAGATTAAAAGTATCAAAATGTATTGTGAAGAACATTTCGAGTTTATTTTATTTCTAAAACAAATTCCAAATGAAATATCATCATATTGATCCAGTCTAACAGATTATTTTACGAAATGTTGAACGAGAAATCTGCCTTTCAAAAAATATGATCTACGAGAAGACGCATAACTCTGGTTCATACCTCGATGAAAATAAATAGTTGAGAAAAGAATACCAACCAATACTATCTTTCGAGCGTGAAAAGAAACAATCTTTCTGCCTCAGTGAATAAAAAAAGATGCTTCGCTTTATAATATCAGTATCTCCCATACAGTGTACGGGTAGGTGAGTGATTATGCTCTGGGTAACGATTCAAAAAACGATTACATTTCTGATCAAATCAAATGGATAAGAGAACACAGATTTGTTTCATGTTGGGTTAGAGAAAAGAAAACCTTAATAATAGATAAATATCTTACAGAAAGAAAGAGCCCCTAATCTTTCTATCTGCTTTACGACAACAAGTATATTTTTTGTTAGATGCGGCTCAATGATTTTTTGAAATAAGTATAAAATTTAATTCATTTTTCTAAACACAACTACCATACGATTAAAGAGTAGGAGCCGAATCCACCGGTATCTTACAGTGAGTATTCCAATAAAAACATTCTCAGTCGTTGCTCAGATCTATTACTGATTGTTTGAAATAGAAATCTCGACGAGGAGTGTGTAAATAATGGAGCACTTGATCATTATTTTTTGTTTAAGTCAATCATCTGCTAATGAAGACAAATGATTGTTTTAACCTGGAGAAACAATACTCAACCGAAGTAGTTGTCAACAATATAACAGTATGATTATGAATATCGTCAATCATCGCATAAAGGTTTTACAATATAACGAAGAAAGAAAAGAAAACAAATTATGTCTTCTTTCTCTTCTCGTGATACATCATTGTAGTGAAAAAAAAGAACAAATTGGCGAGGTAAAATGTACAGTTGTCATTTGCAATTAAATGATGCATGACATTGAAGATGAATACAATTGCTAGTGTGTAATTAAACTATTCAATACAATAAATATACGGTTCATAAAGAAGTTTTTATCTCTTTTTGAAACATTACGATGTTAGAAATAATAATCCTTGTTTTTGTATTTGCCGTTTCATTGTCACAGAACAAACATATGAATGATTCAATTTAAAATAAAAAATCTTGTGGCATTTATGTAAGGGCTGTTCTTGAAAATTTGTGGACATAATTGAAGAATTTGAAAGTAAATCATTTTTGTAGAAACTAATCAATCAAAGTGACTCGAATATTTTAATTTATTAAAGCAATGTGAACATCGTTATGGGGGATGTTTAAAACGAGAGAACATATTGATAGATTTCTTAGATAAACTTTCTATAGTGAAGGTTTTTTTTTTAAAATTATGCAATAGGAATACATAAAGAAACACACATCTGTACAAAGATTATCGAATTGTAGTAAATAGTTAAATGCAGCAATCATCTTTTTTTTAATGATCTTTGTCAACTAATTGTGAGTATTCATCGTGCTCTAGACTATGCTTTATTTTCAATGAAGTGTCGATGGTAAATAAAACTTCGAAACGCTTCAATTTGATTGTTGATTGTTCTTAAAATAATCCGAAGAAGAATTAAATCGATTCCATAAGTTTGTCTTAATTTTAAATCAAATTGAAACTACATAATAAACATTTCAAAAATCCATCCAATTCTCATGTATACATTATTGCTAGTCGTTCGAACTTTCGTTTTCAAAGTGGTTTGTCATTTTGAATGTTTTACTTAGTCAGCAATAGTTTGATTCAGAGTATAGCTACTAACATTCACTTTTTGCGTCGAGATAATTCACTAGTCACAAGGCGACGGTGACTTTTCGCTAGTGTGTACCCATTCTTTCATTGTATGTCCGCAGAGTATATTTTGTTGGAAAGTGAATTGATACAGGCTAATATCTTCTATACAACTGAACGTTTACTGGTAATATAACGTATGCAAACTAATTATGTTTTCACCGAATCTGAATATTTAAATTTTAAAATCAACGTGTGACGAGTGCTATTTCAATTCGATCAATAACTTGTACTGCATAATCTTAACAGTTAAAATAATCATCATAATGAACTATATTTATCCTTCGTAGTTGCATTTTAATTGTTAGCCACTATGGATTACCACACCCAACATTAACCTGAGTACGGCTGATATTATTATTACATCTGCTTCTACTATAGTAACAATACAATAACATCAGTAGCTACTACTACTACTGACAACAATTATTACTTTATTTTTTTCTGCATTGTTTCAGCTGTATGATAACAAAAGAAAAATAATCAAAATATGTGAGATCGATGAGAATAAAATTTAAAAAAAAACTTTAATGACCAATGTAAATAACTAGCTGTTGTAGTAACTGTTGTATCAACATTTTCTATGTAGGCGATTCAGAAGTCGATGTGTCAAACTAAAGCTTCCATACCAAGTGTATGATTGATTTTCACTTGAAAATAAATTAGGATAAGCTTCGTTAAGATTATTTTGATCAACAACATCTTAATTGATACATCGGCGTAGTACACTAGAGAATATCAGTATTTATGCTGAAGAAGAAAAATGGAATTGATGATGGATATCAGATTGTATTGTATTTACTAGCTAGGATTCGATTTCCAGTGAAACTTGTACGTATCAATTTTGTTATTACTAATTTTGGGCAAATATTTATTGAGCGCCTTATTGTGGAGAATGATGAGATTTTAATCTATTTGTGGATCAAGAAGAAACTTTTATTGATATAGATGACATTTCACTTTATTCATACTTTTATGAAAATTTATTATTTAATCCTACAGCATTGTCGTCTTCGAACAGAAATTTGTCTCGTTCTGCGTTAATGTAAGGTGAGATTCGATAAATATTTAATGAAGCAATCAGCGTTCTAGAGTATGACTATACGGAAAATAACTAGAATGCAAATAAAATATAAGAGTAACATGTATATTAAAAGTGTACATACGAAATTAATTAGAACATATCGATCATTGATCAATTTATCGATGAAAATCAATTATTCATTATTGTCTCTGTATTCAGAGACTGTCACAGGGCGTGATTACAAATTGAACTGAAATATTGAAAAAGGTAAAGATTAAATGAAAATCTTGTGACCGCTGAAAAGTAAAGTACTCATATTTTATTTATCTATATTCGAGAAAATATAGATATGCGCTTAAAACATAATTAAATATGAGTAGCAAACAGCAATTAAGATTATCACAAAAATCAGTTCAGTGCAAAAATAATGCGCTTATCGTGATCTAGCGAATTGAATATGTATATAATTTGAATAAGTGAGAAATCGAGTAAATCTTTCACATTTCTTCTCATCAACTCATCGTGCTGGATAAATAAAGACTCTTCAAAATGTACTAGTAGCAAGAGATTCATTGTGTATTATGGGGTGGTAAGATTTATCATGAAACAAAAGATTTTCTAATTTTGTAGAACCGGGCGAGTTCATATCAAGTGAAAATAATTTAAAACATAGAGAACTAAGCATACAAAACTAAAACATGCGAAGAAATTTACCATTAGAACATGTTGAATCTTTGAGCGAAATTTCCTCTGGAACACTAAGCTCATGTCTGAAATCATTTAGAAAAAAAGCTCATCATACACATAATTCTTAATTTAGCTCGTTCTCTTATACAACATTAAATGACTCTACCATGTTTTGCATTTCTCTTTGAAGCAGTATTTTATTTTTATAATTGAATTATATGATAATAAATGAGTAAACTGGTATTGTCCGAACTAGACATAGCAACAAATTTCACAGTGACTGGCGCATAATGACATACATTATAATCCATCACCATGTCAGCATAATCGACTGAAAAATCTGTTGTATATCAGTTTATAGGAAAAATCATCAGGGCGCAGGGCAGGACTGTCCTGTGACGATCTCTGCTCTGTATATAAGGATTCTTTGTTGTGAATCCAAATATACGACTATGCATGAATGTCAGCACTATCAGTTATATGTGTAAATGACGTAAAACTGTACTCTTGTCAAATTTTCCTCTGAAGCTAAATCGTAATTTTAGTTAAATTATATTTTCATTATCTTTTCTGAATTTCTGCAAAGAAACTTTTAAAATCATCCTCACTGCATTCGACCGAGTTAACGTCACTCACATATGGTAGAACAGTTTTAATGGATACCATTGCTTTGAAAACCGTCATAATATCTAAAACATCAATGGTTAAGGTGTTTAAGTAACGATTCGTATTGAACGTAAATTCTGTTTTGATAAAAGAATCTCCATGAGCACTTTCATTTGCACATAATTTACACGAACGCTTTCCAATGTGGCTAAATAGTAAAGATTGTTTAGTTGAAAAGTTTGTGTCGGTTTAAATGGACATAGATCGTTTTAAATAAACGACAAAAGCTTTTTCTAGAGTGATGCACATACAATTACTATAATTTTCGCGAAAACTTAAAAATACTGTATTCAATAACATTAGTAAAGGACGTTATTTCTATTTAAGATTTTCTATAATCTTTTGGATCCTTATTCACGGACTTAGTTGACTCATATCCATATCAGAGTTGTGTGCATTGTATTGAAGAATATGCCAAACAAATTTAAAGGATTACAACACTTTCAGAATAGTGGAGAAATGATATAGAATGTCATCGATCTCGAAAAATATTTTAGAGATATTTCTTGTACTAAACAATAATACGTTAAATTGCTTTCTTGTTTATTTGATAAGTATCAATCTTAGATCAGAGTAGTTATTTTTCTAAGAAATAAAAATAACTGTTCCAGTACGACTATTCCAATTCGTACATTAGTATTTAAAGTTTTCCAATACATTTCTATAAAAAGAATGTAAACCTTTGCTTTTTTAAATTCATAGTTGAATCAGAAAACAATAGATATTTTATGAATCAGTCAATGATGCCATGTTTACCGTTGTGTAATAAAGCTTACTTTCAACAAACGCTGCCGCAGATGGCTATCGATATGCAGTAAATATTTAATCAAGCCGACTATCTCGAAAACAATATGAACTTCGCCTATAAATATAAAGATATATGCGAAGCAACCACGCCTATTTCACAATTGTAATTCATTTGGCAATTATGTTCTGCTATTTCGTTACATTTGTTCTGATTTTCTACTTGCCAAATCTAACCTTGGCTGGTTTATGCTCAAACTGTGGGGAAACAATAACATTAGATTCTTCAAAACCATTGAACATAACAACATCCAGTTGTCCTAAAAAAGAAGCAGTCGGTTCAATGTGTACGGGATCATTATATATTAATTATGAACTGAAGAATGGCTCTATGGACTTGGGGAATCTTCCTGATTATACACTGCTGATGTCGAATAGAGCTACAGTGAAAACAAACTTGACAATGATTTGGCTTGACAAAACTAGAGCTATCCATTCACTTCAATCGAGTTGTAGTGATAATGCAGTATGTATACAAGATGTGAATACGACATATAACTTCAGTAAGTGTGATAAATATAAACACATAAACCATGACCAAATGCAAACAGTCAAGTAATAAAGTACTTTTGAATGTATTTTTTTCTAGTGAAAAATTTAAAATATGAAGAACTTCATCAAAAACTAAGTGAGCTTTTGTATGCAAGTCGAGCAGTCGTTGCCAATCTCACATGCTCTGATAATCAAGGACGAAATGTGCTTTGTGTCAATGGATTTTGTCAATTCAATCGTAAAGATCGATTTACTGTCGAACGAAAATGTGTTCCTCAAGGTGAGATTAACAACCCAGCAGGTCTCATAGTTGGATCGATCAGCGCGGGAGAACCAGATTCTGATGTCGCTTTTATCTAAGCATGTAACAAGCAGTTGTGTAATGGAAAGGACATAGATATAAAAGTACGAAATTTATTGATAGAATACAAAATTTGGCCAATGTCAGAAACAAATTCAACTAAATCAAACGGAAATACGATATTAGCAAAATCCCATCAACCAATGATGCATTGCCAATGGATGTTTCCCTTAATAATAACATTACTTTTAAGAAAATAATTCCTATTTCCTTTGTGAATTGCTTTTGAGTCAATCGAATAAACAAATTACTTTTCAAATTAGACTTTTTATTCTTTGAGTAAGAATTTTCAGTGTAGAAAAAAAATGATTAAAAAGAGAAACACCGTCTATCAACGGAGAAAAAAAAGAAAAGAAAAGCATCATGATTCGTTGTTTGAGCATCAACTATTGCTATTTCCCATGTCAGACGTTGACATAAAGCTTTTGAAATTCAATACATTTTGTTGTTTTTCTTTCGCATTCATTTGAATTTTGTAACGTATATTCATGCTGATTTGCTCAAGTGCTCATCAACCATAGAAATATTCTAATAAAGATTCGCCAAATAAACTCAATTACGAATTTAGAAAGTGTTTTTTAAATGATTTCCTCTATCGTAAAAACCTTGCCATTGTATGAAGTATCATGGAAAGGAAATATTACTATACATTCATTTGGCATTGAAGCGATTAAGAATTTATTTTTCACGTTAATGATACATCATTTTCTCCTTGGAGCGCGAAAATCAGCGCTTCTATGGTACCATCAGAGTATGTTTGTGTGTAGGTTGCTGATGAGAGAAAGAATAAAAAGAAAAATAGCTGTGTACAGCTATGTGTGCGCATAAATTAAACCCTTTTTTTTAACTTTAAAAGCCATTAAGTAAGTAAAACACAACCAGTATGTATGAATGGTAAATAAAAGAATAAGAGAAAGAAGAAATAAATCTGCTTGGGTTGACTAACATAAGTGATGTTCTGCCATTATTTAGAAAATATTGTTTTTTTTTCATGATGAATATATACACATATTAGAACTAACTTTTTAATATTATATCTATGACAAAATTTCTTTGTTTTCTTTTCATTTGATATACATTATAGAGATGCAAATGATGGTAGTATAGAGTTGTTTAATTTCAATTTCTTTTTTCTTTTGAATAATGTCTTATTATTATACAGTAGTCTGTTTGTATTAAAATCAATAACTTATGCCAGATTTTTGAAAGAATTGAAAAGACAATAGACTTTTGTTCTGTCTTTTGTTATTCTCTGTACTTATAATAAATTATAAACTGTGAACCGAAGCCTTGTTTGAACTTATCGAATTTTGTAATACGTCAGAAAAAAATGATGTAACAATAAAATGATTAAAAGAAATCAGTTATGAATGCAAAATGTATTTCTAATTCTTTTTTTTTCCTTCTGACAACTAGATAAAATATGTTTCACCGCGAATACACCAACTCAAATATATCATACAAATATGCGAGTAGTACAGAAAATGAAGATAGTGATTCTAATAGCCGAGATCCAGGTCGAGAAATTATCCAAAAGAACGTTCGAAGTCGCTTACAACGCATTGCCAATCAAACAAAAGAAGAATTAGATAAAGTTCTTAAACGTGTTGATACGGTAAGTAATTTGTTTTGTTTTCATTTCTGTTTAAATTCTGTGCAAAAAAATAAATCTTTTAGACATTGAACAACTATGAATATTCGGTTCAATCGTCGTTAATTCAACATGGAATGCCACGTGATGATGTTTCAAATGTTGAATATGTTACTGATATAAAAGAATTAGAAAGCTTATTGAATGACAGTTTAGCTAAACAACGAGTAAATGTTTAGCAATTCAGAGGTTTTCTTTTATTACTATAATTCTATCATCTAGTACAAACAACGTTTAACAATTTTCATTGTTGGACAAACGGAAAAGACCGAAGAAAAAATTCAACTTCTTCAACAAATCGGCCAAGTGATTGTCGATTTAAATTTAATCGAATTAGATTCATGTTTTTCTAATAGTTTTTTATCGAGCAAAAACAAAATTTTAGTGCAAAAGAATTTTATAATTACGATGAAACAACTGAAACACAAAATGAAATCGATCAAGCACTTAAATCATTCGATGTTAAAGATTGTTTTGTTCATGTTAAACAATTAGGTACACAATTAAATGAACTTAATGAACAAATTATAGAATATTTAGTTCAAACTGCTGTTGCAAAACAACAAGCAAAGTAAATAAAAATCAGCTAGTTTGTCTCGTTTATAATTATGGATATGTTCTAAAGAGGAAAAAAGAAAGCAGTTCAGATTTCAAAAGAAATCAAAGAACAACTAAGTAATCTTCAATCAAAATTAGACCAAGCAAATACAGGTAGATGATATTACGAGAAAAATCTATGAATCTAGAAAACAATTTTTCGTTTTCAGAAATAACAAATAGAGATGATCAAATTCAATGCTTAGAAAGAGAAGTTGATCAACTACGTCACGAAATAGACATGAATCAGAACAATCAAGTAGGAAAATAAAGAATAAATAATATTTTTATTTAAAAGCTTTTACTATAGAGAATATTAAATGATGAATTGAATGAATGTAAAATAGAACTTAAATCTTACAAAGATCATACTAAAGAATTAGAAAATAGTATTCAACAATATGAATATCAAAAAAATGATTCGGAAACAGTTCAATCTGTTATTTCTCATTCGAATGCAGAAGTAAGTATTGAAAATTGAATATAAATATGAATGGAAGAGTCGTGCTTTTTTTCTACTTGTTTGTCTTCTGCACGGTCACATCACGAGTTGTCAATGGTCTCGCAATTTGTTAGAGACGATTGAAAAAATTATTTATTTTGAAACAATTTTTGTTCAAACATAGACAAAATTTCAAAGAATAATAAGATGAACATTTTGATTTTAATTCTCACATGAAAGGATGACTATCAATTAATGATAAACTTCTTGTTGATTTATACTTAAAATCTATCAAACAGTTTGTTTACGTTAACCATATTTTACATAAGGCTTACAAAATATTGAGATAAGATTGTTCCTTCGAATACGGATAACTTTTTGATGCTATATATGTTTGATATTTTTTACTTGTCGTTGTTCACTAAATTTTTCACACATTTTCCTATAAAAATTTTTATAAATATGAAAATAAATTATTACAAAGAGTAATTATATATTCTGATTACCTTGAAATGCTGTGTCGACTTGTAAGTTTAGGCTTTCATTTGCAGCTATTTAATAAGAAGTGTTTCAAACATTGTCAATACATCTACGCATTTATTTATACTCGAATTGTTCACACATAGAATAGTCATTTTCTACCTAAATGTTGCATTGCTGCCACGTGTTGTCATGGCTTCTTTCATCTTAATCTTCAGAAAACATTGTGTCAGCAACGCTGAACATTTTCAAATGTAGTCGAATTTTATTTCGATGCTCACAATGACGTTAGACGATCAGCATCACCTAATATCGTCAAGGATAGGACACACTTCTTATGATATCTAGAGCTTATCGGACTGAAAATTAGCCGACTCTAATCAGTCATCATATCCGAGTCGAGATCTAATTATAAAGGACTATAGAGTACTTTCTTTTCTATTAATTTACATGCAAATAGAAAATTGCTTCGGCGTAGAATAATATCGGTGTCACCATTTCTCTGGTGATGAGCTTTACGTTTAAAAACTTTCTTGTAAAATTGACATTTTCCACCGGAATATTCCGATTTAATTAATATTCTATTGAATAAAAAAATATAACATTTTTTTCTCAATTCAGGATACTACTGGTACAAGAACAACAAATGGTATGTTTGTAATCTGTTTTTTTCTTTTTACATTGCATACTTCGCTTCTTCATAAAAGAAACAACCGAAGACAAAGACAATAAACTTGCACCAATAAGTGTTTCAATTCAAACAGACAACGAAGAAGTGAAATCAACGACTTTTTCTGTAAGATTTTTTTATTGTTCGAGCAGAAAAAAATTAATTTCTTTAATTTAGGATAAAGAAATACAAACAGTTGATCAGACAAAAGAAATCATCGGTCATAGTGAACACGTAGATTCTAATAAAATAGAAGACATGTCAGATCTTAACTTATTATTTAAATCAACCGATGGAATAGATTTGAATAATGTCACAAACGAAAATTTACCCACAGTATTCGCAAGTCTACGAAATTTCGTATGTTGATGTTTATGAATGGCAACAACAATCAATTATGCTCCATATACATTTATATTTTCAGGCTACTTGCCGTGTGAGAGAGCTATTGAGAGAACTTGAAATAAGAGAATCGATAAATAATGAAAGAATACAAAACTTAGTACAACAATTTGATGAATACAAAATAGCTTGCGAACAAGTAAGACATGATTTCGTTGTTTGCAATGAGTTTTTTTCTCTCTCTAACAATTAACACTAGGAAAAGAAAATTTTGCTCGAAAAAACAGCGAACTCTTCTCATTTACAGATAGAGGTACAAAAACAATCAGAAGATACATCGACTCAATTAAATGTTGACGAACAAAACCCATCTCAAGAAGCATTGAATCAGCTACAATTACTCAATAGTGAAACAGCGACATTGGTATTTACGTCTTAACGAATTTGTCATTTTTTTGTTCTTAATTGTAAGGTTCTTCATCTATAGAGAAAGATTTTAGTCGACCAAGAGACACAAACAGTAAGGATAATTGTGTTTGTCTCAACTCGTTGTATATTTGTGCAAAGAAAAGACTCTGTTGAGACGTTTGTCAATACAGTGTCTTTGCAGCTGAAAGGCAAAACTTGCATGTCTTCTTTATTTTCATTTTACTAATACAAAACACGTAGTGTTATACTTCTTCAATAGATGATACTCGATTTCCAAACGAGAATCGATAATCCGAAAAACGATTTATCTACAAACCTCTCGTACTTTTTATCTGACTCAGTGAGAAATTATCCTAGAAGACTTCTTTGTAGTGTATCTAAAATAAGACGATGCATCCCTTGTTTATATAATTCAGTTTCAGGAAAGACTTTGCAATATAAAAACCAAAGTTGCATACTTGATCCTCTCGGTAACTAGGAGTAGATGCGTAGGCAGCGCACTGTCGAAAACATAAAATTTCATAGGATTCTATTCATACATCGAAGCACTTGTCAGGATTCCAGCGGAAAAATTATTGGCAAACGACGTCCCCCTCGGGATTTATCAGGACACTGCGATGTATGATTCTATTGTTTAGAATGACGAAGGCGAATTATAAATATTTATAACATGAAGTCATTTTTATTATCGACTATTTTAATAGTTATCTAGCGTTTGTTAAGCATATCCCAACACAAAAAGTTCTCGTTCAAAAATTGTAAAAAGAATAATGTTTCGTTCGCAGTCTGTTATCTTTTACGATGGAAACGAATAATCAAATTTGTTAACATTGACTTTATTTTGACTTTCAAATCTATTTATTATTTCATTACTCTGTATCGAATAGTTCTTCGTGCGTCAGACATTCGCATGTTGAGTGAGCTGATGCAAGAAATAAAGTGTGCTCAGTTAACATGGGGAACAGCTAGTTAATGATGAAAAATACTTTTATATTCATTTTTCTAAAAGTAAATCCATTTTTAATGTGACAGGCATTTCTACGTCAATGTTTTCTGTTAAAATAGGCGCGTGGATTAGCTCATTGATATTTTGAAGATCACATGGAGCTGACGTAGAAAGATATCATTTTCATACAAACGCTCAAGATTGACTATCGACGTATAGAAATATTCACCGAGAGAAACGACATAGAAAGTCAGATTAACCATTAAAGATATTGTCATACATGCAAATAGGATTTAAGCTTTGTTTTCCAGGAACAACAAAACACTCTTGAAAACGTCACTTCATTAGCGGAAAATACTAATCCTTTGGATCAACTATTGAACAATCAGTTTTCATCTTCTTCACAGGTAATCATATTTAACTTTCGTTTTTCATCGTCTACCATCGAATAAGAAAATAAATCATTAGTCTATTTTAACTCAACTTTAGGGTATCAGTGACGGAAATGAATCTATTATAGAATGTCCGCCAGCATCGTTAGTCGAGGAAGAAAAACTTGAAGTAAATCAAGTTTCAAAACAAGCTAATATTGATGTATTATCTTCAACAACTATGCATGAAAAGATATCATTAGGAAACATTCCTGGTAAATAAAGCAAATGATATGTTAGGAAGTACAGATATGAGTATTGTTTTTTTTTCTATTTTGTCTTATTATTATTTTTCATTTCTTCTGAATCGATAACTGTGCTATTAAATCTTTAGAAAACAAAGATGAAACTGATGAAAATCAGTCAAGTAAATATTTGAAAACTCGAAAAGACTGATGCATTTTTATTTTTCACTATTCATCTAGCGATCGAACAAGATCAACAAGAACAAACATCAGAGAGAAGCTCTCGGCACGGATCAGAACACACAGAGTAAATTCTTTTGTAAATATCTGTTCATATTAAATTTATATTTCTTCTATCAGAATCACAATATCAGGAACGGAAACAGATCAATTCAAAGTTGGATTTTTCTATGTATATGACATCATCTATAAATTTCGTCACGCAATAACAAAATTACTTGAAAAATATAAATTCACATTCTTAGCTGATCGTCTACAAATAATTCAACAACTATCATCTGGTAGCCATGCAACAAATGACTTCATTAAAAATTCCGAATGCGTACTGAAAGATACAGTTAAAATTTTACAGATATGTCTGACAACATTACAAACAACAATCAATGAATATCAAATAAAACAAAGCTCAATTGAAATAGAACCCGAACCCATCAAAGAATCGTCCATCATTGATAATCAACAATCATTGATTCTTCAAGAAAAAGAACTTACAATAGCTGACTTAACCGCTAAATATGAACATGCAACAAGACTTTTAAATGAAGCAAATAAAAAACATAAAGAAGCATTAGAGTAAAGAAAATAATTTTAATCTAAAAAGTGTCCATATGTTTTGTCTACTAGTGAAAATGAAAATCTCATTCTTGAACAAAAAAAATTAATAAGAAGTCTTCGCCATGAAATATTACATCTTCAAAAACGTCTAACAAAAGTCGAAGCTGAAGGTATAATGGAGCCGAGTATTATGTTTACGCGTCTTGATGCCGAAAGAAATGAACAAACACTTCAACATGCCGTTTATAAAGGAAAAGTACCTGAAGAAACATATACCGTATGTTCACTACAGAGAAACAGCTTTACAAAGAAATACGTATGTTGTCGTCTAGGAATTGAATACAGCAATGACAGATTATATTCGTTTGCCATCTCAACAATTTGGTAATCTCGTTAAACGATATATTCAATTTCGGAAAGCAATTGAAATTGAAAGTAAATAATAAAGTTAATATTTCGAATTCAAATTGTTCGTTTTTAGATCGTATTGCAAATTATGTTCGTGATCATGGAAGAAAACGTTCTCTAGAAAAAATAGAAACGTTTCATGAAAGAGTTTGTTGAACTAAGATTGTTGTTTTTCTAACACGAATTTTGTTGTCTATCACGAATTTAGCGGTCAAATCAAATCGGTGCGCTTATATCACATCTTCGCCAACAGCGAGCTTTCTTAGCAAGAACAATAACAGAAAAATTTGATAGTTTGGAAAATGAATCCAGCATATTTTTAATACGCCCACTGTATTCGTATCGAGGACGGTAAATATAGAACTATATGTGATATTCTAAAATTTATCAATACGATATTTCAACTGGTATACTCAAACAGTTCTTTCTTTTAATCTAATAGAATAACAATGATTAGGAAGTTAGAAATTCTGTAATTCCTTGATATTCCAACAGTTCATTTTCTCGTGAAAATTTCGGTAATATCTGTCATTTTGTTTTTGAGAAATATTCATATTATTCAGAAAATCTTTTGCCTCTGACATCAGATTGATGCTTGAAAGAAGGAGAGAGACAGAGAGAGAGAGAATGCGTATGCTGACATGTTTCTCATTGAATGATCTATATAAGAATTTAAAAAAAATATAATATTTCGAGTAAACAGAATGTTTTTGTGTACTCAAAAAGTGAGTACGCTCTAGATTCGGTCAGTGTGCCCGACCATTAACACGATAACTCTTGAAAGCCGCGTCCAATTGTCTTGAAATTTTGTACACAGAATGATCTCATTTTTTCAAAAAAACATTTTTTGTCAGTATTATTCAAAACATATATAAACTGACTCAGTTTTTGCAGTACACGTAACCATCGGATGCGAATCCGATCTTTCCTCATTTATTTATTTCTAAAATTTGACAATCACTTTAATCATAGATGAATTCATTTCGTCGGCCGAAATTTACAAATGAAAAAAATATAAAATTTTTCTTTCGGTTGGCCTTGTTTTTTTCGTAAATCAAACATGCTCTCGCATATGAACAAAAGAAGTCGTAAGGTTTATCAAGCCAATTAAGTGTTTTTGTCATTAAGAACTGCCACTCAATCCTATATGCAATATGACAAATGTCGACGAGAAGCATTATTAACTCCAAATGCAACAAAGAGAAAACATTATACCAGTCGACAATCAATGCAATCACAATCGACAAGTAGTCACACAGATGGAGATCAACAGATGTTGACACAGCTACCAACAATGAATTCACCATACGACGACGAACCACAATTTAATGTAAGCGAATAAATATGATAGAATCTATTGCTATTATTGATTTACTCAACAATCATAGATTGAAACTAGTTTTCCTGTACCTTCGGTGGCACCGACAGGTCAACAGAATAATTCAACTGGTATCAATACTGATGATGGAAGTGAACCTGTACAATTAAATGAATTAACTCGATTACAAGAACTGGATATTCAACGATCATTAATGCCTATGTCTCATGCTAGTACACCTCTTCTATCTGCTTTTAGTAAAAATGGAATCGACCCATGTGTACCATCACTGAATTTACGTTCGTATGTTGCTTTAACAAGACCTGGTATAGGCAATGATCGAATAAGAAAACCGACGGAAACTATCGTTCGTGTCTCACGAGAAAGTGTTTCTACTTTATCAGGTAGTTTAATCGCTTTGTTTTTCTTTTATTTTTTTTAAATCTGTTATAACAATAAAATAGGAAAAAGTCGAGAACGAAATCCTCGTACACCATACAATTCGACCGCTGGTGATTTGAAACGAAATAATTCTCCGTTGCCACTGATTAAACGACCATTGATTTCGAATATGACAGTTTCTGTTCATGAAAGTGAGAATAAACAAAAATATTTATTTTTCGCAATCGAAAAAAAATCTATTTCAGAACAACACGGTGCATTTGTTCCATCTCTTAATACAAATGAAGTTTCTACTACAAACTAACAGGGTGTTACTAGCTATCAATATTGAATATACTAAGGAACTTTTCTTTTTTCTTATAGTTTGTTTTTATTATTTTTTTAAATAAAAACAAAGGAATAATTGCAAATATAATTATTTAGAAAATCAACAATTTTTTTCATGCTATTTTCAATAATCAACGTCAAAATGTATGTTAATGATTTGACAAGACTAACTGTATCCAAAAGAAACAAGAAGAATATTCTATCCGAGCTGCCTTTTTCTATGAATTGTTGTGCAACTTCTAGAATATCTTGCATCAATATGATGATATTCATGCAAAACAGAAACAACTATTTACACACGAATAAAGGCATAATTGTGAATCAATATAAGACTAACGCATCCACCTACACCTGTCAACATGAAAAACTTCTAGATATATATATATATAACCAACTGATGCATTACGATGATTTGTGATCACTGGTTAAGAAGAAAGTTATACGATGCAGAATTTATTGGTTACATTAAACTGAAGACAACAACGAAAAATAAGACATATTTAAGGGACATAAGGAGCGTTTTTATGTTGGTGGTTCCCAGCGAGACTCGTTCGTATTCGTATTAAAATAATAAAATTTTTCTTCTCTTTTACTCCATTCTTTTGTCCATCCAATGGGTAATTGTATGCCAGAATCCGGTTCAACAACTGGCGCTTTAGGTCGACATTGAACTGTGACACATTCATGTGCTTCTTCCCAATGTTCTTCACTGATCACAAGATCGATCTATTGCAAATCATATAAAAAAAAGTTGAAATTCGACAGGATTATTTTTAACAAACCTGTTCATCATATTGATGATCAATATGCCATAAACGTTTGTCTAATGCTTGAATTTCTCGTTGTAATAAACGTTGACTCGTATCAGCCAAATATTGTTGAAATTGTGGTTCAAGTAAACAACTCAAAGGTACAACTTCTAAAATATTTTCTGTTGCTTCATATTTTAATAAATTATCAAGATGTTGAATGAGTGATTTGTGAACAGGATATTTTAATTCGCGGCAAACTATAAAGCGTTCAGAACTTGCTGGATTGAGAGTAAATGGACGTAGAATAGAGATCGATTTGAATGAACGATAGAGTAAATAAATAAGACCAGCTGTAAAACGTGTTAAAGTATCTAATATTTTACATACAAAATGACCACCATCATTCAACAGAGCTAATGCACGTTGACATGAAATAATTAACTGACGCTTATTATATTGTTCGGTATAGCGCATATTAATTTTAACATTAGTCGGTAAAATAGAGACATCCGAAAACAACAAATGAACTTTAGAATGATTTTGATCAAGTTGAGTCTTGTAAATAACAGATGAAGAGATTGGGCACGGATCTTTCAAAGCAGAAACGACCAGACCACGCACTTGATTTCCTTGTTGCCAAACCAGATATTCAGCAAAACCACTTAAAGATTGATTGTCAATGATGAATGTCAGAGTCGATGAATTATTTGCAGTCACTGATGTCTATCATAGAAATTGAAATAGAGCAATAATAAGTAGTTCTGGGATAATTTCTTTTAATTAAAAACCCTTTAACTATCGAATAACATCAGTCGCGTTCGTTATCTACCTCATAAAATCTCTGACTAACTGTAAAACTAGTTTAAGATTTCAGTAAAAATTATTCATCATGTATTTTATCTTACCAAGTGAAATATTTTGTCGAGTGATGCCAACTGAAATGCATTTTTAAAATTAGTATAAATTCCGTGGATATTTCTAAATCGTTCTTCTTTGTTTAACAGGTCAAGTTGATCACTAATAAAAGTTTTTGGTTCTGTTAAATGATCGGATGTAATCTTGAAAATATATTCTTCACGTTTCTTATATAGCGATTCCAGATCAACAAATTTGACGAAAAGTGATGATAAAACGGAACGCAAATTGAGGCCGATAGTGATTGATTTATGATTCAATGTAAGAGAAGATGAACTAGCTGCTATAGATTGATCATAACTTGAAAATAATGGTTCGTCTGTAACAATGGGCGGGCCTGAAGATGAAGATGAATTGATCGATGGTTGATAATGATGACCTAACCCAAGACGAGTATTGTGCATAATAGTTTCTACTGGTGTCGCTCGTCCTTGACCTTGCGCACCCAAGCCCTGTCCATCTACATAACCTAGCATTTTCATCATTTTCATTGCTTTTGATTCATTGGTAGATTCGGGTTTTTGACCAATAGACGAATCTATCTCTACTTCATTATTAGTATCAATTGTAGTGGATACTTTTGCTATATTTCGTCCCAAAATGACTGTTTTTCCATGTCCTAAATTGACTTTTTTCCTGTTTTTTTCTTCGTCTTCTGCGTAACTATCATCTTTTGCGATATTGGTGCTTGATAAAAACTCTTCTCGGTCACGCTTTCTCGTTTGCCTATCACCAAGTGTTCCACCTGCTCGCTGACGTAATCCACCTTTAACAACTGCAGCACTATTACCTAATGCTTTGGCTGACCCGTCGAGCTCAACGTTATTTACAATGCGCACTGACTGTTGGCAACGGTAATCAATGAAACAGAGTCGTCGAAATTCTTTAACAACATCTTGATTTAATTGAAATATAGCTTGCTGAATATTTCGATTCCATATTCTGTCCAATTCAAGGTTACGTTCAATAGCTTGGCTTTGTTTCGTCGTAAAATAATCCGTAATTTCAATCAGAGCATCAAGAAACGATTGTGGTATTGAATCGCGTGATAATAGAGCTTTCCCAGACGGAAATTTAGGGGAAACAAATGAAAGTAAAGAATGAAGTACTTCGGAATCGATACCATGAAATCCAAGTGCAACTACGTATGTTTCACCATTCGGTGCACGTGATGATGCTGGCTTAAACACACTTAATTCTTTGAAATGGAGAGCCAATATGTACAGAAGACATATTGTTTCACATTCAAATAAATTAAACATTTTCAATACTAATGAACCACCTGTTGCTAAAGCGCCTAGAGCACATACAGCTTCGGCGTAATGAAGCTCTGATACAATTGATTCTTGTTCATTGGGATCAGCTGATGTATCGACAGAGCCATCACCTGTTACAAGATGAACACCACGCGAACTCGAATCAGACTACAAAAGCAAAGATAGAACACAATCACGCAAGTAAAATATGATAAACAACAAGATATTTGTTAATTATCACGTCAACCTAAATTCTATTGTTTTATTTTTTCACTCATGTTAAAATCGAGGTTATTACAATATCAGATTCAGTTGAATTGAAATTAATGTTCATTGTTTATATAGTAATTAACATCAGTTTAAATCATAAAAAAAATTAAGTTTTAAACGAATCCCGTGAAAGATGTTTTATTCAGAATAAGGTCATTGTATTCTAAAGATCCATTCATAAAGTAAGCACGTCAAACCTCTATGATAACAACAGCAGTTACGTTTTTTAATTAACGACGTGTCAAAATAGGGAAAGGTTTATTTTTTAAGTCAGCAACTGATTGTCATAGTTTAAATATAACTGAAAATCTCGGTTCATTTTATTATTTGAAAAAAACAGAACTAAGATACATGAGATTAGAAAACTTCACAACTTTAGAGTCATAATAATGTTTAATACTTGAGTATTTGTACAAGAGAAAGTTCAATTCTGAATGAATAAACGTCTAAATCGTTTTTTTCTTGTAATCGCTAGTTGTAGTTTTTATCAATCTCGTGAAAGAAAAACGTAGTTGATTTTCGCAGGTTTTTCGATGAATTTCGTTAAATCAATTTAGAAAAAAATCTCTCAATTTATTAAAACGTGATTTAGTTCAGTCAATACTCAAAAGTAGTATTATCATACTAAGAAACCTATTTTGCTTTTTTGAAGACATACATTCGTTGATTTAGATATTTATGTTGAGAATTAAGATCAGTAAACTCACCCGAACTCTTTTCCATAAACCTTTAATATTATTTGCATCTAAAATATTTCCGCTATTATCTATACCGAAATACCATCTATCCAACGTTTCAATTATAAATCGATCATCATCAACCATAGCCTCTTGATCGTTGCCTTCATAATAAGGATTAAGAGAAAGACCTGTCCATTCCCATTGACGTTGCAATGGACAGAAACCTCTTCGTTCCAACCGTTTATTATAGTAGAAGTTCGTTGCACATATAAAAGCACCCGGTGCTTCGCAGACATGCACACTTCGAAATGATGAGTCCTCAGGAAAATCTGTAAACATAACAAAATTTATTCTCAAATAAATACAAAGTTTCAATTGTTTTTTCTTATTGTATTCAAGAACTTAGTTTCAGAATTTTTTTTATTATCATTCATGTTTAAGTTTAGCTCTATTATCATGTTCTCTTAAAGTAATTGCGCATGATTTTTTTCTGTTTAATTTTACGATGATAGTTCTTTTATCTGTGCATGCTTTGCATTCAATTTTGGTTATCTAATGGCTAAATAGTTTGTTTGATTACGAATCTTACGCTAATTCATCAAAGGCTTTTTTCATGAAATATTATTGGAGTTCTTCGTTTTTGCAATCGATTACTGTCTAAATTCTATATTTGGCACAGCAAAACAAGATGCAATCTACTAAGAATAACATTGCATTGAAAATTTGAAAGAATCTAGAAAAATGGAAAGCTTAATTTTTTCTGACTGGTTTCCGGTGATGATTTTTACTTTTTCTACTTTTTTTGAAAGCTTCCTTTTTTCTGATAAAGAAAATAAGCGCACTTATAATAACAAATACAAGCGCAAAAAAGAAATGCCGCGGGGAAAAAAGAGACAGTATTATTTAAAACCTTCAATATGTTGAAGGTCCATAACAAAATAAGTCTCCAAATTTCAAGCGTTTTAAGGTGGGGATATTTTTAACACTAGAGATGTCATCATAGAAATAGCGTGAACATTTTTTAAATACTAATAATTTTGTTGTACACATTATGATTAATATGTACCCTGACGTTTTTTTTTTGTTCACATTCCAATTAATTCATCCAAAGATGTTAACATTCTATAGCCATTATTTCATTACTAATTCATAAACCAGCGAGAACTCAATCTCATATAATTACAAGTGACAAGTTGGAATATCATATAGTTTTAATTATTCTTTTTAACTAATGGAAATTCCAATCAAACAAACTTTACTCTGTAAATGAAAACTAAGTAGTATAAATCCATATAATTATAGGCACAAGAAACAAACGAATCAGGATTGAAAACAGTACTAATACAATTTTAACATCTTGATATTAACATCAATCTTATTATGAATAATATCAAAACATGAGGCTTAATTTCAATATTAATTCATAAAATATTAGTATTACTCTAGTACTAATTATTGCGAATATGAAAATCTGATTGAGCATCCTTGTAATTTAAAGTCTATGATATCTTATTCTTGCGTTATTAAACGGTATTTACCTTTTGGAATCAGATTATCATATTTAGAAAATATCTCAGCCATTTTAATCCATGCATTTGTACACATTTCAATGCGATTTTGATCTCGCAACGACCAAACAATACGTCCCGTCATATTTGTTTTCGATGTAAGTTGTTTCCACACTTTAATATCTTTTTCATTTAAACAATTCCGTGTAGCATTAAGTTTCTGTTTTAATTTAATTAATTGTTCAATATCCCATCGATCAGTTTTGAAAAGATTCTGAGATAACAATAATGATTTATCCTTAAGTGGGCCAATCATTGGAAAAGTTTTCTTTTTATCAAAAAGTTCATCTTTTCCTTGATAAACTAAACGATGTTGTTCGTCAGCGAGCGATGAATTATGTCCACCATAGCTATTCTGGTTGTGTTGATATGAATTACCGTGATTTCTTGAATAACTCTGTCGATTTACACCACGACCTGTTCCATAATTTCGACGAGCATTATACGAACTGGGATACGACATAATATTAGGAAATATATATTTATCTAAATTTAAAGTAACGTTAAGATTGAAAAGATGAAAAATACGAGTTGCCTTTCCACTAAACAAACACCTAAATCACATATATTTCTATGTTGCAGTTTTGAAAAGAATCAGAATTCTGGAAACCGAACCGGTAAGAAAGCCACGCATGATGCGCGATAAAAATAGACATAAAAAAAAATTCTTTCAACTTTGAAATAAAAAAAATAGCTTTCACTTTGATACTTTATTTGTTACAACATAGTTGTTTTTCTTGTAAGGAAAATTAATGGGCTTTTCAATACACATTTATTCTCTTCCTTGAGTATTTTAGTGGTTTAGTCTTCTGTTAATGTAATTTTTTTGCTAGTGAAAGTGATTCCGACGTTTCATTGTCATAAACAACACCATCAGGTAAAGTAAAAATACACTTTTTATACACATCGTATAACAAGAAAATAAATAGAAAACAGAGCAGATGACTATTTTTCATTTTTTCTTTAACAGTTCAATAGTGATAAAAAAAAGGCCTATCAATCGATTCTACCATTGTTGGGGTTCGGTCTCTGATCACTATTGAACTGAAGCAGAAAAAATGAAAAATAGTCGTCTGCTTTGTTTTCTACTAATTTTCTTGTAATGCGATGCATATTAGAAATATTTTTTAGTTTTATCTGAAAAAATTGTTTAGGAAAACGAAACACCAGAATTACGCATGGGCAAAGTCGCCTTTCTTTCATGAGATGCCTAGTTCGACTTCGAATATAAATTGACATCTGAGTAACTATTCACAGTTCGAAAATAAATGAAAAAAATCACGATCATTTAAAAACCATCGGAAAGCAACAGATCACATAACTGCCAGCACATTTATATTTTAGGAATAGATTTAGATTTACTTTTTATAAATTATAAAATTTATAAATTGACCGTCACTCCCATTTATAATTTAGGAATAGATTTAGATTTACTTTTTATAAATTATAAAATTTATAAATGGACCGTCACTCCCATTTATAATTTAGGAATAGATTTAGATTTACTTTTTATAAATTATAAAATTTATAAATGGATCGTCACTCCCATTTATAATTTAGGAATAGATTTAGATTTACTTTTTATAAATTATAAAATTTATAAATTGACCGTCACTCCCATTTATAGTTTAGAAAGAGATTTAGGTTTCCTGTTTATAAATGGTGAAATGATAATTTTAAAGTCAAATGTTTTCAGTAAGTTGAGATCGTATGTAATTTAGGCAGTTCGGGCAGTTACAATTGTCGTCTAGATCTGAGAGATATTAGTGTAAATATATTTGGATTGCTGTTTAAATTTTGTCGGATTGACTGTTCTGTTTTTAGTGTATGGCGTTCTAATATTGCTGCCAAAGAGTATGCTATATCTAGATCAAATATTGAGGAAAATGAGGCCTGATTATCGGTTTCGAATTTTAGTGGTTTTGAAGTGTTTCACTTTACGTGGTAATATCACTATTTGTCATTCGATGTTGAGGTCTGATATGCAGTATCTTTTGTGTGGTTGTCAATTGGATTGTTTTCATTGGCTCGTTTCGTAGTCGACGGCGAACGTCAGTGTATTTTGACTGTTGTGCAGTATATTCTATATACTTCTCGATTGTTCGAATTAAATGTTCGAGTGCATCTTATGCCCTTGATGTATGATTTCGTTCTATTTCGTCATTGTTTTCTTTCTCTCTGGTTCGTATGGTTGTCAACCTTTCCTAGCACCCACGCTTGCTATGCTGTGTTTGTTTGGTGACCGGTTTTCAACCATTCCTAGCACCCACACTTGCTATGTTGTGTTTGTTTGGTGACCGGTTTTCAACCTTTCTTAGCACCCACACTTGGTATGTTGTGTTTGTTTGGTGACCGGTTTTCAACCTTTCCTGGCACCCACACTTGGTATGTTGTGTTTGTTTGGTGACCGGTTTTCAACCTTTCCTAGCACCCACACTTGGTATGTTGTGTTTGCTGTGGACACCTTAACGCCTTTTCTAGCACCCACACATGCTATGTTGTGGATATAGACCCGCGTATTCCGCCTTTCCTCACATCCACACTGGCACCCTTAAGCACAATAAAGAAATGCAGTAACATCATGCAGGTAACATATGAAAAAAGATACATTTTCACATTAACGAGGAAGAGTAACCGAGGAAATGTATCCAATATCGAGTGCAAGATAAGTCACAGAGACATTATCACTCGGCTTCCGTGTGTATCTTCAGATTCTGGACTAAGCATAAAATATGTATGGGGTACACCTTTAAAAAAACTCACTAACGATTTAGCTTATTTATTAATTTTATAATTGATAATAATTAAATCTAAATCTATTCCTAAATTATAAATGGGAGTGAACGTCCATTTATAAATTTTATAATTTATAAAAAGGAAATCTAAATCTATTCCTAAATTATAAATGTGAGTGAACGTCCATTTATAAATTTTATAATTTATAAAAAGGAAATCTAAATCTATTCCTAAATTATAAATGGTAGTGACGGTCGACTTATACATTTATGATTTGTAAAATCTAAATCTATTTCTGACAGTGGCGTGAAAACATGGAAGGGGTTTTTTTTTCATTTATATTCGAAGTCGAATTAGGCAGCTACTCTATTCGACCGTATACGATCGTATATGGCACGATGCCAACCGACCGTAATACGGTGTATACCAAACGGCCGTAAATTGTGGCCAAACGGCCGTGTACGACACAAGTTGATCGACCTGGGTCTGTATAATAATTTTTTTCATTTATTTTCAATAAAATAAACAACGCGTTACTGACTTTCAAGTCTTGAAATTAAGAATGTGCTGTATGAGAATAAAAAAGGATAATGCATGCTTGCATCCGAATCAAGACTAATAAAAATTTTATCTAATATTACACACGATACAAACAAAAACAATGGAAGTATCGAATTTTTATAATGGATTTAAAAAAATAGGAAATTATTCTACGAGATTTCATGTGACTCCACTTGAATCAACCTGAATCCATTTGAATCCAGGTGAATCCATTTGAATCCAGGTGAATCCATTTGAATCCATTTGAATCCACATGAATCCATTTGAATCCATTTGAATCCACATGAATCCATTTGAATCCATTTGAATCCACATGAATCCACTTGAATCCAAGGGACTGGATTCTGCTGTTCCCCCGTTGACTTAGGCCCACCAGATTTCTAAAGATAATGGCATGCGCTTGTTTTCAACGTTAATATCTTCAGCTAATGTTTTGATCAACACTTCTGTTGATTACTTTGCTAGAATGAAAGTCTTACCTTAAGAAAAAGTACATACTGTCATCTCATATAAAAGAGAAGGTAGCATGACTTACAATTTTTTTTGTTTCTTCTAGAATCAAGAGAATAGACAAGACTAGTTTCTCCTTTCATACGTTTTCTTTCGCATATATAATCTATAGATTCAGAGAAGCCCTTTAACATTTATTAATTACGATTGTACTTAACGCACTAATACTTTTTGAAAAAAAGTCACTATGCCAACTTTACAGACAGAAATCATTTAATTATTGCATCAGCAAAGTTTTTTGGCTTTACCTTCTCTAAAATATCCAATGCATCTATCCAGAGTATGAATCGAATTAATGAGTAAATGATTCACATCTTGCAAGGAAAATATTTCTCAAATATCCAATTGCTTTTTCTTCGAAACTTCACTTTGGTGAAATGCTATGCCGAGCAATGTAAAATCAAGTGACTTTCGTTGGTCTCAGCGTTTGCTGTGTTTTCCCTAAGATCAACAGGATAACTGAAAGTGTAGTTTTTACTTGAAACTTTGTACAAATAAAGCTCACAGTGACATTACATAGTTCATTATCAACATTTTATTGATTTTATGAGAAGAATTATTCCGTTGTTGTTTGCCGAAGAAGCTTCTAGTATTCGCATTTTAGAGTGAGAGATCCAAAAATGAGAAAAAAATATCTCACCATAACCTAATGTCTGGAGTTCATTGCTTGTACAACATTTGGGCTACAAAATGTAGTGAAAATCGATATCTCATCTCAGTATAGTGTCGATCAAAAAGCAATTGGACACTTTGAGAGGTTCCCTTGTTAGGATTCTATGGAGAAAAACAAAAGTCTATTCGTTTGAATAGTGGAAAGTCGTGGTTGAAACCGAAATAAACATTAATTAATTTCTAGTAGCTAGTTTTTTCATACAGTTTTCAGATATACGTATGAGTTATTAGTCTTGTCGTTCTGAACTTGATTTTCAAATGAATGATGAGCTCTCTCTCATAAAGGTTGCTTATGTAATACATGAAAATCCCATATCAATTCTTTCAATTATTCAAAATCAACTCATTCGTTACGTATCATTAGTACTGCTCGTCACTGGCACAATAGGTAATATTCTTAATTGCTTTGTTTTTACACGTCGTTGCCTTCGATATAATTCGTGTTCACTCTACTTTTTTGCAACGAGCATTACTAATTCGATAGGACTCTATTGTGCTTTTATTGCACGTGTATTAATCACTTTCGATATCTATGCAACATCATCTCAGTCGTCTGTCTATTGCAAAACTCGAACATTTTTTACCTACATGCCTCTATCGGCATCAGCATGGTTTATAGTAGCAGCATGTGCTGATCGATTTGCATCAAGTTCATCGAGTGCTCGAATGCGTTCATTTAGTCAAACTAAAGTTTCTCAACGAGTCATTTGTGGTATCGTTGTTATTGCATGTCTTGTTTGGGCCGAAATGTTCGTTTGTTTTAATGGAAATGCCAACGGTACCACTTGTGCTCCAGCAACACCATTTTGTAATACATTCAATAATTTTAATCTACTGATTTCTTATAGTCTTCTTCCGCCAATATTCATGTTTATATTCGGATGGATGACTATTCTGCATGTACGTCATCGGCCGATCCATCGACAATCGAGTTTAAGAGGTCGTCAACTCACTATACTTCTTATTGTTCAAGTTGTGTGCGTCACCTTTCTATCGTTACCATTTTCTATTCAGAAAATTTATTTGCAATTTACCGCTAATCAAATGAAAAGTTCACAACGTATTGAAATAGAAAATTTTCTTGGTACAGTTGCCACTCTTATCATTTTAAGCAATACGTCGATGTCGTTTTACATGTTTACACTTACGAGTAAAGTATTTCGAAAAGAATTAAAACCTTTATTATTATTCTGGAGTCAACGACGAGCAGATGTTGAACCTATTCAGTCAACGACAAGAACGACAAGATAGATTTCGTCGTTTCCAACGACCAGAACCGAAAGCAAGATTTTCAAGACAACAAAAATACGACTATCCAATTTGTATCAACAGACTACTGAAGTGAACATCTTCGATCGAATTATTTAATCTTATAATGTATACGGGTCTCTATCCCATTGACGTGAATTCATTCTAAGACCATCTTGTTGTTAAGTAGGATTCACTACAGTAGCAATGATGATTTTTTTCAATTTGAGATTGACGTTATCGTCCTATAAACTTGATGTAAGGAAAGATTTATAGTTCTATCATAAAAAAGGTACCTCGTAGATGAATTTCTCATTTATATGACAGTATGCTGTCATAAGATTTATTTTGTTAATGAAGAATTTTAATAACGATTAACGTCAAATGATGATTAGTTTCGGCAAAAAATTCTGTACTTTTGTTTTTGACGAGCTTTGTATGTAGATTTTAAAGCTGCTTAAGATAATTCGAAGACAAACTTTTCACATGTTATTCAAATGAATGCGATCTCTATATCTTCTAGAGTGGAGCTCAATCATCAACAAAATTCGATTGTTTTATTTTTATTAGATGGATCATCTTAAAAGGGTTCTTATCATAATCTATCTGTCAACTAAATTTAAAGGAAAATGTTACAATGATGAATTCAGAATAGTAGACAAGCTGCTTTGTTGTATCTTATCTAATATAGAATCGATACAACTTTGACAAAGTGCAGACTGTAAGAATAAATTTTTCTCAGTTCTACTCTAAAAAATATTCTTCAAGTACAGACGAATACGTGAGACTCATAAATCTTGGAATAAAAAATGATGAACTCCAATGATATTTACAGAGATATCCGCGTTAAACTACACAGTTACCAATTTTCAGGTATTAAGGTGCGGGTGTTCTGAAAAGCTATGCACACACCCACACCCTCAAATTATTACCTTCATATCACACATGCTAATGGAGTGTGCACAATGGCTGCGGATAATATCAATTATTTAATACTGGATGAAAGAAGTTCATAGCATCACGCATCGATAATCTACTATATTTTTACTTATTACGTTGTTGCTTACATTTTCCAATAGAAAATAAAAAATAAAAACATTATTTTTTCTTATCAGGAATTCGAAAGATCTGTTTTCTTATATTTCAAGAGCAGGCAGAGTTTATTTAGAATATCAATCAAACAATTCGTTAGGTCAAATATAACTTGACTGAATATCCACAAAATATCTTATCGAATTTTTCTTTTCTTCTATGTAAACTGATAGATAGTAGCGTCAAAAGAATAGAACAAAGAAAACAAATGAAAATGATAAGATAATATTACCTTACCAAAATTTTCGAACTTATTTTTCAGCAAGAAGAACACACAATGACTACAATAAACGGTGATATCGACAGTTCGAACCTTCCAATTATTAAATCAGAATTACATGTAAACAAAATAAATTGCTGTTTTTCATAGAAAATTGATTTAAATATATTTTCGTAGGCCGATCCAATTGATATTAATACAAGTATATCACCTCTAGCATCAGCACCTATCTCACTTGATACTATTCTACAAAAATGTGGTGATCTTGGACGGTTTCAACTCTTTCACTATTTCTTTATCAATCTCATTTCCGTGAGTGCTGCAGTTGTTGGCTTCTATTATGTTTTTGCTGCAGCTGACATTGATCATCGATGTCGGCTACCTGAAAATGTATGGCCTAATGATAATCAATATCATCCGATAAATAAAAAACATGAAATCCTAATAAATCTTTATATACCAAAAACAGCAGATGGCAAAAAATGGGAAGAATGTGTTCGATATTTAAATGGAACTATTAATGATACTCTTGTCACTTGTCCAAATGGATGGGCTTACGATCGATCAATATTTGGATATACATTTACTGAAGAAGCTAATCTTGTTTGTGGTAGTCAACCGAAAAAGAGTTGGATAGCCACTCTAATGCAGTGCGGTGGTTTTGCATTACTTTTTATTGGATCATTTGCTGATAAATTTGGTCGAAAGAAAACAATAGCAACCGTTTCTATTATTCTGTTTATAATATGTTTGATTACTCAGATAATGATACAATGGATACCGATGTCCATCAACGTTAAGTAAATTCACTATTTGTTCTCTTTCTAAGATGATTTTTTCTTCTAAGATTTATTCTTTTATTGTTGAACCAATTCGCGTCTGGTCTTACTGCTGCTGCATTCAGCCTCATATTTATTCTAGTACTTGAATTAACATCATCAGCTCATACAGGTTTTGCTGGAAATTTTGCACTCGTTTTATTTACAATTGGTGAAGGTGTTGTGACTTTATTTGCTTATTTAGCAAAAGATTGGCAATTATTGAAATGGATCAATACAGCTTTCATTGGTCTTGTAATACCTTATTTATATTTCATGCCTGAATCCCCGTTGTATTTGTATTCTAAAAGAGATTTTTTTCGATTGGAAGCATTGCTGCGACGAATTGCAACTACGAATAAACGAGACGAAGCTGATTGGTATCCTGTGTATCAAGAACTTCTACGAAATCAATCATTTATTTTATCCAATCAAAAAGAATTAACATTTCTTCAAAAAGCTCATCAAATTCTAGCACATCGATCAACTGTTATTAAGTTACTAATTACTGCTTTACTTGGTTTTACGACACTTATGCTTTATATCAAAATAAGTTATGGCTTAGCTGCAATGAGCATTTCACCATATTTAGGAATACTCATTGGTGCTGCTGTTGAAGCCGGCGGATATGTCACAGGTTCTTTACTGATATCAACAAGACTTGCTCGTAAAGGGTCATTTATTCTTGTGACATCAGTGACAATTATTTGTGTTATTCTTATTCCCATCATTTCGAATCATAGTCCGATTGCGACTGTATTTATTGCTCAATTCGGAAAATTCGCTATATCTGGTTCAATTGCTGTATCATGGATATTTGTACCTGAACTATTTCCAACTGCAATTCGAAGCGGTGCCAATGGATTTTTCATTGCATTTAGTCGTATCGGTGCTATTGTCGCACCGATTATTGATACATCTATTAGTGATGAATATTTACCGTACACATTTTATGCATCAGCTGGTTTAGCTCTCATCGTCGTTTTGCTGACACTACTTTTGCCTGAAACAAAATATACTTCGATGGACGATGAAGAAGATTATGAAAAAAATCGAAGCGATGCTTGAAGTTTATTTTTTGTTTTTCTTTTCGTACAAATATATAATTACACAATAAAATAGGGAATGGTTAGAAGTAAATAAACTTCACAAATCAGTAAAGCCTTGTTTGCAATGAAATTACCGATGAGTTTGTAGTGAACAATTTCTCTAGTGCGTAGTTGTTTAGAACATAAAAAAAGTGGTAAAATAAGTTTGTTCTACGACTTTACTAATTATTTATTTCAAAAGTTTTACAAAAAGAATTTCTTTTTTTTAATTATGAAGCACAAACAAAGTACAAAGAGTGTCTGAAGAGTCATTGGCTAAAAATAAAATTATATATCTTCATGACAGGACCATTTGATGAGTTCATGTTTTGTAGGAATTCTTGATGGCTTAGCCAAACGGCAGATGAAATATACACTGATATCATTTGCAGTAATTCATTTTGTTAACAAATGTCGAAAATAGTGTGAGTTTAAATGTGCATGTCAATGGAAAAAGCAATTAATAAATTCCATCTTCTTCGATATTCACGTACATTCCCACCCACTCATTTTTTTTTCATTTTTTTTGTTTTCTTTTCATGTTTTTTGTTATTTTTAAATTCTTTTTTGCTTTTTTAAAATTTTTTGTTGTATTAGAAATTTTTTACTTTATGAAGACTTTGCTTCAGATCAATAAGATTCTAGTTGTTCAATTTGTCTCGTGGCATTCCAGTGAAGTTATTTCGTGAAATACCCGGACTGGTATGAGACATACGAAGTCGATGACATTGACCATTTTGCAGTTGATATGGTGAATAGCGAGATGCCATATGTGATGGAGTAGCTAAAATTTTGCCAGGGGCAGTCTGAATCAGTACTGCATCATCTTCGTTGTCGGATCGTAGATCAATGATGATCTTAGGTGATGAATGTTGAGGGAAAATGTTTGAGGAACAAAAAGCAGAAGGAAAAGGGGCAGGCATAACTTGAGGAGTGTCAAGACTTGTCTCAAATTTATTTGATAAAGATTTTTTTATATTAGTGTTATTTACATTAAAAGTCATAGATTTATGTGTTGAATTGATTGTTTGACGAATTTTAGCTGTAGAGTTTTCGATCAGAAGGGGACAATGACGTTTCATATGCCCATACTGATTGCAATAATGACAAATGTAGGATGTTGGTTTGCTAGTGTAATATATTGATTGTTGAATATGTTTGATGCATTCCAGTTCAGTAGTAGGTTTTTCTAGAGTATTTTTACCCGAAACTCTATTGGTCGAAGTTCTTGATTGGAGGCCAGGTTGAAGATTTCTATGGAGATACAAACCTAATATACCCTTTTTACAGAAAAATTGTTTCTACTCACTGATCGATGACATCGTCAAATAAAATAGGCTGATATCGAACTGTTTCAGGAGTCAATGGTTGAAATATTTCGCGTAGCCGTCTTTCCACAATAACACTTGTATTGCTTGGAATTAGATCATGATCGTCTTGATACTCTAGAAAAGCGAACAAAATTGTATGAGACAAAGAAAAACAATAGCTAAAAGGGCAAACCTTTATTAGTTGATTCATCAGTGATGGTTAAAACAATCTCATCTTTTGAACGACGTAATGTTGGTTTCGATGATTTTCCGTTTAGGACTTTTTTCAAATGAGCCACAGAACAATCTCTACCATCACACAGAAAACAGCGGAAATCTTTCTCAGACTTGTATCGATACCGAATAAAGGACATAGATGACGTAGCTGCCATAGTAAAGTTAATAAGTAAAGACAAGAATGTTTTCAAACTTTTATTTCGAAAATAAAAGATCAACAAATTAATTGACAAAAAAAAATTTTAAACACAGAGTTTGTAAAACAAAAGAGCTGAAGACAGTAATGTAGACGATAAATGGTCGGCGAACGTGCAGGTTGTATGAAAGTTTATGAAGAAAACAGCAGTATAAATACTGACGACATCGTGTAACACGCGAAGGGAAATTTCTCACATGACTCACGTCGTTTTCGTAATAACGCAAACACGTTGCGTAAGAATTTTGAAGGAACACAACAAGCAAGAAGCTTCATTTTATCCGAAGAAAAATAACGGAGATAGGGAACCTGCCATGATCAATATGGTAAGTTGGGAAAATCATGTTTTTCCTAGAAATTCCATAAGGAGTGTAACCATTTAATTAATCAGTAGGAGATCGATTTGAAAAAAAAACTAAATTCAGGCTTCTTTTAATCGTTTTAAAATCAGTACAAGCTAAATGATAACTAATGATCAATTGGAAGTAGTTGCAGTGTGAAAAATATCTTCATAAATCACAGAAATGATGAGTAATAACAAAAAAAAAACGAATCTTGCGTACATTTATCATGTATGTTTTTATGTATTAGCTATCAATAGAAAATGTCTAGACAGGATCAAGGTGTTTTGCATCTAAGAATTAAACTATACTTGTACAAATCAAGGAAGATCATTGAACATTATCTATATGTAGAATATATTTTGTTCGCCGGGATCAATCATTCTAATATTATTATGAAAACTAAAAGTTGTTTTCAAGATTTTACTCTTGTTCTTCATTATGCTTTATACTTTTATAGTAGGCTCATGTTTACACTACTCGAGAAAACAAGAAATGCATTTAAATGAATTTTTAAGAAAAAAGGCACTTGTACCGTAAGCAACTGAACTGATGAAGGATGTAAATTTCGAAGAACAAATGGAATTCTTTCACCGTCTTTACCTTGCCTGAAATATTATTAATTAAACGAGTAAATTCAGACGAATGGCTGTACATGTGTATGTAAAAATGCTGAATCATATTGTCTATAGATCGATGCCATAGGAATAAAATATTTTCGCCTAGCAACATATGTTTAGCGTTAAAATACGATGACAGAGACTAACACATTTAATTAACGTGACTCAATATATCATTTATTCTGTCAAAACTTTTCGTTTCTACCATACACACATACTCAGAGATTATAACCACAAAAGAATGCAACATAGAATTCAAATGAAAACGATAAGATAACAGAATCTTACGATCGTTTATATGACCAAGGAGAACACCAAGAACACGAAATGAATGAATTAAACCCTCCAAAAAATCCTTTGAAAGCAGATATCAATGAACTAGAATTCCATGTAAGTCTAAAATTGATTTTACCACTTAAGACCTGATTTCAAAATGCATATCAATAGGACGATCGAATCGATACCAACATAAATTTATTACCCGAAGTATCGAAAACGATCTCTTTCGATGCAGTCATACAAAAATGCGGGCATCTTGGACGATTTCAACTTACACACTATTTCCTTATGAATCTTATTTCCATCAGTGCTGCAACCGTTGGTTACTATTATGTTTTTGCTGCAGCTGACATTGATCATCGATGTCGACTACCTGAGAATGTATGGCCAAATGATAATCAATACAATCCAATCAATAAAACGCATGAACTATTAATTAATCGTTACATACCAAAAACAAACGATGGCAGAAAATGGGAACAATGTGTTCGATATTTAAATGGAACTAGGAATGATACTCTTATGAATTGTCCAAATGGATGGGCTTATGATCGATCAGTCTTTGGATATACGTTTACTGAAGAAGCTAATTTTGTTTGTGGGAATGCGTCGAAAAAGAGTTCGATAGCTACATTTATGCAATATGGTGGCTTTGCATTACTTGTTATTGCACCAAATGCTGATAAATTTGGTAGAAAGAAAGTAATAACTACTGTTATTATTTTTCTGTTTGTAACATGCTTGATTACTCAGGCAATGCTGCAATGGATATCCATGTCCATCGGCACAAAGTAAATTCTTTAACTACTCACTATTTTAGAATAGGATGGTTTCATTTTTCTTAGATTTTATTTTATTTTGGCCAATCAATTTGCATCCGGTCTTACTACTGCTGTATTTAGTCTAATATTTGTTCTTATGTTGGAATTAACATCATCAGCTCATAGAGGTTTTGCTGGAAACATGGCACTTGTTTTATTCACTACGGGCGAAGGTTTTGTTACGTTATTTGCTTATTTAGCAAAAGATTGGCAAATATTGAAATGGATTAATACAGCTTTGATTGGTCTTATACTCCCTTATTTGTATTTTATGCCTGAATCCCCGTTATATTTATATTCTAAACAAGACTATGTTCGATTGGAAGCACTACTACGACGAATTGCAACTACAAATAAGCGAAAAGAAGCCGATTGGTATCCTGCGTATCAAGAACTTGTTCGTAATCAATCAGTTACATCGTCACACGATAAACAATTATCATTTTTTCAAAAGAATCGTGAAATTCTAGCTCATCGATCAATTGTTGTTAAATTATTAATTACTGGTTTACTTGGTTTCACAACATTGATGCTCTATGTCAAAATAAGTTATAGCTTAGCTGCAATGAGTATTTCGCCATATTTAGGAATACTAATTGGTGGTGCTCTCGAAGCAGCTGGCTATATAACTGGTTCTTTACTTATATCAACAAGACTCGGGCGTAAAGGTTCATTCATACTTGTGGCAATAGTAATAATTATTTGTGTTATCCTTATTCCCATCATTTCGAGTCATAGTCCAATCGCGACTGTCTGTATCACTCTAGTCGGAAAATTTTTTATATCAAGTACCATAGCTGTATCATGGATATATGCACCAGAACTTTTCACAACTACTATTCGAAATGGTGCTAATGGTATCTTTGTGGCGTGTTGTCGTATCGGCTCTATCCTCCCACCTATTATTGATACCTCAATTAACAAAGCCTATTTACCTTATACATTTTATGCATCAGCCGGTTTAGCTTTTATCGTTATTTTGTTAACATTACTTTTACCAGAAACAAAATCGAAATCAATGGATGACGAAGAAGATTATGAAAAAAATCAGTGATGCTTAAAAATTAGTTTTTCACGCATAAATTGTTTCAAAATACATAGATAATGATTTGAGATATGTACAAAGAGACATATGCAACAACATGAAACTTGATAATTTAGAAACTTATGTTTCTAGCTTTTCGTTCATGAAATTATTGAATTCCTCTTAAATGCTTAACGCATTCGGACAACATAATACTATTGGACAACTTTGAAAAAGACAAGACAAAAAATTGAAAGAAACTGTTGAATGTTATTTAGTGCAACCTTTATGAGATATTATAGTTTTGAAATGACATTTAACATTTATTGATATTCGTCAATATAAATTAAGCAAATAGACTTTACTAAGACATTTTGATGTTTTTATACATCAATCAGTCTTAACATATTCATCACGAATACTGAGAAAAGACAAACTTCTAAAGTTATCGTCTATGTATGTCGTAAAAAACACATTTGTAAGAAGAAATTCAGATGTAAACAACTGAAATTTAATAGTTATCAGTGGTGCGCTATCCTAGTCATTTCTAAACAAATATTCTATGATAATAAATTAATTCAAAATCAAATGTTGGCAGTGATTCTTCGTATGCGTGTCAATGGGTCGGTTATTACTGTAAGAATTGCTGAATTTAGCTGTAAATATGCTTTAAATCTGTTTATAGAGAAGAAAAAGATTACGTAATATTGATAAGGATCAGCATAGAGTCATTGACGACTACAAAATGGCAGTCAAAGGAGTGCACATAATCGAATCATTTCCACTTAAACAATCCTCAGTGTTGAACAGTATGTGAGAAAATAGGTCACGATCGCCATCTACCAGTTTCAAAGTTAAGTAAATTAAAATAATGCGTTATTTGCAGTCTCAAAAAGAGTTACATCAAGATTTAGGTAAATTAATACTGAAAATGCATTGTCATTATATTCAGAAAAAATTAACATTGATCTCATAGATTTGATTGATCATGACAAATAAATCGAGCATAAGTGCTATATCTCTCTTCCACATCCATCTCAATTCACTATGTGTCTAACGCAAAGTAGACGTCAGCAAAAGATTCAATTACAATCAGTAAATCGATACTATTACTGTTGATACCAGTGAAGTCTATTTTGAACTGTTCTGTTAACCTTGCGTCATTCTATAACTTTCCTCTTTTTCTCTTACTACCACGTGAGTCGGGCTTCATCTGAAGAGATCATATTATCATTATCAATAGATAACCTAGTACATTATCATCTAACATTTTTCTTAACCTTTATTCTTCAGCAAGAGAATAAAAGAAAGATTTAAAAGATTTAAATCAAGGACTTCTTAACGACCTGTGTCTTTTATTATGAGTTTAATATTGTTCTTGACAGGCGCATCGTCTAATAATTGAAATTAAAGCAAATTTCTATTAGAACATCTAACCAATCTTTCCTCAATTCAAGTTCAAACTAATTCGACTTCCTCGCTTCTACAAGTTTTCTTGTGCATTGCTTTCCTTATCTTTTATATAAGAGCAAAGGTAATAGTACCGACAGAATAAAATAGAACTATTGAGTCAAAACCATATATAGCATCATCTTACCAAGAACAAACTCAAGATAAAAAAAATGACTACAGTAGTCAATAGTGATACTGACTCCTTGAACGTTCACTCTATTAAAATGGAAATACGTGTAAGCAAAATATATTATTCGTCTTTGAAAAAAATTCAGTATCTCTTGTCAGGTTGATCCAGTTGATACGAATACCAGTCTGTTATTTGAAGCATCGACACCCATTTCATTTGATACTATTCTACAAAAATGCGGTGGTCTAGGACGATTTCAACTCATACACTATTTCTTTATGAATCTCATGCCGATGAGCGCTGCAGCTATTACTTTCTATTATGTTTTTGCTGCAGCTGGCATTGATCATCGATGTCGACTACCTGAAAATGTATGGCCAAATGATAATCAATATCATCCAATCAATGAAACACATGAACTATTAATTAATCGTTACATACCAAAAACAACGAGTGGAACAAAATGGCAACAATGTGCACGTTATTCAACTGGAAATACTGATGATACTCTTGTCACTTGTCCAAATGGATGGGCTTATGATCGATCAGTCTTTGGATATACATTTACTGAAGAAGCTAATCTTGTTTGTGGAAGTGAACCGAAAAAAAGCTTGCTAGCTACTCTAATGCAATGTGGCTGTTTTCCATTACTTATTATTGGTTCTTTGGCTGATAAATTTGGTCGAAAGAAAATAATTACACTCGTTACGATCATTTTATTTCTGGCATGTTTGATTACTCAGGCAATGATACAATGGGTTCCTATGTCAATTGACATAAAGTAAATTTCTTAGTTTTTCTTTTGATAAAACTAGTGAATACGATCTTTTAGATTTGGCCTTCTATTATTAAATCAATTTGCATCAGGTGTTAATGTTGTTGCCTATAGTTTGGCATTTGTTCTTATGCTCGAATTGACATCATCGGCGCATACAAATTTAGCTGGCAATCTTGCACTTATTTCATTTACAACGGGTGAAGGTTTTGTTACGTTATTTGCTTATTTAGCAAAAGATTGGCAAATATTGAAATGGATTAATACAGCTTTTATTGGTCTTGTAATACCTTATTTGTATTTTATGCCTGAATCCCCGTTATATTTATATTCTAAACAAGACTATGCTCGATTGGAAGCACTACTACGACGAATTGCAACTACAAATAAGCGAAAAGAAGCCGATTGGTATCCTGCGTATCAAGAACTTGTTCGTAATCAATCAACCGCATCGTCAGATGATAAAGAATTATCATTTTTTCAAAAAATTCGTCAAATTCTGATGCATGGGTCAATGATTGCTAAATTATTGACTTGTGTTCTACTAAGTTTTACAACATTGCTGCTTTACTTTAAAATAAGTTACGGTTTAGCTGGAATGAGTATTTCACCATATTTAGGAATACTCATCGGTGCGGCTGTTGAAGCAGCCGGATACATTGTAGGATCCTTACTCATGTCAACTAAACTTGCTCGTAAAGGTTCATTTATTCTTATGATAGCGCTCACTATTATTTGTGTTATTCTCATTCCAATTATTTCAAGTCGAAGTTCGATTGCAACTGTCTGTATCGCTCAAATCGGAAAGTTTGCTATATCAGGTACAATTGTTGTATCGTGGATATTTGTAACTGAACTATTTCCAACTGCAATTCGAAGTGGTGCCAATGGATTTTTCATTGCTTTTGGCCGTATCGGTGCCATTGTCGCACCCATTATTGATACATCAATTAATAAAGCCTATCTACCGTATACGTTTTATGCATCAGCAGGTTTAGCTTTTATCATCGTTTTGCTAACATTACTTTTACCCGAAACGAAATCGAAATCAATGGATGCTGTAGAAGATTATGCTGCAGATGAAAATAAAGCGTAGTGACTACTTTTTCTGCTTTTCTTTTCATACATAAACGGTTTCACACGCACACACGCATACAATAAAATAGGGGAAAAGAACAATAATACTACATCCAACCGTTTAGATGTAGCCGAGAAAGCGCAGACGGACGAAAATAGAGAGGAAGAAAAAAAAACATACGCACACAAAAACAAAAGATCTGACTAGAAGAACACAAAACACCTGCACTGAGATCCGATTCACCGTTCTTGTTTTTTTTAGATAAATAATAAGGCGTTTCTTTTTCAAAACATGCACAAAGAAAAAAACTAAAGAGCGCAGAAAAATAATTTCTTTTTGTTCATGGATAGATATATAATATTTCTATTTTCTTTTATCAGGACTAATCACTGTCGCAATGGTTCAAGGAAAAAAAATAAACGAAACAAGACCAAAACGAAAAACAGGATATATAAATATGTACATTAAAATGTGAAGGAAAAGGAAAGCGAACTGTTCAAATCAAGATTTCATTTTTGTTTTCGTATTTACTGGTGTTGTTACATTATTCTTTATACGACGATGATCATGACGATGAGCTCGATATGCTCGTTCACTTGTAAAAGTCTAATAGAAAATAAAATAGAAAATAATGACAGACTGTCTCAATATGTTAGGATGTTTATGTAGACTTTGTTTATCTGAGCTCTACTGCCTTTGGTTAATGTGTCAAAAAACATGATGCTCCCTATATTATCATCGATATCTCGAAAGCAGACGTATATTCCTTTCGTAACTAAAAAATATTCTTTACCTCCATACAATTGTCAATATCACAGGTAAAATGAGCGATTGAAGCATTATCACTATGCATTGTTAAACCATCATCATACTAAAAGAAAATTTCGTTTCGATTGATTCGTTTTGCTTTACCAAATTAATTAACTTACAATACGAAATTCATGAAATGCTAATGAGGATTCATCATCAAATGGTGGTTTTTGTTCATGTTGTTTATGTTTTAACATTTGCAATCGTTTTCGTTTGGCTGATAATGAATTTGTAGATGTTTCACGAGCTAATGGATGCACTTTTGGCATATAATGAAATTCAATACATTGTTTTACAGTTTTTGTCCCAACCTATAAGAAAAATCAGTTCAACTATTAGTTTCTCTTAGATAACGAAAGCATACTGCTCGACTAATAAGCAGAAAATTCTTCTCCAATGTTTCCATTGCTTTTGTAAATGCATCGACTTCTTCTTTAGTCCATATGTCACATTCAGGAAAATGATATCGATGTAATGGTCGACATTGTTTTATATCATGTGCTGTACCATCGAGTAAAGCAGCTAATGTACGTTGTAAATCACCATTATATTCATGCAATAACATATATACTAATTCTATGGGATATAATGTTGGAGAATGACGAGGGGAAAATAATAAAGGATTTGTTCGACTTAATTGCTCATATTTTTCAAGTGCCTGTTCATCAAGATATGGAAGTTGAGATGAAGAATATAATAATTCATCGTGATCTAAAGGTGAAAATTGATGGTTTATAGAAAAAAGAATGTATCGAGGTAATAACCTAAAGTTAATCGAGATTGAATATTTTCTAGGAATGTTTATATAGAATTAAATGATTATTTACAAGTATTTTCTAGAATGTTCTGTGAATTGTACAGATAATAATCTTCTATTACCAAAAGAATGTTGTTATTAGGTCAAAAACAGTTAATCATTTTAGATAAATAGAATAACAAAAGAATTTTTGAATAAAAACTTAATTCAACGTCTTATGTTAAAAATGCTCAATATTATAAATTAACTTAGTTTATTGCTCTGAAACTTCTCAGACTAATGATTCTAAGTAAATGACAAGCCATAAGCACTAATATATGTACATATATTAGAGACAAAATTAGTGGAGGTCATGTTGACTAGTAATATGTAAAACCTGATATAGACATTAGCATTTAATCAGAAAAATCCTTGAGTCTGCTTTAATAATGAGTCGCACATATTATTGCAAATATAAAGAATGGAAATTCTAGTTCGAAAAAGGCCATTTCAAGCAGTTTACTGAAATATTATCACTTAAATTTCATTATTTTTCGAACAAATATATCAGTCGTAGAAATGCATACTCTAGTGTGAGAAATCGGAAGATTCAAAATGACAAACCTGCATCGTCATAGTCAATTTTGATTTGAAGTTTCGGAATTGCAGCTTGATAATCTTCGCCAATATTAATTTTCGGTCCTGATATTTCGTCTGGTATTGGTGTAAATGGTAGAACAGGTGTTGCTACAGTTGACGTCTGTGCTGGAACTGGTGTTGTTTGAGAAAAAACTTGATAATAGAGACCTGAGCCTTTACGAAATGGGCTGAGCATGGGCGGTGGTGTATAAGGAGTTGATGGAAGTGGATTTGGTGTTTGACTACCAAGATTTTGTAGTCGACGAAATTGTGAAATCTGTGATGGCCATTGAAATGAACTATTATTCATATTGTTAATAGTAGTGCTATCAGGTGATTTTAATGGATTTACTGAAGTAACATTTTCATAATTGAAATGAGTTTTAGCTGATGACGTTGATGTTGATGAACTTGCACGACTCGATGATGACGGAGATATAATAAGAAAGCCTGATGTTGACTTTTTTACTGATTCAACTGTTGGATTATGAACAGGAGGACTTGTTTTTACTATTGATGATGTGGGATCTTCTGATGAATTTTCACGATTTATTGACTGCTTATCTTGTTCAAAACTTTGTTGTTCCATCAAAGGTGAATACTCTAATATTGTCTGATTTGTATGTTGTTCATCTTGTGCTTCCTGTTTTAAAGCATTTAAAATACGTTTTTTAAGTACGCCATGGGATGATGATGAATTTGTAAGTGGCGACGATTGTCTACTATTAACTATCGATACATTATTATTATTGCACATATCATTAGATGATGATGGTGAACAGTGACTAGCGTTCATACTTGAATAAGGGGATGTAACCGGAGTATTTATGAGTGATGAAGTAGAATTAGGTACTAGAAAAGAAAATACATATATTTATTAAAAGAGAAAATTAGGCTGGTTTGTTTTTACTTCTATCACCGGGCGAATGAACAACATGTGGCGATGGTGAGTGATATAATTGTGCTGTATATGGACTCGACGATGGCGTATAACGGTTTGATTCATCTACGGTTGAATGATGTGGATTGAGAAGTTCGTTATGTGGTACATAAAATTCTTTATTTAATAAATCATTTGTATGATAGATAATCCTTTGAAGAAGATTCGGAGTTATACTTGAAGTTGAATGTGAAGGAATGGAAAATTGAGAGAAATTTGTTGGATGATGTTGAGTAGATGTCGATCGAAAATATGGATGTTGAGGATGATTGGAAGGCGAAAATTCATTCATCATCTAAGTTAAATACAAAAGAAATTTTATTTTATTTCCAAAACTATGTGAATGAATGCGATTTCTACTATTGATCAAGCATTGTCTGTGCTTTATGAGCCGTTGCAAATGTACATAGGAGTGGTAAGTTCACTTTCTATTATGATTTCCCACAAGACTGAAAATAAATCTTGTTTAGTTCGTTTGTTGTTAAACAAAAGCAGTGCCCTAGTGAATCAGATATCAACGGTTGTTTTCTCCGTATATTGTGTTGTAATAAAGCAACGACAAGATAAAATTTTGATTTGATCATAAAGACGAAAAGTACACTTTACCTGTCTGTCATGATGATAATATTTCGAGGTTTCATCGGCCGATAAAGTTTTTCTCATTTTCTCATCATGATGATGATGTTGTATTGTTGTAACATTGGGAAACGCTTCTGCATTAGTAAATGGATCAAATCGTAATAGTCCAGTCGATACATTTAACGGATTATTTATATTATTTGGCATATGCATTCGATTGTAAATAGACTCTTCATTGGAACATAAATCAAAACCATAATGATGATTATTATTCTTATCATATAAATATAATGGTAATGGCATTTGTTTTCGACTCGGTTTTAGAACATTCGTCGTCGGTTGTACACTCATTGGATTTTTAATATTATAATAGGCTAATGGGCTTGCTGCTGGTTGTACAACTGACGATGATATTGAACGTGTACGTGATGATGATGATAGTCGATCGTATGAACGATGATGCAGCACATCCGAACATGGCGGTAATGTTCGATACATTGTTTGTTGATAAATATCATTTGTTGAATTACTCGGCGATGAAGACATCATCGCAATATCTTCTTCTCCATTTTTAATTGGCATTTGACATTGAACTGAAGATCTGGAGTTCGACTCATTGGACGTCGAAGGCGAATCGAAACGCTTTCGTTTTGTAATACGATGTTCGCTGTTTGATGAATTTATTAGACGTTTTTTTCTCGGCATACCTTCAAGCGTTGTAGGTAACACTTGTTTCTTAAAAGATAAATACAGATATGAGAGGGTTTGTTCTCTTTTTCTTTGCATATTTACGTCATTAAATCCACCATGTAAACGCATATGACCATTGAGTGCTGCACCATTTTTAAAACTTCTTTTACAAATATGGCATTCAACACATTTTTCTTCATCAAATCTAAAAGGAAAGGGTTATCGCATATAAGAAATACAAGATGTGAACATACGTATAGGTTGTTACTAATTTGTTTCCATTCGATGATGACCGATTTTGTTGATTCATAGAAAATGATGGTTCATTATCCATCGATGATGATTGAGGAGAATTATGATCAATGGAATCAATTGAAAAATCACTACTTAATTCCTTGGTTTTAACAAATGCTGTTTCCGGTAAAAAATTTCTATATTCTTCATGTCCACCTTCATGTATAGCAGCTAAGATATTTTGATGTGCATTTTCAATATGTCGCTTTAATGATCGAGCATCACAATAGGTTCGATTACAATCTGGCACACGACACTTGTGTGGCTTTTCTTCTTCATGTGTAAGCATATGGCCATGACTTAAACAAGTAAAAACACCATAAATTATAATTTCTAATTTTTGACTCATGAGATTACAACAGAAGAAAAAAACTAATCGCAAAAACCCGTAGACTATGTCAGCTTTGATAATTATTCAAAATAGTGTTATAATACATATGCATGATTCACGTCATTCGTTAATATATGTTAGTATGAACTCGGCGTAGTAAATAAATTATTTACGTTAACTAATAATACATGAAATATAATGAAGAATCTTGATATTGAATTCTACTTGTTAATCTCATATGAATTATTCAAAATCATTGGATATGATGTTTTTCGGTTAAGACTCAGATCCGATTTATCCTAAGATTTTGTTTGGTTTTTAACCAGAGATCCAATTAGTAAGACATTGCTCGAAAAAGTGTCAAGAGCTATTAAAATGTTCTTTATAATCGTTTAGATGTTAACAAAGAAGTTCAGTTTAACCCTGACAAAATTAATGTTTTAAAAACTATCACATGTTATTCATCTCGAATCCGTGTGAATTTCAATGGATACAATACAAAATAGTTACTCGTCATTCATTCTTGACATGTGAAGGGTAAACATTGAGCACTTCAACTGCTCGATATTCAAAGATTCATTGTACATGATGGACTTATAAGATGAATGTACTCCTACTCAGTTTCCCCGAAGGAATACCCTAGAACAACATTGTGTAATGTAAAAATTAAATATCCTCTGGTTCAAAATGTTAGGATATACTTCGCCGACAACTATCACTGGTAGATATAATTAGTGGATTCTACACGTCGTCAATAAAATTCATTTTGGAGATGGCTCGAGAAATCTTTAAAAAATGCTTTGTAAACGTTAACGAAGATGTTTACATCTATCCCGAAGACAGTCTTCTCGAATATATAATACAATTTGTCGGAGTCAATATATTTTTTAGAGCGGCTATTTCTAGACTTAACTCGAGAGAGAGACGGGGAGAGATTGGTTTAATATTGACTTACAGATGATCAAGTCGTTTAAAACCTTTGTTACATTTTGAACATTTATGTTTTCTATCTTGACAATGAGTAAGTTTATGTTTTGCTAATGCACTTTTATTGGCAAATAGCTAAAAACAAATGAATACTAATATTTATTTTAATGTGTGGCTTCGATTTACTTTTCCACACTCCGGATGGCTGCAATAGTGTCGATTAGTTTGTTGTTGAGGCGATAATGATGAATTATTTGTTTGAGATTTATTATTATTTGTTGAACCCAATGGTGATAATTTAACATCACTCGATGAAGACGATAATCGGTTTTTGTCTATAATAAAAAAAATTTAAATGAGAAAGAAACAGAAGATATGCGAACCTCCTGATGAGTGTAACATCTGACTATGAGTTCTTGATGACGTATGTTGACTATTACTATTAGTCGAACTGTGATTACTATTATCATCTTGATTCAAACCATTTGTTGACATCATGTTTATTCTTTCGTCCGTATTTATAATCAACGGTTTAGTCATTTGATCTTGATTATTATCTTTATTTTCATCATTTAAATGATTTTTCAAATCGTTTTCTTTGAGAACATTTGCATCGAACGTAAAAAATGAGGTTCTCGCTGCTACAGTCGACGATGAAATTTGAATATTATGATTGGATGTTAATTCAAAGCCTGCACTATGAAGAGGACTAAATGTTTTTTGGAAATTACTCGCAACGGTTAATTGATTATCGGGATGATCAGTTGATGCAAGTGGATTTGGTGGTGTTGTTAATATATGGGATGTACTACGAAGATATAAATGTGGCGATGGAGATGTTGTATTTGCACGAGATTTATTCAATGGTGCTGTTGATGTTGGTTTGTTTTCATCAACAGATTTATTTTGTGAATCATCAAGTAGATCATGTGAATTCGAATCAACGTCAGCTGAATAAAAGAAAAGCAACATGTACTTTTTTTAACTTTCGAAAATTTGAGTATTAATTATTTGGGAAACACGGAGATTTTTTGTTTTTGTCTAATGCAAAAAATAAATAGAACTAAACTTGAGGATGTGTGTCAAAGATGAAAATAAAAAAATTTTCTAAATCTTATATAATATCAAGTCATGGATGTACGTATATTATAATATGATTGGATATGATTAATTGCTTTTTATTTATTTGGCAAACAAGGTCAAAGGTGATTTTGAAACAAAAAATATTTGTGAATAGAAACAAGAAAGAAACTAGCCGAAGCTCGCCAGAGAAAAACATAATATTTTTCAAGACTAACGAGAGGTTAAGATCAGCATGTTTGACACATATTCAATCGAAATTCAGTGCATTTTGATTTTCTTTTTCTTTTCTTTTAAGGACTCTAAGCTAAAAAAACAAGAGAATAAAATAGTTTCGATTTATTTTATATAGTACTTGGATGGCTATATCATTTGTTGAAAATATGCTTGACTTAGTGTCTATCTAATCGTTTGTCTATTGATTATAAAATAAATCCCCTAAGGATTTACGACTAAAAGAAGTTTAATTATTTTCTTTTGCTACATACCAACAAGCGCATCTATTGAAGCTGATGGATCTTCGTCATCGTCAATTTGCATTGATGTAACAACATTTCCACCTTCATTCATTCGTTTAACCATAAATGGACTGAGAACTGGATTAGACCATTGTTGTTGTTCTTGAATTTGTACAGCAAGTAAACGATTATTATGCGTAGGTGTAGATGGTTGACTTGTATTTGTTGTTGATGATGATATTTGGTTTGGACGATGACTCAATGGTGAATGATGACCATTACTTGTTACATTAGCCTTAACGGTAAAGAAGTATGAATTTTTATTTATTATTCTTTTCTAGACTATTTATTTTACTTGTAATGTTAATTGATTGTATGCTGGTGGTGTTGAATTATTTGTTGTTCCAAGGTTTTGTGTTGATGGTGGGAAATGAAAATAATGCTGATAATGATTTGAGGATGTTTGTAATGGAAATGTATGCGGTGTATGTTGATGCTGAGAAAAAGGATCTAGTAAATGTCGTTGTTGTTGTTGTTGCTGCTGCTGCTGCTGTTGTTGTTGTTGTTGTTGATGATGAAGATGGTTTTGCTGTTGATACTGATGAATATTATGTTGCTGCTGCTGCTGCTGTTGATGGTGTGAAGATAATTGAATACATTGCTGTTGTTGCTGCTGTGGTGGTTGATAATGAAAAGTAGCAGTATGAGCATGAGGTGATAAAATTAACGATTGTTGTTGTATATGATGTGCATGAGGATGATTTGAATTTTGAGTTTGTTTCAAATGACAAACTGGTGCAGAATAAATACCAGGATCATTTTGTTGTTGAGTATTATTTACATCGAATACAGATAAATCAATGTTACTTGGTCGACTCGGTCGACGAAGTGTTGAAATTGGTGGATAATGGTATTGTTCAATATTAGTTGTTGTTTTCGAAGATGACGTAGAATTTGAAGATGAGGATACTGTTGAGGATGTTTGACCGGTTGTAGAATGCATTATAATATATATATTTATAGATATATATATATATATATATATAAATATATGTATGTATGTATATTACTGTTGAAAGAAAAATTGGACTAGAAAATCACTGTTCGACGCAGCATATTAATAGAGAATAGGGGCGACAAACAAACAAAAATAAACAAAACCTAGAATAAAAAGAAAAAACTCTTTGATAAAATATTAGGAGCCGAAGAAAACTGAACCACAACGTCTTTTTTTTCATAACTACTTGTCTAGTAGTTTCTGCTGGTATATTCTGCGGATGCTTATGTACCTGCCACAGAAAGAAAAGAATAAAAAAAAACCTGCGTGCGTGAGTGTGTGTGTCTGTGTATTTGCTGAAGAAAAGTAGGAAGGGGAAAGCTCGACCAAAAACATAAAGAATACATTAATAGGGGACAAAAAATATTAGACGAGGCAAATAAATGTAGATTATAAAACGCAAAAATATCGTTTTGATAATGTTTTGAGTCAAACACATATGTTTGTTCATCGATTAACTACGACAGACAATACATATCAACTCAAGAAATTTGGATAACGAAAGACGATATCTTTAAAAAGAATATAAATACATAGTTATTATTCCGACCAGAAAAATCTCATTAATTTTTAATGAAAAATACTGACTTTGTCGAGAATAAACGATAGAAAACTCAGTGAGTTAAGTAAATAAAAACAAATTTTTGTTTTAAATGAAGTCATATCATCGTTCGTATCGATAAAAAAAAAGAAGCATTTTGTTAAATTAAAACGATCCAAAACTCAGAGATAATCCATATTTTTATTCAGATAACATATTCAAAGAGTGCATATATATAACGATAATTTATAGATGTCGCTAGAAATTTCAATTTATTCAACTCGTTAGATTTAAAATAGCAACTGATGAATTCAAACAAAGTCCGAATTCGATTGAGAAAATTAAAGAACTGAAAAGAATAAACTTCCAGATGGCGTTAAATGATGAATGTCAAGGCCACAATAGGAGACCTATGAATGATAACCTAGATTCAAACCAACGATATAAAATATTCGCCCATCTGGTGCTCAACTTATATTTTCCTGAATTACAAAGGCTTGAATCAAATGCATCAGCACAGCATCAATGTTAATATTATTGCATGAATATAAAAAACAATTTGATACCCTTTCATGAGAATGAAGTCAGCGTCAACATAATGCAAACAATAACTATAATCGCGTGAACGTTTTTTTTTGTAGTTATATCTTCCAATAATAGTCTCTGGATGCGGAAATCTTCTCTATAACGACAAGATTATAAAATTTTCTATTTTCATAAAAGTTAGATGAATGTACGTTCCTATCTCTATGTATTTATAATGAGTATTTATAAATTTACATTAAAAATTAGATTCAATAGAGAGAAGATTTCGTTAAATATGGGCAATGCAAAGATTTTAACTAACAAAACTATTTTTAACAGTTAAATTATTTTATCTGAAAACATTTAATATAATCACGCCTATCAATTATAGTATGCTTATACTAGCTTACTATTAATAAAGAAAAAGAAGAAGAAGAAGGAAGAAGTATTCAATTATATTTTTTAATAGAACATGGATGTCTGAAATAATTTCTATAATTTTCAGAGAAATATGTGTTAATTGGAATGAACTAGTACCGATACTAACTAGATAGACACTTTTGGTCCATGATATGTAACGAACGATTCCATTAATATGGTAATAAATTGAGCGGCTAGGTTTTTTATGTCAAGAGTGCTATATATATATATATATATATATATTCATGTGTTCGTGCTAGGTATTATCTTAGTGATTATTAAAACTAATAAAAAATAAGTGAAAGAATAGGATTGTTTTTTGTTTCTACAGGTGAACTTTTATCACTCTATCTTCGAGAAACATGATTATTTCTGATACTGTCTGAAAGGATAAAATTAAATTTCTAGAATTAATGAATAAAAAAACAGCTAAAAGCAAATACTTACGCAACGTTGTCAAGTTATTATTATTTGTCGAGCCAATATGAAAAAAAAATAATAAGAGGAAAACAAAAGCTCATTCTTCCATTCTCTTTTGTCTCATATCGTATCAACACTATTCCAGTATTCCTTTGTTGCTCTAAGTCTGCGTCATCTTAGTTGTGTTGTCTTGTCGATTCTTTTCTCTTATTTTTTTCTCGCTCTCTTTTCCTCGGGCGTTTTTTTCGTCTTCTTTTCTATACTCGACATGTAATGCGAACCTGACGACAACAACAACAGAACGCCAGCGCTAACAGAATACTGATGTAGTGGTGACAGAAAAACAGCAAAAAGAAAATTGTCAAATTGCGATGTAATACTGACGGATGTAGCCGTATGATTGTGGGGCAGTACGAGTAACTCAAAAGAGAAAGGGACCACGTTGGTTACTCAAAGTAATGAATGTCTAACACTAAGGATCTAAATGACTGCACGTGATTGTGTGTTTTTATTAAATATGCATTTCAGTAGGCGAAGAATTAAACAGATGAATGAGAAAATGTATTACGACCTAAAACGTTTGCTTTTATAAACATTGATTGAAGAACTAAATAGAAAAAAGCTGACTACGCATACCGGGGAATAATCGAAACTATTTAGATAAGTTTCTTTAATACGAAAAGAAAAAAACAATGAAATAGTGCAAATATGTCAACTCTGTTAAGCTATGCGTGGAAACCGAAATGAAAAAACGAAGAGCTCTATTGACAAAACATGATGATTCAATCACCTATGGATACTTTTCGCCAGTTGACAGAGTGAGAGAGAGAGAGAGAGATAACTAAGAAGAAAAAAATGGTGAATCAGAAAACCTGACAAATATTTAAAGTTTTTTTTTCTTTCGTTCTATTAGTATTCATCATTTCCTCATCTTGTCCGACAGGCACTGCTTTCGAAAATAATGCTTTAGACATGTCGCATACTAACTCGTGATGTAGATATTTGTTTCTATTAGTTCTATAGAAAAATCATCAGAGCATAGAAAAAAAGGAGGAACTACTTCTATAGAAGTCCTTCTAATTTCGAATTATATCTATTTATATTAATCATGCGATTATATCAACATTTACTATATGATCTTCTAGATAAAACTAGGCTATCTTGTTCATTGAAGAGATTAGGATTAATAGGGTTTTCGTGTCTCTTTCCAGATAAAATATTTTCAATAGAAAACAAATTTTGTTCTTTAACTTAATAATACTATTGTTCAAGCCGACCATAAACATGATCTATTACAGTAATTTTCCACTCGGTGAAATATGTGAACGACACGAACGCTTCTTATCGGTTCAATAATTTATGTAGATTTTCTTTTTGAAAATAATCCTCAACGAAATGATCAAAGATGGTCATTTGGAAATGGCGCATCCTACAAGCATTCTTTTTTAATTACCTTAAATTGTTAATAGAAATCTAAAATAAGCTCAATTTATTATCGTTTTTTGTTGTTTTGCTATTTATTGAACCTGAAAGAGCGTCACATATAAAAATAACAAAAGAAAATCAATAATACCATAAGAAACTAGCAATCTAATGTTCCACGACCAGAGTTAATATTATTTTCATCAACAAATACTATTGTTATTAACAAAATAAACTCCCTAGTGCGAATAATTCGAGTTCGAAGCAAAATCCCATTGAAATAAAGATTAAAAAAAATCTTTCTCAAAATGTTTTTATTGCTCAATAATACTCTATAATATGTAAATAGCTGTAATGTTCGATTATAAGATCATTAGTACATCGTATAAAATAGCAAATTAACGAATAATATATAATCGATTTAGATCATATTGTGCCGAAAAAAAAAGCACACGTTTATAATCGTATAGAAAAAGATTTTCTTTACTTATTATCATTTTCAAGGTCACAAGACTATTCTATTGAATACGTTGATATTCGAGAATAATCTTTGAATTAAATAACATTGAGTTCTTGAAATGCAAGATGTCCTAAAAGTTCGCTAGATAAGCAAGAATATGAATAATTCAAATGATATTCTTCAGTTTTCTATAATAATATATCTTATTATCCGGAGCTTTGTCCAACATAATAAATCTATGTATGCTTTCTATTCAAAATGAACACGCTAAGTTGTAATGTCTAGTTCTCTGGAAGAAGATTTGGTGTGGTGTCTCAAAGAAAGTTATTTCTTTTTCTTTTTGTTTTCGTTCAAGCCATTCATTGTTTAGCAGGCATGAACTGACAAGAGTGCAGCTAATCAAATGAAACCTTTTTTTTCTCACGGTGCTATCGTAGAAAATGTTCCCAAAAGCAAAAATCGGCGTACTTCAGTGCCTTTTTTCTATGTTATCAATGTAATTGTAATAAGTGTTTAATAAAATGTCATTTTTATTCAGAGTTTTTCTTGGCCAACTTTCTTTTCATCATTATAAATTGATTTTATCGAGGTTTTGTGCATAACCTTGACGGCTACTCTTGGAACATTGTTTACATAATCAAAGAGCAGTACTAATGAGGAAAACCTCAAACTTGAGTTGCTCTCTCTCTCGCTCTGTCTCTGTTGGATAGAAAAAAAATATAGTTCAATTAGTTTATATATTTTACATATAAAATCATTATCGATGAAGCGAATGACTATAATACTACTATAATCGGATGAAAAAATGGTTTGGCATGATAATTTGATCAAGCAACAATAAATTAGGCATCAAGTCGAAATCTAGACAATAGGAGAAAACCGCGTTTGATATATTCTCAATAGTTGTTCACTTCTTTAGCAGCAATCCCAATATTGTGATTGACTGCTAAACACATGTTCTCAAATTAGTCTTGTCTACACATTAACTATGACATGTAATACAACATTAATTCACAATAAATCATAATTGAATATTATTAATCGAATAACCTGTAACAACTGATAACATTTCTTTTCATCATAGACAATATGAACACGATGCATTAGTCAAAATTAGAGAAGAAAACGAAAGATTTACATAGTTCATGTTCATGGTTGAAATATTTATAGCAGACTAATTTCCTGCTCGCCTACAGTCCGATGATACTTTATTAGTGTTTTCGTCTTTTTCTACATTGACGTCAGCGCTTAAAACAATTATATATTCTTGAGTGTATGTTTAATCCAATTAATTCAAAAACAAAAAATAATTACTAACCTAATTATCATAAAAAAAAAGAAAAGAAAACAGCTATTCTTAGTTACTTACTAAGACGAGACTTCCCTAGCAAAAACGTTGTTTATATATTTTAAATAGGCTAAACCATTTTTCCATCTTTATTTGCATCTTACATATTTTTAAAAGATCAGAAAATGAAAAATGCACACGACAAACAAATTTAAACCAAAAAGAAAAAAGAAAGAAAAACTACAGTAACCAGCATTGCCTGTGTGCTGCTTCCACTGTTCAAACTAAATAACTCTCGAAACACGTTTCTTGTTCTATACATACATATCTTAATAAGAGATTAGAAGTTTTAAAAACAAAAATAAAACCGCGAGTGTCAAAATACAAATGAGAATAGAAAAAACAAAAAATGACAAGTTGGATTATTAGCACAACATGTTTTAAATTTATTCCAGTTTCGTATGTCCCAGTACGGAGCGCATTGCTGAACGTATACATCTTGAATAAACAGGATGAAAGCCCTATTAAGAAAAAAGATTTTTTTCAAATTAGTTTAGCTGTTTTTCTCTCTTACATGAATCCATATAACATCAGCAAAATAGTCAATATATTCTCCGATTTCTGCATGGTCTCCTGAATATTTTGTATATAACCACATAGATAGTAACACAAAGCAAAGCCAAAATGCAAACATAAATATAAAGTTAATTCCTCCGAGCCATATTGCTTCGAGTAGACCAGCTATTATATAGCATAAAACCATGCACGAGATAAATGTTGTTGGTGTACGACTGAATGCAAAGACATTTTTTGAATCGTTATGTTTTTTATAATTAGCTAGAAATAAAATAAACATAAGATACATGTATGAACGTTTTCGCCTTCTTACAATATTGTTCAGCTAATTCATTTTCTAAGTCTTGCAGATAAGTTTGTGACATTTCTTCGCCACCCATTTTACGAGCGCAACGAAATTTTTCAATTGACTGACGATAAACTTCTTGATGAAGTGCATCTAATTGATTGGGATGAATATAGGGACGATCACCACCACAGTGCTATTCAAAACCGAAATATATATTTGATAAATAGTGAGAAAATTTAATGTTTTTTGCTTACTTGTTCCATTGCACGTGTATAAAATTCTTTTGATACAGCTTTGGCAGCTAGATTATTGGCTTCAGCTGTCGCCTAAAATTATTGAGAAGAATAAAAAAGAATCGTCATAAGACAGTAAAGAATTGTCGATTGCAATAGATGTATGTACGTACTTCTAGCATAGCTTTTGGTGATGGTAATTCCCCCGAGGCGAATACAGCACAATAAGTCTAAAGAGACAAAAAAGCAAACATTCTTCATTCTATTTTTATGTCAAGATGATCAAGGTTTCATCTTATGAAAAACATTGAATGTATACTAATTACTTTTTTCGACTTACTCTAAAGTATTCAAATAATTGCGTAGATGTGATCTGTTCTCCATTGATTTCTTTGACAAAATTTGCATTGTCCGATCGGAAAAGTTCTGGTATCAATGATTGCAATTGTGTTTTGAAGTCTTTTTCAATATCTAAATTGAAGGAAAAATAATAATACAACAGAAGAAATAAATCAGAATCGCATTTTAAACCTTCTAATCGTCCATCGAATTCACGTCGATTTGTAACTTTAAGACCAGGATGTGGCATTAGAAAACAATTGACCTTACGAAAACATTGACGTAAACGAGAGCGTACTAGTTCTAGATCATGATGCTGATTTGGTCGGATCTTATATCAATTAAACAAACATCAATGAATTCATAAAGTATTTTTTACTTCTTATTCTCTACCTGAAGACGATTTGTTAAGACTTCTTCTCCGCCATGAAAACCATATGGTGTTTCATATTCAAATTGCCAATCGCGTACAAGAAATGTTAATTGCTAGAAAAACATTAATTTATTTCTTTATTTTATTTTCAAACAAAAATAAACCTGAAACGGAGATGTATGATAAGCGTCAAGTGCTAAAACGCCATATTCAGCAAAGAATGATAAATGTTGTAAATTGTCTTCTTGTAAATTATGCATTATATTATAAACAGTTACACTACTAACAAGTAATGTTAATGCAAATATGAATGCATTTTCAAATACAGTCGAATTTGAATCAAATGTCCCTTGAGTATCCATCAGTAGAACTGCAATCTTGAGAACAGGTGAAAGAAAAGATTAATTTAATTTTTTATTCGAAATTAAAATACTTACTTCTTCACCATTTGGCAATGACATAATAAATGGTTCACTCCACATAATCATTCCGGTTGTATGACGGCCAGCACCTCCACGCCAGTCGAATCCTTTTAATGGTTCACTTTCTTTGCCGATCCATTCTTTTTGATTCTAAATATTCACATTTTTAATTTATAATCAAATTCTGAATTGCTCTCTAGCTATATTTACTTTTGCTCGTAAATAACGAAGGAAAAAATCAAGCATAAAAGATTTTCCTTTACGAAAATCTCCAGCTATAGAAACAAGGGAAATCTAACAGAAATAAAATAATTCAATTAAATCTGAAATAATTAATTTTTGTTGTCGTTACTTTTTTTCCTTGTGCTCGTCTATGATATAAAATTTCTTTTAATTTTTTTTCATCGAGTATAAATTTATGATCGGGAGTGATTGTTACAATTTGCACAGGCCCTGCTGTTGGTGATTGTTGGTGCATGAATAAAATATTTTACACTATATTAAATCTATAAATATGAAATACATAAGTAATAAACAATGGAGCGGAGGTTAAGTCAGAAAAAATATTTAGCGTTGTATTACTAAATATGCAGGCACAGAGAACATATTCAATTGTCATTGCAGAACTTTGCACGAACGCACACAGACATTGATAGAGAGGGCGCTGGATAGCAGTCCAATCGAAAATACCTCCATTGATTTTACGCATCATAGTTTCGCTATGTTCATTGATGTGTGAGAACTATCACAAATGCACATTTTTATTATCTACTACTTATTAGACAGATGCAACAAAATAGTTTTTATTTTGTAATGTGACAATCGTACAAACACCATGCCTTATAAAATATTTATTTGATTGAACTACATTTATTATCGCAAGGTGTCAAATTTTTATCAGCATGGTTTTTTTTTCTTGTTTTGCTTTTGAGATGTGAAGACAGATAAAATGAAAAAGAAATGACTGAATCTTTTCTTCTCAATTCATCCAGGTAAGCAAGGAAATTTGTCTTCTAGTATGTTGAAATGCTCCTACGAAATGGTGTAGCACTTGAAAATTATCTTGGCTCGCTTTCTCAGAAATTTTGTTTTACTGTAGCTCATCTATTTTATCTCACTGTACAATGTACCAAAAAGAAACGTAACCTTGCAAAAACTTTCTTCTCTGTGCTCAAATCCATCATTTATAAAATACAGAAAAAGAAAAATATCTCAAAATAAGTGAAATATATTTGCAGAGTTAGCATTTCGCTTACCGATGAACGAAACTTCACCTAAAATAGAAAATAAAAGTAATGTTTGTACGTAGAATGAAAGAATTCAAAACCAAATATTTTTTTCCACAATGTAAAGTGATTCAAAACATGGGTCTACTCTTGATTGGGCCCACAAGAATTTGTCCATATTTGTCTCTTTTTTCGTCCCATAAAAAATTTAATTCTCTCTTAATTCGTCACATAAAGAGAAAAAAATCTATCTGCAACTCGTCCCACTCTAAAGATGATTCCTATTAGTGATCGAAAATGATGTATACAACTAGTATGGGAGTGACAATTTTGGCATCATTCTTATTAATGTGGTGGATCTAGTGAATGGAAAAAAGGTATGGAAACAATATGAGGTTTATTCATATATTCATTGCACGTTGTTGCTACCAGAAAATATTTTGATTTACAACCAGTGAACGGAATAAGCAAATTTTGAATGTTTTGGATGTTCAATACACGGTTAAACGCATAAACAAAAAAACAGTGTCGGATGAAGGTGTAGAAACAGAGATTGTTCAAGTACATTAAGTTTATCTATTGACAATTAATACGTTCGCCGTGAACATATTGCTCACAACCAATTACGTATAGTATCTCAACCGAGCAAAGTACTTGTTGAAGAAACTCGAAGCTATGATGAGAAGAGCAAGAGAAGAAATTAAATCAATTCCCAAAATTTATTGTGAGAAAGTAGTTGCATTAAGAATGAGAAATCCTTTTTTCTATTTTGTATGCGACGAAAAAAGATGGAAAAATAGGGACGACTTCTCGTGGGCCCAGTCAGGATGCCACTCTCTTGTTTTCAGTGAGAGATACAATCACGTATCGAATCGCGGTATAAGTCTATTGATTTGATTTATATTTTAATTTTATATAGATTTCGAATATTTTTAAAGGAAGAATGCTAGTTTATTGGCCAAATGAATAGTCGAAAGTTCGAGCATAGACTTTTTTTACAGAAACCACCTCGAAATCGTAGCAAAATAAATTTTATAGAATTAAGAATTTCTTCGCTTGATGATCACCCGTCGTCAACTCATCTACTGAATATTTTAGTATTTCTATAGACACTTCTTATCACTAGAATTAATATTTTTAGCCGTTTATAAAAGAATGAAAAAAAGCAGCTAGAGTACACAGAAATAAAATAGAAAGAATGTTGTCCTATCGTAAAATGCAGATAACAAGCCATCAAAAAAAAGACAATAATGTTGGTAGTAAGAATTTCGTCCAACAACAGCACGGTATTTATTTCAAAATTTTGTTCGTATGTGAGTAAATTATTAGAAAGATTGAACCATATCTCTATTATTTCACTAGACACATATGAGTAGTAGAGTGATGAAAGAAAGAACAAATTAAGAACTATTCTATGTAAATTTGTGGGTGGGCTTGCGATTTTATTCAATGATGTACAAAATTTTGCTCCTTATTCAGTAACTATTCTTATATGCCAATCAGCCATGGGGGAGTGTGGGTGTGAGCTGTGTATGAAAAGAAGTTTCACATCCACACCTTCATGAATCTATCTCTTTCTTTGATACTCATTATATTCGATCTCGCGATGGTTTGAAGGCGACTCAAAATTTTAGATACTATTCTTGTTCATAATATAATAAATATAACATAAACATAAGATTCATCAACGGACAGACTGATCGAATTAAGTACCCAGGTCGAAAAGCCACGACCGTATACGACTTTCCACCGTGGTCGTTTACGACTACCGCAAACGTCAGCTGTAAACGACGGTCGTATACGGTCGTAGTTTCATCGTTTGCATCTATTACAGAAGAAATTACAATTATCACAGACAAAGGCTAAAAAATTTTGTTATGATCTATTGTTTCTGTTGAGATTTATAGAGGACGTGATATCATCGAACGTATGATCTCTGAATATGGCTGCAATGTTTAGTGGTATTACGAATGACGAATAGGAAACGTTTGACAAGACAGGCAAAAAAAGAATAAAAAAATATCATGAAGAAAAAAAAATATAGGAGAGAAAACAATGAGATTACGAATATAAAATATAAAAGAATTTTAACCAGGATTAAATTAAACCAAATACATAATAAGTTTACCATATACTCGATGTATAAAACTATAATAAATTCGAATGATACATAGTTAAAATATACTTTTAGATTTAGTCCTGAAATATTTTGAACGTACAGGAAGTTATTTTAATCGTCTAGTGTTAGTACATTCTTTTCTCTTTACAATCAGAGTCCAACTAATATATAATCCACTGGCTAATTACAGCAATCTTTTATTTATTTCTAAGTTTAATTACTTTCTTTAGTATTTATAGCTACACTAATGATTATACTGAACGCATGCTCCACTTCCACGGCACACTCTAATCGGATGTTTTCACTTTTTTTACACGTATAAATTAAATACTATCGAGTATTTCTATCTTATATAATAATGTAAAACATGAACATTAATCTTTTTTTTAAATTGAACGCTATTAATCTTAGTTTTTTAACATTATCCCAAAACTCTGTTATTTAGATTATGTAGCTTTCATTATTTGTCACTTGAGGTATTAAACGATTCAAAATATGTATCAAAACTTTCGAGTTGCTCTTGAACTAGCTGACAAACGTTTGGAACGCAGACGAGCTATAGAAAACAATCGTCACCGTCGAACAATAAACGAGAAATATCCAACATCAATTTTAAACGAGTCTCCAACAACATCTATGTCTCAGGTTGAAGAAGAATCTATTGATGACATAGAGTTAATACATGAGCAATCAATCGATGTAGATGAAATTATTGATTTGAATACCAATTTCAATATTTCTCAAACTGAATATAGTCCAACAGAGCTTGGCACAGATTTAAGCGCACATTGTAATTCGTCAGTTTCAACTGACGATGAATTATTAATATTCGATGATATACTTCAATCAAATGACAGTAACAATGTTCAACCTCTCCATTGTCATACAAACATATCAACAAGCAAATGTTGTCGGCAATTAGTAAAATATTTTCTTGATTCTAATATTAGTAATGTTCATGCTTCTCGCATTAATAAATTGTTCAATGCTGTCCTTCCACAACCATATAATGCGCCAAAATCATTAAAAGCACTATGATTCAATAAATGGTGAGATTTTATATTAGTGATAAACCATATTGAATCATTGTAAAGTTTTTCTTTTCTTTTGACAAAAAATTATTTTTGTCATTGCATCTTTAGAAAAAAAATAAAAGTAAAATTAATCTGTTTTTTTTTCTTCTATTTAGATTCGTTTCAATTGAACATTATTTAGCTATGTTCAAACAAATTTTCAAATTTGTTTTTTCGTCTATAAATATTTTGTCAGATAATTCATGCGGAAGTCAAATGATGTTCTAGAATTGTGTTTTGTTACGTTATTATTGAAGAGTTTGGTGTTTCGATGAAATGAATCTTGAGACGAATTCTTTTTGTTGTAATGCATTTTTATCGAACACTTTTAGTGATATGGAGAGATTTCTCGATATAAATAAGTTTATCCGAAATGAACAACATGAATGTTGACGTTTTTTCAGTCATAAAACGAAACGCTTCAAAAATAATTCTAAAGATTCATTTCAATTCGCCAGTAAATCGTTGAATGAAAAAAAATCCATAATAAAAAAACAATTTTTAAGAAAAAACTTTTTCAATAAAAACAAATCGTGTTACTCAGTAGTTTCAATCATTGTTTTAATTCAATTAAATGCCCATCAGAACGCATGACGGCATCGTTTACTACCGTTTACGACGATCGTAATTGATCGTAACACGTCGTGTACGACACGACGAGTTACGGTCGTAATTCAGGCGGCAAGAAATACGGCGAAATACGATCGTATACGGTCGTAATATATACTGTATACGACCGTGTACGATCGCATACGACGTTGTATACGACCGTTTACGGCGGTCGTAACGCTCGAGCTGGGTAAGCTTATAAGTTGAAATATCTAAAAAACGCTGCAATATTTATAATTTATTATAGGTCAAGTTTCGTATCTAGATGTAACTTTTGATAGTCGATGCATTTTCTAGATTGAGATTATTTCTAATGGCGACGAAACTTACATTTGAACCACGACGTAAGTTAGCGCTAGTGATTGGTATTGGTGATTATGATAATGTCACAAAATTAAGAAATCCTCAAAATGATGCGAAAGCATTATCGTCTCTCTTACAACGGATGGGCTTTAATACTGCTGAACAACAATTGGATAAAACATGTGCTCAGTTGAAAAATATTCTTGTCGATTTTGAACACTCGATAGAATCTAATGATATAGTATTACTTTATTTTGCTGGACATGGGGTAACAAGTGAGGTATCTATTAAAATGTTTACCCTTATAAATTACTACGATTCTTTAATGAGCCTCATACAGTATATATATATGATTTTAAGGGCCAATACTATTTGCTACCAAAAGACTTTCCTGGCATGGATGCAGTACGTCCATTGGAAACACCTGCGTTTTTAAGACGTAATGCCATCAATGCACAAGATATTCTTAACAGTTTAGGTGATCGAAACCCATATTTTATCATTTTTCTGTTGGATTGCGATAGTCATTATTTAAACGCGAACAAGGCTCAATCAGTTGAACTGACAGCTATGCATAATGTAGACTCTTTGATTGCTTTTGCTTGTGCATCTGACACAATAGTCGACGATAAATCTGAACAACAAAACAGTTTATTTATGAAACATCTGTTGAAACATCTTGCAACTACAAGTGTAGACATTGAAAATATATTACGTGATGTGACCAATGGAGTGATGGAGGATTCCAATTCAAAACAGATTCCATATGTGTGTATTCCATCAAAACACAAAAATATCTATTTGTGCGAGCAAGCTGGCGGTAAGAATAATAGCTTTCGATGGAATGAAGCTAGAGTTACTATGGGATTTGCTTCATGTGCACAATATCGTGAGGTGTGGGTGTGGGTTTTAGTCTTTGTTTCACATCAGCACCCTCAAGATTTCTACCCGAATCACTCGATCCTGCCTCATGATTCAGTAGGAACCGATTGAATCCGATTGCCAGAAAATAACGGGTCCCAGCTGGTCTCAAAACAGATTTTTACCGGATTTCATCATATTCGTACTATAAGAAACCGCAACAGGATCTCCCATAGCATAATCTAACGATCGACATATATACCATTTTCACTGATCAATAATTGTATCTAACACCACTCAACAACTTCATCAACCGCATATTAAACCGCCCAAAACCACCATGGACAAACCTAAAACCTTTTTCTCTATTCATACGATGGGAATTTTGAATTTGCGGCAAATTCTCTTATTCTAAAAACAAATTAATGTGTGGCAAAATGGTTATCTACACGTTCAATGGGATGATGGTGAGGGAGAGAGAGTTTTCCACTTCTCTATCCCCTCATATGTTCCGATACAGTAAATCTGACCCAGTGCTTGGAGAGTCCGTTAGCCAGATTTCATAAGAAAACAGAAAATAATTGATCGAAACTAATTTAGATATTACCCATCGAATTAGCTAGAAATACTTGCGAAACTAGCTCTTCTTTTCTAACAACACTACCAGTTCAGCGAGAGAGACAGATCTCGTTTGATTTTGCGTTTGCTCTTCTAGTTAATAGTCCTGCTAATGCTACATGGGCACAACAAGGTGTCACTATTGCTGGAGGTCACGGGGCTGGTAGTGGCACTAATCAACTCAGCTGGCCTCAAGGTCTCTTCGTTGATGATGATCAAACAGTAATTATTGCTGACTTCCTGAATCATCGCATCATACAATGGAATAAAGATGACACAACGAATGGAAAAGTTGTTGCTGGTGGCAATGGCCAAGGAAATCGATTAAATCAATTGAATCAACCAACGGATGTATTAATTGACCGAGAGACAGGTAGTCTCATTATTTGTGATTGGGGGAATCGACGAGTTGTACAGTGGTCTCGCCGTAGTGGTACAACACAAGGAAAAATTCTTATCGACGACATCAAATGTTGGGGATTAGCAATGGATGAACAGAGATATCTATACGTGTCTGATACCGGAAAACATGAAGTAAGACGATATCAATTGGGAGAGAAGAATAGCACTCTCGTAGCTGGTGGAAATGGCTCAGGTGATGGTCTCAACCAACTCAACCGACCGAGATATCTCTTTGTTGATCGACAACAGAATGTCTACGTCTCAGACCGCAACAATCAACGTGTAATGAAATGGAATAAAGGTACAAAAGAAGGGCGTGTGATTGCTGGAGGCCAAGGCGAAGGGACTGCTCTGACACAATTGTATTATGCTTACGGAATCTTCGTTGATATATTGGGTACACTCTATGTAGCAGACTCGTTAAATCATCGTGTAATGCGTTGGACTCAAGGAGATAAGAAACAAGGCACTGTAATTGTGGGTGGTCATGGTCAAGGAGCAGGAGCAAATCAGTTCAACTGCCTCCGTGGTTTGTCTTTCGATCGTCATGGTAATCTCTATGTCGTTGATGAAAATAATCATCGTGTTCAACGATTTTCTATCAAATAGAATTATGAATTGTTTTTTTTGTTGTTTCTTTTTCTACTTTGAAATAAATGAACAAACAAAGAAATAAATCCATTCAGATCAAAAATAAAAGCTCAGACAACAATAACATAAAATTTAGATGTGAACAAGAGTAATAGTCGAAAAACGTACAGTCTTGAGCATGTGAAAGTGAAACTGTAGTTGTGTAGAAAAACTGTCACGTACACTAACATACATAGGGATATATCTGAACATCGTCTTTTGCTAATTGTGTGTTATTTCTTGATCAAAAATTTTCAATAGTGATAGTAATATTGATGACGCTATATTTTTGATCAAAGCCCAGGTCGATCGTTTTGACCACTGAATACTGCAGGAACGGCTCGTACTTCTGGACCTGGGAGATTCAGCCATAAACAATATAGTGCACGTCAAGGTGTGAATATGCGTGTAAGCTATGATGGCGGTCTCTGCTTAATACACATTCATACCCCACCCCCATGCCTAAACCCTGAAATCAGGCACATTAGTTCTTATAATCAGTGAAAATCATGTAGCAAATCGTTAAGACAAGAATTCGAATAGGCTGCAAACTTTTTCAAAGCAAAGAAAATAAAAAGGTGTTTCATTTTCTTATCTGCAACTGTGAACAGATAAAGAAACGCCACATGGCATATCTAATCTTCAAGAGAGAAAACAATTAGTGTGATGGTTTCTGCTGTGAAAAGATATATGTTTTTATCACCTTTTTTAATCTTTGTGTCAGTCAAAACATCCAAAATGGCTGTTGAATTAGGTTTAGCAACATGCATCACATTATTACAATACTCCATAGAATTAGCTGAACAAGTAAAAGCTAATAAACAATTGTGCGCTGAACTGGTCGCCGACTTGGCCATCATTGAAAGTATCCTTTCATCATTGGATCAACAAGAAAAAGAACGAGCAAAGAGACATCATTTGAATCTTGTGTTAAAAAAGTTACGAGCATTGACTAATCAAACGGTAGTCTTATTTGAACGAAGTAAAAGTGGACGGAAGCGCATCAAAATTAAGAACTTTTTTCAAGCAATGCCAATTCAGAATGAGTTGAGAAGATTAAAAGGAGAAGTTCCCTCGGTGATCGGTATGCTATGCTTAGTTTTTCATATTAAACAGCAAGTTAGTAAGCAACTATCGCTGTCATCCATTCTAATGTAGAACATTTTTCATTATGCTTGTAGTCTGAACGCTTTCGAAGTCTTGGCTTAACTGAACAGCAATCATTGGATGAATCTGTATTTGATACATTGGAAGATATTGAATCGAATGAAGAGTATTATATCGTGGATGATAACGATGATTAATGCACTTACTTTAATTCTTCATTGCAATTTTTTTTCGTACTTCATATATACTTTTTAAAACAAGTCCATTTTTTTGCAAAATAAAAGGTTCTGTTTCTGTTTTGTAAAACATAATGTGAAAGAAATGTTGAAATGTCTGGATAAACCGTATATCAATAAGATACCATTAGAATAATAGTTGAACTACTTCCTTATATTAGTTCCAGAGGAACAAGTCAAGAATCGTACGGTATTGTCGGTGACAGAGTTAAGTGTGGGATGACGTAAGATAAATATCTCGAGAATGACAGTAACTGGCGAGTTTCGGGTTTCACCAATCTAAAGAGGCTGAACCATACCGTGTTTTGATATATTACTATATAAGAAGAAATGATTACATGAGCAATATATTCTGCAAATCTTTCCGAGAAATATGCACAATAATACTATGTGATGCCAATTAATTTTTGACTTTAATATATACATTGGAAAATGAGACTTCAGATCTATACTGCAATATCTGTTAGATGAGTGAATAGATAATTATTGTAAATTAAAAGTAAAATTTTATTGCTTGCCTGTGTGCACAGGCAAGCGATAACACTTTACTTTCAAATTAAAATAATTATCGATTCACTCATCTAACGGATATTGCAGTATAGATCTGTAGGCTCTCTTTCTAACGTGTATGTTAAAGTCAAAAATTAATTGCCATTACATAGTATTATTGTGCATATTTCTCGGAAAGATTTGCAAAACATATTGCTCAGGTAATCATTTCTTCTTATATAATATATCAAAGCACGGTTTGGTTCAACCTCTTTGGTTTGATGAAACCCGAAACTCGCCAGTTACTGTGATTCTCGAAATATTAGTCTTACGTCAACCAACACTGAATTCTGGCACCGATAATAGTTTATCGCAAAATAGATAAAATGAAACAGCTACATCTTGTTTCACATTCTAATCCGACAGGGATTGTGCTACCAACTTTCTTATGTTTACCAACTGTATGATAGGAAGACATCAATTCAGTGTAAACGAAACTTTTCTTTCTAACTTCACTTCTACTTTGCTTTTTTCATCCGAAACCTTAAAATCCATATTTCTATTTATTATCTTACCATTTTTCACAATTTCGTGTGCATATAATGTTGCACAGCGATAAGCATTTATTCGACGCAAAATCAAGTAGAAGAAGAAAGACTAAACATGTTTGCATGTTATCTTTATTTTCTTTCTTTCTTTTTATTCTGAAAAGCAGCTTAAAAAAAACACACATACTTCAGTGTAGAAATCATCAATATTGTATTTCATCTTTTAGACAATAGCAGCTCTAAGTGGCAGTATGTCAAAAATTCACAGAAAAGTAGCATTAGTTATAGCCAATCAAAGCTATAGCAAGAGGCCGTTGACTAACTCTGTGAACGATGCCAATGATTTGGCTGATGCCTTGCGTACAATTGGCTTTGAAGTTACTTTGGGTGCTGATTGTACACATCAAAAAATGGCTAATTTGATCGACAATTTTGCTGATAAAATTGAAGATCAAGATTTAGTAATGTTTTATTTTGCTGGTCATGGTTTTCAATATAAAGAGCAAAATTATTTGTTACCAGTTGATGCAGATGAAAAAATAACGAGAGAAGCAAACATTAAATTTAATTCAGTTAATGCCCAAGAAACTTTAGAAAGTTTGTCATCACAAACGTCATATATCACTATTTTTATTTTGGACTGTTGTCGTGAATATCTGTTTGATGATGCAAGTAAATTTCGAGGTGCAAAAAGTAGTGGTTCGGGATTGCACACAATGATAGCGCCAGGAGGCACTCTTGTTCAGTTTGCTTGTGCTCCTGGTAGGTTAGCAGCAGATGGTGGTGGTCAAGATAGGAATGGATTGTATACGAAACATTTATTGAAACAGATTGTCGTTCCAAATCAACATATAGATTTGATCTTTTCCTCTGTTGGTGCTGAAGTTTATAAAGAAAGTAAAGGAAAACAAATGCCATACCGCGTTAGTTCAATTATGATTGCTGAAAATATTTATTTGAATCCTATCGATGCTAATTCAAAATCAACTCCAGCTCCTAAAACGGTGAATATTGTCACATAATTCTAAAAACCGATATGTTAAAAGCTGTTGGGACAATCTTTGTGGGAGTAAAACCTTAAAACACGATCCAAATGTTGTTGCCAATTGTCGAAAAATTGGTCTTTCTTCTGCATAGTTGGGCATATTTCAACATGATGATTTACTTAGCCGTCTATTACTTCAACAAGAAAATACGGCATAGTTATTCCAATCAGATGCTACTATACACATGATCTTCGATGGTTCCTTGTAGCCGTCTGTCACAGATTACGAAGCGTCTGGAGTCTGTCGTTTACGGTCGGCGACAGAGGTGGAACCATAAGCATCGCCGATTGTGACAGACAACTTCAAGAGAGTATCAAAGACCATGTGTATAGTAGCACCTGATTGGAATATCTATGAGTTATTTCCCTGTTGAAGTTCTTGACTGGTAAGTAAACCACTGTGTTGAAATATGTCCAAAAATGCAGAAAAAGATCAACTTTTAGAGCAGTAGTTTACCGAGTAGAATGATTCCAATAGTGGGATCCTATCGGAGTCTTATCGGACACAGTATGGATTTCATTAAACCGACGAAATCCTATCAGTGTCCGGATGTGGGACCTACAATCGGAACCTTAGTGTTGTAATCCGATAGGTTGCAGCGTCGGAATTTAACGGAATCCAACATAAGCATTCGAACCATGTGTTCTGTTGGCGCCATGTGCTTATTTATTGGTGATTAAGAAAATGTTTTTTTTTCCGTCGGATCCATTAGTAGGTGCGTGACCAGGAATCTGATCGAATTTTGTCGACTTGTCGGATTCATTCACCTGGGATACAATGATTAGATCGTGTTTCACATTGTAATCCTGCAGGGATAGCGCCGATAACTTTTAGATTGTGTTTCACGAAATAAATCAACCCTTTAATGTTTGTAGCTTCTCACAACAAATGACAAGCAGAATCCGCAACCGACCTCGCCGAAACCATCATATTCAGGTAATAAGACAATTAGCTTTCTGTCCAAGTAACAGTCATAGTAATTAACTGATACCTGAATAGCTAGTAATTATTGTGTAGCTTGTCTATTGAGTAAAAAAGTACAACTGAAAGACAACTTGAAGAAATACAAATGACGAATTTCTGATGCTAGTGTAAGGAACCGAGACTATTAGAAGAAAACATCTTAGTTTTTTGAAAATCAGCGATTATCTAATTATTGTTTGATACCATTTTCTGAACTTTTCAGAGACCTGTTTGAATTTTTTCGTGTTCTTTTTCTTCAATATAAAATAGCACGTTTTAGAAATGCTGACTCGATTCCACAAATAAGTTTAATTTTTAACGAAACCAAAATGTTTCTCAAGTTGATTACTACTGACTTTTATCATTCTAGTCGAAGTCTCAAGCTTGACTTTGAAATTTTTCTGCATAATTTTCGACCCATTTTCGATTTTTTATAGACTTCTGAATTATACATATCTATCGTGTATATAGTTTCATTGTTTCTCAGAAAAAAACTGATGACAAAAGTTGCGAATAAAAACAGTTTTAGTTTGTTATGATTAACAATAAATTTAAAAAAAAACACATCGCCGTTTTAGCAGTACCATACTTGAACGTTCAATTGAATGTCCACGCTGAGCATAGGTAGCAGATAAAAGATTTAAGGAGACGCGGAAAGATGCCCGGGAAAGTATTGAAAAATATAAAAAGGATGATCATTTGATCATTAGTTTTCGCTAGGGATTTGCTATACTCATTGAATAACACCAAACGAAAGAAGACTTATAGAATGAGAAAATTGAAGAATGACTCATGTCGAAATGAAAAGAAGATCGAAACTATGTAGACTATGGGAGATGGTGTGTTGGAAGACAATAAAACTTTTCTTTTTCGCTTTGTAAAGAAATTTCGAAAAACAAAATTTATATAAATCAGCTTAAAACTACAATGAATATTAACTAGATAGATGAAGCTGAATAGATAGACAGAGAAATTTAGTAAAAATAACTCGTACAAGTAAAAACATCAGACAACTAAGCATTTTTAATGAATACGAATCGTTCATTATGCTAACTGGTGCAGTTGAATTAGAACTCACATAAACATTGACAAATGGAAAATACTGAGCTTATTCGAGCGTGTTATTTTCCTATTTCACATCACTAGTTTTCTATCTATTCATAATTTAAATAGATATCTTTATTTGTTTTTAAGTTAACATAGAAATATAATCAGACTATATTTTATTTAGAAGAAATTGTATTTCGTTCGAAAATATCAATGAACTTTATGAGATGTAGCTACACACCAGTTTTTCTTATCAATTCTCGAATCATTTTTGGATAAAATCAGCTAAAATTATCTTTTCATCAAAAAGAGAATGACTAAAGCATTTGACTAAATTTACAAATGGAATTATCATACTGAGGACACAAAACAGAAGAATAATTCGGTATTTATGTATAGTCAGCTATTCGATAGAACATTTCCGTTGAAATATGAAATTAACGATATATTTTGCAGTTTCATACATATCTAAACAGAACAATAATTTTATTTTGTTGCCGTTTTTTTTCCTCTTTTCTTGTAAATCATCTGGAACTAATCGATTCTGATTCAGTGTCAAACATCATTAATAAACAGGTTTTTAAGATATATATATATATATTTGTGTTCCTGCAATGAATCTGGGTCAGATTTGTTGAGATTTGGGAGGGATATCCTTGTAAAGAATATTCTAGTAGAAAGATATTTTCCTTTCATCTTTTTTTCTCTTTGAATAGTTGAATTTTTTTGGAGTGTTCTAACTTTTGGAGAATCTACTTCAATTTCGATTAATTTCTGTATGAAATGAGTTGTTCTTATGTTTTCTCTTCTAGTTAATAGTCCTGCTAATGTCACAGAATAATTTTTCTACACTGTAAACTAGAAAATAATTTACAGAGTAAAACAAAAAGTGTTCTATAAAGCAGAACATGATTAATAAGAAAAATATGAAAGCATATAGGAATATAATTTAAAGATTTTAAATTATTTTCTTCATAGGAAAAGAAGCAAAATCTGATACTCAAGTTTAAAGATAGAAATACTACGTAATAGTCGATAATATATCTGTGCGAAGAAGTACGTCACTCATGAAGGACTAGATTAAATAGGAGGTTATAGAAACTGTCGGACCTCCACTTATAAGTCATAGAGCTAATGAACATATCGCAGTGACGTAATTAAGTTTACATTACCAATATACATCGTTGTATATGACAACACATAGTCGCATACTGAACAGTACGTAATCTTTCTATGTATCTTTTCTCTCTCGGTAGTATATAAGCTCACGATATATTGGAAAAAAGGGCATTATTATAAGTTAGAGAGTAGTTAAAATTTGAGTTGTTCGAAGAAATAGTCATTAGAACGTAGTTGGAAAATAGTTAGACTTGACTTGTATTGAGAAATATACACATATTATTATCAGCGCGATATTGCTATCTTGTTCATTGTAAACTCATGATTAAATAAATTATTGCAAGTTGGTATTGTCCAAAAATTCTTGGTTGTACCACTTACAAGCTTCGATAATTTTACATCGATTAATTATCTCGATATATACGCAATTCTATATATCTGCATATTCGTTCTCTATCCATTCGAAATATTATTATCGATATTAACCAATATGTCGTTGCTAAACAACATTTTACATATACTATATATTCTTTGCATATTCATTTTTGATCGCTGAATATTAGATACGTTCTACAAATATCACTCTTATATAATTTAGCTGAATAATTTTCACAAAAAAATAGAGCTCATCACTTGAAACTCCGACTGAATGATGATGGATGTAAACTGACTTTCTTGAGGAGTTGAAAATAGATATCCAATCGTTGCTGAGTGCCTCAAGAAAATCGAACGCTTTTTAATGTCTGTCTGGGTTAACTAGATATAATTGTATATTTCTACATAATTATTTAAGTTTGATCTTCTACAAAATATAGAATTTAAATACGCTGGATAGAGAGAACGATATACTATATGTGTGATTGATCACACAATTACTATAGTGTAATCCTTTCGAAGAATTCTTTTAATATAACTTTTTCATTCTATAGAATAATATTCCAGTATAGAAAAAACTTATTCTGAGGAATTTCTAAGAAAGAATGATCTATTCAAAGAATTTTGCTTGACACTTTCGAAATTATTTCATATACTAGCTATACTCGAGAGAGAAAGAGAGAGATCTCCTTTTATTCTTACGTTTTCTCTTCTAGTTCATATTCCTGCTAATTATAAATGGGCACAGAGCGGAGTGACTATTGCTGGAGGTCACGGGCAAGGTGATGCTACTAATCAGCTATGGGGGCCTTATGGTCTCTTCGTGGATGATGATCAAACAGTGATTATTGCTGACTTCTGGAATCATCGTATCATCCAATGGAAGAACCGTGATACAACGCATGGACAAGTTGTTGCTGGTGGCAAAGGCCAAGGAAATGGATTGCATCAATTGAATTGTCCAACAGATGTATTAATTGACAAAGAGACGGATAGTCTCATTATTTGTGATCAAGGGAATCAACGAGTAGTACGGTGGTCTCGTCGTAGTGGTACAACACAAGGTGAACTACTCATCGACAACATCCAATGTTATGGATTAGCAATCGATGAACAGAGATATCTCTACGTTTCTGACGAAGGAAAACATGAAGTAAGACGATATCAATTGGGTGAGAAGAATGGCACTCTCGTAGCTGGCGGAAATGGTAAAGGTGATGGACTCAATCAGCTTAACGGGCCGACAGGTCTCTTTGTTGATCGACAACTAAATGTCTACGTGTCAGACAGCTCCAATCATCGTGTAATGAAATGGACTAGAGGTGCAACAGAAGGTATTGTGGTCGCTGGAGGACAAGGTCAAGGGTATGCTCTGCCACAATTGTATCATTCTGAAGGACTCTTCGTCGATACGTTGGGTACACTCTATGTAGCAGATACGTATAATCATCGTGTAATGCGTTGGACTCAAGGAGACAAGAAACAAAGCACTGTAGTTGTGGGTGGAAATGATTCAGGAGCAGGAGCAAATCAGTTCAGCAACCCCGTTGGTTTGTCTTTCGATCGTCATGGTAATCTCTATATCGCTGATACGAATAATAATCGTGTTCAACGATTTTCTATCGAATAAGATTTGTGAATTTTTTTTCTTTGTTCGTTTCTTTTTCTATACTTTGAAATAAATGAACAAAAAAAAAAGAAAATTTTCTTTTACTCTTTCGCTTCAAATGAAAGAAAAAAACTAAAATATCAGATTACGTCATATGTTTGTTTTCTTCTCCTTTTATTTATTTGTTAAATGAAAAGAAATGAATTAAATAAAAGAATTTGTTTTTTTTCGTTAAAAATGTTAATTATTAAAGTGAAAGATAGATTGCTTTTTTGAAAATATTTAATATTATAATCAAAAACAATATTTATCTTGTTTTTACAATTATTTATTGGTAAAACAAAATTATTTATTAGTAAAATCAAAAAAACAACTTCAGTTATTTAAAAATATTTATTTGAACAATTAGAAAAAACAGAAGTTACAAAAAACTAAAAAAACTACATAAAAAAAACACAGTTGTAACTATTTTCGTTTTGTTTGAATTGTTTGTTGAATGGAACTAAAACATAAAAATGGCAATTAATTTTATTTTTTGGAATAAGATAATGAAGAAAAGTGAAAATAATTATACTTACTTTACTGTTGATGAAATCGAGATGAACTAAAACGAAATAAGAAACGAATTGATTGGAATGAAAATTTTTGTGTTTTTTGCTTACCAGCTAATAGTTGCTTGCGCGACCAAGAACTACCTTGGTGGTGCCATAGAGAGTCGAGGCTCTTCAAGTACAGACAGAGAAGTAACGTGTATAGAACATACAACAGATAGATCTATATAGCGGCATGTACGTGGTATGGACACCAATATACGCTTGGCCAGTTTTACGCCGATGTATGGAAGGCCTTCTTTCTAGGACGTATTAAAAATATAAAAGAATACTTTTATATAACTAAAATAGAATAGAAAAATAAAATTTTAACTAAAATGAAAATAGAAAAACAATTATTATCATCATATAAAATTAAAATAATAATAAAAAATGGGGTAAAAAGCTGACACAACGCAAAAAAAATTCAAAAACTGAAACTATAATACTTACTCGTGATATTGATAATGGTAAATATGAATAGAAGCTAAAATAGCTAAAAAATAAAATATATATATACATAATATTATAATATAAGAAGAAGAAGAAGAAGAAGAAAAGGAGGAATGATACTTTACGTTCAAAAGTGTAACTATTTATAGTCATTTTTAGTGAATCGAAATAGACAATTGATATTAGCTATCAATTTGCACTTTGGATTGATCAATGACCCAGGTCGAACAGACGCGATCGTAAACGACCGTATAGGGAGAAATACGACCATATACGGAGACAAAAAACGATCGTTTACGATTCCTGTATATTGAGCCCGCATACGATCTCCGTATTGCTCCGTATTTTACCGTATACAACACGGTGATATACGATCGTAATACTGAGCCATGTATTACGGTTAAATACGATCGTATACGGGGACAAACGAAGTGTATACGACCGTTTACGATTGTATATGAACTCAGTAAACCTCGACTTGGGAATGTGACAGTGTTACAATTAGTAGTCATCATCGAGATGAATCAATTATGTCATACAGAAAACAACATAACATATTAACGTAGCCTACTAATTGATCGCTTGTGTTTCATCTGCAGCTGTGCAGAATGAAAGAATCATAAACCTATCTATATTCATTTGTTTCATTATGTGAACTTCTTTGTACTGTCTAAGGTAACCTATTTCTTTTCTATGATTTAAATCAAGAAATAATCTAATGAATCTTTTTCTTAATAGAAACAAAAATGTCTTTTGGAAACAATATCAATTATCAACTAAAAAAAGCTTATTTATTGTTAAGGTAATTTTTTTTATTAATATCTTTTATTTAAATCTTTCACATTTACGTTAGATGCTGTAAAATATTTCGCCCATAGAGTTTGCTTAAAGATTTTTAATATTATTTTTGATTTCAACGACAAATATTAAAAGTAACAGAATGTAGATTAATCACCTTATATAATCCTTAATAAAAATTCTACTAATTTCCATTACCCAGGAGGATCATTCTGGCCGTCTGAAACACCATCGGAAACGACCTGAAATAGCTATAAAATGAAATAAAACGACCTTAATTTTCACTCTATTTCACCGTAATCCGTCAGCTCGTTTTAGGGGCCATTTTTTGCTAGAAAACGGCCATCGCTTTTAATACTATTCTCTTCGTTTTCCGGGCTGACGGAAAACGGCGCCGTTTTTCAACGTTTTTGTGAACTTTTATTTACCAAAAAAGGAACAAGTTAACAATTATTCTTTTTTCAATTCCTTGAGCGAACAAAAATGGGAAGATAAAATAAGATAAACAAACAGACATGTAACATATGCATATCTTATTATCCTCCTCCCAAAAGAACACGAAAAGATACAAACATGCATAACTATGTAAGAAGGAATGGAACGAAAAGAAAGCGAGCAGTCGCTTACACTCATAATCTTGATCTGAATCAATTAGATGATTTTCAATGCTATCATCAAATTTAACTTTTCCACCCTTTCCTTTTAGTTTTTTCATTAGTTTTTGTTTTTCTTAAATCTTCTTCGAAATATTTAATAAAATCTGCGCAATGTAGATTACTTTTATCTTCCATGGCTTCGACTTGAAATTCAAGTTCTGCGATTCATTCCTAAGCTGAAAACGAAAAAGGTACCAAACGAAACCTTTGAGGTTTCGTGGAGCTGTACGATACTATTTAGGTATCCGCGGAATTATAGGAAATCTGTATAAGGTTTAGTAAAATGCAAGGTTTTGTAATATACTTTTAAGGGTTTCGAAATTTAAAAACGTTTCGTTGTGAACTATTTCGAATTTGTGATTTACAATAGGTTTCGTCATAAACCTTTTTGAGTTTTGCATTCCAACAGGTTTGTTGAAATACCTTGCGAAGAGAATGTATTCATGGTATATCGTAAAAAACCAAAGCGTCTCTCTCGACATCACATATAACAGAACAACTACATGACTAATGATACAAACAGCAGGTTCATTCGCAATTCCATTCAATCGATTTTCATCAAATTTCATCGACAGGCATCTGAACTCGTCCTGGAAAACTTTTTGCTGCATTCATCGCTAACTGTTTTCTCTTATCAAATACCAGAAGTTTTGATAAAAACGTTCAAGATATTTATTGGTTGTCATTTATCGGAGTATGATTACCACAATACTATATTTTTTGTTAAGATTATTGTTTTGTTTTACATTGAACTAATGAATTTAGATTAGATCATCGACTCAGTAGTTACAGTATTTCAATTATTGTTACAAAAACAATTGCTGAATCTATAGCAACTATTTTATGTGCGTATATTATTGTTGTTTTCTTCACATATCATTCATTTCTTTATTTAGTGTTGATTCAAGTTTTGAAATTTGACTATATAATATGCACGTACATCATATCACACTTAAACTATACTTTTTCGTATTAACGGTTAGATACCATAAGTATTAATAAATTCATTTTTCTTTTATTTAGATTCTTGGGAGAATTGCACTATTGGTAAGTTATTATTATAAACGATAAATTCGTTCATCCACTATTTTAGTTCCTTCAGAATTCGATGATCAGTAATTTAGGATGAGAAATAAAAATTTATTTTTGTTTCTATTAAGGCTTGTCTTGAATTATATTATTAGTAAGTACTGATTAGAAATGGTAAATTAGTTTATCTTCTATTTTAGCTCGTTAAGAATTCAGTTATTGAATACGTTACTATTAAAAATAATCAATTTATTTATCCTGTATCTAGATTCTTGGAACCATTCTATCATTGGTAATATACTATTAGAATTACCTAATTCGTTTATTTTCTATTTAGGTTTCAGCAATAATTCTATAAAGGGTATAAGTTAAAATTATAATTAATACATGTGTTTATTTTCTATTTAGATTTTAGGAGGAATTCTATTATTCGTAAGTTACGATTATAATTAATCAATTCATTTATTCTCTATGTATGTTTAGGAAGAATTCTTTTATTGATAAGTTACCATTAGAATTAATCAATTAATTCATTCTCTATTTAGGTTGATGAATAATTGATTCGGAAGGTACTAGTATAATTAATATATTCAAATATTTACTATTTAGGTTCTTGACAGCAGTGGTATTATTTTCATTAACTTATCAAAATAATCAATCATTTTTTTCATAAGACTCAGGCAAAAAAATAATATCCTTTGTAGGCGTGGGTGCTATTCCAAAAGAAATTATTTGTATTGACTTATTCTCGGTTTGATAGGGTGGATAGCGTAGTCGGCTCCCATAATAAGAAACTAAAAAGTTCTTGTCTTTTCGGTTTCGATAAGAGAGCCTAAGTACTAAGATAGTGGACGTTGTGCTGTATAGCTTAATAGAATGCCATCGGAATAGTAGTGATAGAGCCGTGAGCAGATACGTTAAACAGATTGAGATCGCCGTGCTTTTGTTGCTGAGAGAGATGCGAAAGCAGAGATTTATACATGAGTCTTGTATTGAATAGTGGTGTAAAGTGCATTTGTAATAGAGTATACTATTCAACGAAACCTTTCTCCGATACTGCGTAGCTTATTTTATGGAACGTGAAGAGCGAAACCCTTTTTTTATAGGGGATAAAATTATTGTCTTTTACGAAACCTAAAAGGGTTTCGATTTCGTTCCAAAAATCGGAACCTTTTTAGGTTTCGTGTGAGACCTTTTTTATTTTCAGTGTATGTCACTTTATTCAAGATGACCTTATTAAGTCAACAACGTTACTGCCGTCTTTAAAAATTCTATTGAATCATGGGAAGTATTGGATCGTAGTGAATCATTGCTAATCTATGAATCAGGTGACTTTCGTTGATGGAAAGTGTAAAGACAAGCGAGGTGTCGTGCTCTGGATCTCCACGAGGAGAATTGCTTATTACAACTTACCAAGAGGTAAATGATCTTTACTGATCACATAACACGTATCTCATCGATTAGAAAGAAGTATGCAAAAGTATACATATATATT